TGCGTGAACCCTTATAAACATTCATGTTCCGTGATACCAATTATCATATAACTTGTGTGTTTGTAATAGTGTTTGTAATGGTTCACCCATGTGCACATCATAGTACAGGTGTAGTCTTCATTCGGTGCAGTGAGCCGGGTGTTTGGTCCACTCTCACGTGATGCCATCACATCCTGACCTTAAAAAGGTCTTCATCGTATTTCAAACAACGAACCCCAACAGAAGGCATGCATCTCAATAGGATGTGGAGATATTGTGTCAGTGCGTTTTCCGACGCCCCTCGTGGATGCAATGTTGGTCAAAACGTTGGAGACTGCGACAGGCGGATTCTCGACAGCATTTGCATGGGTGCGTGCCCTTCAAATGGGCTTATTATGGGCTGATTTGCACGGGTGTGATGATGTGTGATGCATCATGCAAACTCTGGTCTTCTTGCCATTTCTTGCTGTCTTTCAAATGTGTGGCTTTGTTTTGCATCTGCTTTTTCAAGACTTTCTCACCATAGCCATCCATCAAATAATTGAAGATCTGCGTTTGCATGTGTGGTCCTCCGTGTCCAAGCACCATGCATCACGCAAATTGTGTTTGCTGTCAAAGCCACCAATGACCAATAAAGAATCTCAGTGGACAGTTGCAGCATGTTGCAGCGGTCTGAGGTGGAATTCCAAAACATGTATGGCTTCAGTCAGGGACTTGAGACTTAGCAAGGAAAATGATTACTGATTACATGATACATGATATGATATTACATGAATAATCATAATTTCTGAAGGAGCGCCAAACAATAAGAGTCGTTGACAGGAGAACATTAGGAACCACCTGCGGGGGTTGCGAAAGCTTCTGGGTCATGACCTGAATAGCATTCAGTGACTGGTAGGTGCCAAGGATTTGAAGCTGAAACTGGCTGACACCAACTTTACATGTTGAAAAAACCGTACATGGACATGGAGAACTGGAGAACCGAACTGGCTGGTGGATTTAATTTCTCCCTGAAGTGGGAAGCGGGGATTAATCATCCCAAATTTACAAGGATTGGGACATATTGGGACAATAAACCCAGTACTTGCCGCATCCCAATCATCCTCGAAAGAAATCGTGTCAACCCAGCGATGTGACTGACATGCGTTCCTGTAGCGTGCCACGAGGCAAAGGGAACTTTCACACAATCGTTCCTACAAAAACATCCTGACTTTGACCAACCAAGCATGTCTGTCCGCTCTCCGATGCAATTTAAGGCCGACAGACCAAGGCTACAAAGAGATATATACATAAGCGACATACTGTAAACGATACAAATACTATCAAATACTTCTGTCTCAGTTTCCTGGACCTTACCGAAATTGTAAATAGCCATCAGTTTCAAACCTGTATATCCTTTGAGGAACTACAAAATAGCTACTTTTTTCGTAGATGCTTCATCCGAAATCCATAGGGATCACCTTTCCATAGGTTTCCAACGGTTTCTGCCTGGCAAGGCTCCATCTGCCTGGCAAACCGAGTGCCCCCAGCGTGCGCACGGAGCACTCTGCCGATCTTTGGGCGTGCGATCCGACCAGGTCAAGGTCTTGGGACAAAAGCAGTGCCTGGTGAGGGGACTTCTGTTGTTATGGCCCATGGCAGTCACTGTCTGATACTTTTTGAATTCTGTTTTAAATCTTTAGATATCTTTCATTGTTTTTCTCTGCATCTGTGATGAAGTTTTGAAGTATAGATCAAGATCGTACATCATCGTACATCTACTACGCAACGTTGCTCTGGGGATTGTTTGAAGAAGAAATGCCAAGATTTTGATCCTCCTAATAAACTGATCCAAAAAGGTTCCTCAAATAGCGGAATTGTTAAAGCTGCTTGTTTGACATGACATAACGGGTTCATGCAGAAGCACCTTTGAGAAAAACGTCCCTGACACTGGGGACATGAACATGATGACCTTTTGATGTCCCACAATCGTACTCCCCAAAGTTTCAATAACACTTAGTTCTTGATAACCAAAGCATTGCCAGAGATGTTCATTTCTCACATCGGAATGATTAGTCAGCACTCCAACACTGGCCACTGGCAGCCCATGGCAGCCGTTGAACTTCTGCTTAGAGACACGCTGATGCGTTTGCCAGCTTGGTTTTTGCCACCCAGGACCCACACGGTGTTGCGCACCACTGAGGCGGAATGGCCATAAACCTCCTGGCAGGGAGCAAAACCACGCAAAACCGCTCCAGTGTGAAAGTGGTAGACATAAACGAAATCGAAACTAACGTATCTAACATCCCTCGTGCGCCACTTGGTTCTTGGGATCTTCATTCTTGGTAACTTTGCATTTGCATCAAATTTCAAACACTTTTTCAATGAGAATGTATTAAGAAGTATTAAGTGAAATCATCTGGAGTTTTTTTGCTCAAATGGACAGATTGGAACATGGCTTCAGAGTCAGATCTTGGATTCCATGCCGGATATCCGAAGTCAATCAAAAGTAAAGCCACCCAAACTCAGGCCTTCCCTTTTCCCCTATACATCCTATACAAGCTGTCAAATCATCTGAAATCTGGGGATATTGAGGGGTTTGCTACTGGCCGACTGGCCCCAGCCCGGAGACGCTCCCGATCTTGGAAACTGCCCGGTTGAGACCACAGAAAGTCTTCCCCTGAGCCCGCGCGTGGCAGCTGCAGGGGCTGGGTCCATTTCAATGGCTCGCAGCAAGGCTCCATGTTGGCTGTGAAATTATAACCTGCATTGGGAGATATGGACATGCCAAAATGTGCTAACCACTTCTGCCTCAACTGGTTTTGGAAACATGCCCACAGTGATTTCAGGCAGCTATATATTGTAACATACTATAATCATTTAATAGTTATGAGGATGATTGAAGCGTGTCTCACTGCAGAGTTGAATTTAGTAAGTAATAACTTAGTAATAATTTAATAACTAATAACTAGTAATTAGTTATCTGGGAAGGTCATGATATACTTCCTACTTCTCTGCCATTGTCTTCCCTCAGAAAACAATGGCAACTTTCAGAGATTTTCAAAGCCAAAGGCTGCGGGAAGAATATCTGAAGCTGGAAATCCAAAGATTGTCTCGGACCCTGCAACAAACCGTGGAATTCTGCAGAGGAAGTGGCCAGGAGTTTTCCTTGCAAATTCATTTCGTTTTCTGCGGTGTATAATTTGTTGTCACAAATTTGAGCGCCATCCGCCATACCGAAAGAGTGCCCCACTTGTCAGTTGGCTGCGTATTTTGAGCCGTCGATCTGAAAACTTCCCACCAGCTGGTGAGAGGAAAACGATGGTGAGACCGCTTGGGCTGCCATTGGTTGAGGACATGGATTCGGAAACCGAATAGTCAACAAGGTGTTGAGTACATTCAATCCCATAAACTGTCACTGTTGATACATGTCATCAACTAGTTGAGGAAAGTTGTTGGGGTACATAAAATGAATGGATTGACATCCCCCCAGCCCTTTTGGCTCAGGCATACTCCTCTTCAAGCTGTCCCTGCTCTTGCCGTTCATCCCTGGCCAAAATTTGACCCCACGGCACAGGAAAAATCACCAACAGAGCATGGCATAGCATGGTCAACTTGGAAATTGGAATGGACAAGTATCTTTTCAAATAATGGGTCCACAGTGCATATAGCATTTCCAAAGCCCTATATTTGCTGCTAGTCCCCATCTCTTCAAATGTCAGAGAAAAACAGGTGCCAATGACCCAACCTCCAAGCGATTAACGCCACCGAATCTGCGATCTCCCCTCGCATCACCTGGGTCGCCACGACCATGGCAAGGTGTAACCATGCCATGGCCACACTGAGGCTGCTGCAGCTTCCACCTCGTCCACCGTCCTGCAGCAAAATGGCCAAAAGAGTGCAGGACCACTGTGGCAACACATGGCAAGGATGTGCAATCACAACAAACACGCACACACACACACTGCAAGCGTTGGTAGCAGTAGGTGTCAGGCAACCGCAGCAACAGAAAACAACGGTGTTTTTAAAGGCAAAAAAGGGTGACATGATGGCAAATGCATGCATATGAAGTGACATAAGTAATACACTTACACAAACATTAAAAAACCAAATTTATGTACAGTTAGATTCTGTAAACACACATGTATATAGAATCAAAACATGACTACTTAGTTTACAAAGTTTACACTTTACACTTACACACACACATATATATAATTATATATTCTACATTTTTTGAACTGTAATCATCATTCACAAGTATAGCGACATTTCTTTGCCATATATGCATGTTAACATCATGATCCATCAGCAGAAACTCTTGGACCCTTGGCCTTCCCGTTGCTGGTCCTTGGCGCCACCGTAAAGTTCTCAATGCCATCCTCGGTAACCAGGACGTTGTCCTCGCGAAGGGATGAGTAGGCCACTTCCTCTTGCATGGTATGATTATTTTCTGCATTGATAACAACGTAACGGTGCCCAATGGGACTCAATCATTGCATTTTTGTTGTTTTTGTGTGTCATCATTAATTTAAAACATGGTAACATGATATGTATTTTTAAATTAGAAATTTACATGTGCATAACTGTGCAGGCATGACGAGACTTTCGCCATCGCCTCCAAGTCAAACATGTGGGGGGGTGGTAAACATGAATGGTATTAGCGCCGTCTGATTTCATGCATCACTTGGCTGATTTCACTTTCCCCTGCTGATCAGTATGATGGTGTTCACCATGGCAGCTCACGGGAAAACCTATGTTTCCCTCATGCCTAAGAGGCATCCACAGGTGCTTTTCCAATTTGAAAAAAGGCGGGGTACCATTTTCAACACAACTGAGGTTTTTGCGACATGCCGCAGGTGCCTCCAAAACAGTCACAACATGTTTAGGTGCCAACACGTTTCGTCTGTAAACATATTCCTGGACTGCACGCGACCCAAGTCTGGCCCGGAGATAGCATGGGAAAAAAAACTATCGTCTACAGGCCATACCGTCGCTGGATGCTTACTTGCGGCAAAATTTTGCGACGCACGCGCACGCACACACACACACAGCATTGTCACACAGTGAAAGCAGCCTAGCACACACAAACACACATAGCTGAATGGTTTTGGAAATGAAATTTTACAGCACTTGGTGGTCGGGTTTTAGATGGCAAAGATACAATTAACATGTGAAACATGTGGTAGATGTAATGTAGATATATTACTTTTAAAATAACTTGGAAAACTTATTTTGGTAATTTGTGATTGCTGTTTTGTTTTTATGAATAAATACAAATTACAAGTATGTAACTTATAAGTTTTTTGTTATTTTAGATTCGTTTTTGACTTGATTTTTCTTTAATATTTGTGAAATATATCGTTTCCACTCCAAAGCACATCTGGGCATCTCTGGGCATGAGGCGTCTCCATCTCTGGGCGCGTTTCGCCAAACACTTCAAGAAGGAATCTGCCCAAGGCTAAAAACGTCCCTAAAAAACCTGCTGCTGCTGCTGCTGCTGCTGTCAGCAGTGCAGGCTCCGTCCTGGGCCTGAGAACAACATGCATGATACGCGGGGGTGGAGACCCAACTTCGTCCCAGATATTTTCCACTGGAATGACTTGGCCGTCGGCAAGCAAGTCGGTGAAGGGAAGATGCCGCATGCGGAGAACAAGACGCTGCTTGAGCGCCATGATGGTGCAATCCGGTGGCAGAGAGCAGCTGTTAGATCATGGTCACGTAGCCTTTGGATGGAGCAAGCCGCTGCAGATGCATGGGCTGTGTCAGGAATCAATCACTAATTCTTAAAGGCGTCAGAGGTAGGTTGATGGGTCAAAAGCCCCCAAGTCCATGAAGAGGCCAGTGTGACAATGGCAATCTGTCTGCACACAGCAGGTCCCATCCTCAAAGATGCGAACCGCGCAAAAATGATTGTGTGGGCAGAAGTGAGGCAACCGGAGGAAAGTTTGCATTGGCGAGGCACCCCGCCCCGCCCAAACACGTCTCTAGCGTAGCATCATTCCCAACAACACTCATTTTCCGAACCTTATGACACCCCACCCTATCCACCGCATATCAAAAGCCAAACCAAAAAAAAAACACAGCGACAACAACAAGTCACACAGCAACATCGTTTAGCCCCACGAAACACAATAACTATATAAAATAGTCAGTGAAACGAGAAAAAAAGAAACTCAGCTACAGTAATTCGGGCGTGAAACACAAAAACCGACCCCATCCCGTCAAAGGACAACGAAATACAACGACCAATGCCTGTTCGGACCCACGAAACACAGTCGAGCACTGCGCAACGACACATACGAACTCGAAAATAGAATTGTTTACTGACAGCGAACCACCCGCCTTGCGGGCAATTGTGCAAATATTATACTTCTCACTTCAGTACATCGACCTTCAGACTTGTTCTTCAAGTATTGATGTAGCAAACGTATACTTAAGATTCTGGATAATCAATGTGGCAATGGAAAATCCCCTATATAACTCGAGGTTAACATGGCTTTAATGGGAAATCAACAAAATGGTGGACTCCCACTGTTCTGATTGCCGCGCCATCCGCCAACACCAACTCCCAGGGATTCCAAACCGCTGTAGCACGGCCAAAAATCCAACAGAGCAATGAAACATAATTGAAACATTATTAATTAATGAAACATAAGCTATACAATAGTAATAGTTGGGATCTTCATCAACTAGCATCAAGTTTACCCATTTGTTCAATTTGTTCATCAATTTTCCAGTTCTGAATTATCTATAATTATCTTCTTTATAAGTTAAGTTGTCCATGTTTCGCAAACTTCTTCTAAGCCGCGGAAGCGGTCATTTCCGGTCCTCCAAGCGGATGCCTCCGAAGCCCTCGAAGTCCTGGAGCCGCTGCCAGTTGAAAAATCTCCGGAGCTCTGGATCCTCTTTGGCCTCACCAAAATCTCCGGAGCTTGGAGATTTACTGCGAATACCAGTCATATTTGTTCGCGGCGACTTAGTGTACATATTTTTCAGGGGATTTTCCTACATATGTTACATATGTATATTAAATTATATAAATATTCCAACAGAAACACGGGGATAGGGATAGGGACCGGGGGAAGCTTTGAGGTGTAAATTACTAGAGAACATCAGTAGGGGAGTTGCTATGAAATTTCACTGAACTGTTTTCCCCGAGGTCTCCCTCGGCCGAGTTGTGGCCTTCTTGAGGGCATAATCCATGAAATAGACTCCAGGCCTGGAGCCCCATGGGCCAGCCACATGGGCCATGCCATGCCAAGCTTGCTCAATCCAGTTGCACTGAGAGCCGGTCTCAACGGTCAGGACCTGAAAATGGAAGTTTTCAGACAAGTGACAATATCAGCAAATGGATGTTTGGCTCAACATCGTAGGGATGTGGGGTGTCTTCCTGTAGGGTTTAGAGTTGCAGCTGAACCAAATGACATCGCAAACTCGGACGGCGCACATTTTTGGCCGCTGGGCATGCGTTTCGGTCGCCGCCTCAAAAGACGTTCAAACCTCTAGCGGAGTTTGTGTCAGTGGGTCATTTTACCCCAGCTACAACATGCAAACATCTTCAAGCATCTTCAAGCCACCTAAAATGGGGTAGCCAACAGATCAGCGTGACCACCGTGGACATGTTGGCCTCACATCACCTTGCCATCATCAGTGGTACCAAAGGGTGTCCCCACCACTGCTCCAGGAACTTGAGGTGGAATGGCCATGGATCTTGCCTGCTGATTCAGCAGCTGGAATTTTCGAAGCCCAGTACCTACCGCAACGATGGCCAGAGCCACCCACGCCAAGCCTGAAAACTGAGCAAAAGCTGGGGAACGATGGGGAAAAGAAGTGAACACCATTTAAGTGTTGGATTCCGTGCCGAAATTTTTTTTGGGGATATTTTGGGATACAGTAGATATAGAGCCTCCGTAAATGGGGGACTTCATGATGAGATAACAAGCAGTTCTCACCCTGGTAGGTTTCTCCAAATGTGGGGTTGGTGATGGGAAATGGACATGATTCCAGTTCTACGATTCCTTGAGCATTTCCTTTCATCTCTCTACTCACGAACACTTCCCGATTCACTGTAGATTGACCACTATAACTAACACCATCAGTGTTGAGCATCAGAAAACTCCACAGCACCCATAAACATCCATAAACCAACAAAAACGATTTCTTGCCGCAAATTTGGACCCAACTGTTGCACCATGTTGCACCAAGATTCGCAACACTCTCAGAATCCTTGTGAAACGAATGACTGCACGTTCGCCTCGGCCTGATCCAAACGCCAAACGATGGTCGGTGCCACTGGGGATCACATCTTTTGGGAGGATGGAAACAATGCAATCACTAGCTATAGGTTCTGCATTGCTACAATTCACTCCTATGTTTTATGGAAATGATTCTGCTTATGTTCCTTTCCATGCAGTCATGCAATGTGGGCGTATGTTCTTGCAAGTTGAAGTTGTGTGATGGTTGGGTACTACACGGTACAGTACTGCGGCAGCAAACAGAAGTGCTTTGTTTTGTCATGTTGGTTGTTGCAAAATTATGTATCCACATTCTCCACTATGTATCCATTGTTTCCGGCTACTTCTCCAAAAACCAAGTATATAATGTACCCTCTGATAAACTAACATAGCTATTGAAAATCACCATTTTGAATAGGTAAATCAACTATAAATGGTACATGTTCAATAGCTAAATTACCAGAGGGTACTATAATGTACTAACTTCCTGCAGATGTAGAATCCCGCCCGAGGAATTGAACGTAGGAACTGGCGAATTGGACCGTCATCTTCCCACTTCGCATACTCCTCCTATTTGCGATTATAATATGTTCCTTTTGTCAGTTGGCTATCATGTGGACCATACTTTACAATAATCATATATATATAATGGCATGTTCAAGATGATATGACATTTTAACATTAATATAGTGTTTACAATAATATGTTTTATTCATTTATACCGTTCAATAAATTATCTATATACAGTATATACATATGATTCATATGATTATACATAGTGTGTTCACTGATTCACTAATGCATACAACTCATCCGAATCACTCCACGCTGTACAAATCACCCTGCCAAAAAGTGGTGATGACTCGGCCGACCCGGTCGCCCATCCCACCAATCGCTGCGAGCTGCTATCGCGATTTCCTTCTGTGAAAATACTTCCAACGAAGATGAAGGCGAAAACGACATCAACGACAAAGGAAAAGACTTCCTCACCATTTTATGAAGGATGCAAAAAGAATGCCTAGCCTTTTCATGGTACAATCACATGTCGCAAGCCGTCGTGACCCTTCTATGAAGGAGGCTAAAAAGGAGGCTGCCTACCGTAACATAGCAAATTTCACCAACAGAATTTCATACGATATGATCTATGTAGATACATACTGTGCACCCGTAATCAGTAATCCCTTCAGGCCCTAAAATTGCACTGCTGAAGCCACAGGGTGCCCATATTCAGCTCGTCGGAAGATAATCTTCACTGCAATTGTCATCAATTGTCCGGAGCTCAGCCGAAATTACTTTACTTCGAGTGCCCCCACCAACTGACAATCTAAGTATCTGACATGAATGAATTGTAGTACATATTCAAACATGTTATCTGGCTATCAAGCTCCCATATTATGCATTTTATCTGGCATTTTGTCGAAAATCTTTCCTGCCAATCTTTCTGGCATTCCATTAAAGAAACCAAAAAAAAGCATTATCTGGCATTTTATTTTACTATCTATCCGAAAAAAAGTCTGGCATCCTATCTGGCATTTGATCTGGCATTCTATCTGACATCTATTCCACCCAATCTGATCTATCTGGCATTGTGTCTCACATCCCATTTGACATCCTAGCAGTCCATCTGGCATTCTATCTGACATTCTTTCTGGCATTTCATCCGGCATTCTATCTTGCTCTTTTATTCGGCATGCTATCACTATCTGGCATTCCATCTGACTATCTAACTGAGCAATCTCGGAAGCACAAGGTTCACCAAAAGGATATCAACAAATGTCGGAAGGTCCCATCGCTTACTGCACGGTTGTACAAAGAATGATGTATGGCAACATATGGCAACTATGGGGGGTATCGTTGAAAAGAAAATGATGTACCGGCACAGGTACGAGATGACCTTCAAAGGGGGTATATCGCTGCTTGGGAAGGTCCTTCGCCTGCCTCATGTTTGTACAATTTCTGAAAATCAATGGCCGTCCCTTACATGCTTTCTATTGCCGGAGTTTTTGCGGTGGCTCATCTGGCGTTCTATCTGACACTTGATCCTGTCATTCTATCTGGCATTCTAACTGAAATTTTGTCAGGCTATCTATCTGCCATTCTATCTAACATGTCATCTTCCATCCTCTCGGGCATTTTATCCGGCACAAGGTTCATGTTCCAGAGGGCTGGCTCACTCTTATCCTTCGGGCCCGGCGTGACTGAGAGAATTAGCAAGCTCGCCATAGGGTTCGGGTCTTGGCGCGCCTCATTAAAGAGCTGGCAGGCTCGCCAAAGAGCCGCTGTGCAAAGGAGGCTGGCACACAAGCTGGCGATGACATGCTGGCAAGTGAGTGTGGTGTGTGCGCCTCCCTGCCTGCCTGCTTGCTTGCGTGGCTGTGCATGCGCAGGGTGGGGGATATCTAGAGACTTTCACCTGGCAGGTGGTGAAAAAGGGGCAAAACATCCAGTTGTGGGCCACACTTAGCCAGGTTCCATGTCAAACTTCTTAGGTTGCAAAAGTATCAGGTGAAATACAAATTGCAGCAAGAACCAAGCAACTGGTCATGTATATAATTGTTTATCTTCTTGGTTCTGGGTGATGGCATGGCGATAATCATTGCACGGTGATAGTCCGACATGATATGGGTCATGGAGATGGGTACAGAAACCCAAAACCACCACAGGATTCCAACTTGAGGCCACATCCCACCTCCAATTGATTCCACTTTCAGCCGCTAGTTGCCGTTAATCAATGAACAATATCAACATCAATTAACCAACTGTTTCTTCGGGTTCCTGCCTATATCTTTTCTGGGACATCGACATGCGGCACGCTTAATCTTGACCTTGACCCATCCCCAAGATTACCCAAACACCGCTACAATTTGCCAGGTGAGTTTCTCCACCAAAAGCTATCATCAATGGATAGTCCAAAAGTACCAGATTCTGACACGAACATGGTCCACAGGGACACGGGGGTGGCACTGGGTTGGCCATTTCTCTGTAGCAGCACGGCACACAGCAGCGCGACACCACGAGCATGATCCAGGTCAGGAAAACGCCCACAAGCACCAGGAAAATGGCGGCCTCAGGGTTTAAGGATAACTCTCCTTACAGAATTGAATTGGATGATGAGAACATTTACAGGAAAACCCCTATGATTGATTATAATTGCTGGTAAAAAATGGGAGTGAGTTCCTGTAGATTCTCTCTCAAAGCAATTATTTAATCCATTGACTTCCCGGTGGTTTTGTTTCCTACGTGTAAGTTGGTTGAAGGTGCTCCAAGCTCTCTCTCTCTCCCTCTCTCTCTCTGCAAAATCTTCACCTGAAAACCTGCTGAAATCAAGGATAGGAAATACAGCGAATTCTCGAGAACCAACCCGTATCTGTATCAACCCCTAAACCACTGAAAAGAATTCCAACATTGGCTTACAAAATGATCTATCAGAACCCAGAAGATAGAAACAGAGATTTACCACAATATACCACATTTTTAGTGGGAATGTACATATTTCATCATATTTCTATCTTTTTGGATGTTCCAAAAAAACATGATATCACCATGACTTTCCCAACAAAAAAGTCATGGCGAAATCAGCCCCCTGCTGCCTGGACTGGTTCACCAGCATCCGATGGATCTGTCTCATCATCCCTATGGACCACAGTCACGATAAAGACGATGATGAAGGTTATGGCATACACCTTGTGATCATGAGTGATCATGCTGGGTGTTGTGTCAATGGAACATGTTGAAAATGTTGAAAGATGTTGAAAGATGTTGAAAGATGTTGAAAGATGTTGAAAGATGTTGAAAAGGAAGCTGGACGTGTTTATTTGCTTGGTTGATGAGTTCTCATGATGCTTGCAGTCCATCCAGTTTGCCATTTTTGTCAGGGATTTTTGAGACTGCTTTTTGATGTAATTATCTAAGTTCATCCTACTAGTATGTTACTATAACATGTTGCCTTCTCAGCCCCCAACAGAACAAGCATTGGGAGCTGAAACAAATTGATCAAATTGGAAATGCAATGACTTAGCATGGGACAGCCGGAGCCGCCACGTAGAACAGCTGCATCTTAGGGCTGGAAGCGAAATCATTGCAGCAACTTGCGTTGCACATTGCGTTGCACGCTGCACGCTGGGCATCGCTATCGCTGGTCCCCCGAGTTAGAGCTTCAAGCTGCAGCGAATCCGACCGTCACAGGGGCCGGCAGGGGCCTTGGGATATGTCCAGAGGTCTGGCATGTTCAAAGATGTTCAAATTGTTCAAATCTTCCGAGATACGGTACAACTATGTACAACATGATACTGCAAGACATGACAAACATGAAAACATATATGAAAACCATTGTTCAAAATTGTGAAACCCACATCGCCCCGCATATTCCCATATCTAATGATTCCAAATCTACCAAGGTTACCCCAATGCCCATGCAGATTGCCCAATCCCGGCGATGCCCAGGCTGAGCGTCCAACAAAACCAGGCTCCAGGAGCCGTTGCAGCCGCAAAGCTTTGAAGCCATCCTGGAACAAGACATGTCGGAGCGCATGAAGCGACACCTTTAAACACTTCCATGGGCTGGGGTAAATCATGGTAAATCCATCTTATTCAGTCCTAGTCATCTAATATATATTCTAATATAGACTCAACAAATATGGAAAATCACGCAAAAGGAGCATTTTAGCTCAGAATTTCACTAAAGAGCCCATCTGCAACCTAGTATTGATCTCTTGACCCCCAGTTGCGCTGGCTCCGGGTGCCCAACACGGCCATCACGTTGGGATTCTTTGGGATAGCCTCCCACCTCAGGCCATGGAGATGTTGGATGTTTCCGTAGCCTTAAAAAAACATGTGCCAACATGTGCCAACTATATCCCCGGAATTTCATGTCTGGAATCCCAGCTCCAACGCTTTGATGGTGTTCCTTGCGTTCTTTGCGTTCCTCGATCTTCCGAATGGTCTGTTTTTTAATCCCAACGTGTCCCAAACAGCTGCCATGAGGCCATGAGGCTGCCATCGTCAATGGTGATTTCATGAGTTGTCAGGTCTGACGCCAAGGCACATCATGGGTATCGATGCCCATGAAGTGACCAAGGCCATGGGGCATCAAGACCTGAGAGACATTGGATTGCTCGCCCTCCCTTCATGAAACTAGGAGCACGGCCTTTAGAAGGCCGTGGGTTTTTTGTGATCAACGGTGTATCATGGATGATTCTTGATGTGCTCGTGCCAATAAGATTTTGTTTGATGTGATTTTTAAGGCCGTTAACCCCTTATTCTGGTGCATATTTTCAAAAACATGCATTTTGCCTAGACGAAACTACCATTTTTGAGGTTTTTGAGAAGTCCCAAACTAATTCGACCTGACATGTTTCGATGTGGTTTTTAAGGCCGCTAACCCCTTATTCTGGTGCATATTTTCAAAAACAAGCATTTCGCCTAGACGAAACTACCATTTTTGGGGTTTGTGAGAATTCTCAAAGTATTCAACCTGACATGTTTTGATTCCTCTGCTGTGACCAACCAACGCTTCGAGTTCTTCCAAGAACCTTTGCGGATCTGGATTGTTTAAGGTACAACGCCAGCACCACATGAACACATGGAAAGTTCCAGAAAACTTACAATAGCGTGGCATGACGCATGAGTGGAAAGTTCCAGAGAACTTACAGTAACGTAGCATGACGTATGAGTGGAAAGTTCCAGAGAACTTACAATAGCGTGGCATGACGCATGAGTGGAAAGTTCCAGAGAACTTACAGAGAAGCATGTCCTTCCTCCGTAAGTTCACATGAATGTTATTACATGCCCCACCCCACCCCACCCCACCCGTGCATACATGCACCTACCGGCAGCCACAGAGAAGCATGTCCTTCCTCCGCAAGTTCACATGAACGTTATTACATGCCCCACTCCACCCCACCCCACCCGTGCATACATGCACCTACCGGCAGCCACAGACAAGCATGTCCTTCCTCCGCAAGTTCACATGAACGTTATTACATGCCCCACCCCGCCCACCCCACCCCACCCGTGCATACATGCACCTACCGGCAGCCACAGAGAAGCATGTCCTTCCTCGGAAAGTTCACATGAACGTTATTACATGCATTGTTATTGCAATGTGCGATAATGTATTGAAAGCTAGTTAAAAGGTAACGTAATGTAGTAGATACATATTGATATTCATTTAAACAAATACGTAGACCTTTATTATACTAAATATTATTATACAATGTATCTGTAGCGATCTGCCTCCATCAAGCACATCAGCAAAGTCCCAGGTGGTCCGGAGCAATCTTAATAGTGGAAAATATGGTTGGCCATGAGATGTTCATATTTTTTCCAAGCATTTCTCAAACAAACCGTAACAAACCTGTAAAATCTTAGAAAATGATGCTGTTCACCCCGCTTTTGTGTATGGTTTTGTTGCTATGTTCAACCGGAAGGTCCTGACTTCCAGGGGGCCACACTCCACCCACGTTGACCTTCATCATCTCGTCCACGTCGCCCACCTGGTTTCGGTGGTCGATGGTAGTCTGCTGGTTTTTTTCCCCGGTGACTGAGAGCGCTGCCAACAAACCAGCGGCCTCTAGGCGTTCACACCTTGCTGCTGGAGATCGGGTGAGGCAAGTTGGATGCCAGGACTCATCCTCAAGGCTTCGACATTACTCTGTAGGCAAGCTCATGCATATCAGCCTGGCGGTCTGAAGCATGGTGAGGCCCATCTCCCATGGCCATGAACATAGTGAACACAAGTGTCTTCACCTTCGTGATCTTGGCGCTACATCTCCCTGTTCGATCAGCAATACGGTACCAAAACACCAAGCACAGGATGTCTAGCCTGCACATCTTTTTGGGTTACGGTTATGGGGATCAAATTGGCACTGGTTCAGGATGGCACGGAGATGTGCAAGCCGTCCACCCCATCTTTTGCCCACTTCAGTCGACGTCAAAACATGCAGGGTCCACCCAAGCAACTTTTGGCTTCATGGCACCTTACTTCAGGGTACTCCCAGATCAACTATCATGACCACGAAAGCACATGAGGCCCCTATCGAGCCATCGAGCCCCTATCAACCGCAGAGTCAACATCCATTTCAGCAGCTCCATCACTCAGGCGTCAACTCAGCACTGCTGTCTGCATGGCCTCAGGGTAGCCATCACCAGCGCATCATTGAATGATCATCGAATCACCACTGAACAATCATCACGAAACATAGTCATGAATTAGGTCAAACTCCAGTTGCAAGGACCCCGGGCAGCCACGGTCTCAAAGATCAGTTTCTGATCCGCAGAAAATTGTCCACTGGGCGGCAGGCAGTCTCCCTCCCAAATGAAACAAACAACATGGAGAACACACGTACACTGGACACCAAAAGACACTGATGGAAAAAAAATGTTGATAAAATTTGATAAACAAGGCTGTCCAAGCCCACGACATATGAAACTGCCACCATATTCACATGCTACAGGGTCTAACGTCCACAATACAGTTGCATCCATATAGCACCCTTCAATCTGAAGTTCTCATCACTTAAACTGATGCATTCCGTCCCGGTTGAGGCACGGTTTCTGACACCCTTGAAACATGGCGGGTGCAAAGAATGGCGGGTGCAAATTGAAAAATTCATTCACACCAAACTTTTGGACATGAGCTCCAATCCATTGCTGCAAGGTTGATCCACCACTTTCAACGAAAGTTTTAAGAGGGAGTTCCTTCCATCGTCTAATTTCGTATTCCAACCTAAATTTGGTCACAGTGTCCCCTACCACAAATCCCCCGCGCATTTCCAATGACTTCCAGGTGTTGGACCTACTGGATGGCAACTTCTGAGGTAGAGACTTTGCTGGAAATGAGTTGGTAATGTCAGAGGCATAGCAATACAGTTCACAGCCCATATCACACAGAACGATGTCACCATCCTTCACAACACAAGTGGCGGCTGCGAAAGGATAACCACAAACTTTCAACAAATAAATGGCTGCAACGATTCCGGCTGACCGTGGGCATGTGCCAGAATCTTCTGCTCCAGTGGGCGAGTTTGGCACTTATGGACAATCACTCCGTGCCGACCCCAGCAACTTCTCTCCAAATCCAAACATCCGAAGCGACGAGATCACCAGACTCCTCGAGTTTCCGGTCATTTGGAGCGCCCGCATGACCTAATGATCTGGCAGAAAACCAAGAAACAAATTCTCATATCAACATGTTCGGTGATGTGTGAAACCTAAAGGATTTGTATGGGATTGGTGATGTTTTTTTAATATGTGGCGCATCCAAGACCATAAACCACCCTCAATTCTATTAGAAATGGATGGGATACAAGCACACCAGATATGGAGGTTTTGCATGTAAGGTCCTTCATGAAATTGATAATTTCCACATCGATGCATTCATATCGACTCCGGCACACTGACTCATGAATTCTCAGGAGAAATGGCATGAACTTCCTGGGCTCCCCCAGCCATAGTGCAGAACCTTGGACATTGACGTTCAAATCGTGATGCAAATGTGGGGTCCCTGATGGTCCCTGAAATGGCCATGGGTCAACTTGGCGCACTCTCTGGTTTCTCAACATGGCTATGGTAAGTTTTGGCAAAGGCCCATTTATAGATGATTTACCTTATTATCAAAGGAAGTTTAGGGGGAGAAACTTCCGTGTTACGGACTTTTAGAATGTCAGGGAAAGAGTTAGTCAAAGAAAGAGTTAGTCAAAGAAACAGTTAGTCAAAGAAAGAGTTAGCAAAGAAAGAGTTAGTCAAAGAAAGAGTCAGTCAAAGAAACAGTTAGTCAGGGAAAGAGTTAGTCAAAGAAAGAGTTAGTGAGGGAAAGAGTTAGTCAAAGAAAGAGTTAGTGAGGGAAAGAGTTAGTCAAAGAAAGAGTTAGCAAAGAAACAGTTAGTCAGGGAAAGAGTTAGTCAAAGAAAAGTTAGAGAAAGAGTTAGGCAAAGAAAGAGTTAGTGAGGGAAAGAGTTAGTCAAAGAAAGAGTTAGCAAAGAAACAGTTAGTCAGGGAAAGAGTTAGTCAAAGAAAGAGTTAGTGAGGGAAAGAGTTAGTCAAAGAAAAGAGTTAGCAAAGAAAGAGTAGTCAGGGAAAGAGTTAGTCAAAGAAGAGTCAAAGAAGTTAGTCAGGGAAAGAGTTAGTCAAAGAAAGAGTCAGTGAGGGAAAGAGTTAGTCAAAGAAAGAGTTAGTGAGGGAAAGAGTCAGTCAAAGAAAGAGTTAGTGAGGGAAAGAGTTAGTCAAAGAAAGAGTTAGTCAGGATATATGAGGTAGTCAAAGAAAGAGTTAGTCAGGATATATGAGGTAGTCAAAGAAAGAGTTAGTCAGGATATATGAGGTAGTCAAAGAAAGAGTTCGCAAAGAAAGAGTTAGTCAAAGAAAGAGCAAAGAAAGAGTTAGCAAAGAAAGAGTTCGTTAGGGAACGAGTTAGTCAAAGAAATTGTTCAAGCAATGTAAATGGGATTGCAAGTGGTGCTGGTGGATGAGTTGCCGATGGAGTTTTGAAGGAAGTCTCGCACGAAATGCGTTTTTGAGAGATAGCAGATGCACGAAACCCTGTGTTTTTCCATACAAAGTCCGTCCCCGAACGTCGATGATCTAGCTGTGCGGTGCGACGGGTGCGAGACGGTCTCGTGTGTGGTCGGATCATTCTCGGATCATTCTCGGATCATTCTCGGATCATTCTCGGATCGGTCTCGGATCGGTTCCGCATTGTAAATGGGGTTTCACCTGTGTTTCGTGCATTTGCGGTCGACAGAATTTCATTGTGATTTGCAACTGTAGGATCGTTCCCGCAATGTAAATGAGATCGCAAATGGTGCTGGTGGATGAGTTGCCGATGGAGTTTTGAAGGAAGTCTCGCACGAAATGCGTTTTTGAGAGATAGCAGATGCACGAAACCCTGTGTTTTTCCAGACAAAGTGCGTCCCCGAACGTCGATGATCTACCTCTGCGGCGCGACGGGTGCGAGACGGTCTCGTGTGTGGTCGGATCATGCTCGGATCGGTCTCGGATCATTCTCGGATCGGTTCCGCATTGTAAATGGGGTTTCAAGTGTTTTTCGTGCATTTGCGGTCGACAGAATTCCATTGTGATTTGCAACTGTAGGATCGTTCCCACAATGTAAATGGGATTGCAAGTGGTGCTGGTGGATGAGTTGCCGATGGAATTCCATTGTGATTTGCAACTCTAGGATCGTTCCCTCACTGCAAATGGGATTGCAAGTGTTGCTGGTGGATAAGTGGCCGATGGAATTCCATTGTGCTTTGCCACTGTAGGATCGTTCCCGCAGTGTAAATGGTTGCGTCAAGGTTGCTTCGTGCTGTGGCTGCATTGGTAATACTATTGTCTTTTGCAGCTGAACTTCGTAAATCGTATTGGAGTGGCTGCATGAAGGCTGCCACAGTGATTTGTCAGCAGATTTTTTTTCTTCATTTTGGCGCTAGTGAATTTCCTTCTAAAAATCCTTTTCAAAAGTGCTTCAAAATCGTCTTTTTTTCGCTCTGGCGTCGAGATCCGGTTTTGGAGCTACAATTTCCGACGCCGTTGTGCGTAGTTCTCTTGTGTTTTGCAACTCAGTCTCCGCAGATCGCATTGTAATGGCTGCGTCAAGGTTGCTTCGTGCTGTGGCTGCATTCGCAATACTATTGTCTTTTGCAGCTGGATCTCGTAAATCCTATTGGAGTGGCTGCATGAAGGCTGCGACAGTGATTTGTTAGCAGATTTTCTCCATTTTGGCGCCAGTGATTTTCCTTCTAAAAATCCTTTTAAAAAGTCGTCTTTTTTTCGCTCTGGCGTCGAGATCCGGTTTTGGAGCTACAATTTCCGACGCCATTGCGCGTAGTTCTCTTGTGTTTTGCAACTCAGTCTCCGCAGATCGCATTGTAATGGCTGCGTCAAGGTTGCTTCGTGCTGTGGCTGCATTCGTAATACTATTGTCTTTTGCAGCTGGATCTCGTAAATCGTATTGGAGTGGCTGCATGAAGGCTGCGACAGTGATTTGTCAGCAGATTTTCTCCATTTTGGCACTAGTGATTTTCCTTCTAAAAATCCTTTTAAAAAGTGCTTCAAAATCGTTTTTTTTTCGCTCTGGCGTCGAGAAGTCTCCGCAGATCGCATTGGAATGGCTGCGTCAAGGTTGCTTCTTGCTTTGGCTGCATGCGTAATGTCTTTTGCAGCTGGATCTCGTACATCGTCTTGGACTGGCTGCATGAAGGCTGCGAAATGGATTTGTTAGCAGATTTTCTCCATTTTGGCGCTAGTGTTTTTTTGTTGCACGTAGGTGTAGAGCAGTGTGACGTGTGGGGCGTGAAGAGTGCAGTGTGAAGTGTGCAGTGTGAAGGAAGCAGTGGGAAGTGAGAAGTGTGAAGTGTGGAGTGTGAAGTTTAAGTTTGGAGTGTGAAGGAAGCAGTGAGAAGTGTGAAGTGTGAAAGTGTGAGGTTTGGAGTGTGAAGGAAGCTAGTGAGAAGTGTGACGTGTGGCCTGTGAAGTGTGAAGTGTGAGGTGGAAGTTGTGGAGTGGAGTGTGAAGTGCGAATGAAGTGCGAAGAGCGCAGTGTGAAGTGTGAAGTGTGAGGTTTGGAGTGTGAAGGAAGCAGTGAGAAGTGTGAAGTGTGGACTGTGAAGTGTGAAGTGTGAGTGAAGTGTGGAGTGTGATGTGCGAAGTGAGAAGTGTGACGTGTGAAGTTTGGAGTGTGAAGTTTGGAGTGGGAAGGAAGCAGTGAGAAGTGAGAAGTGTGAAGTGTGGACTGTGAAGTGTGGAGTGTGAAGTGCGAAGTGAGAAGTGTGAAGTTTGGAGTGTGAAGTGTAAGGTGGAGTGTGAAGGAGCAGTGAGAAGTGAGAAGTGTTGAAATGGGAGTGTGAAGTGTGGTAAGTGTGAGATGCGAAGTGAGAGTGTGGAATGTAAGTGTGAAGTGTGACTGTGAAGTGTGAAGTGTGCAGTGTGAAGTGTGAAGTGTGAGGTTTGGAGTGTGAAGGAAGCAGTGAGAAGTGAGAAGTGTGGAGTGTGAAGTGTGGAGTGTGAAGTTTGAAGTTTGGAGTGCGAAGAGTGCAGTGTGCAGTGTGAGGTGTGAAGTGTCGAGGGAAGGACACGTTGGTCGGGACAGGTTGTCTTTGAACTATAGGTCATTTATGTTTGGGAAACTTCCGCCGCCGGCTTGCCCGGGTCTATGTTATAATAAACATGGTGATGTTCCATAGCTTTCTTAAATTCCCATAGGGTAACCCACAAGGTGAAGGTTGACAGCCACAGGGACCCCGGCTGAGGCACCAAGTTCAGCTAAGGCCCCAAGAAAATTGAAATGTTGATCCCAACAACAAAAATCCCAAAAGTTGTGATGAAAGGTCACACCCGCATCGAGGGCAGCGGCTGCAGCCTTTTCCATCTTGAGTCAAGAAAAGTATTAAAGATTGAATGGACCTGGACCGGAAAGGAAGGGTTTAATTAATGAATAGGTGGGCATGGTTTACTCCACAATATTCAAGTAAGAATACACAAATGATGTGGAACGTTGGCTACATCAGCGTACAATGATGCCCCAGAGCAGTCTAAGAGCAGTCTAAGAGCAGCCTGGTTGCAACAGGGATTTGAATAAACATCTTGAAAACCTATGATTTCTATTGTTTTCTGCCATTCACTAAATGTTTAATCAATATTACAGCTCCCTCAAGCACATCCCAAAATCATACGGATCAAAACGATTATCCAAGTGTAGTTATTATTTTTTACAGGCAAGACACACCTTGCAATCAAAAGGCTGCTTCTACTCATGGGCCTAACATCCATCAATGACTTCCTATATCATTATATCATCCTATGTCCGCACTCCGTAAGCGGTCGCTGGGGCTTCCAACGGCCGAATTGGGCCCTGACCCTGCAATGGGCGTGTAGGACAAGAGCCGCGCACCTTGCAGCAAACAAACGACCGGAAATGAAGGATTCACTTCATGATTTGCACTGATCTCTGTGAATCCGGGTGGTAGGAGGACTAAGACCCTAACATCTTAACATATCTTAACCATCTACCAACCGTTCTCTTTAAATGCCTGCCGAGCATGGCTCAATTCATGATGGCTGTTCTCAAGGTTCAAAGCTGAAGAAAAAGCGCCTCCATTGTAGTGGCAGCCGTATGCGAAGGTGCTCTCCAACTGATACCTGGGGCGGTGACATGCGCTACTTCAACATGGTTTCACCACAGAAGGACTTTTCCAGCCAATCACTGTACTTCCTTGGGTCATACATTGAAATGGGGGGGGAAAAAATATCAAAATCAAATCGAAAACTAGAACAGCCTCCCACTGAAGGACAATCTCCCTTCAACCTGTCACGTTGCAAAAAAATGGGCCGCCGAGTGGCTCCATCAGCCCAGGGCGAGCACCTCGCATCATTGCCTAAGCGAGAAATCCATCATTTCCCCTGGTTCTGTTTGCAGAAAATGATTGTGGTTCAGTCTTAAGTCCCTGCCACTTGTACTGTATAATCATGCATATATGCATATATATATATATCTATATATACAGTACATACCTATATATACAGACCGTATAGCTCAAAGTTGATGAGTGTAATTAGGTACAATATAAAATACATGTTATACATTGTTCTGTACATGTATTTCACAACTTTTGTGCAATATCAACCCATTTCCATGCCCTGCTCCGAGGTGATCTAAGACAACTTGAGGCCCAGGCAATGTGTGCATCTGAGGAGATCCGATTCACATAGCGTAGCAGCCTCCGGTTTTTTTCCCGAACGTTGGATCAATGGGAATTCCAGGATCCTAAAATGGAGGTACGTTAGTACCATATGTTTGGCCATATTTTCTGGGGATATTCCCTTAATTACATAGGCCTTATATATGGTAGGTACCTCCAATAAATCGTTTCCTGTTGCATGGCCATTGATTGGACCCGGACTCAGGATGACTCAGGTACTATTTTGTCTATGAATCATAGATGAAGTTGGAATTTGCTATGATCACCGCGATGGATTCACCAGGTCGCCACCTGATCTCCTCATCGTTCTTTCTTGCCTTGGCAGTGTCCACACGAAGATTTCCTGCACTCAGTAAGTGATCATAAACCGTAAGTGATTGGCAACTGCCGCAATAGCGAAAAATGTATATATACGAATACGTATACCTAATATATATATGTGATAATATATATATATATATAATGATAATATACGTATCAATACACATCATACATGTATGTAGCACTAAACACATTATAATATATTGAATGAGTTTGATCAAAACCACTTTAAGATGATACTGTATTCATTGATATGTAACATTTATAACTCTATATATATATACTGTATATATATATATATTACAATTATATTACAGTAATATGATGAAAAATATGATGTTTCAGTTCCAAACAGGGCAAACTCCTTGCGAACCACTTGTCAAGTGTCAGGATCTTCCAACTCAGGTCCCAACGCGGGTCTCGTAAACTACCTCAGCTGCAAAGCTTCGGCTGGGTCCAATTCACCCTATCCAATCTTGACAAAATTAAATGTGCCACTTCGAAAATATGTATATTTATATAATTATGATATATGAGGGGGAACAACTATATAAAGGACTGGAAAATATATGAAATATAATATAACTATATAACCGTTTAATTAAACCCCCTATATTTAGCATGGAACCCTCATCAACGGAGTCTGGAAGATGATTTTCCTTTTGGATACGGCCAGGATCTTCCAGCTCAGGACCGTGCAGTGTGTAAGGCCTCCTCATTGACCTGGTACTGATCCAAACCCTCGAAGCTGGCAGGTTGCACCTGGCACGGGACCACCTGATAGTGTGAATGCCCAAATTTCAATGGCCATGCAACAGGAAGCGATTTATTGGAGGTACCTATCATATATAAGGCCTACATAAGGCGTATGTAAGGGAATATCCTCATAAAATATGGTCTTATATGGATTTATATGGGTACTGTACGGTACCTCCATTTTAGGATCCTGAAATGCCCATTGAATATTGTGGATATCTTGGAGGGTTTCTGCACTATCATATCAAACATGTAACAATCATATTAACCGATCTGGGAGTTAACGCAACAAGACATGATGTACTGTGCGAATTGGCTACGTTGTGGAAAACAACTCATAGTGTTTTTTGGGAATGAAAACAAAATTTGTCTCGGCCTGATCCTATTCCAGATGTTCATTCACCAAACCGCTGGAACTGAAGTTCATATAGCGAGTGCTGCTTTCTGCATCCCCAGCAGTATGGTCCTATCAAGGCCATTTCACTGGGGGACGTTGAAACACCTTGGCCTTTCACAGTTCAAACTCATCCTTTCAAGACATCACATCCCTCCCATCCACCCTTACCTCGGTACCGCTATCTGAATTTTTTCCCCGTTGCACATAGACTGCCGAAGGCGCACGGCCTCAAGTCGTAATGGTTCCCAAGGAATCATAGATTGAACGTCCTGAGGTCCTAGTGCCCCACAAACATCACTGGCAGCCTACCTTATCATCATGTTTCTCCACGCTCTTATGGGATTATTGGGCTTACCCATGACCTTAAGTTGCCCCAAGCGTATTAGGACAGCACGTTCTTCTTTTGCAGTTTGGCAGCATCACCGAGGCCGACACCTTCAAACCAGGAAGCGATTTCGTCAACATAGACCTCATGGCCAAGCCGCGGCTGAGATGATTGGAAGGGTATCTCAAGTCTCTTGGGGCAAAACCTGAAGAATCCTGAAGGAAGAGAAAAAAATATGAAACAATTTTGCACGTTTTTACTGCCCTCGATAGTGGCCCGCGGGCGAATAAAGCATCAAGGAATCTGCGACTGGCCTGGCCGCACTACGGCACTAGAAGCGCTGAGATGCTGGCCACCTCCTCAACACCGTAATGTTCTTGAATATCATCAGCATCCAAAATCTTTCCTTAACCAGGGGCATGCAATTGTTTCTCTGGTTTTTGGCATTTAAATCTATGGGCAGAACACATGTCCGCATCCATCAATAAACACCAGGTTTTTTTTTGCCAAACTGGCCCTCCAGCTGGTAAGTCGGGCGAGCCGGATCAAGCTGATCTTGAGGGTCAAACCCATCCACAATTCGTACCTTGTGTTGCAAGGCAATCCATTGAAATTTTGACTTAGTGGACGGAACATTACCCCCAAATCATCCAGTAGTTGCTCCTGGTGTTGGTAATTTATACAACAACAAGAACAAAAACTAGACAATGGTTGGCCCGAGAGCGTAGAGGAGCAAGTTACTCAGGCGTAAGTATGAACACAATGTAATAAAATATGCAAGAAACACATTATAAGTAGAAGAAAAGGCAATGATAACAATGGAAAATGTAGCAGCTGATCATCAGAAAGATGAAAGAGGCAAGATGTCAAAATGTTAATATGAAAGCTGAAGAGACGCATTGAAGCATTTGTACTGATACAGAAGGAAGGCGAGACGATAAACATTGCAAGGGAGAGGCTGTATGAAGGAGACAGGGTGGTAGAAAGAGAGCGAGGAAAGGAAAGAAAAGATGGAGAAATATGGAGAAAATGTAGGATTTAAAATCATTTAAATATATAACACAAACACTTTTACACAGAAACGCTTTACACACCGGTGCTTTTACACGCAGACGCTCGTACGCAGAAACGCTTTTACACACAAACGCCTTTACACACAGCAACTTTTACACACAAACGCGTTTGCAGACAAGCGCCTTCACACACAGAAGCTTTTTCACACACGGATGCTTTTACACACGGACGCATTTGCACACACACACACACACTCTTTTTACATAGAGGCTTTTGCACGCAAACATTTTTGCACACACACACACGCTTTTATACACAGAGGCTTTTACACACAGACACTTTTACACAGCGACGCCATTGCACACAGAGACGCTTCTACACACATCCGCTTTTATACACAGACTCTTTCACACTGACGCTCTTACACACCCGCGCTTTTACGCACAAATGCTTTTACACCAAACGCTTTTGCACATAGAAACGTTGAAACACGAACGCTTTGACACAATTATATGAAGCTTGCACAAAGTATATACTTCCCAGTACTACTTCGTACTACAAGGCGAGCTCCTTCGTGCTGCTTTCTTTGGGGGGTCCCTCCAATAAGCAATAAGCAGGTCTTTGGAAAAAGAATTAGTCTTGGGCACTCATAGCTGCGAACTTCAAAGTTTATCCAGCCAGCGCAATGTAAGGTCATGTAAACTCAACCCACCACATGGGCACGCCCATTCATAGTGAAGTGGATGCAACCGTGTAAAAACATGTAAAAACAACCCCGCGTTAGCAAAACAGAATGGCCACACCACAAAACGCGCAAGCAAAAACGTATCGCTTTTTTGTGAGTCCCCTATCGTTTTAGGAGGTTTCCTGCAAAAACTAACATCCGATGCACGCTCCAAATCACTCCAATACATACTTAATCAACGCAAAATTTGACGGAGTCTCATATCGTATAGATTAATGTAATATTAATATCAAACAATATATATATAATGTTTGAAACCTGGACTACATAGTGACTACATGTACTCTCCAATGTTTACCATATAGTTATCACATTTGACAGTGGTCAAGGTGGGCCACCAGGATCCACATCGCTGAGGTCACTCCTGAGGTAATCTTGGTGCGAAAATGGTGGCCTTGCCAGACCTTGTGATATCATTGGGGTGGGTCAACACCCAACGACATAAGTGACAGAATTGGGGAGTCGCGGGCAAGTACTGGTAGAATGAACATATATGAACATATGTGAAATTCAAATCCATTCCAGTCATATCAGTCATGATTCAGTCATGTTTGATTTATCATGGGCAACTTACTGAAACGACCATCAAATCAAACACATCCAGCTGGGCTTCAAACTCGACATCTATACAGCCTGCCACGGCCGAGACATTGCAGCTTTACCGAATCAGTCTACATCTCAGATCTGCGCCTAGGTAGCCTGGTTCCCTGACCTTAGCAACGCGCCACTTGCCACGAGGAGTGCACAAAAGGTACCATCACCCCAAGCAGGCATAAAAATGGAAAAGAATTTGAGATTAAAAACCGGAAATGCCAAAAGTCTACTGTTTTCAAAGTAACTCGGTTGAATTCTGACTCTTGCGTATCATCGTTCTCACCAAGCAACAGTTTAAATTGAAATTGCTATGCCTAACATCACCTCCAAGTGGCCATCCCTGAATTGGCTCCACCAGCCTCAAACTTCGCTCAGGCCAGAACTCCGAAGAGATAATGAAAGGTGCTTTCCTGTCGGAAGATGTCCTGCCACATCTCACAGGAATGTCAGCCACCTTTCCCGGGGAAAAGCCAAATTAGCAAATGGCCAATTTGGGCATCAAATCAACCAATGGCTTTCACAAACCGCCAAGCTTTGCGCATGTTCTGAAGGATTCCAATGTTCATCGATTTTCATCACCGGATTTCACCAATGCAACTTGCAACATGGTGCAACCATGTAATATCGCCAACCCTTCTGAAGTAGCTGCCTCATGGTCAGTGTCGTGCCGCATGGGATCGTGGCCACCAGCAAAGAATAAAACCTGGATCCAAGCTGCAAAGCCTCATCAGTCATTTAACCAAATGGCGGCATAAAGTACTATAATGGTCGTAAAACAATAATAATACATCCCCAAAATGGGTGGTTTACTATTGTTTTAAAAACGCTTTTACTGTTACTCAATAATTTGTATGTGTGTGTGTGAATCGGCGCTACTCAATAAGGTGTACCAGGACCGCTTGCACCGCAGAGGTCCCAGCTCCGGTTTCAGCAACTTCCGATCTGAAACGCTCCACCAACGCCTTTGCCATCGATAGGTGGCACCATGTGGCACCCGATCGTGGAAACGAGGTGGAACTTCAGTGGGTGTAGCACTCGAAAATACTCGAAATTCTAAATCCATCATCGTCTGAAAGCAACCTTAGACTGCCTTATAATATCTTATAATTCGGTTTTTTGAAGACCAAAGCACTATATACAGTCTGTGCCTTCATGACTGATGATGGACCAAGTTTCTCCCAAATCCTGGAATTCGTTAAACAGGGTGGTCAACAAAAAACAAGTGAAGGAACAGCTCCTGAGAAGCACAATACATCTTAAAATTTGAAATGAGAACCGCTGTGATAATAATGGATCATACTGATCATACTGCCAAAATCCATAAACCTTCATCAACTGATTGCATACAAGCACTGCAGAAACCTGGCAGCAAATCCGCCACAATATCTCACAGTCATATTTAATTCAATCCCGAAACAGAAACAGGATACCTTTCGCCGTAGGGATTAAACGGGATTTTCATTGGCCTACAGTGTTCTCGGCAAATGCCAATGTACGTCGAGGTGGTTTCAGTAAACCCACAAATCGCTTCCAACGAAGCCATTTCTGGTAAAATTGGAGATGGCTTGTTTCCATTTGTTTCCCATATTCAATGGATTACGCAGGTTGACTTGTGGGGCCACCCCACTGACATCTCATTGCCCAAATTTGCCCAACCTCTCGTGCCAACTGGTGGAGCTGCGTTGAAAAGACCTTGCTGGGCATGATACGTTATCAAAATAAAGGCTGTAACAAAGCAATAGAAAAGAATACAGCAAAATTGTCTTCAAGAAACACTCCTGACAGCTTAGGGCCATTTCGGGCTTGGTGAGTTGTTGCTTTGCTGTTGCTGAACGGAGACTCTTTCTACGGAGGAACCACTGCAAAAATGACTGAAACAAGGCGGGCAGTTGCGTGAATATCGGAGAGCTTATACAATGGGCACGCAACATGAACAAGCAAGCTGCGTTGCTATCTCCTAAATCAACTGCCTGAAACTATCATAAATAAATGACCAGTAACGTCCACAACTATCCATAAACCTAAGATTTCTAGGCTGCAGATACCCCAACAAGTAGAAGTAGAATGAAGTAGGGGACCCTGAATACGCAGTTGCTGCAGCTGAGGCACGGTTCCCAGCGGTCTGCCTGGGGCCTGCCATTTTGCTTCCCTTGGTGATTTTGATTCTTGTGATACTTTGTAATGTCCCTTGATGAATGGCTCAACTAGCACAGCGGCCGCACATTCTCTTGAAGCTCATCCTCTGTCTTCCAGGGGCTTGAAAATTGCCGGGGTGAAGGTTGCAAATCCCATTCTGGGAGACTGAGCATTGAGAGCTTCATCACTTGATCCAAATTTCAGGACATCCTTGGTTAAAGCAACTTCCCGAGATGGCACCAGGGCCATGCTTCGCAGGGCCCTTCTGCTTTGGCAGCAAGGCCAGGGTATGTACTGGACCCCCATGGAAGAGGATGCGTCCAACCCATCGTAAACACAGAGTATAGATCGTATAAACAGTTGTTGTCAATGAATTGGTGGAAAAGGACCCGCAGTCAGTAGTTGAACTTTGCCTCTCTCCTGACAGGTGGTCATGAAGGTCGTGGTTTTCCAGAGCCAAGGCCACAGAAAAGTTTGCGTCGCTCCCGTCTTGTGACTACACAGCCACTCTTAATTATTCCACTCTTCTTAAATAGAGCTGGCCCCCTGACTGAACCTGACTGGACCCGACTGGCCCTGACTGGACCTGACTGAACCTGGACCACACCCATATCCCATCCTCTTTTGGAGAAGTTTGCTCTTCAACTTCTTATCCTGTAGTCGCTTTTCATTCGCAGCTCTCCTTGGAGAGTCGCCCATGAGACATCGGCAGGTCATTACTTGAGTCATTACCACTACCCTCTGGTAAATTAACATAGCTATTGAAAATGGCCATTTATAGTGGATTTTCCCATTAAAAATGGTGATTTTCCATAGTTTGGGGACAGTTTACCAGAGGGTAAACGGTGACGACTAGAACCCACAACATCGGCAAAATCTCTCGCCGGATCCACATGATCCACACTGAGTCAATGGCTTTGCGCGGCGCATCTTGTTGACCTTTGCTTTGTCGGGCATCTTGGGCTTAAATGCAGCCTGCACAGGGTGCAGTGAAACCCTGCAGTTAACTGATGCTTTGCAGCCAGATGCATTAGGCCATTAGGCAACCAATCTTTCACTGGCAGCACAGCTGTTCATACTCCGAAGCCAACAGGCCTTGTCGATCATGCCCTGCAGCTTTTGCATGACCTTAGACACTAGTATGGGAATGTTTCTGGGATGCCCCGCAACATGAATACAGTACCCTGGTGAAGCTTCAACGTAAGCGAAAACATAGTGTATGACGACTTAGAACATTAAACGAACACTTCTAGGTGCTTTGGAGGGCACATATTCTGCAACTGCTTTCCAAAAATCCACAGACCATTAAAACTTAAAACCCAATCAACATTGGATGGTTTCGCAGGATTGTGGACTGCCAGACAACTGCAAAAGGGCATCCACTTACCTCGCCAATCAAACTAATCCTACCCATCCTCAGTATGTCCATTCATGTCCATTCCAATCCAAACCAAGATACTATTCTGAGATTGTCCTGCCTCGTTCTTTGCTCCTGCACCACAAGCAGCGCGTGAGGATCTCTTGTTGCAACCGAAACCATCAAATACCATCAACCGGGCGTCTCCCCTCCTCGCAGCTGACGATGAGAACCCCATCTTTGTTGAAGCGATTCACCTGCACGGAAGCTGAAAGCAGGTATGACTGGTTGGATTTCACAATCTATCTGTCTAATCTACTCTCATCTAATCTAGTCTATAGTCTATAAATCTATCAATCAATCTATTAAACTATCAAACCACATCAAACCATCAAAACATCGATCTATCAATCTCTATCTACTGCATATCTATCTATCATATCTCTCTCTCCCTCTCTTGTTTTTTTTCTAATGCCCCGCTTGTGTCCGATGGTCAGCCCTTTGGGCTCCACACAATCTCTGCGTTGCATGGCTGCATATGTTTTTCCAAGAGCTGGCTCCAGTGGGCCTGTTGCTTGCGAAGGTTTTCCTTCACCCAGTTGGGTAGAAACTTGGCAGTGCCCACATCAAAGCCTAAGGTGTGGGGACAGGGTCCCGGCAGATTGGAACATCTTGGAGACTTGGGGTTACCTGTTCATGTGCTACATTGTGCTGCTGAATTTACTGCAACCTTACCATGCACAACATACCATTTGGATAAATTTGGATATGAAGAAGCATTCTTGCCCAGCAAATTTCTTCAAATAAACTGGCATGACAGAAATTATTGAGCCTCTGACTTGCCTGCACTTTGGTTTCCACCTGGATCAGGGGCAACACCAATGCCAGGTGCAGTGGCTTCCTTTGGCATCCAAAGCCGAAATGGATGCCAAATGATGACATTTTTCTTGTAATTGTTGTGTTGGCTGAATATGCCACTTCCCATTCCCGCCAGCGATCAGCCTTGTTGACGTTTTGACCTCCTGGTCCGCTGCTCCGCGAATATGAGAGATCCACCTTGGAAGGAGATCTAGCGCATGATCTCTGAAAGGCTCGCCATCACGCTTCTCCTCCTCCTCCTCCTCATCATCATCATCATCATCCCATTAAATCAATCACCATTCTGATCTCACTAAATCACCATTTCGGTTCTGTGTTTCATCTACCATCCGAAGCACCTGGACTTCCAAGGCACGTCGTCCATGCTAATGCCACGACTGGGTGGCGGCAAATCCTTCGCCTTCTTCGCCAGCTCTGCGGCTCTTTCACCTATTGGTATCTGCAGCTGAGAATGACAGGTTGATAAAAAGTGAATGTGGTGTTTTCTAATCATGAATTGATGTTGACGTAGATTGATGTTGATTGATGTTTCATGATTTTCGGATGAAAACTTACCGGTTGATTGATGTTGACTGGATTGATTGTTGATTGGATGGATTGCTGGTTCTTTTTGCCGATGAATGTTTTTTGTTTTTTTTAATAACATTGATGGTCTTTGTAGAGCCACATACTTATAAGCGTGCCCATACACTGTTTGTTGACTTCTTGGTTTCTGGAGCTTTGGGTTGACTTGAGGACGGTTTTGGATTCAATGTGGTTCTAGGATGTTCCAATGCGAAAGTTGACGCTACATATACTGTATATATACATATATAATATTCGCTAATTAGCATGGAATTGGAAAAGTGGACGGTTCAAGCTTGGCTTGCATCCCAAGGTGAGAGAACACAGTTTTCATTGTTGGTGGTAAGAATTCCAGCGATGGGGCCGCAGCTCAATGCAAAGGGCAAGAAGATACAAAAACGCTGACTCTTCAGGAAGAATACCAAACAGATTGATTAAACATGATCGTGGTGTCATCTTACCTTTAGTACTATATATATATACAATTGTGACCACCTGGCTAAGCAATGTAGCATTTGAACAAATCAATAATCCCAAATCCCAAGCGTTAAATATCCACAGCAAATTCGCTCCCAGCCTGGTGTTGCTCTCAGGCTACGAGAGCTACGGGACCACTGGACGCTGCCCACGAAGTCAACGTCTAGAAATTCCTGGAGCACAATGCCCATTTTTCGTGGAAGAACCAGTTGAATCAGTTGAGGAGTTGTGACTCCATAGCAAGCCGGGGCTACTACAAACTTCCATAAGTTGTCCTGGGAGGCTAAGGCCAGCATCAGCCACACAGGCCATGGCACCGGAGGCTTGGCCATGCTGGTTCCCTGATTGGATGAAAATCGTTGATGTCTCTTTTAAGTTGTAGCATGTTGTAGCCATCTCAGAAAAAATGAATCCACGGTCCATGCTAAAAAAAAAGACCCATCTTGCCCAAGCATAGTCTTCATCAATATCTACCATCTGCTTGCTGCAGGTGGCCACGTTCAAAAGTTCTGTCCATGTCGATGCAGAGGCTTGCCAACGTGGCAGCCTTGAAAGCTAGAGCCAAAGATAAGGCCAACAGTCGGGCCAAGTCCGAGTGGAATCACGAACCAAACCACACCGAGCCCAGGACTTGGCCTCCAGAAAAGTGGCGCAAACGCTGACACAGGAGCCAACCTACACATGTTTAAATACATATGAAAAAATCTGAGCAGCCTTCCGACCCTCCAAAACAAGGGCCGGCCTCTGGTCCTGTGCTGTATCCTGACAATGGCTCACCCGTGGCTAAAGAAACAGGAGAAGCTATGGGTCCATGAATGTCCGGCTACTGCGTAGCCCCAAAATCAAACGGTTCCCCCACAAAAAATGGCAACCATCTGTTGAAGTGATTCCAGTTATCCATGATTGTCACGGGTTTCCACTTCCGGGTCATGCGCCAGGGATCCAGATTTCAGACCATACCCATGTCACGGCAATATGTGGCTTGGAGTTGCTATGCAAAGGGGGCAAAAACCATCTGAGATCCAGGCGGGCCATTCTTTGGCGCTGGGACTGTGTACTTCTGCTCTGCCTGCATCAAGGAGCAGCTTCAGCATCTAGTCTAAGACCCCAAAACATGAATACTGTAACCATAGCATACCATAGTCGTAGTCAGTGGAGGAACCCAATGCTTCCTGTAGCCCGTCTCTCATCATTCACCCGCTCGGCCCGTCTGGGTGATCGCCGCCTTCGTCGGCAGAGGCCAGACCTGCCACCATTTCTGCTGGGTCAAAGCTGGTCAAAGCAAGGACTCCAGTAGTGGCTTCAAATATATTCCTCAGAATCCTCCATATTCCAGTAGTTATCATGGATATAGATGGATATATATAACTGGGGGTATAACATGATAATTATCATGGATATAGATGGATAATTTCTGTATATCATGTAATAGATAGCGGGTTATAACATATATATTAACATCTTACGCTCGGGGTTTCGGCGCCCATCAGCTCCCGTCATCTCTAGCCCAAATAGCGGGCGTGGCCTGAGACAGGAAGCACCCAAGACGCCTGGCAAAGGGCGCTTCCAAAGTGAACTTTAATTAATATAATTAGGTGTACAATAACATAGTTGATATATGTTTATATGATAAACATATGCACGTAGTCACCATCATTATTACATGCTTATTATATCTCATTCTTATAAGTAACAGTTGATCAACGCGCGCCACGATCGATCTCAGGAGTTCCAATCGTGGGCGCTTGGGCAATCGTTGAATCCTTGCTGAGGGTTTTGCGGCCGTTGACAGCTATGATTTCCCAACGTTTAGGATTTTTTTCCCATAGGATCCATGTATGGTATATATGGTAACATTTACCATCAATATATCCCCAATGTTAGCATATATACCATACATGGATCCTATGGGTTAGGATTTTTTAGGATTTGTTTTGCATCACTATGCATCACTGCACCTCTCTTTAAGTCATAACATCGCCAGTCATTGCACCTGCTGGTGCTTGCAACAAACAGGACCACGTCGCTGCCATCGATCTTGAACCTTTGAGTGGACGAAGACAGGCGAAGCTGGAGAATTCGCCGATAGAACGGAGGTCATCGAATTAAGTTGCGTGTTCATTCACCACACCAAAACAGAAAGGCAAAAGTCCAGCAAATCCAACTGCTTCGAAACTCCAAACCCTGCAGCGAATTGAACAAGTAGCTTGCAGCAGTCAGTGGCACAGCATCTTGCGGCTGTTCTGCGACGGGGTTCCCACTGCGAGCTGCACCATGGGGAAGAGAAAGTCGTCCATGGTGTGCTGGCGCCAATAAAACCTCATCACTACACTGAGGCACCTGCAAAATCGCCGGTGGCCATGAAATAGGGGTTCTATGATGAAACTTGGTTGGACCTCACAAAAAAAGGAGCAACATGATGAACCTATCATAAGTTGAGGGCTGTATCTGGTGGTTGAAGCTGTTGAGCCACCCTACCCCCAAACATATTGATCATTTAGATCATTTGGGACTATCCCAACGAGGGCTTGGAATCAAACATGAAACCACCAACCAGATTCAAATCTTTGACTTGGGAAACAGCATCAAACCTTGATATTTTCGCAGCTGTCCTTCCCTTGAGGAGGCGGCTGGGGCCAGGGCGGCCCCACTCAGTCGCACACCTGTCAGGAAGACTCAGATTGAATGCTTCTAGTGAGTATGGGTCAAACAAAATGAGAATGGTATGGACGCGTAACATACACAAACATGCCAAAACATGCCAAAACTGGGTTGCATGGCCGGTCTTGTTCGTGTCATTTCTTGACCTTTATTCGCTTGGCTCAGTGAGTTGTAGCAACCTATATCCGCCCCATTTGCCAGGACACGATCGCAGCTTGGGCACTTGGACCTGTCCCAATACTGAAAATAGATGAAAATAGTCCATTGAAAGTAGTAGTCCCATCAGAGTTTATCGTCCCACACATTGGATGAACATGGAATAAATGGATAAAGTAGATATCTATATACTGATAACTATATTATGGTAATCTATATAATAACACATAATAAATCTGTCCAACCTCTTACCAGTTAGTCGTTTCCTCCGGTCTCCACTTATTGTTCATCCCAAATCGTCTCAAACGTTCAGCCTCCCCGATGCATTCTCGGGGCAAATTTGAAGACAGGACTGATTGGAAACAATTGAGCCTTTAAGTTGCGGAATGACCAAAGACATTTGACTTCAAGAATAAACAATAAATCGACCAAGTGTCCGCACTCAAACCTGGCGAGTGGAGCCATGGACGCTACGTGAACCCAAACAAATGCAGAAAGTACTCAAAGCCTTGTGACCCAACACCAACTAATCTTTAGGCCTTTAGGCACATCAGGAAGCTCAAGGTGCACTCGATTTTTTCGCCCCTTTACTGATGGGGAACACACGTCGCCGTAGCTGATTTGTTCAGCATCCGGCATGTCAGCCTTGCCTGGCCCCAGGAGGCTCAAGACCAGCCCTCTCTGAAATCTAAGACCGAACCCACTGATGATTCCAATCACTGAATCACTATCTGCAGTGTCTTAGGCAGCTATGTCCGCACCATCTTACTGGGATGATTGATGATAGCATGTATTCACATCTATGATTTTCAAAATTTCAAGGTTGAAAATGGGACAAGTCAGCATCCCAAACTGTGACATGGCCACCTTCACCCTTGCAGATCAGCGGGTCACAAGTGCTTCCAAGCACCAAAATGGCCAAAAAGGGCCCAAGGCAATGGCAATGGCCCAAGGCAACCAGGGAAGTGCAAACGCCAGGATCGCAAGGCTCAATAAAATTCAATGACATATTATATTATATATATAATTATAGTTATTATTATATTAAAAAATATATACAGTAAAACATTGTAAAATAGCTTTTCGTAGTTTTTCCATGTGTTCCCGTAGCTTTCCATGTTTTCCACCTGTCATGATGGCTACCATTTTCTCATATCGTGTCATCCATTCACAAACTCCCAATAGGACCAGCCGGATCGGCATCTTCTCAAGACCAAGGACAAGCCATGACAAGCTGAGGCAAAGGGCATGGCCAGCTCTGATAGAATCTCAATACCCTCTGGTAAACTAACATAGCTATTGAAAATGGCCATAGAAATAGTGGATTTACCCATAAAAAATTGTGATTTTCCATAGTTATGTTAGTTTACCGGAGGGTATGTCTCGATATGTCTCAATGGTCTGATTGTGGGATCAATTTTTGGGGTTCCAGAGCTACCTTCATTGGATGTGGTGCAGTTCAGGTTGGCACATGCCCTCTCCAAGTGCCTGAAAACCGTATGAATTCCCTTAGCGTTCAGCCGCACCTGCCACAAAGATCCCAGAATCCCTTTCAGGGCACCGAGACAATGGTTGCCAGTTGCACTCTGGCAGCTGACAGGCCTTGCAAATGCTTCCGAACCACTTTTCTATATGCATTTCAGGGGGAACATGAGACGTAAAAATAGTTCTCACTGCTGCCGAGTTTCACAATGTTTCACAGATTTGAGGACTATGATTTTCCAGCTGACAAAAATAGAATCGGGTCAACTGAACCCCCTGGGAACATGGCACGAATGCTCTTTCAAGCTGGCTTGAAGGGCAACTCTGCACGCACAGAGCAATCCATCAGGCCATGTTGCCAGCAATTTTAGCAAAGGCTATGCGGCATATACATAGAGTATGGTAGAATATAGATAGGAATCACACATGGCACAAAATGCCCAAGATTCTGAGAGACTCACACCCTGGTCTCTACACAAGAAGTTTCTTTGGAATTGGAGCTGGTGAAGATGCTTGCCAGGCTATTGATGTGCACCACACGCTCACTCCGCTGGGCGGTCAGCACGTCTGGTGGTTCACTTCTGGCATCGCTCTTAAAGCTCTTGACACTCTTGGCCCTTTCATGTTTCGGGGAGGATCTCCGAGAGTCTCTCCCGGACATGGTGAATTGCTTGGCAAATCGGACCCTGTAGGAGTACAAGGCGCGCTTGTTGGAGCGCAGCAATTCTTCGTTTCGATCGTGGCAAGGGCAATGGCACAAGACCAGTAAGAGAAGTTCTCCAAGAGCCAAAGCCAAGAGGCATAGAAACGGCCAGCTCTCACCCTCAGATCCCTCAGCGGCCGAGGTTTTCAGCAGCTCAACCAGGAAGTAGACCAAAGCAAAGGGGCACAGCTGCAGAATGCTGAAGCCAACGATGAGGAGCCACCTGTGGGGCGCCCTTGGGCGCCCATCCAAACCAACTAGTCGCTCAAGATATGTTAAGATCATCATCCCAAGAATGAAATAGGATTAACTGGGATTGAGAGGAGACAAGAAATGGACTAACTATACTAAGTACATCTAAGATCATCTAAGTACATCGTTACATCGATAATGATATAATTCCATGATATTCTATGTTTTTTTCGCATGCATTGTAAACTGGAAACCACCAACTAGTTATCCCTGGTCGCATCGCGCCAAGTCGCTGCTGCAAGCCGGTCACATCAAGACATCTCTTGGTAAGCCAAAGGAGGAAGGTGAGGCAAACCAAAGAACACAGGGCCAAGGCGATCAATCCTGTCACTTGGCAACTTGGCTGGCTTCGGCATATCTATATATATCTATCTATCTATCTATCTATCTATAACATATCCATGATTCAACCGGTTGGAACCTTAAGTATTATCCGGGCCATGGCTACCATGGCTACCATGGCATGGTCAGTGGCTGTCCTGTGGCACACATGGCCATGGCCAGTGGCTCGCTATAGAGGTATGGCGCGGCCGCCACGTAGTCCAAGATGTTGGTCATCAAAGGGAGCAGGATGACACAGAGATAGCGCACCGGGATACCCCAACCTGCGCAAGATGGGCAAGTTTCCCTCTAAAACACTATTATAAATTATAATATCTATTAATATACTATATAATATAATTAGTTACATTAGAAAGAACATGAAAGAACAGTACCATTGGACCATATGATTCCACTTGATGTTTGAAGAAAAGAAGAAGTTGGCCAAAGGAAACAAATTGTGCAGAAAGCCACATGCATAGGCTGAAACACATATGTCACATGCACGGTTTTTCGGCATCCAGAAGTCACCACTTGGTCGCTCAGCCAAGCCTCCCAGGGATTTGGTGACGGCCATTGGCACTTCGGTCTTCACCAATTCGTTGAAGGCTAACCTGTACACGACATGATGCGAATGCCGGATTGGGTAAATTGACCCTGTTAAACTGTTATCATGACCTGAAGTCATACACCTTGAGATGGTTGTCAATGACGCATTTACACACATAGATCGGGTTCGCCGCAAACCATACACCTGGTAAGTTTTGAGATATCAAAACTTAAACATTTAAACCCCATAAATCCATATAAATCCCATAATTTATATGTACCTATATATAGCCTATACACAGATCTACAGCGTATATACTATACATCATTTACGCTGGTAAAGCACCGGTGATGTGACCTCCCTGGACCCAGCCGAGCAACAAAGCATCCTCATCCGTGGCAGCAGCAGTCACTGCCTTGGTGTCTCTCATGTACCTGGCATCCCATGGCATGGGCCATGGCACTGGGATGCAGGAAACATGGCACTGTTTGGAACTTGAGGCAACCAAAAAAAATGGGAACTGAACAGCCTGATGTTTGTGAAGGACGTTCAGAATGCTTAGAGAAACCCGGGGCAGTATTTGCAGGCGCCTTTACCAACATGACCACTGGAGAACTGATCAGGCCACTCACTCAGTCGTGTCATTTACGGTTGAGGAAGAGTTCCCGACCAAGTGAAGGGGCCAAATGAAGTGAAGAGAGCCCAATGCAGCTGATGTTCGATCAAATCAGCTAAGCTAGAACGAGCCAAGTGATGTTGTAAAAGAAAAGGAATCTCATCAGCCATCAACCATTACAATGACTTCTCGCCTTGCGATGTTGGCATAGACCATAATTCCTGGGCCAACCAGTCTACCACACTTGCACAATTTGGGCAGGGAAATCCACCAAAGCAATCTTCAATTTTGGGATGACTTTTCCACGTGAAGGTCGGCTCAAGCGGGGGCTCACCTCACTAGTGATTCATCTATGGCGGAGCAGGACTCCCAAGTCATTCTCCCTGCTAGGAGCATTCACCTTTTCTCAGCCCCCAATTTAGAATTTAGTCCTGCAGGTTAGAATTCCCCTATAAACCGATGTTTATTTTGTGGGAAAATCATGGAAAATCCTCTATAATTGGGTGGTTTTCCATTGCCATGTGTGATTACCGGATGGAAGTTCTGAGGAGGCCTATCTGATGCTAGGCATCACTGCATCCCGGTTTCGGTCAGACTCCTTCAGGCAGTTTGCATCACCTTGGGCATGTCACATGGCGATATGGAGCTATACAAGCCGGGGTGCGAGCCTCACAAGTTCAAGGAGACCCAGATGTTCCCCTTCTCAAGCTGCTAATTCTGTGTGGGATATATCTGTATCTTTCTCTCTCTCTCTCTCTCTCTCTCGCTCTCTCTCTCCCTCTCTCCATCGCGTCTGCATCTGTTCATATCTGTTCTCTTGGTGCATCTCCATGGGAACGTCAGTTGCACCTTCCCAGTTCTCCACCACATTCAATTTGTGGTTCTAGTTTCAGCTTGTCTCAAGTAATTCAATGCAACCAGGTGGCCATAATGAAACGTCCTGAAGACGTCGCTGGGACCGGATATGTCACAAGCACTCAATGGTGGGTGGAATGGTGCCAAGTTAAAGCTAAAGCGGGAAGGACACACATATCCCTCAATTATTAGAGTTATCTGTGGTTTATTGTTGCTTCTACCTTGGGATGACACCATGTTCCAAAATGCATTTGATACCTGGTCCTTGTATGAGTTGCTCTTGTATCAGTTGCTTTTAATCTCCATTTCAACCCAAGAAAATATGGTCGTCCATCCAAATCCAACCTATTGATGCCATCATATGCCATTTTCATCCATGTTCCATGATTTTCCATGATTTTCCCCTATAAATAGAGGTTTATTTGTTGGTTTAGTTCGGGAAAACCATCGAACTGGCGCTTCATCTCGATCTCGCTGCCTGATGTTCTTCAGCATCTGCCGCTCCGCCTTGGCCCAGCTACGAAAGGCCCAGGTCACGGCCAAGAGCAACGGAAGGTCCAGGATGCCAATGGCCAGCCGCGCGTCAGGCAGCAGCCGTTCACTATGTGCCTGGACCTGGGAGGATGTGAGGAGAAAATTGCCGAAGTCGTGAAGTGGCAGACATCATAAGACATCATAAGACATCATAAGAACTCATGAGATAACACAAATCACGGTCCATTCATTTCAATTTATTTTATTTCATTTCTCCAAATATACATATATGTATATATATATATATAAGTTAGTTAGTTATAGTTATGATTTAATGATGTGTATATACACTTATTGTTGTTGTCATTTTGTTGATGCATCGTATCCATTTATGAATTGTCCAAGATGCTCCATGTGTTGTTTTGGCATGTTTAGGCCTTTCATGGCCTTTCCAAACACAAACTGCATCCAGCCGTCCTCCCTTTTTCATCCTTTTTCAACACCTAGCGTCCTTTGGCACCAGGAGCACTTGCACCCAAACGCAATGCAGCATCAGCACGGGCACTGCCACGATGGTACAGCGGATCAGGAAGGTGGGCAGAACGACCAATCTTCTTGGACCCCGCTTTGGAAGGAAGGTCGCCAACTCGTACATGGTCCAAAGCCTGGGGGAAACTCCATGTTGGATGACTTGGATTTGCTTAGGCCATAAACAATAATTAACCAATATAACCAAGAGGGTGGATTCATGTGGTTCACCAATGGGAAAAAACACATCGTTTCCAACATCTAGGATGAGGATGAGACAGTACCCCCATGGGACAAACTAGTCTTTGCCTTGGACACCGGAAAATGGAAGGCCAGGAGGACACCATGAGCACGGAACATCCTTACCAATGGCCAATGGTTTACCAATGGGTCTGTCAGTATTTCCGAACCCTCAATCGCAAGGAAGCGATGCCCTAACAGCATCCAGTCTGGCCAAGATCCAAGCATTCCTTCCAAATCCCCGAATCAACTTCCAAGCAGCTTCTTGGTGTAAAGCTCCGAATAAACCACCTAAGTTTCAAGGCTAAGAAGCTTCCAAAAGCTTCCAAAACCCTTGCAAATCGCTAAGTTTCAGATGGGTTCAGATGATTCCCTAGTGCACTCACACAAAAACGATGCCGCAACGATGCCCCAAGCTCTTTAGGGAATATAAGCATGTACTGTACTACATACAATTCGAGGCACCAGCATCTTGTCAGACAATTGCAAGAACACATCCAGATGTTCTATGCCTTGCTGTTTCAAGTCTTCGTCGTTCTGGTGAATACAGCACCGGTCCAGGAAAACGCGCTTGCCACGGCAGCAAAATAACCATTTCACATCGTGCCAAAAAAGAAGACAAAGCCTCAGCGCATGGACGTGAAGAATCAGACGGATGTTCCTCCTCCCGAAATTGGTCCAGGGCCAAAAAGAGCAGCGTAGCAATAAGAAGTTGATGCTTCTTGGTTTAAAAGAGTCTGGAATTCAAGATAGTTGCACATGGCTAGTAACTACAGGGATCATTGTGTTCCAAGATGTTCCAGGGTGCACCTCGTCTGCCAGAAACACCATGTCGATTTCAACCACAGCCAAAGAGGTGTAGAGCTACAATTGCGCTTCAGCGATCTGACAACATCTGAGACTGTTTCTTTCCGGCGCCAAGTAGCCAATAGGTAGCGATACACACTGCAGTGCCCAAGTGGCAGATAGAGTAAAGGTCGTTCACTCGTTCTTCTACATCAATGTCCTTTGCAGACAGCATCACCAGGAACACGGTGACAATGTAGGCAATGGCTGCTGCGATGGAAGCACTATTGTGGTTGAAGTGAAAGACCAAAGCCTGACGACAAAAGTGACAAGACTATGGCCATGTTAAAGGGCCAAAACCCCAAAACCGTGTAAATACCGCGTAAAAAGTGTCAAGTTCCATGTTAATCTCTGAAGTTGCCAAAATCGTGATTTTTGAGCTTAACCTGGACTATCCCGCACCAGAAACACCCCCCAATTAACATGGACATGTTTTTTGTGCATGTTATTTTGCCAGGGAGTATATTATATGGGCACTAGAATATCATGTACACTGAATGTACACAATGCTGGGGGTCAAAACTAAACATGACAAGTACAAGTTTTATACGATCCGCAATTCCTGCAGGAAGTGTAGACTCAATAAGCAAGCCATCAGTTGGAAAAGATGCAAAGATTCATTGGAGCTCTTTGTGACCCCTGATTCACGACGTCCAGATTTATGTCCCTTTCCTGCTGCGTTTCATGAGTGCAACTAGAAGAAGCAAAGGCGTGGTCAATCTTGCCTGAACCAATGGGACTACTAACAATGGGCATGTGCCAAAATTTGGGTAATTACCCCAAAATGTAATTTCTATCAATGCTGCAGATTTTACACGTCCCATACCCAAATCCTGCCCATTGAGCAACAAAATTGTTCCACATGCCGAGCAGCCATGAACTTGATGAACCGACCGGTGGCCCAGTTGTGCGAGATGAAAACATGAAGTTTGTGGGTCGTATCCTGACAGCCGTGCAGGATCACACAGGATTGACGTAGGGTTCCATGAAATTCGCTATCATTCTCCAAGTTTGAATCGAAAGATGCCAAACACACACACACACAAACATCGCAAGATCGAATCGCCATCATTTGCCATCTGTGGTGGGAGTGGGAAAATGAGAAATATATATATATATATATGTATATATATATGTATGTATATATATATGTATATATGTATATATATGTATATATATATGTATATATATATGTGTGTGTGTGTGAATAAACATACAAATACCAAGAATTATAGACAATGAATGACAATTATAAAATCAAATAATCAGTTGCCGTGGTGGATTATAGAATGTAAATCAGTCATATTGTCTCCCAGCGGGCCGAGGAATACGCCTAGATCTGGCACAACATGAGCCGCCTATCCTTCTTCGTCTTCAAACTCTAACATGCTTTAACCAACAGGCGATGCCTGTAAGTATCAGCACAATGCAACAACATGACAACGAATGCAGGCTATCATGACCCATCATGCCCAAACAAACAAATCTACCCTCTGGTAATTTAACATAGCTATGGAAAGATCCACCATTTTTTATGGGAAAATCCACTATTTCTATGGCCATGTTCAATAGCTATGTTAGTCATAACCAGAGGGTATAGTGAACAGCTGTTGATTTTGAGGCCACAAAACAGGGCACCGGATGCCAGCGGTGACTCTTGGCACCACCAGGTATATCGAGGTACACCAATGGGAGCTCACAAGAGCTACTAGATGATTTCCTTATGACTGGTTGGTGGTTTTACCCTCTGGTTATGTCAACAGTTTGCTATTGAAAATGGCCATAGAAATAGTGGATTTTCCCATGAAAAACGGTGATTTTCCATAGTTACGTTAGTTTACCAGAGGGTAACCATCTTGAAAAATATTAGTCAATGGGAAGGATTATCCCATACATTATGGAACATAAAAAATGTTCCAAACCGCCAACCAGAGATGATTTCTTATGAGTATTCTGCTTGGTGGTTTCAACCCCAAATGCTTTCTCCAATACTTGACCCATCTTTTTTATGGTTTCTTCATTTCGTAGATGGATCATCATCCCAACAGACCACCGAACAGGTCCCGTTCGGGGCATTCCCATTCTTTCACATGCCCGACTTCGAACGATCTGGATCTGGGGATACCTGGGGCTGGTTGCCCAGCTTCTGACAGCTTGAAGGTGTCAAAACCATCAGGAAAATCGCGGAAGACCTTAGGAGGATTCCCCCGCAGTGACCCCACAAGGCGGTGATCGTTCATCTTCGTTCAGTTTCCGCTGTGCACATCACATGCAACAAGGAGAACTGATTCGTTTCTGTTCACGTTCGGAAATGTTCCGCGGCACGGGCTGGTAGTTACGCAGATTTACTAGTCCCACCTGGAACAAGTACAGTGCGTGTAAACATGAAGCAACTGAAGCACCTCTGGCCCATGGCTTGAGGTCAGGGCCCGTCCAAAAGAATGAAGCACCACATAGTCTGGAGTGCTGCGCAAAAGGTTCTGGTTTGACATGATCAAACTCCTCCATCGAACCTGACAAAGCTTCGAGAAGAAAAGACCCCCCCATGCTCTTCAAAAAAGTTCAAAGGAGAAACACTGCCTCTATCCAAATGGGGGAAAAATCTCGAGTTAAAATGTGTTGCATGGATGAGGGGGGATCCTACAAACTCCTGTCAAATGGGTCAGCACACATTCACGGAGTAGAAAGGCTTAGTAGAAAGCAACAAAGCTACCAATTTATTCCGCTTCAGAATTTGGTCAACTAATGGTCAACCACTATCCTTCCCTTCCTCGCCTGGTGGGGCTCTATGGTTTCATTGGTCTCTACCTTGCCAAGAGCGCGGAATTAGTAGCTCTGCAGTGCAAATAGTGACATCAATGGCTTCTGGAAAATGAGCCATCAAAATTTGATGCCTTCAATCTGACGACGTTCATTCGCACAACCAAGAGGTACAAATAACGATATTTTGGGGGGATTCCGAGAAAAAAATTGCCGCCAGGGGGCTTTGCGATAGTGAGAGCTGGCACCTGAATCATGGCTCAGCGGATCTTCAACCCGTTTAACGCTCCACTGACTATGTCCATTTGATCCTGATGGCCTAGCTAAAATCTGCGGAGCATGATGCATGTGAGACAGCTTGATATTCTACATTATTGGTAAATAGTTTACATATATTGCATATTATATATATTTATATTTATTTTGTTTAACTTCTATATATATATATGTATATATATATATATTTATGTGGTAGAACAGGAGATTTGGCAGATATTGGCAGATATTCAACATCCCAGGACGGGGCCTCTGGACGTGCGTGACGTGGGTGTGGCAGCTGTGGCAGCTGTGACAGCTGTGACGCTGAGCGTCCCTGTGGGCAAACTCCTTACAGGGCTCACCTCTTCCATGGCGGCACGGTGCGCCACGCTCTCTGGGCCACGTGGCTACAGCATGCTATAGCCGAATTGAAAAAGGATGGAAAGATTGGAAAGGGGGACTTGCAAACACAACAGTCACCACAGTTGCCACCGGGCATGTGATCTTTACTCTCTTAGTTGTCTCTCTAAAGTTGCGACTCTCTGAAGCTGCAACCCTGTAAACGACTGTTGTGGGGACGGGTTTTGACAGACATCTCGCCACAAGCTTGGAGTGGTTCGTGGTGAAAATAACTCTGTCAATCTGAATGTTTGGGGTTCGAACCCAACCTGAAGGACCTGGCGCCAACAAAATCCATTAAAAAACCTTTCCAAGTCGTAGCTGGCTTTCTCAACGCGAGCGAGCTCAGGCCCAGCCATGAAGCTGTAAAGATCTACATTTAACATGATTCAACGGCCTTTCTCCGTGTTTTTTTTCCTTGGTCATCTACGGTCATGAATGCGCGTGAATGGTCATGAATGGTCATCTATATATATGGTCATCTTTATCTTGTTTCCTCTCTTGCTTCCACGAGACCCACCAGCAATACGATGCAGTTTTTTGCGGCCATTTTGCTCAATTTGCATCTCCGATAATCTCTGAATAGATTGCTGTCGAAGCATGAAAATTGTTCGAAACCTTCCAATCCCAGACAAGTCTGGCGGCATTAAGCGGCCAGCCTTTCTGGGCGGCAAAGAAAAAGGGGACGACACTTCTGTTCGACCGGAAAGAGCATGCTGTGACCATTGGTGACCGCCACCTGACAGGACCACCATGGACGACCTTGAGGACCCTTGTCTCATGCTGACAATGGGCCCTCCTCCCTAGGCCAATGTTGTTTTTCATATCATGGTAACAATCCCGGAACTGGTGTGACCGGACAAAAATCCGAAAACCCTCCGATTTTGGAGTTCTAATGTAAAAACAATATATATGTATATATATATATATATATTACATATATTATACGTATAGAAACCATGTAAAAACAATGGTTTGCTGTGATGCTTCATTAAGGTCCTTCCATAACAAAACGACGCTGCATCCGTCGCCTCAGGAAGCAAACCGGCGGGCAGCAGCCTGTCGTGCACGCCGTGCGGCGCCCTTCACGTCCTGGGCACGGCGTGCACCATGGATATTATATATATATATGATTGATTGATCAATATGTCGTTATCTATAGTATGATCATGTATGACCTATAAATAGTGGATAATATGGATATATTATTGATAATAATCATATAATATTTCATGTAAGTATAGTTCATTTCATACCACAAATAAAATTACTATAATTACAATAAGTATCAATAATTTCCGCATCTTTAATTACAAACAAAAACTATAAGACTATAATTATAAGTTGTCTATTGTCTAGTGTCAATCTCCCGGTAGCGCAAACGATGCTTTTGGTATCTTTTGGTAGCTGTTCTGGCGGACAATGTCGGATATGTGATATGGATTGATATGCAGCATCTAGCGCCAAATTCCTGGTGCGTTTCCAGTGGCTAACTTGGATGGAATGGAAGGGAAATCTCCTGTATATATCCAGTTGAATCAAGACTCTTGGGCGAACAACTGTTTTTTTTCTTAGGACAAATCCCGACATATCTAATTGTTTTATAATCATCTACAGTCTATAATGCAATCCATATTGCTGAATTAAATGCGATGTTCAATACATGTCACAAAAAAGGTGAAGAAATGCTAAGAACATCACCTCTGGCTGATCTACTCAACTTTAGCCATCTATTGGATTCTAAAAGATCATCCGGATTTTTTATCAAGGTCTTCCCCAGCCAGGTAGGTCTCTGAGCTCCAGCTCAACTTCACCTGGGGCTCGGTCGTCCCAAGCCTTCTTCCAATCGAAAGACTGCGTGTCCCGGACTTCTTCCGCACCTCAGAAAACACAAAAACAAGATGCAACCCACGAACCCGAAAACTTCTGTGAAACAATTTATTTGAAGAGTCTTCAAAATTTTCCCCCTGTTTCCCTACCAGTGCACTGTAGACTGTGGAGTGCAGAAGAGGGCCGAGTGCAAAGTGCGCAGCGTGGAGTGTAAAGTGTAGTGTGTGGAGTGTGAAGTGTGGAGCTTAAAGTGTAGAGTGTGGAGTGTAGTGTGTGGAGTGTAAAGTGTAAATTGTAAAGTGTGAAGTGTGGAGTGTAGAGTGTGGAGTGTGGAGTGTAAAGTTTAAAGTGTGGAGTGCAGAATGTTGAGTGCAGTCTGGAGTGTAAAGTGTAAAGTGTGGAGTATAATGTGTAAAGTGTGGAGTGTAAAGTGTAGAGTGTAAAGTGTGGAGGGTGGAGTGTAAAGTATAAAATGTGGAGTGTAAAGTGTCAAGTGTAGAGTGTAAAGTGTAGAATAGAATGTGAATTGTGGAGTGTAAAGTGTAAAGTGTGGAGTGTAAGGTGTAGAGTGTAAAGTGTAGAGCATGGAGTGTAAAGTGTAGATTGTACAGTGTGGAGTGTGAAATATAAAGTGTGGACTGTAAAGTGTAAAATGTGGAGTTTGGAGTGTAAAGTGTAGAGTGTGGAGTGTAGTGTGTGGAGTGTAAAGTGTAAAGTGTAGAGTGTGGAGTGTGGAATGTGAAGTGTAGAGTTTGGAGTGTGAAGTGCAAAGTGTAGAGTGCAAAGTGTAAAGTGTAAAGTCTGGAGTGCGGAGTGTAAAGTGTAGAGTGTAGAGTGTAAAGTGTAGAGTGTGGAGTGTAAAGTGTAGAGCGTGGAGTGTAAAGTGTAAAGTGTAGAGTGTGGAGTGTAAAGTGAAAATTGTGAAGTGCGGAGTGTAGTGTAGAGTTTCAAGTGTAAAGTGTGGAGTGTAAAGTGTGGAGTGTAAAGTGTAGAGTGTGGAATGTAAACTGTAAAGTGTGGAGTGTAAAGTGCAGCGTGTAGAGTGTGGAGTGTAGAGTGTAAAGTGTAAAATGTGGAGTGTAAAGTGGAGAGTCTAAAGTGTAAAGTGTAGTGTGTGGAGTGTAACGTGTAGAATGTGGAGTGTAAAATGTAGAGTGTAAAGTGTGGATTGTAAACTGTGGGGTGTAAAGTGTGAAGTGTGGAGTGTGAGGGTAAAGTGTAAGCGTGGAGCATAAAGTGTAAAGTGTGGAGTTCAAAGTGTAGACTGTAAAGTGTGGAGTGTAAAGCGTAGAGTGTGGAGTGTGAAGTGTAAAGTGTGGAATGTGGAGTGTAAAGTATAGAGTGTAAAGTGTAAAGTGTGGAGTGTGGAATCTAAAGTGTAGAGTGTGGAGTGTAAAGTGTAGAAGTGTAGAGTGTAAAGTGTAAAGTGTGGAGTGTAAAGTGTAGACTGTAAAGTGTGGAGTGTAAAGTGTAGAGTGTGGGGAGTGTGGAGTGTAAAGTGTGGAGTGTAAAGTGTGGAGTGTGAAGTGCAAAGTGTAGAGTGCAAAGTGTAAAGTGTAAAGTCTGGAGTGCGGAGTGTAAAGTGTAGAGTGTAGAGTGTAAAGTGTAGAGTGTGGAGTGTAAAGTGTAGAGTGTAAAGTGTAAAGTGTGGAGTGCGGAGTGTAAAGTGTAAAGTGTAAAGTGCGGGGTGCAAAGTGTAAAGTGTAAAGTGTGGAGTGTAAAGTGTGAAGTGTAAAGTGTGGAGTGTGAAATATAAAGTGGGGACTGTAAAGTGTAAAATGTGGAGTTTGGAGTGTAAAGTGTAGAATGTGGAGTGTGAGTGTGGAGTGCAGTGTGTGGAGTGTAAAGTGTAAAGTGTAGAGTGTGGAGTGTGAGGTGTAGAGTGTAAAGTGTAAATTGTGGAGTGTGGAGTGTAAAGTGTGGAGTGTAAAGTGTGGTGAAGTGTAAAGTGTGGTGAAGTGTAAAGTGTGGACTGTAAAGTGTAGAGCGTGGAGTGTAAGGTGTAAAGTGTAGAGTGTGGAGGGTAGAGTGTGGAGTGTAAATTGTGGAGTGCAGAGTGTGGAGTGTAAAGTGTGGAGTGTAAAGTTTAAAGTGTGGAGTATAATGTGTAAAGTGTGGAGTGTGGAGTGTAAAGTGTAGAGTGTAATTAAAGTGTGGAGTGTGGAGTGTAAAGTGTAGAATGGTACTCGCAAAAATACGCAACGCGACACGTCTGAAGTGCTTCCTTAGCCTGCCACGCAAATTTACGATATCTTACGATGGAGGTCTCCAAAGTGTTGCGCCTGCCACGAAAGATGATCCCCCATGATCCCTCCCTTTTTGGATCTTCGCCAAAATATATTCCACAAAACAAGCCCCTTTAGCTGGTGTTGCCCAGGCACTTGCACCAGCCATGGTGATTTGCCGATCTTCTGTGTCCAAGACCATCTTGCAACCGCAACTGGGCCGGGGCTGGTAAGGCGAATGGAATCAAAATGCCTCCCACAAGAGGGTTTTAGACGTTTACCCACGATCGATGCAAACACATGCGGCAGCTCTGACACCAGGCTTGCAACCGCTACCCGCCCGATCATACCATACCACACCCGACCATACATCCCACTCCAAGGATTCTTCCGACATTTCCACTGTAATTGATGCAAGTGGCTTCTCGCAGGAGTAGTTCACATTCTTCTGTGGTGCTGCCTTAGCACAGCTCCGCACACTGGTCACACAATATTGTACAATAATTAATGGTTTTGGTTCATCGTCTTAAGTGGTTACTGGGCTACTGCCTAACGGTGACATACGGAATGGAAAGGGCCTGTGTGGCAACATGTGGCAACACTGAAATTCCAACAGGAATCAATGGTGACCTGTGCCAGGTCAGATTGCCGGACCATCTGTTAGCCTCACCCTGCCCTGCTGCAATGCAGGCCCCCAAACTGCGGATAGCGTGCGTTGCTGTCCGTCACAACCATGCCTTCACCCCGCTGCCCCCCTGTAAATTTCTTCAGGTCGTTTCCACCAAAACCTCAAAGTTCCACGAATCATCACAAATCCACTGCTTTCACGCCAAGGTGCACCACCGGAAAACAATTTGATAGGATTATTGCCTGAGCTTCTGACTTGGAATGGCTGATTTGGTCGTTCAAACTGCTTTCTCCCTGTTGCCGTGCCGACTTGGTCCCTAGCGTGTCGTCCTTCAGTCATGGGAACATTCCTTAAGATTGACCCGATTTGACATGCAAGCCCACATGAGTGCTTCCACTTATAAGTATTAAATAATATAATATATATATATACCTGGATCTTCCAGGTATACGTTTTTTTGCTCTTTTACTGAAAGGCAGAAATTTCTGTTCGATTTTTACAAATCGCCTTTTGTCTTAAGAATCGCCTGTCGGAAAATCATGAAACTGAAACTGCCCTAACCAAATGACTCCACTAGACATGCTTTGATTTACCCAAATTACCTATTTATAAATACATTTTCATATATGCCTTGGTTTGCCCAAACTATCCCACCACATTTTTTGGTTGAAGTAGTTTAAGCTTAACCAACAATTATAATAATTATCCCAACAAGTTTCTTTGCTTGCACAAGCTATCCCAATGCATTTCTTGGTTTAGCCAATCTATCCCAGTAGAGTTTTTGCTTTGCCCAAACTATTTCATGTGCCTATCCTCAGCTGTCACACACCGGCTTGTTGCAATTGCAAGAGTTTGCTCTGGCTTAAACATGTTTGAATTTGGCTTTGGATGGGCTTCAACTGGAACATGCCCCGGCACCAATGGGAAATAATGCATAAAAAACGTTGGTCGCGTAAAGTCGCCTTTAAGTCGCGAAAAGTCGCCGCTGGGTCGGGAAAAGTCGCCCGCTCCGTTTTTTCTTTTGAGGGTTACAAGCTTCCAGACAGCAAAACCCAATTCAAATGCATTCCAACTAGTTTTCCCATTCTTGCAGGAGAGATCGAAATGACCATGCCTGGGCCTAGTGCCCTGCATTGGCCACAGCACAAAATCAAAGATATGGGAAACTAAGGATATATACATTGCAGGCAAGAAAGTGTGAGCTGTGCTACTGCCCTGTTTTGTTGTCAAACGGTTGCTTTGCAGTTTGGCGAAGTTTCTCAGACAAGTAGACCCAGTTTCACCCATAGATCTGAAGGAATTTGGTGAAAAGATTGCCTTATCTTTAGATTGGCATCTTTAGCCTAGAAAACATTGAGATACATGGAGAGATTTCTGTCACCATCAAAAGGTGGCCAGGCCCTAATTACTTGAAATCGCAAAAGTCGCCCGTGGTCGGGTAAAGTCGCCTTTTAACCACAAAAGGCAGAACACCCTAAAAGGGCAGAAATTATGCACATTGGGGAAGATGTAGGTATACATATCTATATGTATATAATATGTATATATATATTAATATATATATATTAATATATATAATTACAGCCGCAGATTGGTGTCATCCTCCACCGGAGAGGAGCAAGAAAACAAATGATTGCATTGGCAAGCGGCAAGAAGGGCAGTTGCCAACGAGGATCTCGGGATTTTGCAGGTCCAGAAATTCCAGAATCCTCGCTAGAGTTTCCGCACAAGACATCCCCCATCCAGCCCCATCCAGCCCAGCAAGTGGTTGTCAGAAATCTGGAATCCGAAGCATCAGCCAAGAATCCAGCTCGTCCAGAGAAGTCCTGGAGTCAGCAATGCCAAGTTCTTCAAACAGTAGTTTTTACGTGGGTTCACAGCTGTCCAGCTGTCCAACAAAATGTCACCTCTGTCTGTCTATACTCTATATCTCTTTAAGGGAAATTGTTGAATTAAATGGACATTGTTTAACCATCCCCCTGATATTAAACATCCATAAACATCCCCCATAAACCATGGTTTAGCAAAGGTTTACTTAGAGATTTGGGACAATTTCAGAGGTGTTTGATATGCGAAGGACGGGACGGGATGAATTCGAGGACTTCCACCTCCGCCGCTGGGGGGCACCTGTTGCAATTCCAACGACGAAGAGAGGGATGAATTCCACAGAGAGAATGGAGCCCCAATCCTTGGGCCATTGTTGCTGCAGTGCATCTCTAAGCTGCTACACTGGCAAGTTTTTTGCCCCCATCACCAATACCGGATACCGGAATGACCTCCGCGCCAAATGGTTGGGAACTTAGGGTATGCCCGCTAGATCTCTCCCACTTGAATTGGCCTTATTCCATGAATTGATGATAATTATTTGAATCTACTTGCATCAAATCACATCTATTTGCCATCTTCACAATCTCTAACCCATGATTCCTTTCGGGATCCCAGCCAGTCCCAAAAATTGTTGCGAAGCCACCCCGGGGGGAACGAAACTCCAGTCATAGGCCAGGCCGATAGCCCACACCAAGTTGATGGCAATGGCCGTTGGCACCGAAGCCAAGGCTGAGATCATGAAGAAAACCTGGACATTGGATTTGGATGCCACCCTACCCCATTCTATGGCAATCCGAAGGTGGGTGGATTCACTGAAAGTAGCGAATTTTTGGAGATTGGATTTCAGGCTGTTCTTCCAGCAGCCAGCGGCCTGCAGAATGTCATTCTCCAACTTGCCGCTGGTGACGTTGATGGTCTGCTCCAAAAAGCTGGATCCGGCTTTCTGCACGGTGACACCCAGCTTGGCCATCTCCTATCGATGCAAAAAGATGTAAGAAGGGCATTCCCCGAGGTCAAAACAAGATGCAGCCCACGAACCCGAATGCAGTCACGTAGAACACTTTTGTGAAACAAGTTATTTGAACAGTCTACATTTTTCCCCTGTTACCGCACCAGTGCACAGCAGACTGTGGAATGCGGAAGAGGGTGGAGTGCAAAGTGTTGAGTGTGGAGTGTAAAGTGTGGAATGTAGAGTGTAGAGTGTAAAGTGTAGAGTGTAAAGTGTAGAGTGTAAAGTGTAGAGTGTACAGCGTAGAGTGTGGAGTGTAAAGTGTGGAGTGTATAGTGTGGAGTGTAAAGTGTAAAGTGTGGAGTGTAAAGTGCAAAGTGTAGAGTGCGGAGTGTAAAGTGTAAAGTGTGGAGTGTGGAGTGTAAAGTGTAGACTGTGGAGTGTAGAGTGTGGAGTGTCAAGTGTGGAGTGTAAAGTGTAGAGTGTGGTGGAGTGAGGAGTGTAAAGTGTAAAGTGTAAAGTATTGAGTGTAAAGTGTGGGGTGTGGAGTGTACAGTGTAAAGTGTGGAGTGTAAAGTGTAGAGTGTGGAGTGTAAAGTGTAGAGTGTGAAGTGTGGAGTGTAAAGTGTGGAGTGAGGAGTGTAAAGTGTAGTGTAGGGTGTAGAGTGTAAAGTGTAGAGTGTAAAGTGTAGAGTGTAAAGCGTAGAGTGTGGAGTGTAAAGTGTAGAGTGTGAAGTGTGAAGTGTGTGTAAAGTGTGGAGTGTGGAGCGTCAAGTGTAGAGTGTAGTGGAGAGTGTGGAGTGTGGAATGTAGAGTGTGCAGTCTGGAGTGTAAAGTGGAGAGTGTGGAGTGTCGAGTGTCAAGTGTGGAGGGTAGAGTGTAAAGTGCGAAGTGCAAAGTGTAGAGTGTGGAGTGTAAAGTGTGGATTGTAGAGTGTGGAGTGTGAAGTGTGAAGTGTCAAGTGTGAATTGTAAAGTGTGGAGTGTGGAGTGTAGAGTGTAAAGTGTGGAGTGTAAGGTGTACAGTGTAAAGTGGGGACTGTCGTGTGTAGAATGTGGAGTGTAGAGTGTGGAGTGTAAAATGTAAAGTGTGGAGTGTGGAGTATAAAGTGTAGAGTGTGGAGTGTAAAGTGCAAAGTGTGGAGTGTACAGCGTAGAGTGTGGCGTGTAAAGTGTAGAGTGTGGAGTGTAAAGTGTGGAGTGCAGAGTGTAAAGTATAAAGTGTGGAGTGTAAAGTGTGAAGTGGGGAGTGGGGAGTGTCGTGTGTAGAGTGTGGAGTGTAAAGTGTAAAGCGTGGAGTGTTCAGTGTGGAGTGCAAAGCGTAAAGTGTGGAGTGTTGAGTGTAGAGTGTGGAGCGTGGAGTGTACAGTGTGGAGTGTCAAGTGTGGAGTGTAAAGTGTAAAGTGCGTAAAGTGTAGAGTGTGGAGTGTAAAGTGTAGAGTGTAGAGTGTGGAGTGGGAAGTGTAAAGTGTAAAGTGTAAAGTGTAGTGTGGGGAGTGTGGGGAGTGTGGGGTGGATAGCGTAAAGTGGAGATTGTGGAGTGTAAAGTGTAAAGTGTGGAATGTAAAGTGTGCAGTGTGAAGTGTAAACTGTGGAGGTGGAGTGTAGTGTGTGGAGTGTGGAGTGTAGAGCACGCAATGTGACACGTCCAGAGTGCTGCGCCTGCCACGAAAACTGGAACTCATCTTCTGAAAACGACGTAAAAGTATTGCGAGAATCGAGACGAGACATGTTGGAGCCTCAAAACGAGCATTTCGTGTGAGACGTCCTCAAATTTTCACACTTTGTAGCTTCAAAATCGATGTTGTTTTCCTACGAGTTTTGTTGTGAACCTCAAAATTTGCCACCTCAAAATCGATGTTTCGTGCGAAGCTTCCGTCAATTTTCAGCACATCTCACAAACTGTCACGCCTGCCACGGAATTTGCACCTTGTCGCCACTTGACGCAGCCCTGACAATGAGATTCGCAAAAACACGCAACACGACAAGTCTAAAGTGCTGCGCCTGCCACGAAAACTGGAACTCATCTTCTGAAAACATCTCAACAGTATTGCGCCTGCCACGCAAAACGACTTTCGACACGTTACGAAACACGTCTGAATGTAACGAAGTGCCACGCCTGCCACGCGAAACGAGGCTACGCGACATGTGAAACCTCCAAAAGTGACCCCTGTTGCAGAACTTACCATAGGCACGGCCATAGCGAGCTCGCGCGAACGGTTGCGAACGTGTGCGAACGTGTGCGAACGGTTGCCCAAACCCCCAGAGTGAAACAGGAACCCTTGCTACGCTTTCGGGAAAAAATGTCAGTCAAAATGATAGCTCATTTCGGACTCTATTCCATATAACAAACACACATAAGTCCACATAATAAAACATAAAAACATTATGGACATGTCTTTATGTATTGATGCAAACAATTAAATACACTATAGATATCTGTCGAATGGTATCTCTCTCTCTCTCTCCATCGCCATCTGGTCTCCCTGCCCGAGCTGTGCCTGGTTTATGTGATCTTCTGTGTGTTTTCAATACAACAAACATCTTGCAGAATCTTGCGTTTCTTAGTGCTCATCTCCTGCTGCATCTTGTCAAAGGTCTCCGCGTCGAGCACCTCCTGTCCCTTGCTGTATAGCAGGAAAGCGGTGACTTCCGGACGCATTCCCTCGGATTCCTCGGTGATGGGAGATCCAGCGATGGGGCAAAAGGTACTGTAGCAGTAAGTGGAACTGTGGCAGTTGGGCAGGGCAATGGGGCATCCAAAAATATCCAAAACTGGAGGATAATCACTCAAAATCACCAAACAAGAATTGGAAAGATATGACTTGAAGTGATGGCATAGATCGTAGGAGGGAAATTCAACTATTGTTGGCATATCCGACTGATCAAAATGCCCACCATAGTGTTCAAGCATGGGACATGATGGACATGTACTTTTTTTTAAATCCTGCACAGCATCAAAAACATCCACCCCGGAGCATTGACCATGCGGCAAGGTGCGATTTGAGCCTTCAGTTCCTCCCATTTCTCATCCGTGTACAAGGGCTCACCCCTGTGATACGCCAAGGTCGCCTGCCACCATTTCTTCAAGGGTTTACTTAGGTATGCCTCATGATGCTTCCCCCGCGGGAGAAGGGAAAAACAACTACACTATAATACTATATGTATGTATATCTCTCTATCTCTCTCTATTCAGTCTAGTATATTGTCAATTTCATGTTGATTCATATCTAGGCTAATTGCGCCATGATTCGCAAGCCAGTGTTAGGATGAAATCATCATTGATGGTGACGTTGTTGTGGCTTTGACGCTCAGGAATCGTGAACCACTTTGACATGCGGATTGCAGCCATGCCTGCCATACTTCACTGAGCTTGACACCTTGACACCTTCAGCTTTGACACCCTCATACACCCCTGCACAGGGCCTTCACAAACTCAATCTCATTTCGGCGCAAGGCAGGGAAGCCAGATCCCTGCCACGTTAGCTCCTGCGGATGGAAAAACCACTGCCTGACTGCCTGGCATTTTTCCACCGAACTAAAACCCAGAGTCAACATGAGTCGAGTGGGAATCATGATCCAAATCTTCATGTGATAATATATGGAAGTAGGATGAAGTAGGTTGTGGAACCGCCAGCCTGAATAGAATGCCGTCATCTTCCATGGGTCTCAAGATAAAATAAACACTTGTCATCTTAATCTTATACGTCCTACAGCGACAAGCATATAGGCGGCAACTTGGCGGCAACACATGCAATGGGAAACTACACTTGCACGTGTAGTTCACATGTACGTATAATATATATATATATATATTAATATGTATGTATGAGATGCGCGTGATTTTGCATGTATCTATATCAGCCAAATATCATCTATCTAATTATCATTAATTATCTATCCGTCCATCCATCCATCCGAAGACCATCTTGTGATTTTTCTGTTGGGTCCTCTTTCAGTGTCTTGAACTGGGCATCGCTGAGCAGTTGCTTGCCATCGTTGTAGTAGGCCCAAAGTGCCTGGTTTTCCAAGCTGCGAAACATTCATGCGGCCCATGGCCCAACAACTGGGGCCAGTATCACCCAGTTATGGCCAGCTATGGCTATGTTAATGGGAAAATGATGACAAACCAGTGGATGGAATAGAGTAGCCATTGTTGAAGTCACTTGGTGGCCTCGATAAGTTCAATGTGGATTCCCATTCTGCATGTGGACAGCTGGACCCTGATGACTTGGGGGACTCAAATCACTGGCCAGCCCCAACCGCATCACATCCACTCAGTGATGTCAGGCCATACAGCAAATTCGTCCAAGCTAAGGCAACAATACCCAACTTCACTATCCTCACCACTATTTTTCATGGTTGGCAGTTTCCTTCCACCCGAATAGTTGATCCCTACCAGCCTACCCGGCCATCCCTCGATTTAGAAACATGTTAGAAATTCATGTTCTCGCGCTCCAGGCGAATCCGGCCTCGACATACATCTCTTCCATCTGGGCCACAGTGCACTGTTCCAGATTCACAGCACCTGAGTGCTGAGTATCGATGATTACAACTGAATACTGGTTCACTAATTTCACTAACTACTGGTCAATCATGATTCGATATTGTATCGATGAAGAGTATTTGGTTGTCGCTTCCAAATGGCTGGCCTTCCACTGTAGGGTTGTTGATTTTTGTTCGGCTAGACAACCACACAGGGTTGGGACTCACTTGATGTTCTGTTTGGACACTGTGAATGGGCGTTTGTCAAATTGACTGGTGCATGGCCCCTCTGGGCATTCCCGGAGTTACATGGTCTAGAGGTTCTGGATGTGTGTCCACTATGTGGTGCTCAGCATGTAGATGTTGGTCACGTGCTAATTGCCAAGGAACCGTGCAGATCTTCTTACGCTCAGGTTTGAGTAATTAGCTTTTTACCGCGTCATCTTGATGCCTACATTTGTTATGTTCTTATTTCACTCGACGGCTGGAATGCTGGTGGATACGGCCCGGGTTCGGTATGTGGGACTGGTGTTCCGACGATGTTGGCCTTGCGTGCCAACATAAGTGCGTGGCGACGACCTGCCAAATTCTGGGGTATCGCGCCACACACTCCCTCACCCATCGCAGCAATATGGGGGTAGGCGGTTGGGCTTTGTGAAGCAGCAGCTACTTGTTGGATGGTCCAAGGGGCTGATTCCCAGCCTGTCATACTCCTCCTTCATGGCAGCATACTGCTCCTGATCCAGGAACTGCCCGCCGCGCTCATACAGCAAAAACGCCTCAGAGACTCAGCTTCTGCCGGCACCTGGTGTTATAGTAACTCATGGGTATATCTGACTTGGGGATCCACAACCCGCAACGAATGGCAAAATCAAGCCTTCCAGACATACCTTTCTGCTGAACAAAGGGTTTACCAACCACAATGTAAGATAATGATGGACAATGTAAGAGGCGATGTTGGACCATGGCACCGTAACATCTTTTCGCTTTCCAGAAGCCTTGACCTTGGCCTTCAGCTCTTGAAACTCTTCCTGCTGAGACGTGTGTAGCGATGTGTGGCGTTGGTAACGCCTACAGGGCACAAAGATTCAAACACCACCATCAAGCCACAGTTTTATCATATTTTATCATACAGTCTTGGATGATTAAACTATACCCAACATTTATTGGCCAATCATATGATGGAATTGCACCATCAAGAAACACCTGCCACCTGTAACAAACATCTCACGTGCCAGTCCTCTGACATCAAGGGTTCACCACGGTACCAGGCAATCGAAGCTTCCACGAAGGCCACTTCAAACCTGACGGCTGGTGATATCTGGTGAGGGAAACACAGGTCATCACACGTTAGCAAAGAGTTCCATTGTCCTCTGTGGCTTTCGTAAAAGAAAAAGCATCACCGGTTTAAAGGTTCAAAGCTGTTCAGAAAAGTGATGTCTAGATCTCGATATATCTCGATATGCCTGTGAGAAATACTACTGTATCCTCACACTTCTTCACATTTGTATCTGTACATAGGGTATGTCTGAAGCGTGCCCTCCCTGCAGACTGTATCTTTCTCTATCTTGATGTGCCAAATGTTCAATCATGTTCAATCACAATGTTCACTAAGCACCTGCAGTATATGACAAACACCAGCGTGGAGGATTATATGACTCAATCCACTCGGCTTCAAGCAATGCTTCAATCCACCAAAACAGCATTCATCTAGGGTTGAATCACCCACAGGCAGGAAGAATCAGCAATACATGGCTGAAATCTGCATGGGGTCAGCCATGCAACGTGCACAAAAAACACCAGACGGGTCAGCCCGTTTTTCCGGCCTCTTCAAAGTTGGAAAGCGAGATCCCTTCCTGAGCAGGGGTCCCGCAACAAACGCTGTGCAAAACATAGGATTGCTATGGGGATCCAGCACGGTGGATGATTTCATACTGCAATTGAATATAATTGAAATCAATATATTTGTAAATGCGCCCACAGGATCCAAAATCTCTGGGTTGGGAGGTCTTACAGATTCATTGCCTGAGCAGCATGATTGGAACGTGAGTGCTGTTGAACTAACAGTCTCAATTGACACTTTTATAAGGAGCATGGTACTGCAGCAACCACATCCCCAAGGGATAAAAAATGAACTCTGGGTCTGCAAAACCATGGGTTGACCAAAAATTCATTACGCTTTTTTGGGCCATGGGCCTAACAACCACCCTTCAATCCAGCCCACAGAGCTGCTGCCAAAAGCGTCTGGTACAGCACTTTCTTCAACGTATCGAACTCCTCATCGCTGAGGAGGGCACGCTTCTCGCGGTAGAAGCCTAGCTGCAACCGGGATGCGACGCTTGCCGGCAAAACCTGGGTTTTGTGGGTATATGATTATAAAGCATAAATCAATAAATTAATTAACTAAATAACTAATACATATATGTATATATAAAATTATATGTATATATATATATTATTATATATATATATATATTAAAAACATATATCAATATACCATGCATGGACACCTAGGGGAAACATGGGAAAAAAACAAGTTTCTAAGTGCCAGGGGGGCTGCAAATCAAGGGCACCAATTTTCCATGTCTGACTGCTGCTGTAATGGACCATCCATGGCCGAGTCCGCCAAGGAAGCAAGATGAGTTTGGCTTCAAAAAATTCAAAAATCAATGACAATACCCCCAAAAATTGACGTTGGGGCTCTCTCTCTCTCATGTATATTATAGATATATATTAATTATATATATATATATATAATGTTATATATATAGTTATGTTATATATATATATACAATTATATCATATTATTATATAGACTTAGACTTAGAGTTACATAGACTACAAGTATCATCAATCTTGTGCGCCCAAGTCACACCATAGTGAATCGATATAAAGCTCCTCCAAGTCCGCCAAGACATAGGAATCCTCATTTCAATGCAGGATGCGTTTTTCGCGAAGCGAGTTCTGGGCCCGGCCATGTCTGGCACTTTCACGCTACCAAGGCACAAGGTTCTTGAAATCGTACTCCCTGGCATGGCGGTAAGGGTGGCCCCGCTGGCATCCAGCATGATTAGATACTAGTAAGTTATCATTGGTCCAAGTCGACAGTGACTGCAAGGTGTTTGCCAGTGCTTCCAAGTGGCATGACCCCTGAAGGTGACAATAAATTTAGTGTCTATAACCGACCACAATCCTTTGCAACGATGTAACATACTTGGGACACACACAAACGTGTCATATCACGTTATCAAATTATTAATACCACATATTACCACGCTATTTACAAATTGCACTTATTAAATCACAATTGCCAACATTTGAGATGGTGTCAAAAATGCTTCATTAGATGGTGCTTCCAACCAAATGTTTCCTTTAAACAAATGTTTCCAAGCCCCCTAAAAGGGGAATCATCGGGGGCCCCCTCCTGGCATTGTAAAAGGCTTCTTCGAACTTCTTCATTTCCTCATCATTCAGGAAGCGCTTGCTGCGCTCCGCCATGATCAGTGAAGTCATGTCCTTCCGGCGTCCGGATCTGGAGACCTTGGATCCTTGGCGATCCGTGGCGATCCGTGGCGAAGTCAACTGACATTGACCCGGCCTGGTTATGTCAACAGTTTGCTATTGAAAATGGCCATAGAAATAGTGGATTTACCCATTCAACATGGTGATTTTCCATGGTTATGTTAGTTTACCAGAGGGTAAATAGTGTGCATATTTCGTATATAAATAGTATTAAATAGTGGTATTCAGATGTATTCAGACCTTTCGCGAACCTTTCTCTGCCTTTCGCCACGGCAGCAAAAACACGTGCCCATGTCTGGAGATGTCAATCGGATACTAAAAGTCTTGCATGGGTTTTAGAACGACTCACATGTGGTTAACACGGTTAACCCTAAACCATCCCCAAGTTTACCAGAAATGGGTGGTAGAAATCATCCTAACTGGGGCTGGGGGGAATGTTATATATATATGTATATATTGTATTGTTTTATAGTTTACCACGCGACTGTATTTAACTAGTCAATATTACTAGTCACACCGAAACAAAACATAGATGGTCGATACGATTCGATGCGGTTTGTCGATGGTGAACTGGGGCACGTGCCCAATCCCAACAGGTCCCAAAAGGGGTTACAAATGGTTACAGTATGCTACAGCTATAGCTTTTGGATCCCAACCATATCACTGTTTCGTGCCATGCTGCGAAGCTCTTTGTAGTTGTCGTCCGACATGATGGGCTTCCCTCTGTAGTATGCAATGCTGGCTTCAATGAACCTGCTCGATCTGGATCATCTTCCGTTCATCTTCCGATGCAATGATGATGGAAACCCGTTAAACACTATGATGGGCACCTGAAATGGTATGACAAAGATTGACAAAGTCTGTTTAGCTTGGTTTCTCTATGTCCATGCCATCAACTGCCAACTTTCCGACTACAAGAGTCAGCGACCACAAAGGCCTGACTTCGTCCTGGGTCAGCTTTCGAAGTGAAGATTTCTTTTTGTCCAGATGCGCGGCCAACTTGTCATACTCTTCTGGAGTCAGAATCTCTTTCCTTGTTGATGAGACATGAAAAGAAGCACTGGTCGCCAAATATTTGCACTGTAGCAGCTTTAAGATGAGTTTAAGTGATTTCCAAGAACATCCGAAAACAATCCATTGTCATCCATTGTCATCCATTGTTATCCATTGCTATCCATTGCTATCCATTGTTTTTTTGTTTATTTTGGACCTCTGGGATCTCATGGCATCTGGCTCTCTGTGCTGAGCGTCTTGGGATCACCTGAGCTGCTGAAGTCAAGAGCACATGGAGAATTTCATGCTGTCAAGAATCTAAAATCTGTCAACCCATCAAAATACATCAAAATACATCAAAATCCAAACCCTGAATATATATATAGTATGGTCCATGTTGTTTTTTGATGGTAAAAAAATTGCTTTTGGCTCCATCAAGGCACAGTAGTAGTACCACACCGCTTCAATATACACAGCTTCAAGCTCCTGTGCGGGCCACGGTGTGACACCACTAGTTTCTGGTTTTGTTCCTTCTTCATCCTTCCATAAAAGAAAATAATACGTAAGTAAACAAACATGTATGCACAATATATGTATATATATATACACATAATAAATCAGGCTTCGCATGTTTTTGCTGAAACTGGCGCTTTTGTACAACAAATGATCATATAAGATATTTGTCAATATTCAAATATCATCAAATATCCATATCTTGAATCTTCATTAATTACTGGACTTCAGTTAGGCAACTGGCAACATTGGCAAGGTCGTCACAGCCACCATGCCACCAAGTCCTGCTGGTCATACCACCCGAGCCTGGAAGGTGTCGACCCAAAACCCATCTGTCCCCAAGACGGACATCTGCATGAAATTAAACATATTCAAAAAATAGGATAGCTACAGAAAAATATCGTGCGAGCGTGTGAATGAGCCAGTGAGAAGTGGAAACATGTGGAAACGCAGATCAACTGCTGCAAACAGTGACATGTTTTGGATTGTTTTAGGTTTTCTATGCTTGTTCTGCGCGGCTTGATTACTCAGCTTCGTCACTGGTTTTCCGCTACATCCATCCCATTGCCACACACCGAGCCTATTGAAGTTGATCTTTTTGGCCCGTTCTTCTGCGTCCACAACGCCTGCGGCGTTGGTAAGTCTCCCCTTGTGGAAGTTGATAATGGTTCATGATAGCTGAGAATCGGTGAATAATGGTATGGTTAATCATGGTTACTACTGTCATAGCCAATAATGGTTGATAATGGTTATATAAGAATTGTTAATAATGCTTTATGATGGTAAATGAATAATGGGCGTATAACTAACAATAATAGATGAAGTATGGACACTTGAAAACATAGATGAAGTATGGACACTTGAAATAATGCCGTAAACCCCATATATAACAAACGCACCAGTTTGGGATCGTAAAATCCACCTATCGATAAAAATATTGGATGTGGTTTATGGTTTTGGAATGTTTTGGATTTAACACAGTATCTGATATCTTCTCTTGGACTGCTGCCTCAATGGAATTGCATGGGTCATTAACCCCTATCGACATGATCATTAACCCTATCAACCCGTATCAAATAAATCTGCTTGGCGGTTTCAACTTATTTGATATTACCATCTGGTTATTCAACATAGCCATGGAAAATCACCATTTTTAATAGGTAAACCCAGGTAAACCATCTATAAATGGGCCATTTTCCATGGCTATGTTAAATAACCAGAGGGTAGTATGTTAAGATTGATTTCAACTGGGTGATCGACATCCATCAGCCCATATGAACCCAAAAATTTCGAAGGGTTCATACTACTGCCTTCCCCCTGATCTAAAAAAATATGTAAAAAAAGCCAGGGAAATCATATGATTTCTTGGTTGAGTATCTAAAATTGTGGTTAATAGATGTTAATAGTAGACGGTGCATATAATGAAACCATCTTGAATTATTCCAAACAAATGGTTGATTCGGAGGCTGATACCAGGTGGTTAGTGCTGATTTCTCTAACCAATAACATGTGGAATTTCATCTCCACATCATTCCCTCCAATATGATCTCCCAAAAAACGGTCAATCGTAAACTTACATAACTATGGAAAATATTGGAACATCATCCATTTTAGTGGGTAAATCAACTATTTCTATGGGCCATTTTCAATGATGTAGGCTGCCTAATAGTAAATCCCTGAAAAATTTTTGAGTTGCGGAAAAATGATTCTACTGACAAGATATCACTATTGGCCAGACAACATTAGCAGTAAACATACAAAAAACTATGGAAAATCATCCATTTTAGTGGGTAAATCATGGTAAATCAACTATTTCTATGGGCCATTTTCAATAGCAATGCTTGTTTTCCAGAGGCTATCTCCCATTAGCGGTGGAATGTAGGGTTTTTTTGGCGCTCCTTCGGCCAGCAGCTCAGTGGCAGCCGCCCTCAGGGAGACCACTGAGGCCACCGTTCCGGGCGCACCAGGCGCCCTAGGCCGCGTTCGGGCGTGGCTCCTGCCGGAGTCAGTGGGGAAAACCATGGGAAACCTTGGGAAAAACATGGGTAAACTGTTGGTATACTGTTGGTAAATGGATGTTTTTCATGGATGCAACAAATCATCTAAATCTAGTGGCAACAAAAGAAAACTGACAACTATTGCGAAACCAATGGATAAACAATTAAGTATATAGTAAGAAAGGTTTTGCACAAAAAAAGCTCCGGGATCCGCCAAAGAATGAAATGAACATCTCCGAACATGACTGGTTTGCGCAAATCCATGGGGGCACCACTCTGTCTCCGTGACAATTCCGTGCAGTGAATTGTGCTTCAAGCTTCAAGCTTCAGAAGTGGATATGGCTCAAACATCAGGAACCCAAAGGAACCAATTAATTTATATACATATATATATATAAATACTGTAATCATTCTCAGGTTTTTACCCTCAAAATCATTCCCAGCTGTGCTCCAATCTGAGGTCGGATATGGTCGGATCCTCCTGGCGGCACCAAATGCTGCCAGTAGCATGGGCGCAGCAGTCATGGACCGAAATTCATGGTCTCCTGTGGCGCCATTGCTGGGAGCCTGGCAGGGCATCCAGTGTTCAACCCATCCAGAGGATATGAATAATACTGGCCCGGTCCATGGGACTTATTGCAAATCATTGCAAAAAAAACTTCAGAGAAAGCGAAATGAACATGGACAAACAATAAGAAACACATATCTGACATATCTGACATGGTCTTGTTTGAAAACCAATGCCATCACTGGCAGTCGAGATCGAGTTTTTCGACGCTGCCCTGCACCTCCACATGGTTCCTGGCAGCCGGTGCTACGCGTAGGGTCGACGCTGGAACAAATGCAGTCGTCATGCCCGCCATAGCAACCGAGAGCGGAAAGGGTCTGAAAGGATGTGATTTTGGAAATGATTGGAAGCTGACTGAGGTGATCTGATGGTTGCTGGACTTGTCGCTTGCATTTCCTCAAGCACTGAGGTAAGCTGAGAACAGTTGCGGCGGAAATATGGGGCCAGTGTATTGCCGTGGATTACTCAGATTTCAGAACCCAAGATGATTCCTCTTTCGGATGTAATGTAGTATGCTACGGACAGAGTCATGGTTAGGATACCGTGTTTAAACTTCAATTCCGTGATGCTTTGAGTATGTACTGGTGAGCTACTTTGATCTACACATGTAATATATTGTAATATCACGTAATCTTGTTGTTCTTTGCTTCCACACCCCTTCATATGCCTTCCACATGTCCCTGCATCCCGAGATCGCCCTTTTAGCACCATTTCGCTGCGGTTCTTTCTTCAAGCGTTCTTCCAGCCAGTCCTGGCCATGGCTTGGAAGGCCACGGACCCCGCTATGATCCTGAAGTCCTGACGTCTATAGAGGTCTTCAAAATCTCCCAATTAATTACAATAATTATGTATCAAAGACGCATTCTTCCAAATTCTCTGAATAAATATGAATAAATGCTAAACATATACGCATATGGTCTATTCAAATCATTCCAAAAAAAATCCAAATGGCGGTCATCAAGTCTATACGGTAAGTTATATATCAACATATTCTCCCAAATCTAGTAATAGAGGCTCTAAGATCAATGCGCTAAATTGCTCAAATATCCAAAAATATTCGAATAGAAGTGCTCTAAACCAAAAAACACAGATCATCCGAAAATCACAGAACAGAGGTCTATGGAATCAATATGAATCAATATATACAGCATTTTGTCCAAGTATATATATGTTCCAAACAAATAGCCCAGACTCCAAAGCTGTCTTCATCAACTTCTTCTCTGATCTCAGGAGTTCTGCAGCTGCCCGTTGCACTTCGTCGGACTCCTGTCCAGAGTCCGAGTTGGGTGACGCTCACTTCAGCAAGGCAAACCGGTGGACAAATGGGGGACTTTTTGATCCATGTTGTGCCATGTTCCAGTGAAAGTCAAGCCCTCATGGGCCCTCTTGGGCCCTGAAAAAAGTCACAGAAATCTCTGGCCCCCTGGGCCCCCATTGAAGCGGGATCACCCCACAGCCTCCAATGAGGCCAGGCCGTCAAGGGCCTTTTGATGCTGATCCTTCAGCCATCCTTCAGCCAGAGCACAGGCTTTCAGCCTGTAAGCCCGACGTTGGAATTGCAGCGCCCCAACTTGGGGATAGTAACCCAAAGGTAATGCCCATCCACATGTTTGCATGTACTTCCAGGAGTGCATCTTTGCCAAATATGTGTCTTTTATTTTAACGTTTTCTCTTTTTATGATCATATATGAATACGCAGAATAGGTACAAGCATATGCACGTATGTATGCTGATCTAGTTATCCATCCTAGGGAAGCTGATCCGATCCGTCCTATTCATCCTATCCTATCCTATCCTATCCTATCCTGTCTATCCTACCCTAACATATCCTATCCATCTGAAATCTTTGATCTGACAGCGCCAAAGCCAAGGAGCTCCAGCTCAGGATCCGACAACTCCTGATGGATTTTGTGGCCCAATGTGGCTAGTCGACGCTCTAATAGGATACATCATATGTTTATACATACGTACTCAGTATATAATGCTCAAGAAAATCCTATTAAGATTCAATATGGCTTACATCTCCGTTTTTTGTGAGGGATACCACTTTACTTTGGCTGAAGATTCCCCTTTCCCTCATATGTCTTGTTGCTAATATCATCTTGTAGCTCCCCAAAACCTTGGGCAGAATTGATTTGCAAGTCTACGCTGCCACTGGGGTCCGGCTTTCAAATCTCTTTACCCGTAAAATGATGATCCATCATAGTGTCTTGTTCAAATGAACCTGTGGCCAACACAAACTGAAACATACCAAGACTACACTTGACTACATCAGAGACGGCAAGGGTTGCATACAGCACATAAATCAATGTATTCAGAATAAACAAGAATGATGGCAGAAAGCACACGAATTTAAACACCTGCTTTGGTTGGTCGTTGACAGTCAGGCACTACTGCTACCAAACTTCTTGCAACTTCAGTTCAACATGTTTTCGTATCTGGTCCTCTATCAAACACCATCTCACTGTATCCGGCACAACAAAATCGCCTGGCACTTTTCAAAGACCTCCGCTTCCCGGTCAAGCTCAGGCAGCGTCAACCATCTGGCCTTGGTGCACCAGGCTGGGATGGAGGTCTGCTGGGAAAATCATCAATGGGGGATGATACATAATTACTGTAATTATAGTGATTAATCATCTATGAATGGAGAATAATGGAAAATCATCTATCATTACTGTAATATACTGCAATAATGAATCATAATTATATTAATTATGCACACAACAATAGATGCAGACTTGTGTGCAAGCGCTTTTTTCCAACCCAAGATAGGGACAAGAACCAACCGGATAATTACCATCGGTCATGGGAATAATATAAATAATTTGGTAACAACTATCACGGATCGGATGGATTTTGCGCAATCGCGAGACCGGAAAAACTCAAGAAATCTGGCACGTACGATCACCAAGGTCATCACTTGCTAGGTTCTAGGTGGGATGCTCATCCAGGTGGGTTGATTTGAGGATATTTATGAGGTGATCTTACTGGAAACATCTGGGTTTCCATCCTGGGGTGGGATGGCATGCGTCACTTAAATGTAAATCCCGTTGGGGTGGACATCTGTGGTGACCAGTTTATGAGTTCATTCACTTCAAGTCCATCCGTGGTCTATGATTTTACCCCACACCAACGTTCCCAAAGAAATCAGGAACTTGTCCTGACCCTATCTGTTCTGGTTGGCAAAAAGGCGCCTTTTTGCCGCAGAAATAGAAACATGATGAAACATACAGAGGATGTTTGCCCAAAACCTGCCAGGTTGCCACTGGCAGGATGAGGCTACTGCCCAAGTTCCCAAAGAGTCGGAGCAAAATTTTTGGCCGCCTGTGGCCTTGGTCCAGAAATAGCCATGGGAGATGTAGGTGGCATGGCTGGTGGCACTGGGCCTGGAGTTGGGCAAAATCTGAGGATGTTAGAATTTTTCAGAAATCATCGAGCGATATCGAGGGAAGGCGAAACAGCACATGCCATGCCCAAAATTTTAAAATGCCCGCAAATGACCTCTGGCCGATTCTGGCCGGTGGTTTTACACGAACATATCATGTTCATAGTCAATGGGCATTCTCATACCATCCCATAGCACTGAAAAGGAATACCAAACAAGATACCCTCTGGTAAACTAACATAACTATTGAAAATCACCGCTTGGAAAATAGGTAAATCATGGTAAATCAACGAACTAACTGGGCCATGGCTTTCATGGCTATGTCAGCCATTACCAGAGGGTAAACCAACCAGACTTGGGTTGCAACGGCTGTTGCCAGGTCCCCCACTGGCTCGCAGCCGTCGTGCCAGGGCTGCAAGGTGAGGCTCGCTGAGGGAGGCAGCCGAGACTTCCTTGGTTGGTAAACCGAGTTTAAACCCACTGCCATAACCATCCATAAATCATCCATAAATCATCCATAAGCCATCCATAAATCATCCATAAATCATCCATAAGCCATCCCACCTGAAATGTCTTTGATTGTCTTTGAGTAACTTAACTTGGTCCTGGTGAATCCGTTTGATGAAACGTTTTTTTTCGGTGATCTTTCTGTGGAGAGAAGCAGCAAAGGTCTTTGGAAAGGAGGATGGCCAAGGATCTGGATGACCTTTTCATATCATCTCCTTTCACCGACTAAATGGTTTCCCCAACCTTTGGTGAAATTGGGCCCCTTCGATCAGAGCAAACCACACAAAATCCACAGGGTGCACCGGGTGCACTAATGAAATGGAAGGATAATGCTCAAGTGCGTACATGTGTGAATTACTACACAACACTTCATTATACACTAATATTAATCATATATAACAGTATATAACAGTTATGTCCATTCTGAAACTCTGATTCTCTGCAATCATGTTGGTTATTACAATATTCCATTATCAAAATATATCATGGAGGTAAACAATAATAAACCACCCATTTGAGAATGGTAAACATACCACCTATAACAATGTTTATGACTGGTGGATGGTTTAGGGATTTTTTTTACCCACATTATCATGATTATATCACAAGAATTAATATGTTCATTATTATACCCAAATATAAATCATATATCATATAATATATATATATTTATTATATGTATATATATATAAAAACATATATATATATATAAACATATATATATATATATAAACATATATATATATAATACATTATGATTCTCTGCAATTCTCACCTGGCGGCCGCGGTGCTACAAAGGTCTCCTCAAAGCCCCCAGCGCCACCGCGGGGGACGAAGCCATAGCTCGCCTCACCGACACCGAGATACACCGAGGTACCGCGGCGCAGCGAGGTCGCCGTCGAAAGAAGAGGAAATACGTTGGGAATATGTTGGGAAAATCATCTATATATGGGCCATTTTCCATGGCTATGTTAAATAACCAGAGGGTAAGCTCCAGGAATACCCTCTGGTAAACATACAAAAAGCTATTGAAAATGGCCATAGAAATAGTGGATTTACCCATTAAAAATTGCGATTTTCCATAGCTATGTTAGTTTACCAGAGGGTATGTTGGGAAATAAGCTCCAAAAAATGACGAAACTTGACTTTGGGAAAATGGACGGATTTTATTTTGGAGGCTTCTGCTGTAAAAGTTCGGGACGGAAAACATAGCCTAAAGATGTCCCTCAGCCACCTGCTGCCCAGTGCAGCTTCGCGACAAGAAGGGTGGAGCTGGGCGACAAAGCATAGAGATGACAAAGCTCTTCTTCGGCCTGACATATGCGGGGAATGACTTAAAACGTGATTGGAAACTGAATGACATTGGCTGCAGCTGCTTTGGGGATTGGACTTGGGAGCCCCGGAGCCCCAGGGAACTTGCTAGAGACTTCTATTCATGGAGATGTCCATGATTGCTTGGCGCCCATGATGTTCATAGTTGGCCTGCAGTGCTCTGAGCAAGACCAAAATAGAGATCTTTCCGATCTCCGCTCATCGATTCTGGTAAAAGAAGCATTGACAGCCATGAAATGCCAGATGTGACTACTGGTAGAAAGAAAACTTTCTCATGTATTGAGACGACCGTCATATCTTTGGAGTACTCTCTGCAAATATTTATCTGAGGGTGAGTCATACAGTCCCGCAGTATTAGGCCACATTGAGCCACTGACAAAATGACCAACATCAGCTGATGGACACGGTCCCCCTGTTGAGATTCCTCCTATTTCCTCCGGTTTTCAGTCCAACGAATGAATTCCCACCTTAAATGGCTCAATCACCAACAGCTTTTTCTATCTTTTGCTCCCATTTTTGGTTTTTTCAATGTGTCTTGGCGACAATCACCGTTTTTATGAGTTAATTACCAATATTTACCAATCCTTTCAGCATCCTGCCCTCTTTTGGTTGGAATCCCCACAGGTTCAACAGACTTGGGGCACCAGGCAGGACCAATCTCGATGTGTTGCCTACATTCACTCACCTGAAATAAATGAGGAAAGTCATTTTAGGATGATTGCAGCATGATGATTCTCCTAACATGATTTATATAGTCTGGTTGGTGGTTTGAACCCCTCTGAAAAATATGACTTCGTCAGTTGGGATTATTATTCCCAATAGATATATATGTATATATATATGTATATTGGAAAAATAAAAGCCATGTTCCAAACCACCAACCAGTAATCATATTTGATCATATTTATCTAGCCACCATCCCCAGTTTGGATGGCCTGAATGTCCCGCTCGGCCACCATCCCCACAGCACCCTCCAAGCGCAGGAAACCGCATGGTGGACCTGCTCAAGATGCTCAAGTGTGTTCGATGGCTTGGATCATGGCTTTGTGGATTGGTGGATAAACCCCGAAAACTCACATCGAACCCAATCACGATGGTTCCTCTGTTAGTTTTGGGAGGGCTAATCCATGCGAATGGCTTGAAAATTGCCTGGTCTAGACAGACAAAAACCATTGGTTTCCAGTAAATTTGCGGATTGACCAAATGAGAATTGCGGTGTTGTCATCAGGTCGCCTGTTTCACCAACCGTCACCATAAGAACGATGAACAGCAAAGGTTTTGGCTGTTGATGTTGGGTATGGGATTGGTCAGAATTGAAGGTGTCTGGGTGAAAAGGCATCAGTAATAATGCACATTCGGAGCATAGTATTGCCCATCCTATCCTTTGGAAACGGGTGATCAAAACACCCACTGGTTTCTGCAACAAGATCGACCTTTGTACGATATTTGTGGAGCCCCCATGGCAGTCCATACTTACTAATCCATACTGACTATATAGCGACCCTGCAAGGCAAGTTGAGCTCAGTTGGGAATGATCTTGTGGCAGGTTCATCCTCAGCCTCAACGCCAAACACCTTAGCTGCCTTAGCCGTGCACCTCCAGGTGCTGATTGATGGTTCAACAGATCCAGCAAGGGACACATCATCAGCTGCCCAGATCTATCTGGAAAAGCACGGCTACCCACAGCCGCCAAGGCCCAGCGCACCTCCTGTGCAATGCTTTGGCGAGGTTCTTAGGGGGTTTCCCTCTCAGCCATCTTTAGACAGTGTGTTCCAGTTGTTCCTCTTGCGGCGCTGTTCAATTCTATATTTCCATGTTAGATGTAAATACCTGTGTATAGCAACCCAAACTAAAAGGCACAAAGGTACAATACTACTAAAATAGTGATAACACATGGTAAAACACGTGTCTGTCTTTTTGAAGGTTAAATAGTGGCAATTTTATTATGATTACTATTATTATTATGATGATGATTATTATTATTGCTATTATAATATATATATTTTTTTAATGTTTATTATATATTTATCTTCTATCTTGGTCTTCAGTTCGTCATGGGCAAAAAAACCGCTTGTCCTGGTCGCTCCAGGAGCTCATTCGCAGCACAGCAGCGGCAGCTCTCATCCTGGAGGCATTGGTTTTATCTGGTAGTGCGGCAAACCCAATATAAAGGTAGTCTTTAGTGTGTATACATACATGATCATACATGTATATAATTGTATACATACATATATGATGTATGTCTGGTCATTATTGTTTAGTAGATGATATTATACGATATTTATCAATGATAATAAATCATGATTCTGATGATAGCAATGATGATATCGTTCAAAATAGTGGTAAAACCAATGGTAAGCAATAAAGCCATCTCAGTATATCATAAAAGGTGGTCACGACAAACATCATTTCATTACTATAATGGCGTACGGCATGGCCAATTTCATAAATCCTGCTTGGAGATGCTTTACTGTTGGATTGACCTCAGTAGGGACTTTCAAATTGTTGAACAATTGCCCTGGCTAAAGATGCTGAAGATTCCCCCAAGGCCCACGATTGGGCACTGCTGTCCATGTATGGAACATTGATGCTTATATCACACTCTTATCATATGATCCAACTTCACTAAAATCCAAGTGAGAGTGCCCAGAATTAGATTGATCACACACGGATGGCATGGAAATAGTTGTCTTTGTGTTTTCCACAGGCCCTTCAGATTCCCAAAAAACTATTTCAACAACTCTCGACCCCTCAGCACCTCGCCAAACGGATCCTCCGCAGAGCCCCTGGGCTGGCGGCAAAGTGGCGCCTCCACCCACCATCCAGCAGAGCTGGATGTGTCCAGCTGGGATACTTCAGCAAGTAGTCGATGTAGGCCTGGAGGGGGCCTTGGAATTAAAGATTGGAAGTCATGGATGGTATTGCTTATGTACTGCTACAAGGATCCCCAACAAAATCGGTTGGATGGGGGATGATGGGGGCTTGAGGGTCGGTACTCTTGACCACGAACCCATCTTCTGGAGCTTCAGGGCCTACAAGTGGACAACAGAAGGAAGGGGAACTCAATCATCATACTGTACCCATATTATACCAGAGCCGACGCTCTAAAGTCCAAGAATCACCTATATACAATACATTACAATACTGGTCAAGGGTCTCATTTTGTTCTCTGAATTATACCATACCAAGGGGCTCGAAATTGGGATTTCTGTCCCAGAGATTTCTCCCGCAGCAGGGCAGCCGCCATCCTCTCTTCGGGTCGTTGCTGCCGTTGCGGGGACTTGGCCTCTGCTGTTAGGCACAAGCTGCGGGGAATTGAGACCACCAACTCCGACTGGGAGAAGTCCCGTTGTGCAAGCAGCCTCAGCAACATGTGGCAACAAAAAAAGGTCAGCTGGTGGATATTCAGTTCTTCAGGGGCACGTTTGAGAAGATATATTATATATATAAATTATATATGTGCATATCATGTGTATGTTCGTAGTACTAACATAGACATAAACATAATAACTACTAGACCATTGTTATAATTTTTATATCGTCCCCCGTTTATATTAATTATTAAAGCACCAGCATTCTATGGTCCCAAGTATGATCTGTTATATGTTCATCCCCCTGCTAAACAATAACTTACAGTACCTGTAACCATGCTTCAGAGCAGCGAGCTGTGCCTTTCAGCACATTGATATTGGTTCTCTGTCAACTTTGAGTAGCTTAAAATAGCTTAAACACATATAAACAAATTACATCATGGTCGACATAAATAGCCAAACATGCCCAAACCATTTGGGCCCAAACGATGTCAAAATCTTCCAACCCAGAGCCATTCACTACACCATACTATACCTTTGGGCTTCCAGCTTAGATTTTTTTCAGGTTTTCCCATTTTTCCCTAGTGCCTGTTGATATCCGTATCCCATATTCTCCCATCCCATCCCATTTTTTAACATCAAGAACCTCACCCTGGGCCCTGGATACATCACAACTGGATACATCCCCTGAAGGTTGCTGCCAAAAAGCCCGCGGCCAGCGCCACCTTCTGATTCCACCAGCTCCACGGCATCCAAACCTCTAGCGCCTCCATCCTGCAACCAAGCCCGGAGATTCCTGAGGCGACAGCATCCAAATACATCAACTTAGTGTCAGCCGCATCTTGGTTTCATTTATCGGATAGGTCTTCCCGTCTTCCAAGACTTGGTGGAGTGATAATACCCATGGCGCCCAGGAGTTAATAATGACATCAGATGTACACTTGACATCTGTCTAACTGCAACAGCTTCCAGCCAACCGCAATAAACCTGTCTGCCTCACGGCAAAACACCTCAAAATTGCAATAAATGTTGATAAATCATGATAAATGGTACATGTATAGCCTGTATAGCATTGTATAGCTCCATATGGCATATATGGTCCACCAGGTAAAACCACCAGATTCCCGGGTCCAAGCTTCGCCCAAGCCGGGTCCAAGCCGGCCCTGCGCGCAGCAAAAGCTGGAGAACCTGGCGATTTGGCCATGACTTTTGGAGCAGCAAGGTGATGTCAGAGGAAAGAACCTGAAAATAATATGATATGATGTGATGTGATACCTATGAAATTGTTTTTCGCGATCTCATAATATGTCACGATATTGTTATTAAATCTGATACTATCAATACTATCATGTATCTTGTTTCCTGGGAGGCTTCACGTGTTAATGGACACTCTCTCAGCATTCCGCCATATTCCGCCTGCACCTAACAGGCTGACCAAACCAACAGCCGCAGCATGCCGCCGCGCTATGCCCCTTCTCCGCGGCTTTGGCGAGGCATCCAAGTCATCCAAGGACATGAGAGCTGCAAACGTGTTTGACTCGGTTTCAAATGTGGCTCGCTACGCTCCCAAACGACATGGATATCATGGATATCATGGATATCATTGGATCATATTTGATATCGAACACACCAGCCTACAGAGCAGCTATGGTACTGGCATGACAAAAGGATACAAAAGGCATGAAGGAAGACGAGTTGACGAGTTCGTGTCAACATGTCTTAGAAATGCGTCATGCAAAACTTTGAAAGAGAGTCCAATATACCTGAACATGAACAACAAAATTACTGTACCTTGAACGGCTGACTCGCAACAAGAGATGCCTCACGACAAATTGAGTTTTGTATTGTGAAAGATCAAGTCCATTGCCATCTTGAAACTGCATTCTGTGTTGGCAGACAGCCTGCGGAGGATGCCAATATCACCCACCTTGGCTGAAGGATATGGTTCCCATATTCGGATTCTGTGTTGCTATCAAACTGGCACATTAATATCAATAATAGCTGTAAGGTGCAGTTCCAAGGCACATTTCATTTCCTTCACTTGCAAGCCGTGCGCACAAGCATCGGGTGACACCCCCTTTATCGCTCTGCAATCATTTTCGTCCTCAACTTGCATGGCGTCGTTGGCTGCCACTGCACCAACAAGAACTGCTAAAACTCCAATGGTCGCAAAAACCGCAAGTCGAAAAGGCCATGTTGACTTTTCAGAGGTTGCACCCTCAAGGAGTTTTGTTTCATCTCCTTCAATTTGCTTGGTCTCGTTTGCCTCAATTTTCTCCACTTCTGGCTCATCTTTGGTCTCAGAAGTACTATCTCGACCCTGTCCTCCAGGCCCAAATCCATAGCGTTTTTGGCCCTTTTGTCGACTTTTCCAGTCAGAAAGGACTGGCAAATGTTGGTGCTGCCAAACCCAGGTGGCCAAGTCTGACTTCTCAGTCGCTGAGCCTTCAGACACACCACGTGAAACCAGCATCTCCCTCAGTTCCTTGACTGACATTTTCTTCAGTTCTTGTAAGGAATGCGAGGTCCCAACCGGCTTGTTGGGCCTGGTGACTTTTGGAAGATCTTGATGTTGATGTACCCAATTGGCCAAGTCATCTTTGTCCCTGCTACTGTGTCCAACACCTCGCTCGTCCAACATCTGTTTGAGCTCTCGCACTGACAGTTGCTTCAACTCTGCTAAGGAACGTAAGGCACGCGCAGGATGTGCATGATCCGCTTGGCGCATTGGTGGCGCACTTTCAGGTGTGACTACTGGAGGCACGTCACTGGGTGAGCGAAGGACCTGGGACAAAATGGGCGACTGCGGTGCGTAGGCAGTGCCAGTTGCAGAGCCTTTCAGCACCCCTCGATTCACGGCAGCAGCTGCTGATTGCAAATCACTACTGAGACCTGACAGGAGCTGGGGAACTGAACTATGCCTAGTGCAGCCGTAGCATGTGGCCAAACTTTGGACTGCGAAGGATGTTGTACAAGGAGGAGGCTTTGAAACAAACAGTAAAAGGTTGTAGAAAATCAAACACAAACAACATGGCAAATGATCATGTGAAACAGAAAAACGAAATCAACACATGTCAAAACCATCAATATTGTGACCTGTCCGTCTTGGTCTTCCTTGCCTGTTCCCAACTTTTGCAACTGCGCTCTCTTCTCATTTGACGTACTGAGGCCAGTTTGTGCCTGCGAGCGACGGGTTGTGGCGTCGCTTTGAGGAAGGCAAACGCTGTATTGGATTGATGAAATATGTCATCTCCAAGATCAGGCAGCCAAGCATGCTGGTGCGCGCACATATTCAGTTTCTGATGCGTAAAGACTTAGGAATCACAAGCCATGTCACACAGCTCCGCTATGACAGGGGAAGTATTGAAAGAAACACGCCAAATGGTGGACCAACAATTCCGTTCCCCAAAACTTGCTACACCCAGTGTGTTTTGATCATATATATATATATGTATATTATACATAATATACATATATATGTGTGTGTGTGTGTATAGCATGTACCTCCCATGTTCTTGGCCTATGGTATCCCAAACTTGTTATATGCAATAATTAGTTTTATTATGACTATATTGCCACATACAGTATTATTACAATATATTGCACTAGGTTACAGATTACAGCAATGGCACTACGACATAGTTGACAGTACGCAATAACTACCCAACAATATTACGCGGAAATAATTATCCAAGAATCCTATATCCAAAAACTCATGCTTATTGGAACATTATTCTTCCAAGCTGAAGAATGGCCCATATATCCTTCCAAATACCGTGTCACTGCAGTAACCCCCAAAAGAAGATGGAATGACATGTTTAACAATCCAAATAAAATAGTCTATCAGGGTAGTAACTTCCCAAAAATAATCAAAAAAAATGTAGTTCCAGTTTTCCAAAAAGATTAGGTTTGGCTATAGTAACACCGAGAAAAGAGGGGGGGACGAAAGGTAGGTGGGGGCCAAATCTCAACATTTTTTTGCGCTCATCCTGTTTCAATATCGAACTTTCCCTTCCCCCTAGATGCCTCTCAATTTCCTGCATCCATTTCGTCTCATACGTAGGCTTCCCCCATTGGCCTCTCCACCACTTCTTACGTTTTTGTTGTTGCAATATCCGAACTTCCACGGCATCAACAACTTCTTGCATGCATCTTGTCTCAATATCTAAATTCCACCCACCCTGTGCCATAGTCAGTAATAAGAACCACAAGCAAGATAATGTTAGTCAGTTTGTTGGCCAGCTATGTGAATTGGAGGGGCCAAGGTGCCTCAACCGATGGACGCTCGGTTGATGCACTTTGCGTGTAGGGATAAGTCTTTAGGGATGTAACCTTCATGCGGCTAAGTGCGTGAAGATGTCTGAAGCAAAAGCAACATCAAGAATTGCAGAAGACGAAACCGTCCTTGTTTCGTGGGAACTCTTAAAAGGCTTGTGGCTCAGGGATAAGTGTCGCTGCGAAGGGACGTACTGATATTGTTTTCCTATCTAACATGAGTATTGCCCATGACCTGTGAAGAACATCGAGTAGTCTCGTAAAGTATTCCAGTTGGAGCATGGGGCTCCTACATAAAACAACGCTGCCCACGGGATGAGTTTTGTCAACGCAATCGAAGATTGAAAAGGATATCCAGGCCGTACTCTGAAACAAACTGACCAAAAAACCATGGAAATTCCATGAGGCCAACCGTAAACAAAATGCATAGCATCGAATACATCGGGAGTTTTTCCAATCCGGACCAGGCAGGATTCGAAGGGTTAAGGGGGGGGGCCCCCCTTATGTGGAGATTCCTTACTTCCAGCCGTCAATTTCCAGGAAAGGGCCAACCACCTCCCCCAGTACTAAACTAGTACTAAAGTACATGGAACATATGGAACTCAGGTAGCCTAGGCTACCTTTCCTGATTTCCAGTTTTTATATGTTTTTTTTATGGGATTTTTCCATCATTTCCAGGTGTCCAACTTGCGGCCATGCTGACCTTGACCACCGCATCACGGCGGCTCTTCGCCAGGCAGAGGACGCCCCGGCGCATGGCCAGTCGGAATGAGTTGCACTGATAATCCCTTTGAGGGATTATATTGGGGTATCAGATTGATGTATCATCAAATGATTATAGTTCCATGATCATGAATTATAACTTAATCATATTCAGTCTATCTTGGGGTCTTACTTTGACGTGATTTCTATTGCTGAGTACCTCATCTATGAAGTCGCTTGGGATAATCATGGATAATCGGATCTGCAAATCAAATCCAGAGCTGCTGGGATGCTGGGGAAGTAACACGAAACTAGTCAATGGATTTGGCCCCAAAGGGCCAAATCGTTGGACGCAACTGTGTCTAGATGATTATAGATGTATAGGATGGCGCCGAGCAGGGTGATCCGCATTGTCATTTTGTCGCAAGGTCCTGTATCTGCGTTGGTTTCGCCTAGGCCTCTCGTGAGATGTTTCAGCCAAAAGCTGCGCACCGGCATTGCAACGCAACATAAATTACAATGAGGGATCCTGGTCACTTCCTGGTCCACCATTCCGAACATTTCCACATCATTTCGCCTCAATATGCCTCGATCCCCCGAAACCCAGGCTAATCAACCATGGCGGGCCGCTGGGAAATCCCCCCTGGCTGGGCAATGGGAAAATCATCAATAGTCAATCTTCATCACCATGATTGATCATTATTGACCATTAATTACCATTGTTAGCCATTGTAATCTTGTAATCTTCACCATTAATCACCATGAAATCCCATTAAATCACCATGAAATGCCGTTAAACCACCTTTCTAATCCCATTAAATCACCATTAACATTAACTCCCATTGAATCACCAAAAGTGCCTCACTTTTTCCTCTGGCACCGCATCCCTTTGGACGACGGAGGCCACCTCACCGGCGCAGAGGAAACGAGCGACTCGTTGGAGAGCCTGGCGACGACCCATGGACATCAAATCTCTCTCGCCATTTTCTTAACTTAAAAAAATGAACTGGTTTGAAATATGTGACCAGATATTGTTCTTAATGATTTTTTTGGAATGTTCTAAAATTTAGTTAATTTTGAAATATGTTCAATGGAATATGGATGACTATGGAGGAATATGAGACCATTGTTTGATAAAGACGATTTAAGATTACTGTAGGTAGGCCGATGTGAGGTCATTCTGATTCACACGACAAATGGAAGATAATGGCGATGGTGGTGTACCTCCACATGGATGATGCGGCGGTTGGTCGGCCGAAAACCCGGCGAACCAGTTGCAGATTCACTGTCATTCACCATCACAATCACCATCGGCATCGCCATGGGCATCCTGCCCTGCTGGCAGCACGGCGCACCTCTAAGGTTGGATCCAACTCACTGTAGGGTCCAGGGACTTTGATCCATAGCTTTATATCCTGGGGCTGGTGGCCAAATTCCCAAGCTTTTCGGATGAATCTACTGCTCAGCCCCCAGTCATTGCAGAGGAGTCCTCTGGGAGGGGGCACCGTGGATTCTTGCAATCCTGGCTGTGTCCCATGATCACTTGACCCCGCTCCCAATTTCGAAGTCCGTCATGATTGCTTGGCATGGCTATCCATGGCTCAAAGGTAAATGATCCTTTCTGGCAACATCCAGCATTGGCAGTCCATGCGCTCCTTGGTTTTCAAGTCGTTGTCATCTCCCTCATTTTTGGGCCCCTCGGTACCCCCGCCATCTACCTCACCAAGCCCCAAATGTCACTGACAAATCAGCAGCATGCGCACCAGCAGCATTCTTCGCAAACGTAGGTCACCAGCGAAAAACACCTCAGGACAGCCAGGCACCAGTTACTCAGTTACTCAGTAGGCCCCCACATGAAACTCTCTTGTTCTGATCATCCTTCTACATAAGCAAACACAAAACCAACTCTTGACCTTTGACATCCTTTCACCACATCACATCTGCGATTGGTTCCCTGAGACCAGCACGACGCTGGGCGGCCAACATCGTGCAAGGCCCTGGGGTGCGGCGCCAATACGAATCAATGGGAACTAGATGGAGCTAGCCTTAACTAGTTAAATAATGTTAAATAATGTTATTAAATAGTCAGAAGCCACATCTAGAGAGGTTTTTTTTGCCAGATCTGGGCACAACAATTCACATCTAATGTCTATATGATATTACCCTATGAGCCATATATATTACCCATTGAAATTTACTAACCGACAGCGCCGGCCTCAGATCCACCGGAGGTGCTGCGTTGCAGCTGGGATCCTGGGCCGAAGTCATTAGGGGAGGGGAGGGAGGGTTTAGTAAAAAGGGGAAGGGATTAATTAAGGATTTTGGGGACAAACAAAACTATCTTACATATTCTTATGACTTGCGTGGCCAGCCACGGGCTGGAAATTGAAAAACAATTATTTTACCATTTGTTTATCATTTTGGCTTCCTCAAAATTATCAAAAAAACATCATCTGTTTGAGAACAATTATCATTTTTTGTTCTTTAAGGTTTCCAAAATTATTGTTTTTTTATCCTTGCCCAGCTCCAGAATTATCATTTCTTAATCCTATGAGCGTTTCAGGATTATCATGCTTTTTATCATTTGAGCTTTCCAGAATTATCACCATTTGATTTTTAGTATCACATACAGTAGCCATACGAGCTTACCAAGTACTAAGTCCATCCAGGTTTTGGTTAAAACCTCAAAACCTCAATACCCCTACATATGGCCATGGGGCAAGGCAACCTCCATAGCAGAATCAATTAGATCTAGATTCTAGATTCTAGATGTCTTGGCATCATGTGCCCAAAGTCCATGTACATTGCAGCCTTGCGCTGTTCAAACCTTGGGAGAGTCACCTTCAGCACGTTTGCCAGGATGATTTGCTGACAAAGAAATTTTCGTAGGATGGAGGCTGGTGTCCTGAGAGGACAAACAGAATGATAAAAAAATATTTAAAAAATGATATATTTTTTTCAGAATGATAAAAACAATGATAAAAAAATGATATTTTTTTGATGATTTTTTGATGATTTTTGAAGGTTTTGCTTCAAAAGAGAAAATCAAGCAAAACCCTAGGAAATCATCAAAAAATCATCAAAAAATCATCGTTTTGCTTGAAAAAAACCCAGAAAACATGCCAAAATCTTGTTTGTTACATATAATTACACATTGCTCCAGACCCCGAAAGAATGCAGAACCCCCGTTAAAAGATCCGCCGACCCCGGCCTTCGCCAAGGCCGGGGCGGTGCCTGGGACCACCGCAGGTGTGGAACTTTTCCGCGCGGGCTTTACTTTAAATCTGCGCGGCAGCTTCCACCAAGCCTGGCCGTCAGCCTTTGCTGCTCCAGGGTTGCAGCCTGCCCTTTGCCTGCACATCCCTCGCGGCAGCTTCCACCAAGCTCCTGGCCGTCAGCGTTCCAGCATTGCAGCCTGCCCTTTGCCTGCACATAGCCCTCTCTTGTTAGGGCATTCGAGCCTGCCGTTTGCCAGCCTTCAAACCCTTAAAACCCCTCAAACCCTCCGCGGCAGCTTCCACCAAGCCTCTGGCCGTCAGCCTTTGCCTTCACCAAGCTCCTGGCCGTCAGCGCTCCAGCATTGCAGCCTGCCCTTTGCCTGCACATAGCCCTCTCTTGTTAGGGCATTCGAGCCTGCCGTTTGCCAGCCTTCAAACGCTTAAAACCCTTCAAACCCTCCGCGGCAGCTTCCACCAAGGCCTCTGGCCGTCAGCCTTTGCTGCTCCAGGGTTGCAGCCTGCCCTTTGCCTGCACATAGCCCTCTCTTGTTAGGGCATTCGAGCCTGCCGTTTGCCAGGCTTCAAACGCTTAAAACCCTTAAAACCCTCCTTTGCCTGCACATAGCCCTCTCTCGTTAGGGCATTCGAGCCTGCCGTTTGCCAGCCTTCAAACCCTTAAAACCCCTCAAACCCTCCGCGGCAGCTTCCACCATGCCAGCGGCCGTCAGCCTTTGCCTTCACCAAGCTCCTGGCCGTCAGCGCTCCAGCATTGCAGCCTGCCCTTTGCCTGCACATAGCCCTCTCTTGTTAGGGCATTCGAGCCTGCCGTTTGCCAGGCTTCAAACGCTTAAAACCCTTAAAACCCTCCTTTGCCTGCACACAGCCCTCTCTTGTTAGGGCATTCGAGCCTGCCGTTTGCCAGCCTTCAAACCCTTAAAACCCCTCAAACCCTCCGCGGCAGCTTCCACCAAGGCCTCTGGCCGTCAGCCTTTGCTGCTCCAGGGTTGCAGCCTGCCCTTTGCCTGCACATAGCCCTCTCTTGTTAGGGCATTCGAGCCTGCCATTTGCCAGGCTTCAAACGCTTAAAACCCTTAAAACCCTCCTTTGCCTGCACATAGCCCTCTATCGTTAGGGCATTCGAGCCTGCCGTTTGCCAGCCTTCAAACCCTTAAAACCCTTCAAACCCTCCGCGACAGCTTCCACCAAGCCCTCTGGCCGTCAGCCTTTGCCTTCACCAAGCTCCTGGCCGTCAGCGCTCCAGCATTGCAGCCTGCCCTTTGCCTGCACATAGCCCTCTCTTGTTAGGGCATTCGAGCCTGCCGTTTGCCAGGCTTCAAACGCTTAAAACCCTTAAAACCCTCCTTTGCCTGCACATAGCCCTCTCTCGTTAGGGCATTCGAGCCTGCCGTTTGCCAGCCTTCAAACCCTTAAAACCCCTCAAACCCTCCGCGGCAGCTTCCACCAAGCCCTCTGGCCGTCAGCCTTTGCTGTTCAGGTTTGCAGCCTGCATGTTTCCTGCACCATCCTCGCGGCAGCTTCTTACCAAGCTACTGCCGGTGCCAGCGTTCCAGCATTGCAGCCTGCCCTTTGCCTGCACATAGCCCTCTCTCGTTAGGGCATTCGAGCCTGCCGTTTGCCAGCCTTCAAACCCTTAAAACCCCTCAAACCCTCCGCGGCAGCTTCCACCAAGCCCTCTGGCCGTCAGCCTTTGCTGCTCCAGGGTTGCAGCCTGCCCTTTGCCTGCACATAGCCCTCTCTTGTTAGGGCATTCGAGCCTGCCGTTTGCCAGGCTTCAAACGCTTAAAACCCTTAAAACCCTCCTTTGCCTGCACATAGCCCTCTCTCGTTAGGGCATTCGAGCCTGCCGTTTGCCAGCGTTCAAACCCTTAAAACCCCTCAAACCCTCCGCGGCAGCTTCCACCAAGCCCTCTGGCCGTCAGCCTTTGCCTTCACCAAGCTCCTGGCCGTCAGCGCTCCAGCATTGCAGCCTGCCCTTTGCCTGCACATAGCCCTCTCTTGTTAGGGCATTCGAGCTGGCCGATGTTTGCCCAGGCTTCACACGCTTTTAAAACCACTTAAAAACCCCTCCTTTGCCTTGAGCACATAGCACTCTCTCGTTTGGGCATTCGAGCCGCCGTTTGACAAGCCTCAAAACCCTTAACCATCCAAACCCTCCGCGGCAGCTTCACAAGGCCTCTGGCGTTCAGCCTTTTGGGCTCAAGGGGTGCAGGCCTGCTTTGCCTGCAAATAGCCCTCTCTTGTTAGGGCATTCGAGCCTGCGTTTGCCAGGCTTCAAACGCTTAAAACCCTTAAAACCCTCCTTTGCCTGCACATAGCCCTCTCTCGTTAGGGCATTCGAGCCTGCCGTTTGCCAGCCTTCAAACCCTTAAAACCCCTCAAACCCTCCGCGGCAGCTTCCACCAAGCCCTCTGGCCGTCAGCCTTTGCCTTAACCAAGCTCCTGGCCGTCAGCGCTCCAGCATTGCAGCCTGCCCTTTGCCTGCACATAGCCCTCTCTTGTTAGGGCATTCGAGCCTGCCGTTTGCCAGGCTTCAAACGCTTAAAACCCCTCCTTTGCCTGCACATAGCCCTCTCTCGTTAGGGCATTCGAGCCTGCCGTTTGCCAGCCTTCAAACCCTTAAAACCCCTCAAACCCTCCGCGGCAGCTTCCACCAAGCCCTCTGGCCGTCAGCCTTTGCCTTCACCAAGCTCCTGGCCGTCAGCGCTCCAGCATTGCAGCCTGCCCTTTGCCTGCACATAGCCCTCTCTTGTTAGGGCATTCGAGCCTGCCGTTTGCCAGGCTTCAAATGCTTAAAACCCTTAAAACCCTCCTTTGCCTGCACATAGCCCTCTCTCGTTAGGGCACTCGAGCCTGCCGTTTGCCAGCCTTCAAACCCTTAAAACCCCTCAAACCCTCCGCGGCAGCTTCCACCAAGCCCTCTGGCCGTCAGCCTTTGCTGTTCCAGGTTTGCAGCCTGCCCTTTTCCTGCACATCCCTCGCGGCAGCTTCTACCAAGCTCCTGGCCGTCAGCGTTCCAGCATTGCAGCCTGCCCTTTGCCTGCACATAGCCCTCTCTTGTTAGGGCATTCGAGCCTGCCATTTGCCAGGCTTCAAACGCTTAAAACCCTTAAAACCCTCCTTTGCCTGCACATAGCCCTCTCTCGTTAGGGCATTCGAGCCTGCCGTTTGCCAGCCTTCAAACCCTTAAAACCCCTCAAACCCTCCGCCTCCGCGGCAGCTTCCACCAAGGCCTCTGGCCGTCAGCCTTTTCTGCTCCAGGGTTGCAGCCTGCCCTTTGCCTGCACATAGCCCTCTCTTGTTAGGGCATTCGAGCCTGCCGTTTGCCAGGCTTCCAACGCTTAAAACTCTTAAAACCCTCCAAATCCCTCGCACCACCTGCCACCAAGCCCCTTCAAACGCTCCAAACCCTTACAACCCTCCAAATGCTGCACTGCTTCCTCGCGGCAGCTGCCACCAAGCCCTCTGGCCGTCAGCCTTTGCTGTTCCAGCATTGCAGCCTGCCCTTTGCGTGTACATAGCCTTCTCCAAGCCTTCAAATCGTTACAACTTTCAAAATCTCTCGCGGCAGCTTCCACCAGGCACTCTGGCCGCAGGCATTTGTTGTTCGAACGTTGAAGCCAGCCGTTTGCTTCCATCGCGTCTGTTGTTACCGCGTACATTCTTTCCGTTTGCCAGCTTTCACACCTCGCAAATGCTTCGCTGCAGAGGTCTTGCCATTGCCATCTGTTCCTACGGCAAGCGCAGTCTTTCTATTTCATTTCCTTTTTTTCTTTGCCTTATTGTCGGGAACGTGCCAATGTTTCATCTGGCATCGTTTTCCCGAGGGCGTGACATGCGTCACCGCAATGCGCCCACATGACTGCGATGACCAAACAACAGTTGAGCACACGGGGCAGCTGTGCGCATGACACCGTGTGTTCTTGCTGACCGCACTGTCCTTCACATAAAATTGGTTCCCACAGACTGTTCGATGGTCGATTCTCCCTGTCCTGACGTCGCTTCTGACATTTCCCTTGCAAAATGGACACCTGTACACTACGCCTTTCTCTGTAACAACCCCATCCTGAACAGAAAATTGGTTCCCACAGACTGTTCGATGGTCTACTTGCCCTGTCCTGACATCGCTTCTCACATTTCCCTTGCAAAATGGACACCTGTAAACTACGCCTTTCTCTGTAACAACCCCATCCTGAACAGAAAATTGGTTCCCGCAGACTGTTCGATGGTTAATTTGCCCTGTCGCCACGTTACTGGCTACATGCCCATTGCAAGCGGGACAAACGTAGTCATACTGTTTCGCACAGGGGCGTCCTTCCCTGACTCCGAAAGAGTTACCGCATGTGCGGCGGTGATTGACTTGGCCTGTTCGTATAGTACTGTTTACAGGCTGCTTGCAATGCGGACACACGTATTGGAAAATCTTGCCTTTGGCCATGGCTTCTGCTGCCTTCGTTGGCCGCACCGCCCTCTGCCGTCCGTTGCTGTCGTCCTGTTGGCCATGTACATCTGCAGGCCCTTCTGTGGTCATTTCTGTTCTGTTCTCTTGTCTGCGCTGTTTTGTCTTCGGCTCTGCTTCCTTCGTTTGGGGGCTCTCCTGTTCTCTATTCCGTTTTCGTTCCGCGATGGCATCCCAGACATCTGCGATGGCGCGTGCCTTTTTTTCTTCCGCTGCCCTCCGCGCGACTTTCGCCTGCGTTGCCGCTACCCGCTGTACCGCTTTGCTGATGCTTCCCCGGGGAATGGGGCACTGCCAGCAGTTGCTACAGACTTGGTCACCATTACAAGAACGATGTTGCGCCAGCCAGGCTTCAAAAGCGCACGCTGCTTGCTTTACCTTGCAGACGCTGCATCTCCACCAGCCCCATGCTTTACCCGAACAATCTAAGCACACTCTACCGCCCCTGCGTGCTCGTTTCCAGGCCCCGCCAGAAAATTTCTTTTCGTCCTTGCGCGTATTGCAAACACTACACACTTGTGTCTGTTCGCACGTCTTACAAATACGATAAAATGTGGCTTGTGGCCTTGCATGTTCTGTCTTGAATGCATCTTCCTGTTTCCACGCCGTGCAGGCCATGCATTGCCACGGCTGCTGCGCCTCAACGTGCCTACGAATGCATTCCTTGCATACTCTCGCCGCATCTGCTCGTTTCCATCGACCAGCCGTGAATGCAGACGCCGGCTTTGCTTCATTACATTCTTTGCATTGTCTTTCGTCTCGGTATTTCGCTCGCAGCGCCCTCCAATCCATTTTTTCACCACCCCAGAACCGCAACAGCAATTCCCGCCCTACTTTTGCCCCTTTTTGAAATGGTGCTGCAGGGAACGGTCGGTACACAAACAAACCATACCTGTCTTGGACTCGCGTTAATGCAATGTAAGCTGTCAATGGGTCGCCTGCTTCCCCAATGTGCATTTTAAAAACCCTTAAAACGCTCCAAATCCCTCGCGGCAGCTACCACCAAGCCCTCAGGCCGTCAGCGTTCCAGCATTGCAGCCTGCCCTTTGCCTGCACATAGCCCTCTCTTGTTAGGGCATTCAAGCCTGCCGTTTGCCAGGCTTCAAACGCTTAAAACCCTTAAAACCCTCCAACCCCCTCGCGGCAGCTTCCACCAAGCCCTCTGGCCGTCACCTTTTGCTGTTCCAGCATTGCAGCCTGTCTATCTATCTATCTATCTATCTGTCTGTCTGTCTGTCTGTCTATCTGTCTATCTATCTATCTATCTCTCTCTCTCTCTCCCCCTCTTTACAGGACCCCCCGAATGGGGGGGTCGGCGGCACCAGGGCGCTAGCCCATTCTATTACAGTTGCCGCAGTGTTATGGGTTTGTCCGCATGCAAATTGGGATAGGCTTCAACTGTGGCCAGCCGCGGCCATGCAAATGTCTAGTTGCCTTCGATTTCTGAGCATCTGGCCCCATTCGGCAAACCTGGGGCGATGGGCAGCATGTCGCTCAGGCACAGTTACTAGATGTTACCAGTAGTTCAAATGAAGTTTGACATGGGCGATGACGACAGAATGAACGAAAAGCATTCGAAAAATTGTCCTTTGAAATTCGAGGGAACTGCCCCAAAGATCCACAAACCAAAGGCTTTGGGCATCCAACTTAGCATTCACCTTTTCAAAGAAGCGGACTGCCTGAGCTTCAAGCAAATGAACATAAATGAACATCCGAGTGCAACAAACGTGCCCTAACTCCGTGTGACTGCACATCCCCGAAAATGTATCATTTTACAGGCGTTGCGTCCTTTCAGAAACCAGATTTCTTGCGCCAAACGATGCTCAAACCAGCCTGTTCATTGTCCATTTGTACCATCTTGCAGTCAGTGGTTTTGAAAAATGGACCACTGACCCATTCAAATCCTTGTAGTTTGGCAGGTCAGGAACCTGTAAGAAGCATGTCCAAAACATTCCAACAGTTTTAGAGTACAGGTTGTTTCCATCAGTCAACCATCAATGAATCAAACCAAGCAGCCGAAGATCAAATTGCACCACCCAAAATATATGTCTTACCCAGCTTTAGATGGAAAACTCATGATATCACTGGTCATCTTGGATCTTCTAGTGTGGTTTTGCCTTGCACACCACACACATCCACACACACTCCAGAAATCCTGGGAGGGACTGGGAGCTCCCTGCGTTCTGTCGCCTCAACTTGGCTCCTTCCGACCTCCCACCTCTGCCGCGCTTTTTCGCGTCCTGAGACCATGGCAGACCCCCAGGATGTGAAACCTGTGGAGCAGCTGTGAACTTTCAGGTGGATTTGTTGTTGATGGCCACTAATTGATATATATATATATAATGTGTATTTTTTGCACAAATGTACAGTTATACTTTATGTGTATATATATATATATGTATTACATTATATATATATATATTACATGTTTGACTGCGCACTCCATATGTATAATATATATATATTACATTATATATACATGTACTTATGTGTGTGTGTTGTATCATATGCATATAGTAACCCCAAAAACAAATGGCCTCGAAGAGCTGGAAGCGGCCGGTGCCTGGTGAATCTCGTGCAGCTTCAGCGCCCAAGAGAGGGATCTATTGGTGAATAACCGCTAATATATATATATATATATTATGTGTGTGTGATACAATATAGATGCATGGTTGGCAATAGATGGTTACTAAGGTAATAACTGTTAATGTCAACCCCGGATTAATAAACCATGGTTTATTAATATTTATTAATTAGGGGGCTACTCCTCCAATACAGTACGTGTTTTTTTTGTTTTGTTTGGTTGATCATTGATGGTGAGTAATGAATCAATAAACCCATCCCTCATAATAAACCATGGTGGAATATACCGGATCGGGGCTTGTCGAAAACACCAACAACGACGTGGTGGGGACAACCAGTCGCCCTTTAAAGATGCTGGGGATCATCGGCTGGAAAAAACATGGGAAAATAGTGATTGAACTAAGAAAACCATAGGAAAACCCATGGGAAATCATCGGCTGATTGAATCCTGATGATTCCCGATGGCTTTCCCGGCTGAGATCATTCGAACGGGGTGCCTCTGGTGTGAGAACACTCGATGCGCCGCACTGGTTGGCCCATTCTGGATAACAACGGAACAGTGATAATTTGTTTAAAGGGTTGGTTGTTGGGCAACCCATCCGAAGCACACGAATGCACTCTCTTGGCCTCAAAGCACCACATTTCTGCCCTGCCTTTCTTCTCCTTCCCTCGCACCGCGTATGTCTTGACCACCTGTGATGGATGGAGCAGTGTCAAAGGGTTATGTGCCATCATGTTCCAATCTCTAGTTACTCTAGTTTATCTGCCTAGACTTTTGACCTTGCGTGCTATAGCTGCATCATTCGAATCTTGGAAGTCCCGTCTGATGCTTCCCACCTGTGCACGGCTCTAGCAGGGCGCCTTGTGTTCATTCAACTCCCACCCAACAGGTGGCTGCTTTTGTGGCGCATGTTGATCCAACCTGGCGGGGAAAAAATGAACAGCGCATGACATCATGATCCGATAACCGAAGGTTGCCTGAAAAAAATCTGGCAACGATGATCAACCATTCCAGGATCCAGGTGATGGATGGCCCCCCAATGCCCCCTAGGCATCAGGCCGCCTCTTTTTTGCCTCAAGCACATGCCTGGCACTGGATCTTTTGGGTCCGGCAATTCCAGCGGCAATTGCTATGCTCTCAGTGAAACCACGCGTCAAGCGATGTGAAGCGCCTGGCGGGCTACTAGAGGTGATGAGTGCAATGGGAAGGCCGATGTGGCAGGCTAGAGATCTCAGCGGGTTGTTCAGTTGTTCGCTGTTTGTTTGGGCAAAATTGTAATAGGCCCCAATTATTTGTGCTTACTTCGAAGGCACAAGTCACCAAAAATAATCTTCCGTTCCAGAGGCAGCGCTGCTTTTGTGTCGCAGGCACCAAGGCATTTGGTAGGCAGCACATTGCCTGGCAGAAGATCCTTACGGATTTCGATGGATTTGGATTTGGCACGTGCAAGGCTGTGATTCGTTTCATCCAGCCAAAGCCGCACGGCTGATGGTTTTGGGTATTAGGGTGAAACCATTGCAGAGCCGCCACAGCTGAATTAGGTATTTGGGGTATGGATGGGTATGGGTCAAAATGTGGCACCAGAGAATTGCAAGAAGCAAAAGGAAACCAAGTCTTCAAAATGATCTTTGCATTGCACGGTCCTAGTCTTTCACCCATACCCATCTGATATCATCTGATGGTATTTGAAGTTTAATTATTTGACAAAGAGCCTGAATGTGGGTGTGTCTGAAAATGGAGTGGTCCCATCTGAACACAAGTAGAATTGACTAGCATCATTTTCCGTATATTAAAAATATATATATATAATAATATGATCGAAATATATTAGAAATATACGTTCCCATGTTTTCCTCATTGAATTGACAGCTTATCTTGGGGTAAGTCCTCCATTTTCAGACAATCCCATGTAACAAATCCCGAGTCCGCGCTCAGGGGCTCATGTCCTCCAGTTTGTTCCACACCACTTTGGTCACCTGGCCCCATCGGCTGATGTGTGGATAGGGTTCCATGGGGTTCCCATCAGTTGGGGTATAGAATACAGTAATCAAGATTTGTTTTATCCCGAGAAAATCAACTAGAGGTGGGGTGGCACTATACATATGACATACTTTATCATACTTTGGGTACTAATGGTTCTTGCTGGCCTAAATGGTTGTTGCTAAAAAAATAATGCCCCGTTCTCGTTTGTCAAATCATCCAAAATCATCAAACACCTGGCTCAAACCGCCATGGATCACCTGGCTCAAACTCTTTCCAGATGTTTCTGGAACATAGATGGCCAAAAAGAAGGCTGCCAGAACGCAGACAGCAGTGTACAATGCAAAGGTTCCTGCGGCGGTGGTTGAGAACAAGAAGAATTCGGAAGCCACCCATCCTGAAACTACATTGAACGCTTGGGAGGACAAGCTAGAAAACAAGAGTTCTCTGAGTTCTCTTCTCTTACTTCCAGAAAATGAGAGGGGAATAGACCCAATCAAAAACATCCGCGGTAGTCATATCCCGGCTCCCTTGGTAGGAACCTGCCGGTCCTGCTAAGGTCATCGACTCTGACAAGGGCAGCCAGCTCAAAGCGATAGTGAAATTGGCCACCCACTTCACTGCTAGGCACAGGGAGACACCAGGCGCACGGATGTGTTCCTTGGGTCAACATGTCAGAACGCGCGGTGAGTTTGGTCGCTACATTGGGATTTCAGCAACGCCCGGTTTGTGGAGATCCTCCTTCCATATTTTTGGGGATGGAAAGCCAACAGCTTCTGATAAAATTGGCCAGCCAGATGCAGGGAACACCTCAGCAGTGATGATGTAAGGCAAAGGCCCCAGGGAGACCGAAAACGCCACCCTGAAGGAAAAGCACGAAATGAGGGCCACCCAGCCGGCACGGTGTCCGGCTGGCATCCAAAAGCTCCACATGATCCCCACCAAACTAAGCACCATGAAGGCTAGACCAATGTAGCCTCAGTGGTGCCAATAAAGGTACGAATCGTCCATGAGAATTGGAAATAGCAGCACGACAATCACTCAACTAACATTGGGGGACATTCATGGGGAAGAGAACCACTTTAGTGATGTTTAGCAATCCTTGCCGACTTCAAGGGATAATTTGACTTTGAACTTCGTGAACGTCTCAGCACCAAATTAACGTTGATGCGCCATGGACTTAGCAAACTGGGCTGTAAGTAAGCTATAACTTACCCATACTTACCCCATTGTATACTCAATACTTGCGCATCAGTTAACTGGTGTTAAGTTAACCTCCATGGCCCAAGGGGACAACCATCAGTTAACTGCGAGGAGCTCATAGGTTTTCTACCCACTTTGTCGACCAAGCGGGACAGCAACAAGGTGGAGATCATTTGGCACGCGCTGATGCCGGCACTTAGAAAGATGGCCGTCGAGCTTGGAAAGCCCGCCAAGGTAAACATCTTTGGGCCGTAGTAGATGATCACCTCGATGCTGGTTCCATCCCAAAAAAAAAGAACCACATGGATGGGGCAAAAAGGGATACTTACAAACAGACATGGTAAATTTAAATATTTGGCACAAGGAAGAAAATATCCGAACCAGCTGGAAGTGACATTAATGCCGGATGCTTGTGCTAGAACGTGCAAGCCGCAGCCAATGGTCAGTGGAAGGATCGCTTCTCCCGAACGGAAGGCTTGCCACAGATTTGCCCATGAGGCAGTGGATTCCAAAATAGCTTCTTCACAGTCTGGATTTTCGCAATCCATGCCTGCTTGGTGGTTGAGCTACTCATCCCCAACATCTGAGTCAACTATAGTCAACTGGGGATCATCTTCTATTCTAATCATTTCTTATCTACATAAAGCCTATCTATGAATCTATGTTTTGGGCGTTGCAAGTTGCAAGGTTTAAAAAAAAAATGCTGAAAATCCCAGGCCGAATACCTTCTAGGGCTACCGCCTGGAAAGACCTTCGGGCCATGGCTAGACTTTTGGGCCGCTGCCGATACCACAAACTCGACTCTGGCATGATGGCTGAGCCCCAAATCACTTGCAGCAAAGCTGGCACAACGCCCAAGGCAAAGACCCAGCGCCAGTCTGAAATGGCCCAGCAAACCAGGTTGGCTACCAGAATGCCACTAGTTCCCATCATCACTAGGATCGCCCCATGCTCACCACGACGACCAGCTGGCACCACCTCACCAATGTAGACGTGAACCAAGGCGGAAGCAATCCCTACACCGATGCCCACCACACATCGCGACACCACCAGGCATTGGATGCCTGGCGATAGCGCAGAACTCAAGGACCCCACGATGAAGAAGAAATTGTTGGTCAAGAGCGTGGTGCGGCGCCCGAAGTGATCTGCCAGTGGCCCAGCAAACAAGGCGCCGAAAAAGGCACCGACCAAGCAAGATGAGACCAAGATGCCCTTCCAAAGGCTGCTGTGGAGGCAAATGGCTTCATGGGAGCAATCGGTATGAGCGGAGTCCAGGTAAAGTAGGACCCCTCCGATGTTGGAGGCCGAGTAGCTGAAATTGAAAAGACTCAATCCAGTGACAAAAATCAAGGCACCCATGTGACAGGAAGACCAGTTGGCCGTGGGAAGTTCATCCTCCATGGTGGCGCCTGCAGGCGCGGCTGTACGGCAAAGCTGGGCCTGGCAAGGCCCGGCCTGGCTTGGAGCCAAAAGCTGCAGGGGACAGGATGGCTGATGAGTTGGCTGGATCCCAAACTGGTGGCATTCATATCCATTCAGCGATGACAAGATCATCCTGGATTCAGAAATCTACTTAATCCAACAACTGCCATCAAAGAGTTGCAGTCCAACTGCAGGGTTGGGCTGAAACCAGTTTGCATCTACAACTCATAGCCAGCTTCAATTGTATGACCTGTGTTTTGTTTGACCCAAATTGGAAATCCGCACCCACTGGCACTAGGATGAACTGGGCTAGAAAAGTGTTCATCAGTCGCTTGTGGAATTTGCATAGTTTGTCATGACATGTGGAATTTGCATAGTTTGTCATGACATCGGTCAGTTGCAGTTTATATGCCAGAAAAAAAAAATAGTATAATAGTATAATAGTATCATATGTATATTGCATATAATATATATATATAATTATGTATGTAACATGTGTATGCGCGTATGTATATACACATGGATCATATGTCCGCGGCAATTTAAGCTATGTAAAATCCACTTACAATCCATGGAATGGGATGATCCAATATTAAACACCCCAAATCCCAACAAATCCCCGTTGATTTGTGCACTCATCTCGCCTCGCACATCCGGAATTCATCTGGGCACCAGCTCAACGCCATGGCGGCAAACAAATGAAGCAATGTGCCAGTAAGCCCTTTACTCTTGAGGGGTGATAATTTTATCGTGCCTCACACCCTTTTGGATCCTCTTGGTATGTGTTAAAAGAAGGGGTACCGCAAAATGCAATTTCATGTGGAAAACATGCAGTGGGATTTGCGGGTAGCCTATTTTAGACGTGACAAGAAGGCTGTTGTTCGGCCTGCCACTTATCACCAGGCAGTTGCATAACAAGCAGCAACATGCGCTGCAGGTATTGTTTGCACGTGTAGATAGATATATAAGATAGAACCATAGAAAGATAGATAGGTAGATAAGTAGATAGGAAGGTAGATAAGTAGATAGGTAGGTAAATAATGATTGATTGATTGATTGATTGATTGATTGGTTGGTTGGTTGGTTGATTGGTTGATTGATTGGTTGGTTGATTGATTGATTTGATTGATTTGATTGATAGATTGATAGATAGATAGATAGATAGATCAGATAGATCAGATAGATCAGATAGATCAGATAGATCAGATAGATCAGATAGATCAGATAGACCAGATAGATCAGATAGATCAGATAGATCAGATAGATCAGATAGATCAGATAGATCAGATAGATCAGATAGATAAGACAGACAAGATAGACAAGATAGACAAGATAGATAGATAAGATAGATACGATAGATACAATAGGAATGATAGATAAGATAGATAGGATAGATAAGATCGATAAGATCGATAAGATCGATAAGATAGATAAGATAGATAAGGTAGATAAGATAGATAAGATAGATAGGTTAGATAGGATAGATAGGATAGATATGATAGGTAGGATAGATAGGATAGATAGGATAGATAGGATAGGATAGATAGGTAGATAAATAGATAGATTGATAGATAGATTGATAGATAGATTGATAGATAAGGATAGGATAGGATAGGATAGGATAGGACAGGACAGGACAGGACAGGATAGATAGGATAGGATTGGATAGGATAGGATAGGATAGGATAGGATAGGATAGATAGGATAGATAGGATGGATAGGATAGATAAGATAAATAGGAGAGATAACTAGGATAGATAAATAGGATAGATGGATGGATGGATGGATGGATGGATGGATAGATAGATAGATAGATAGATAGATTAGACAAATAGATAGATAGGCGAACAAATAGATCGATTTATTTATCTATTCGTGTGTATGTAATCATAGCATGCATACACTCAGGGGAGGAGAACACAGTCAGTCAAACATCCTGAAAATTCTGGCAAGGTACCAATACGTATGGCAAGCTGAGGCCAACTTCTTCCCAACATGCCCAGGGTTGCATCTTGGCCGAGTGTCCACGGTGGTTCCGTTGCCCCTTACCCGTCTGGGGGCATGTAATCTAGGCACAGGTCAACCCCCAAAAATGGATGATTCTATAGTTACTCAATATAATCAGTCGTGTTGTTCATGTGGCGTGCTCTTTTTGACCAATACCCACATGGGCATTACCTGCTAATATTTGCCAACATTTTGGGTGATGTCAAAGGAAAAGGAAGTAAACGGTCGGTATCATTTGATCCAAGTTTCGTCATGCTGGGGATGGTGAGAAAATCCATGAAAATCCTCAATCAGAAATCATGCCAATTGATAATTGGATATAATTGGTTGATCTATCACGGCCGCTGGACCCATCTGGACCCAGCCACCATCCCCTCATGATTTCGTTCACTTAGACCACTGTTCAGCCACACATTGAGACAACAGTTCCCAAATGTTCCCAAGGCATAGCACTGAAGAAGCGCAACTTCCATGGGTGAAATTCACAGACTCAGAGGAGCGGTGTGATCTACAGCTGTGCCGCCAAGCTACGCGACCCTGACAGGGGCAGCTGTGAAGATCACAGCGGCACCCATCGTTGTCGCTGCACTTGGCGATGAGGTCCTTCAAACTGCCACCATTGAGGAAGGGCATCATCACCCACTCCCCCACCTCGGACCAGTGCGACCAAGGCTGGCTTCATCATGTTCAGATCTTGCTGGTTGCTCCCAGGTGTCAGGAATAAAGGGGGGGGATGCTGCTAATGTATGCTAATGTCATCTGCTAGAGAATTAATGGGCCTGGAGGTGGAAGATAGATGAAGATAGTGGACATCGTGCACCTCCTGGCAAGCCCCGACCCGGTCAGTTACCCAGCCACAGGTGAACGCGCAGTGTCGGGCACGCCGATGGTGGACACCACATACTCCGAAAAATGCTGTTTCATCCTCCAACTCAAGGCAGCTGGGGATGGCAGCTACATGCGAAAATATCCTGCAGTTCCTTTCAGTTCTAACTCGACTCGGGTCATCTACCAGTTTCATCGTATTTAAATTATGTTCTAAACCTTTTTCCGTCTTTAAGGAGACCTCTGGAGACTGATGCCAGTGGTGAATGTGGCAAATCAAAAAGTCCTTCCAACCTTCCATGCAATTTCCGCAAGGAATGCAATGTGGAGAGCTTCAGTTGAGAAGGATGCAGCTAGTCATCTAACCCATCTAACCCATCTAACCCCATGTTGGCAAGCAAGCTGTCTACTCACGGAACGTGCACATGTCCTTTCGACCTCCGTCTTCAAGCTACCGTCCGCTCTGGACACAAGTTTGGCCTGGGATCCATCCAGTACCGAAAAGAATGGGTGTGCTCTCCTATATCTAGATATATCATATTATTATATGAATTATGATCGTATGATATATATATATATAATTATCCACATACACGCAATACAAACGACCAGGGGTTGATTAGACCGGGTCTCTTACTTGGAAAGCTCAGAGGCATGAAAAAGATATAATGAGCGGAGGATGGGATTACTATTGCATGTTATTTTCAATCATATTGCCAATTTGACAGTCTTAGTATTACTAGGTATGATCATATGTAAAAATCAAGTGGGAATATAAATGTCAATGGATTGGCTTAAGGGAAAATTTACAGGAAAGCCCCATATTTAATGGGAAAATCTATGGTTTCCTGTAAATTTTCCCTTAAACCAATCCATTGAAAATGAAACAAACCACAACTCCGAGCTGTCAAGCCTTAAAAAAGTGCTGCCAATCCCACGCAAATTATCACCGACACTCAGAAATCTGGTGACGGTCTGCTACACGCCTCGAAAAGGGTATGGATATAAAGAATTACAATCTGCTAGCTGCTAACGTTATACACAATTAAATATAGTTCTTTACTTTATAAATGTAGTGCATATATGTGCGCATATATATATATATATATATGTGTGTGTGTGTGCATGTTGCATGTTATTACCGCTGCATATATATATTATGCACGCAGATATATAATGTACACACCATCTTTATCTCTCTCTATATATGTCCATATATATATATATATACATACTGTACATAATTGTACTAATATATCATACAATGTTACAATAAATAATTCATGGTTCTCATCACCTCATCAGCTGGCCACTGGTTCCAGTCGCCTTTCCACTGGCCACTCAGCTGAACTTTCCTGCAAGGCGCCGAGACGAAGTTGGGCGCGTTGGGCGAACTGTAGGACCACCAACTGCCGCCTCAGTAGCTGCCTGGTGAAAATTACTGGTTTATAGCCCGCAAAATTGAGATGGTCTATTTATGTTATGTAGATTTTGAGGTCTCTCTCTCTCTCTCTCTCCATCGCTTTCAGGCCAAACATCCCTTGGATTTTGATACACCGTACATTCTCTTACGAACAAAGAACGATATAACATCATAGCATGTATCAAGCATGTCATACATCATATATATTCGTATATCATATACGGCATAATCCAATATGTGAAAGTATACAACCAGCATAGTATAGAACATTGGTATGAAGCCGTTGCTGGCTGCCGTGTACATCGAAACAAAAAAATGGCAGTCAAAATCGGCCAGCACCAACACCGGGTGGTGGAAAAACGCTAGAAACATGTTTTTTTTATGTCACTGATAGTGAAAACCCTCCATCATGACACCCTGGGATGCCCAGTAGATCTTCACCTCCAGATCTCCCACTGACATCTGAGCTCTGACAGGAGACTGTCACAGGTGACTTTCATCTGATAGACCGCACCAAAGCCGCCTTGGCCAAGCTTCTTCACCAGCTCAAAGCGATCCCCTCAGGTCACTCAGGTCACTCCGGCGAGCCGTTGTGGCCATGTTGCGAGGTCCCAACTTGGTAACTTAACGAACAATTCCAACATCTTAGTCCACCATCGTTACTAGCGTAAGACGTACCAAGTGGAAATTGTCATCCAAATCTTGGTTGCCTGCTTGTGTAAGGCACACAAATTTGGCTTCGGCATGGCTTGAATACAGATTTACCCATCCAGGAAGTTTGTTACTAAATGAAATACGACGGAGGACCGGTCAGGGGACAGAGTTGTTGCTGGCATGATTGATGATGCAAATGTGATAACGCTATTCCGGCTCACTCAAAGCTAGATCAGTTTGATAAGGCAGTTGAGGAATGAAACATGCCCCATGGTTGGGCACACTTACAGCCAACGCAAGATTACACGCAGCTTCGTTGATTGCGAGATGTCATCACAAACTGCCATGGTCATTAGCTCACCTGAGAATGTACTGGTGTATTCGGTGGGCTGCAGTCGCGAAGATCTAACAAGCTGCTCCACACCCTCGGTACGTTCGGCAAAGTGGTGCGGTTTGCACCTTGCAGGGTCACAACTTTGGCCACAACCAATGGCCATGGCCAAAGAGGAAGCGATTTCTGGTCTTCTGAGGCGCTACATTCGCTACATCAGCAAGCATGGAAATGCAAAATAAGAAATGTATAGAAATGTGCAAAACGTCAGGCAATAAACCAGGGCCAAGGTTTCACTCCACTACCATCCACTACCACGATCTACCAAGGTGTAGAAAGCTTTGGGATCTGGAACCCTCTAGATTTTTTGTTGAATCTCGTGGTCGACATGGTGACTGTCGATGTGGACTCACGGACATCCCCAGAAAAAAAAAAAAAACATGATAATCAATTAACCATTGGCTGATTGTCTCATCACTGTGTGTATGTTTCTGCCATGCCCAATCTCATGTTGTCTCTCATGGGCCCGCAGAAGCACTAACTCCAACACAGGAGTTTCCACAAAATAGATCAAAATAGTTGTTTGAAAAACATGTGCAAATGGAATCACAACCAATAAATTATCACAAAATTCATCATAAATTCATATAAATTCTCACTATATACTGTGGGGACCCGGTCAATTAAGGGGGCGCTTGTCAATCTTGGGTCGACACTGGGACATGGCGCGTGAGTGGAGCTTAGGTTTCAGCTTGTCCATCCATGCAGAGCCGCGCCGTTCGGAAGTGCGCATGGACAAAGCCAAGGGCGCCATGAACAGCAAAGTCAGCAAAGTCCATGGGACGAACAGCCTGCGATCCATGGCTGTCGCTGAGATTTGGCAAATCTTTTTGGAAGCTGTGAGGCTCTAAGAGCCTGCGGCAATCGAAGCGAATCAGCGCCAAGCCACATCATTGGACCACCAGATTCATCCCCTCTGATAGTCTGTTGTACAATATGCACAGGAAAGTTTGTGCATGTGCTAGGGTGTGGTGCGCAACAAGGCAGGTGCAGAATGGAGACCCTCCAACAAAGTCTTGAGTTGGTACAGGTCTTGTTTGGTCAATTTCCTAAGCCTCGTGCATGCAGTCCTCATCCAAGAGACAGCTGGTCAGCTGCTCTTCCTTTTGCAGCGGCGGACGTTGAAGAAACTCCACATCTTTGGTCTCACGTGACCATCATCGTCTCATGGTCCATCTTGTGGCCAATGAGTTGCGCAAGAAGTACGTTTGCAACTGCATTCCCGGAAACACTCTATGAAGCACATCATCCTACATCATCCTGAACATGCTTGAAAAATATCTACAATCGACATTGACACTGGTGCTCTTGCTCGGGGAAAACCCTGGCCAAAAGAACCTGAGACCCACTGGCACTATCTGGCAATGCCGAACCCGTAAACCACTCAGGCACCGACAAAGCTCGTGAATCGAACTAAACTAGGGAGTCGACTGCGACGGCCGCGTACTGATACTGCAGCAGAAATTGCATGGATTGAAACGCCTGTCCCTCTTTGTTTGCGCATTTATACACGTATGGATGTATTATATTGTATTTGTAATGGCATGTAATGTAATTCAATGCAATGTGATGTATGTATGTAACGCATGTAATGTAACGGAATGCATGTAATATATTTGATGTTTGTAATGTATGGATGAATGTAATGCATGTAGTCTTGTTTTTTTTAATGTAGGTGTTGTATGTAGTATATGTGTCGCGTATGTCAAGTATGCAATAGATGTACAGTATGTATTGTATATATCGTACACATCGTAATGCAGCGTATGTATTGTACATATTATATAGACTATATGTACTGTATGTAGTGTAATGTCGTGTAAGGTTTGGTAAAGTATGGCAAGGTAATGCAATGTATGTGATGTATGCAATGTAAACAATGTATGTAGTGTATGTACTGTATGTAATGCATGTAATGTATGTAACCTATGTGATGAATGTAATGTATGTGATGCATGTATGTGTTTGTAACGTTTTATTGTAGCGTGTCATAACGTATGACTATGTATTCTCCGGTCATGTTTGTCATGTCATGTCTTGTAATGCAATCTAAATGTATGTCTACTGTAAATGCATGCATGCATGCTTCATGCATGTAGCATGAAAGCATGAAAGCATGAAAGCATGAAAGCATGAAAGCATGAAAGCATGAAAGCATGAAAGCATGAAAGCATGAAAGCATGAAAGCATGAAAAAGCATGAATGCATAAATGCATGCATGAATGAATAAATAAATTAAATGTATACATTGTTTTTCACCATCTACTTTTATAGCTGTGGCGTGAGCCCCAAACGCAAAAATTCAGTGCAGGCAAGACACAAAAGGTTTCTAGATTTATAGATGTGATAAACTCTGTATCTATCTATCTACCTACCTACCTGGCTAGCTATCTGTCTTTCTTGTCTATCCATCTATCCATCTATCTATCCATCTATGCATCTATCTATCTATCTATCTATCTAATTAATCTATCTATCTATCTATCTATCTATCTATATATCTATCCATCTGATCTGATCTGGTCTGGTCTGATCTGACCTGGTCTGATCTTATCTTATCTATCTTATCTATCTTGTATATCTTGTCTATCTGGTCTATATGGTATGTCTTTTCTATCTTATCTATCTAATCTATTTCATCTATCTTATCTATCTTCTCTATCTGGTTTGTCTTCTCTCTTATCTATCTAATCTATCTCATCTATGGTATCTTTCTTATCTATCTTATCTGTTTGAATTCGTATCTATCTAATATATGTAGAATATCTAGAATATCTATTTATCTAGAATATCTATTTATCTATCTATCTATCTGTCTATCTATCTATCTATCTATCTATCTATCTATCGTGTCTTATCTTATCCTATCCTATCCTATCCCATACTATCTATCCAATCTAATCTAAATAAATGTAATCTAATCTGATCTAATCTAATCTAATCTATCTGTCTGCCCCTCTCCCTCTGTATATAATAGATATATATATATATATATATATATATATATCCAGCTGATCTGATCTGATCGAATCGAATCGAATCTATGATATGCGCAAAGTCTTTCAGGGGTCAGAGGATTTCACAGGGTCGCGGGTTCTTTCAACACCTGGGGTTCTCTGTAGTTCCTCTGTTGGGACCTGGCCAAGTGTCTGACTTGTTATCTTTATGCCTCCGAAATCAGACCCCTTGGGTCTACTGATTCGAAAAGAAGACGAATATAGTTAATCTAACAGTTACTCGTGGGATCTTGTTACTGAAGAGCCAAAAACGCCTGATTCTAGTGTTGCTTGATTCGACATACAGTAAGACTATTAAGTTAAGTGTCCTCGGTATCCTCGGTGCTCTGGTTCCTAAAACTGGGGGCCTTCAGTGTAGCTAAAAGTCAGAGCCCGACGTCGTATAGGCATGTATAGTCTATATTTGGTGAAGTTTTTACAGGGCAATTTCTTGGGTCACCTGATTTTGAACAGAAAATTAGCACAGGGATGGTATCATACATGGTAATACATGGTATATGCAATTCCTTTCTGCACAGTACGACTCATTCAAAGCATTGCCGCTGACGTGCCGGCTCAATGGCGGACGCAGGACTTCGCGCGATAGTACTTCTCCTTAATCTGTCCTTGCAGGAGAAGTTTGATGCAAACTGATGAAACTAGCTCAACTCGAAAGAAAACATGATGAGAAATTGATTTCTGCACTCAAGCTTTCATGAAACACCTGATCCAGCCTCAAATTTTAAGCCTTCTTGGCAATGGCAAATTTCATTGTCTAGCAAAAAGCATAACCACGTGTCAATCAAATCAAATAAGCAGAAAGCACGTAAAATCATGCAAATCATATTGCGAACCCGTCCAAGGACATATATAAAACCATCTACAAGTAAGAATAACGAATGTCAGGAGTGGCAGAAAGCAGCAATACTCGGAGACAGAAGAGCTCCCAGCTGTCATCTCAAGGTACTCTACAACTTGCTGCTGCATCCGCCAAGGCACCCTCATGATGCACCATACATCCACAGCACCTTTGACAAAGGAGGCCGTTGCACACGCCGCACTTGAACCACCCTGGCAAGACTTTAGGCCCAAGGGGGGTGAACGAAAGCTAAGGTTCATATGAGCCTGGAAACATGAGGGGTTTTGATGGGATTTGGATATGCTGAATACAGATTGCCTGGAGGCCTGACAGGATTTGAGCCCGTGACCATCTGCTTCCAACACTGCTTCCAACACTGCTTCAAAATGCCCCGGGAGCTTTGGGGGGGTTCCGAGTGAAATACTACTGTGTTGGACCCAGACCTGTCCCTCCACTTGCTGAAGCAAGAGCAACTCCAGCTAGCTACCGCTAGCTTTCGTGAAATGGCCAGGAGCGTATCACTCCAACGACATTGTTGTTGGACGTTTGGGGTACTGGATGGTACTGGATTTTTTTGTGACATGGTTCTCTCAACATATCTATCTATATATAGCATGGCAATAAAACCTGCTGGAACCACCACAAAGCGCCCACCGGACACTTTGACTTCGACGCTTGGATATCTTGATGAACTCCATCCAGCCCGCCTTCTGCGTTCCAGGGTTTTCCGCGGCAAACCTCATCATCCACCGAATCCCCCTTGGCACCGGGACGAGCTCCACCAGCCGCCAGCAAATCCACCTGTCCATGGGGTACACGGTATACCAGTTGGCTTCCAGTTGGCCAGGCTAAATATGGCTAGATGAAATAAAGCAATAAAAAAAAAAAACTTTAATGGTCCCTTGGGTTCAAAAATCCGCACCTCCTCCTGTTCTTCTTCGTCCTCCTCTGCCCTGGTCTCTTCTTCTGTCGGGACGTTGATGCAATCAGGAAGCGTGTTGCTGAGGCCTTGGGGCACCAAGCTGGGGCCCGGTGTGCGGCCATCGGTGGGGCCATGGCTATTGGAACATCCAGGAGCCAATGGAACTAGGAATATCATAGGGTTTATACGGGCCGAATGGAGTCTTTGCATAAGCCAGAAGCCTTCAAAAAATTGAGGACATGCGGACCTAGATCTCCTAGATCTGTTCAACATTTTTCAACCATAATCTGGGATATTCTAAGTGTATACTCTGCCACCCGCCTGTGGGTGTCCTCAAAACCAAGAATCGATTTCTCTCTCCAAGGGCGATCTCCGGGAGTTCAGCATCTTGCTGAAGGCGAGCCAAGAATCTATTATCTCATCGGTTTTTGCAGGCAAATGGATAGACATTCAGACTACTATTGGTTAATCACTCTTAATCAAGTAAAGTCATCAACTAATCAATCATGGATCAATTAAATTTTATGAGGAATCAACTAATAGTAATTATTAGGGATTTACTTATGCTCAATCACAAACTATATATATATATATCAAAATCATAACATGTAGGGACTCTTGACCCTGAGTTCTCTTAGCATTGCCACTACGAGCAACCACCCATTGATCCACGATAGTTGCCACGTTGCCCCGCTCTGCTGGAGTCTTGTGAATCATATCGAGGACCTCCTGCAGGAGTCGTGAGGGGTGACGCAGGGTTGCTAACACAATTGGATGAACAGTCTATATACAACAAATTGCAGCATATAGTAAACCCCCAAAAAAATAGTAAAGCAAATAATTACTAGTTACTATTTGATATCTATTTGATACAGTACTTATTTTGGGGAATATATAATGCAGAATGATCCAAATCCACTGGTTCTGGAGTCCTGCATTTTGATCCATTCTACGCGTATTTGTGTTTTGATGACACCTCAGAGTGTCTAAAGTGCATGATCTCAGAATATCGAATGGAGAGAATGGCATGCCTCATTGGTATCGCAAACCCCAAAAATGAGCAGCGTTCAGAACACGAGGATGCCAATGCTGCTCACAAAACTCCGAGTAGGACAAGAAACGCAGAAACATCCAGAAATCGATGAACCCAAAGACATAGTTTGGCTATGTTTTGCTTCAATCACTTCTTGGGAAGCCCCGCCCAAGATTGGCATCATCGTTGCAAATATAATCTTTTCTTGGACGGTTGTTTTCTGTGTTTTCTTTCTGCATTCGCGTTGCGCCTGCTTTGGTTCTTGCAATTCGATAATGCGGCGCAAGCGTTGTCTGGCCTGGTGTTGGCAGGCTATCATAGGATAGAAAAAGGCTTGGTGCATTGCAGGCCAGGCGTGCTTCTGTGATAGCCTGTTAATATCTGTTAATAGTGTTGGTTGATGAGGTTGGAAGCGACACTTAGCTTTCTCATATCTGAGCCATCTCTTAAAAGATCGCAGGACAGCCTCCGGCAGGCTGATCCTGGTCGTGTGGTTGACGTTCAGCATGTCCTCAGATTACGAGTTCCGGCAGCTTGATTCGGGGCTGGGATACTACTGGCATCTGGGCAAATCTGAGAAGATCATGTCTAAACCAGAAATTCACCCCTATGCACATGTACATATAATATATTATATTATGTATATATATATATATATCTCTTGGTGAGGTTTCCCTGACAAACAATCATTTTTGTTGAGGTGCTGGTGAGGTCCCTGCACTTGACATCAATTCATATCAATTTATATACCATCAGGGGATGAAGTGCAAAGACGGCGTTTGTAGCCCTGAGCCCGTCTTGCAAAGATTTGTCCATTTTTTCCTGATGAAAATGATCAAAATATTGTATGTGTATATATATATATGCATTATATATATATAAATACACAGCAAAAATGATGAAACACCTAGATTATGTAGTCCTACATTCGTGGGCCATTCACCTTGAAACATCTGAAGCCGGTCAAAGAACCAGGCGTCAACAGCACCCATTTCAGCCCCAGAAATCCCAAGGCGTCGAGGAGCTACCACGAGCTGATCCAGGTTGGTGCGCTCCTTTGGCATGTTGGGGTCCTTCTCAGGCTGGTACTTCAGCAGGTCCCTGTGCATGACAGTGGGACACCTGTTTCTAGAAGTTATTGGACCTTGGGTTGAGGAATGAAACATAATGCCGTGCTGTCAGCAATGCTTCCGAAGCGGGGAACACCCCAAACAGCAGGAGAAACGATAGATACACAGCAAGATATGAGCAAGATCTGCAAGAAGCTGCCAAGGCGCTTGATATTGGCACCCCACATGCTGGTGTAATCAGGGTAAGCCATGTAGAGTAGCCTCAGTGGTTGGGCGCTGCAGCAGCATGCTGCATCATGCTGCAGCTCATGATCCTGACCTGAACACTCAAACAGCCTTTCAGAAGGAGTCCTTGTTTCACTATGTTCATCTATTTTCACTATAATAGTGAAGATTCCCCTTGTGCAACATGAGTGGGGCTCCGGCAATCTCTTCGTACAAAGAATTCAGCACGACAAGCAGCTGAAATAAGGTCACCCCCATGGCCCAGACATCGTTGGACGGAATCCCTGCATGGAGTGTTGGAGGATAGACTTCGGGCGCCATATACCTCAGAATCTCAAAGTCTCAGGCTTCGCCCCAAAGTGACATTTAGGACATTTGGGGGTAAATGATGGTGATTGTAGGGGATCAGGGGAGTCTTCCAGCATTTTTTCTGCGCTCTGATTGGCTCTCTCACATTCCCACAGCATCCCACTGCCTCCATTTCTGAGCTGGTTGGCCTTGATCCAGCGCAAAGTCGTTTCGGTGGTTTGTCATCATATGTCATCACGTCACACCCTTTTCAGAACATGTGCTTTTAATGGCAATGATATTTTGGGGATCCTCAATCCCATTCTCATCCTTACTTTTCATCCCCAAGAGACAAGTTTACGAATACTACATGGATGCTACCCACTATCACCGCTTTCAGATCCTCGTCCAGACACCCTGGAGTGCCGGAGATCTTCTTCTTCGCTATGTTTTTGTCGCACAAAGTGCCGAGGTCAATGACCAAGGCGTAGCAAGCTGGGCCGGAGCATTGCAGCATGATGTTGTCCTCAGTGTCATTTCGTTATGAAACTAAGGGAAAATTGTGGTTCAAACTAGTCAATCCTTCTTTCAGAGGCGACCATTGAATTGGATTTTAGACCTCCTGACCGTTGGACTCTTTGAAGTTTTTGTATGTCAACATGACGGTTTCCTGTGTTTATTTCACTTCACCCCGTGGCTGTGGAAAAACATCATCACCACCACCACCATCATCATCATCATCACCACCACCAGCATCATCAGCATCATCATCATCATCATCATCACCCTTCTGATCATGCAATGGTTCTTGGACGGGGCTTTGCTCATCATCACTCATTTCAGATCACTCCTCTATGACATGTTGATCATCCTGTTCAGGGCACTATTGGACACGGCGACATCTGCACGGGTACACAAACATATATATCATATATTCATTAAATTACATACGAATATAGAACAATGACAGCACACCACATCTACGGCGCTACGGTATTCTGCGTCTGCCCAGATCTGCCCAGATCCGCCCAGTGGCCGGCTTCATGTCCATGTGGGCAAGGCCGGTGTTGTGGATCGACTCCAAACCTTCCAAGACCTCGTCGAAGAGGGCCTCGGTGAGAAGGCTACCATTGGGGCACCAATGAACGAAATGCCAGTCATCTGTAGTATGAACCCATTATAAATTATAACCCATTTATGGTTTGTGAATCTTCATGATTTCAGTTTGGGGTCTAAACCCACTTGTATGGTGATGATTTCAACAGCCAGATGAAGCAATTGGGGCGGAAGTGAGTTACAGCTATCCCAGCTTTTGGCGGAGCCACTCATGGGAAAGTCAGAAATAAAACCACCAACCAGCAACCCGCCACTATTGTTGAAGCTACCTCAACCCAGACATGTACAAAAGTACTGGAAAGTCATCTTGAAGTCTTTCTGGGTCACATCCCGAAGCGCTACATGGAAGTGGGAGCTGATCGATTTTCCTTTCCACCACTGTTACCTCATCAAAGCACCAAAAAAGACAATGCCAAAGTAAGGGGTGTGTTCATGTTGTCTATTTTTTGCGCAAACGATGAGTTGGCCCTTGTGGGGCCACCTATGCATCACTTGCAGTAGAGCAGGGCTGACTGCAACTGCGCTAGCTAGCCGCTAGCAACTACCTCGCTTGAGCCTTCTGAGCCACGGAGTGGCTGCAGGGAAGCGGCGTCCTGTTCATATGACGCGTCCACTGCAGACTATCAACAGGCCAGCCAGTACCCGCGAAGCAGTCCAAAAGCTGCGCGCCCAGGGCCAAGCAAAAGCACCTCGTTCCAAACAACAACACACGAATCGTGGCTCTGGTTCCAATATGTTCCAATACTAAGAGGAATCAAAGGGGATAAAAACATATAAAAACCCATTCCATGGTACTTCCGAATTGCAAGAAATTCAGCGACGAAAGCCTCCTTGGATTTGCGATAGGATGACCCACTGAGCCCAGCACTGCAATGGCCTAGGCAAGGTTGGAGGTGAAGGCAACCATCGCTGTTGGGCAAGGTTTTGCAAAAGATATGGAACATCAGTACCCTCTGGTAATTTAACATAGCTATTGAAAATGACCATTTAATTATAGTGGATTTACCCATTGAAAATGGTGATTTTCCATAGCTATGTTAGTTTACCAGAGGGTACTTGGTTCGGTTTTAAAATCCTCTCCCGACAAGAAGAATCCGAACTTTCCATCTGCTTCCAATGGCGAGACCAGTCTAAACTCTGTGTGTGCTGTCGCCCTCTTCTCTGACACTATCATCTTTTTGAAATGTTGGGAGGCATGACCATATGTCATGAAATCATTTTTTGATCCAATTTCTTGCGTGTGATGATGAAATCTGATAAATTCTGATGAAAATCTGTTGAAATCTCGTATCCTGAAGCTTCCGATTCCTGACATCACCATCTTCCCCAGCACTTTCCATTTTTTCAATCTGCCATGACCCACAAGGTCAGCGCCCAGCGTTGCAGCCGCGGTTCCCGCACCGCATGCCACACCTCCCTCGAGCGGAACATCACGATGCGACCACTCAGGGGAGCCAGGTCCACGAAGCGCTCATGGTCGGGAGCTGTGGCTGACTCCTGGCAGTATCGACGAGTTCACTGAGTCTACCAGGATCTCAAGGATTTCTATGGATGTCTATGTATTTGTGCTTTGCAGATTTTTGATGATTTTTGCAGCTGATGGTTTTCCATGATTTTCCTAGGGTGATGTCAGGGCCAACGCATGATTACAGGATACATGCAAGATCCGGGCTAAGGGTAGTTTCAAGAGTCAAATGCTTCTGTCATATTGACGAAAGAGTATAACAGAGGGGTACTGAGATGAGGATGACGCGAAGATTCAGATCAGGATGACAAAAGATGACAAAAGTTTCGACGTTGACGATGGTGAGACTGGCAAGGATGACAAGAAGAATGAGGATGAACATGATGACGTGGATGGCGAACAAAGATGTTTTTTCTATCAAGGTGAGGGCAAGTGTAAGTGGTTAAGACAAGAAAGGTGCACATTTTCCACTGGTGGAGAAAAGCTTTCGGTATGCCTAACATCTTGCTCAAAGCTCTTGCTTGTTGGTGCTGTTGCTCGGTAGCCCCTAAACGGGTTTGTCAAAAATTGAATGCCCCACAACTGCGCGGTTTATCATTTATCATCCCCATGCTTCAATTGCAATTCCTATGTGTTTGCCATGTTTTTCCATGATTTAAAGGCCTATTATAATGGCATATAATGGCTCTTAAATTGCGGGTTCCCCCGCCTTGAGCAGGCCGGAACTGCCCAGGGCCGTTGCTGTGGCCGCCGGGTTTTTGGCCGGCGCAAAAAGGCGGAGTTCGCCGCCGTCGCCCGGCTGCCAGTCGTTGAGGTACAGCAAAATGGTCACACTTCCTCGATCTCCGAGATTGGTGAGGGTTTGTTGTAGGTGATTGACGCAGATTTTGATGCTGATTTTGATGCTGATTGATGCAGATTTTGATGCTGATTTTGATGCTGATTTTGATGCTGATTTTGATGCTGATTTTGATGCTGATTTTGATGCTGATTTTGATGCTGATTTTGATGCTGATATTGATGCTGATTTTGATGCTGATTTTGATGCTGATATTGATGCTGATTGTGATGCTGATTTTGATGCTGATTTTGATGCTGATTGTGATGCTGATTTTGATGCTGATTTTGATGCTGATTTTGATGCTGATTTTGATGCTGATTTTGATGCTGATTTTGATGCTGATTTTGATGCTGATTGATGCATGCTGATTTTGATGCTGATTTTGATGCTGATATTGATGCTGATTGTGATGCTGATTTTGATGCTGATTTTGATGCTGATTTGATGCTGATTTGATGCTGATTTTGATGCTGATTTTGATGCTGATTGATGCTGATTTTGATGCTGATTGATGCTGATTTTGATGCTGATTTTGATGCTGATTTTGATGCTGATTTTGATGCTGATTTTGATGCTGATTTTGATGCTGATTTTGATGCTGATTTTGATGCTGATTGATGCAGATTTTGATGCTGATTTTGATGCTGATATTGATGCTGATTGTGATGCTGATTTTGATGCTGATTTTGATGCTGATTGTGATGCTGATTGTGATGCTGATTTTGATGCTGATTTTGATGCTGATTGATGCTGATTTTGATGCTGATTGATGCTGATTTTGATGCTGATTTTGATGCTGATTTTGATGCTGATTTTGATGCTGATTTTGATGCTGATTTTGGTGCTGATTTTGGTGCTGATTTTGGTGCTGATTTTGGTGCTGATTTTGGTGCTGATTGATGCTGATTTTGATGCTGATTTTGATGCTGATTTTGATGCTGATTGATGCTGATTTTGATGCTGATTTTGGTGCTGATTTTGGTGCTGATTTTGGTGCTGATTTTGATGCTGATTGATGCTGATTTTGATGCTGATTTTGATGCTGATTTTGATGCTGATTTTGATGCTGATTTTGGTGCTGATTTTGGTGCTGATTTTGGTGCTGATTTTGATGCTGATTTTGATGCTGATTTTGATGCTGATTTTGATGCTGATTTTGATGCTGATTTTGATGCTGATTGATGCAGATTTTGATGCTGATTTTGATGCTGATTGATGCTGATTGATGCTGATTGATGCTGATTTTGATGCTGATTTTGATGCTGATTGATGCTGATTTTGATGCTGATTGATGCTGATTTTGATGCTGATTTTGATGCTGATTTTGATGCTGATTGATGCTGATTGATGCTGATTGATGCTGATTGATGCTGATTGATGTAGATGTCGTGTGGATATTGTTGTAATTAACTAATTGTTATGAGATGAGGGTAATGACTGGATCTGCATATTTGGTAACATCCAAACCTGTGACAGGTACTCAGCTCCTCGTTTCTCGGCCGAGGTGCGTTGGTTGTCCGTGCCACTGTAGCTATCCTTATGACAGTGGTACTCTGCTCCCGGCCGGTAGGTGGCTGCCATGATGTGGGGATGCACCCGCAGCTGTGGTGCCTGCAGTGACTCATCTCGCGCCTGCGACAGCAAGGCATCAGGGAGTCCTCACCGCGCCAAGGGGGCATTGGATGGGATTTCGAAACCAGGAATAATTGTGGCTTGGTCAGAGGATAAGGGATAACTATAGCTAATAGACAACTATGGATAACTATGGATAACTATGGATAACTATGGATAACTATGGATAACTATGGATAACTATGGATAACTATGGATATGGATAATTGTGGATAACTATGGATAACTATGGATAACTATGGATAACTATGGATAACTATGGATAACTATGGATAACTATGGATAACTATGGCAACTATGGATAACCACGGATAACTATGGATAACTATGGATAACTGTGGATAACTATGGATAACTATGGATAACTGTCCAGAATTCATAATCTATGCTACTTTCAATCTTGAAAATCTGAGAAATCCTTCGAGGCTATGATCCTAGCTGTCCCACTGGGATCCACTGGGTCAGAACGGGCATGAAGCCCCCCTCAGCATATGACAAAGTATCTACGTGTGGCATGTTTACCTGCATTTACGACCACCAAAAAATAACCGCAACGATGCGGCATGTTTCCTACATGGACTGGTGATGGTTTCGTGCAAGTCCGTGATTTTTTTCTGGTGCCACTCCGGTCCTAGCAGCCGATCACAAAGATCTCGCAGGGCAGGAGGTACTTTCCTAGGACCAGCGTGGAAGTTACAAAAAAATTGAGGGAAAAGTGGCATTAAAAGCTTTGAAAGGAACATCTCAAACTGCTGCCATTCGGACGCTTTTGGTCGAGTTTCCCACGCAAATCTTTCCATCAAAAAGCAAACTATACCATCATTTATCATCATATACCATCCACAATCATCATTTCATCATAATCAATCATAATCATATATATATATATATAATTATATATAATATATATCATCACAATCATCATAAGCATACTTCTATACACTTCTTGGATTCTTGCTTGGAAATGTGCGGCATTTCCGAGTAAAAATTCACTGCAGCCTACTGAGCCCAGTTTCTGTCTCTCCTCAGTGGAGTCCAGGTGAAGCCATACGGAACAGGCCCCCACGTTGCCTCGGAATGGGGGGCGCTGGTGGCTGCCATGGCCTGAGACATCGGTTTTTATGTGTGCCCCAGGGCCCCACGGTGGTTTATTGGATCTTTAGTGTCCCAACACGTCCCAACCTTTTTTCGGAAAACACGGTTATCAATTTATCAATGTATCAAATCAGGGTGATAAGTGATAAGACCTTGTTTGAACCGTATCTACACGTGGGTATGGCAACAAAAAGATGCAAGTTGATGTTCATTCATAGTTCATCAAAATTGAGACAAAGTGATATAAATTGTGGCATGCCGGTATCACCCTCAGTATTCCCCATTTCTGGGCAACCCTAAAGGGATGTCTAGAACTCGTTACCCAAACATGTACAGAAGCCTGAACGAACAAAATGGTCCAAACATATCCAAACTTTTGATACAATCCATCAACAATCTGGATAGGGATCATAGGTCAAAACAATAGACTGCCAAACCCATAGTTGGCTGCCATCTTTTCAAAATTTCATAAAATTATCTGCATTCAACCACATCATGATTTTCATATATTTTCATCATCCCAGTTCTATTTCTAACCACCAAACATCCAACGCACCACTAAAAAAAACCGTGCTGAGGCACAAGGATCCTTGGAAGCTGTGACTTCCCCCGCCAGCTCCAGTTGTGCCAGCTCCAGCCTGGCCCGGCTGATCAGCTCTGCTGTGACCGTGTGGTCCAGAATGGCGACACCCGACAGGTCCGACAGGTCCTCGAAGTGCTTGCCGCTGCCCCAAAGATCTTGGATCACCTCGTGGGACACCAACTCTTGAGCCCAGCTGCAGGAAAAGTCTGCAGCTGGCCGGGTGAAGGAGTCCAGGGGCGTGATGACGCGACTCAACATCTTCTGCAAATACCTTCGGACAAAACGCGAGCCGTGTCCATGTAGCTTACGTCGTACGTATGCTTATGTTTTGACCAACCGCATGAGCTAAAACATGTGGTTGACCCATTGGCCAACATGCCAAGAACGCCTATAATTTTAAAACAGATTTGCACCAACTTTGCACAATCATCGTGGAATTTTACATTAAGTTACAAGCTGGAACTATCTGCAAATTCCCCTCCCAACATCCCCCAACTGGAAATATCTGCCAAATTATCTGCAAATATTCCCCCCCAAAAAAAACAGTCCACGAATGTCCACGAGGTTCCCACCTTTCGAAGAGATCTTGCACTTTCTCTTGGAGGAGCTCCTCGCTGGCGTGCGCCAGGTCGAATCCCAAGAGCTTGCCCTCGCCGATGATTTCGTCTCGACCCCTGGCCTCGGCTGCTGTTGGTGGCTGGGCCCGCTGGGCAAAAGCCACATTTCAGCAGACATTTCAGCTGACATTTACTACGTTTACCATATAGACATTCTTCCAATTATGACATATTATGACATATTATGACATATTATGACATATTATGACATATTATGACTAGATGTGACTGGATATTAGACTAGATTATACAGTGTCAGACGGTGTCAGACTGGTCCATTCTTCACACCCCAAAGGTTGCTCAAAGCACTTTTTCTTCTCCTCCCAATACAGGATCAAACACTGAAGAACTGAATTGACCATTGGTCCTAAATCAGAAGGAAATAAACACTCTCTCCCTCTCTCCATCGCCATCCCGTAGGCAACACTATATACTATATACCCTCTGGTTATTTAACATAGCCATGGAAAATGGCCCATTTATAGATGGTTTACCTATTAAAAATGGTAATTTTCCATGGCTATGTTAAATAACCAGATGATACTTGATTTCTCAATGAAAATAACCAAAAAATATGTACCAAGGCAAATGCCGCTGGGGCCATATGATGCTTCGCCAGCTCTTTGGCTCGCTTCTGCAATCCAGGGATGGCCTGCGCAATCTCCGTGGGACTGGCCTTGTATGGCAGCAGGAATGCTTCGGCCAAGGGCCCCCGGACGTCCAAGGGCGCTGAAGCGATCTTCCGCTCCAACGCTTGGAATTCCTGGGGGGCTCTTGAAATATCTTGAAATTGGGGACATGCGATTGGGGGTCCAAAACAGCAAAATAAACGCTTTTGAATTTTGAGGGAGCCCAAAAGTTATTTCACAAGAGCAAAAGAGGAAGGCCTGTGTGGGCTTTCGGCTGGCTTTCCCGCAAATACAGCACTTGTAATTTAATTACCGATTGTCTTTCGATGGGTTGGATTATTCGCAAAACTGGGTACTCAAGCAAAGCTATGAGGTCAGACTCAGCTTTCTTGATGGTACTGGAGATGTCTTCCTCCTCCCGCGGAAGGCACAGCATTTCACGCAAATCACCTGCCAATTCCTTGATGTCTGGTGCCACCATGGATAGTAAACGCACTCCCATCTTCATCAAGATCACGCCGCGTTGCCCTGGTGGCAGCCCAAATTGTTCAAACACCGGGGCCTGAACCTTCGCTGCCAACGGCCCCAGGGTGGTCAAAAATCGCAGTTCATCGGCTGAATGACTGGCGCGTAAACGATGCACCTCTGCCTGGAAATCCGTGTCCATGTAAGCCTCCTTCAAAGCGTGTAAAAGCTTCCGCCCATCCTGGCGCCATAGGATAATTGGATATAATTGACAAGTAGCCCAACATAAGTTTTTAAGACAGTCAAGTGCATAGAACAGACTCGGGGTTCCAGTAGTTTCAGTATAGCACTACAGTGCACATGCTCAAACGCCATCCATAGCTCCCAAAAAAACACGCACACAATCATTTGTCGATGTCCCCCGAACTTTGCATCGCGTTTTTGTTGCCCACCCTGGTCCAGGTTGGCGTCCCCACCTCGCTCAACTCCTGGGATGGTAGCTGGTTGTCGCGGCTGTTGGCCTTAATGGCCTCCGAAAATTTCGTGCCCAGCCCGGCATCCGGCCCCGGTGCCACGGCTGCTCCATAGCCGCCCGGAGACATGCTAGTGCAGGGTTGATCCTGTTCTTGGTTTGAAGCTCTCCAGTATGGGTGTAAGAAAGGCCTACCAATTTTCTGCCCTTAGGTCAAGGGCCATTTCAGGTACCTAAACTAAACTGGAGGTACCTACCATATATAAGGCCTATATAAGGCCTATGTAAGGGAATATCCCAACAAAACAGAGTCTTATATGGTACGGTACCTCCATTTTAGGATCCTGAAATCCCGGGTCCCCGAGGTGATTGCTCCGGATATGTCCATGGTGATGGCTTCTCGGATTGTATCATAATCTACTCGATTATTTACTCGTACCATGATTTTGCTGCACAGTCACATCATGTCCTACGTTGTTTCCCCCCAGCGGTCCGCTGGATGGTGTCCTGATTCTTGGGATAAACTCTTGGCCGAGATAAAAGAGTTGGGATCTTGACAAGCCAGTCATGGCAGGGGGGAACGGTTCACACTGCAACAGCACGATCCGGTGGGTCATTTAATTGCAATTTTCGTGAGGCACTCATCATCAGATCCTAGATTAAAATCTTTGAGCTCAAAACGCAAAGTGGCAAGTGCAGGATTTCTTGCAAAACTACCACGGAAAAAGTTGAGATTTCTGCCACTGTTTGAATGTCCAATGATATTCACCGCTCTTTTCAAGAGTCCCCCAAGCTGGGCCCTTGGCACCAATGGAAGGATCCTCTTCAGCCTCAGTGGCGTGTGAAGCCCTGTGATTTTCCAGCATTTTGCCCCGATAAAGAACGCCCTAAGGCCCGTGCAGCATGAGAATCCCATTTTCACCCGTGAAGCAAGGCGCTTAAGGCGGCCAACGGCCCAGCTCATCCCAGCTCACTTCCACTGGTTTCGGGGGATCAAGGAGAGAACAGATCAGATGCTCTCCCAATCTCTCCCATGATCCCCCATCATTTCCATTCATTTCCATTCATTTCCCATCAAATTGGGAAGGATCAGACTCAGCTGACTGGGTTCACATGGACGATCCATCCTGCACACCATGACATTCCAAACGTATGCCCTTAAGAACTTCCAATGGGTGCAAACTATGAGATATCTGAGATACCTGAAGCATGGAATTCCCGAACTCTACCTTGTCTGATCCAAACCCGACCTGAAGAATGCGAAAAGTCAAGTACGTACCATGAACCCAACATCTGCCCATGAGCTGAGAGACCTTGTTTGTGGGAGTTCTGCGTCACGTCTCCGCTGCAACCTTGGAAATCAAGAACAACGGGCAAATGTTCAAGTCCATTTTCAACAGGCCAATAATCCACGTCTCTCTCTCTACCCTACTGTCTTTTTGCATTTCTATTCGGCCATGCAACCTCCACAAATGGCGGGACACGTTGAACCGGTTCTTTCTTTGGCCAACTGAATCAGAATTTGACCGTGCCCTGAAGCAGGTTTCAAGTGTATATATTATATAGTTGGGTCTAATTTAAAGAATCAAGTTTCAACTCATGACGGGATCTGCTGGAGTTTTTATCCACGCAAACGAGTGGCAGAATTTCATCCTCGCCGTACAGTTGGTGTTCAGCAGCATGTTGTCAGGTTGTCAAACGCCCTGGAGGAATGCGCCCGATGCCCCAGGATGACGCCGCTGACGGCTCTCACGTCTTCATGACGAGTTCTGAGGCCATTCCTGCACGGGCGCAGTGGAGGTGTAGACTCAAATTACCCACATACATTCCAGCGTTAAAAAGGAAAAAAGAACATCTCAACGACATGGTGATCTGGAAAGCCTGGCATTGTGACCAAGTTTCCTAAAGCACATGTTTTCTCAACTGGGTTGTTCATCGCTCTCTTGCGTATCGCCGTTACTACTCATTGCTACAATTTACAACGTTCTATATTGTTCATATAGCATCTGATATGGTATTTGAATTTTATATGTGTTTATTGTGATACTGTCATCATTACAAAAGGTAGAAAGCGAGTTCACCATCCCAACACTATGATTAATATTTGCCAATCGTAATATTACTGATGTTAATAATCAGTAGTCGAATACCACTATTAACTGTCCGTTATTAGTAGGATACTATATACTCACATCATCATCATCATCATCATCATCATCATCATCATCAGCAGCAGCAGCAGCAGCAGCACCCCAAGACTCTGCTGCACAAAGGGCCCACCTTAGCTTGGTCTCAGCAGCCGTGCGCTGCTCGAGCTGAACCGGTTCAAAACCATGGCAGCCGGGCCCGGCTCACCACGCAGCTCGCAGGTCTGCAGCGCGGGCAAGACGCGCCGTGGAAGGTTGTGATTTATTAAGGTATTCAATGACGATATTCGAATGGGATTTCATTGAATGGCTATTCCATGATAGTCAGTAATGATTTAGTGGGATTTAATGGTTGGAAGCTTGGTTGGAATGTGGATTTAACATGATTTAACCATTAAAGATCATCAAAGTGGCTTCAAAAACATGGGGATTTAACCATCAACGCCGGCAGATTAAATGGGAAAGTCTTTGGGGATCATCCCAATGGGCTGGCTGGCTGGTGACCTGCACAGTCGCCGCAAAGCTCACGGCATCTGGCAGCACATCCTCCTCCTGGCATCCCAAATGGATGTGGATCACAGGATCGTGGCAGAACGCCAAAGCGAACGGAATGACTATAATTAGATGGCTAGATTCCCTTGGGCCCTTGGGAGTCGGACCAATGCTTCAATCGTCATTTGAGTGATCTTGGACCTTTGTAGTATCTATGTATGTATATAGTCAGTGTGCCGGAAGTTATAACAGTTTCGCCGGCAACTTCACCAACAGTTCAACATGCCCGCCACCATACGCTTCCTGGCATACACGTGTAGCGCTTCTGTGCTTATTGTCATTTCGGACATTGAACCATATTGAACCATCCAATTTCGAGGTCCAACCGCCTCTGCCACCAATTCCAGTGACGTTCCAACACTAACACTCGAGAAATTAAGAAAAGATAACAAGAGGCTCTCTTATTAGCTTAATGTGAAAGTATATGAAAATATGGGAACCGAGGCAACAAATGTAGGTTTTCCCCTGCATCCTGCATGTCCGCGAGCAGCTGGATGGAGCCCTCCCACTGGCGCGCACGGCGCCAGGCGGAATGCACCGCATTTTGCAAGAGCAAGGTGGGGGCTGCGCCTGCAAACCCGGCCGGCGGGCTACTCGGCTACATGGGCCTCAAAAACATCGATGGGGTGTGGCCATCCATACCATCCATGGGATTTTTGAGGAATCACGGGCAGAGCTAAACCTAAACCCCTCTGAACGGGTGTATGCCCATTCTTATATTTATTGAACTATAGGTACTATAGGCCAAGTTTTGATCGTGGCACACATGAGCCCACCTAGCTCGACTCATGCTCACAGCAGAGGTCAGCTGGGACAATGGTAGGGTGGCCTCCTTTTGCCACTATGTTTGCCACGATCACATCAACCATGATCAACCATGATCAACCTACGTCAACACGTGGCACGTGATTGCACAGACTTGTAGGGAAACTACCCTCTGGTAAACATACAAAAAACTATGGAAAATCACTGTTTTCAATGGGAAAATCCACTATAAATGGTCATTTTCAATAGCTATGTTAAATTACCAGAGGGTATGTTCAGCGCCTCCGTTCCACGACAAAGAGTGCAAAGCCAACACCTGCTCCCACTGGCTGGCCTTCCATGGCCATGTTGAACTGCTTGAGGACAGGAAACAGTGTGTTCTTCCGCGTCACCATCTACGGTTTCGCCACCAGTGACAATAAAACAGTGCATGGCTGGGGCCCAGAACTATCACCAAACTGCCCAAGTCATAACTCTAGATACAACATCAATTCTGAACCTGCAATCTTCATCAATCTTCACTATTATATTGTGACTATTGTTCATGTTCGGATTCGGATGCGGAAAAAAGAATTGAGCTATGCCGCTATGCCGGAGCTTTGTGCTATCCCCTGAATATCGGGTTTGTTTTTCCTGGTGGCCGCAGTCTCATCCTTTTTCTGTTATACCTTTAGAATTTCCCCACATGTCCCACAAACAGTGTCATAAGTTGAATCAAATATTATTATTCTTATGAACTTAGATCTTGTCTGAACATAGAACATATATAAGTGTCTACAAGTTATCACAACATCTAGATGTTCATAGGCAACATCTATCCCCGCATCACAAAACTCCTGTGGTGTTCACTCGCCAAACGCCTCCTGACATGCTCCTGCTGTCGCTGCGAAGGTGATCTCATCCTTGCGCACGCCTGAACAAGATTCGGACTGGAAATGTGTACCATATATTAACAGTATATTACCAACCAATGGTAATGGTCATAATATAATATCCATTGGTTGGTAATAACCATTGTCATATAGTCATATGATTATACCATCTGGTTATGACTAACATAGCCATGGAAAATCCCTTATAAATGGAGGTTTATAGCTGGGAAAATCATCTATAAATGGGCCATCTATACCATGGCTATGTTAAATAATCAGAGAGTATATCTGTGCATGTATCTATATTATCTACAGTAAATGTATACATGCAAAGGTCGCGGGTCAAAACAAATGATCCCTAAATTACATCGGGCGGATCAACTGCACTAGAAAATTCTTGACTTTCAAAAGGAGAGCCTCCACAAACCCAGGATTTTCTATAGCCATATTATCCCAATTATCAATGTGTTTATACAGGATTCTGTCTACTCTCTATGCCGTCTTTAGATTGACTATCTGTCGATGCTTGTGTTCTGATTTCTGATCGTCCGAGCAATCTATGCCGCAACTCATCTCCTTCTTGGCAAGATTCTGAACGTCAGGATGCTATGGGTCAAAGATTGAGACATATTTACATTGAAACAAACATTCCCAAATTGTAGCCAATTGCAACAATACAACTGCCATAATTACTTTGCGGCTGCGCAATAACTTGACATCCACGCTGTTGGAAATCCCAATCTGTGTCTCAACTCACCCCGAAGAACTTTGGGCTTAGCACAACCCTCTAACCCCCTGAAGTAAAACCATGGTAAACCTGCCATGTTTACATCCATAAACCATTCCAACCATGAAAAACGTCGCTGTTCGCTAAGCGCCCGGGTTAGCACAGTATTTTTCCATATTTGGGGATGGGTCAAAACCCTGGTACCTAGTGAACCCCAAGTCATAGCTGGGTTAAAATGGATGTTCATCCCACTAAAATATGGTATCTATATAGGTATTGACCCATACCCATTTTTTCCATCCCCAGTGGTCGCCTGTGTGGTCGCCTATGTGGTGAAAAATCTGCAAGGCTTGGAGCCAGCGCTGCTCACAGGCCATGAGCCCTGCATTGGGGCCCGAGATGCTGGTGGCAAGGCGCAGCTGCTGCGCCTCAAATTCGACTCAGTTGGGTGGTGACTCGACTGTTGAGAACCACCAATTTATGGAAGTCATTGGGGATCATCATCCCATGGAAATGACAAAAAATCATTGAAACCACCAAGAAAAGAATTACTGTATATACGCATGATTAGCTAAGTTTGCACGGAGCTTACCGTAATATTTACCTATATCCTACCTGCTTGTAGTTCTTGAATAGTTGGATTTTCAGCCATCATATGCCATCATCATATTCCCCAGGGCCCCAGGGGCACCTGGGCCAGAAAGAAGCTGGCCATGCTCCACTGGAGCGAATGTTGGCACATCCCCATGACCGTGGCGAAGCCGATGGGATCTTCCACCCACAGCCACTCCGCGGTGGAATGTTCGTGGTGCAGCTGCAACGCGATCCTCCATTCTTGGCCTTGGAAGAATGGTGAGGCGTGACATTGAAGATCGAGATGGGATAAGATGGGTATGGTATGTATGGTCATACTATATCATACTATGTGCAAACTTGTTCAAAATGCACATCCGAACATTAGCAATCACGACATATCACGACAATCGGGCGTCCAACTCTTCTCATCTCATATGGTTTCCAGCGCAGCGATCTAACCGTTTGCGATTTGCAGCGATATCAAATGCCCAAGCGCAGAAAATCATGAGCCAAAGGCCATAAATAAGTCGAATTGCAACCATAGTCAACCCAAGTAATTACCTGTTTTTGTGGTTTCTCTCATTATCCGGAGCTCGAATCCTGAGCCTCCTGCTGGTGCCAGCTGCGCTCATCATGGAATTGAAGCTGATTGAAGTTGGCTTGGTGCTTCTCAAGAGCCGTGTCAGCATCAAAGCAGCTCGATTCCATTGGCTGCTGGTTTCCGCGGCTGCTATCGAACCTCAACAATCACTGGTGATCACGACCTCTTACAACCCCGGACACCAGGCACCCATATATAGCACACTAGGCCAAGATGTGAAACCCAAAGAAGTCACCAAATATTCAATGTATTACACTGGAATCACTGGAATATCAATGGATATCAACAGATTGCGACCGAGTGCGATGTAGATATCAATCTCGCAGAATCGGGGCACTGTTGAAGCTCACCACATCCGGAGACAGTTGACATCTGCCCATCTGCTCCAGCTTCAGCGATGCCATCAGCCACTGAGAATGGAGTCCCATGCTGTGGATCATGGTGTTCTGCCCGAGCAAATTCAGGTCCAGACCGTGATCCCGGAAAGCACAACCTCAGGCCGAATTTGTGTCAATGGATTGTGTTAAGGGAAAACCTTCGAGTCCTAGAGGAAACCATGGCATTATCCAATCGAAAAAGGGGAAGTAAAATAAAATCTTGATTTCTTCCATCATTGAATTCGGGGATTGCAGCTTCGTGGATGAACTTTCTTGAACTACGCCTCAAGATGTGCAACTACCATCTAATCATCCGTTGGCTCTGGGAGATAGCAGGTACACGCTAGTTGGGACCAAGAAAATTGCATACCCTTGTCAAACTAATAGAGACTATATATATATAATTTTTATATATATCTCTCTCTCTCTCTCGCCTTCTCAAAGAGTTCAGCTAAGCTATAGATATACGTATAACATGTACAACTATGTATAAAAGATTATAAATGTATGTCCGTGTGTACATATAGGTACTTCAAGCAAATGTTGGCATCAATTCTGCCCCAGAACTCCGAACTCCACACACACACACAAAAAAAAAGCACACATTGAACATCAACATAAAAATCATAACAAGCAACATACTAACACAAACTCCCCAGAACCATCCCTTTACCACGTTTTTCTATCAACATCAACCACCAAGATCACCTAGGGATCTGGGGCAAACATGTTATCCAAACAATCCCCATTGTTTACCATCATTTTCCTCGTTAAAGTAGCTAACATGGGGTACATATCCACCATTTCAAGGACAAACCCACAGCTATGAGTGAAAATTATTAACCTCCCAAGTGGATGATTCGAGAGAAGAAATTGTGTTTTTTTGCTTGCTGGAGCACCCAACGATGGAATCAACCCCATTGATTGCCAATTAAATCTCGGTTGCTTCTTAAAGCTCTTAAATCCCCATTGATTTTGACTCATCCCGAAGATGGATACTTGAGTTCATGATTGATGTTCTAGCCGATTCTAAGCCCGAAAATTCTCGATCTTGGCCCATCCCCAAACTCATCCCCGAGCCCATCCCCAAACATACCACCCCCCCACTGCCAGACTGCCCCACTGCCCCCACTTTTCCATCCAGGAGCTCAAGGCCATCGCTCTCCTCCACTGCATCGCTGCCACAGCCGCGTTGGCCGCCGCCACATCGCTGCGCAGGCGAAAGAGGTGGAGCTGGGCCAAGGCAGCGACAGCCAGCAGCCAGCCATCCACCTCGGGCCGGAAAATCCTCCGTTTCTGATGATTCACATGTACCCTCTGGTAATTTAACATAGCTATTGAAAATGGCCATTTATAGTGAGTTTTCCCATTAAAAAAGGTGATTTTCAATAGCTATGTTAAGTTACCAGAGGGTAGATGATTTATCCTGGAAAACACAGGATTTTGTTGCCGTTGCAGTTGCGGAAGGGTTTGGGGTCAAGTCTAAGAATCGGGGCCCCTGGATTCCTGTCGTTGTTTCACGAAGGGCGCAGTCTAACTTAGACTCCCGAGCTCTTGGAAAGAAAAGAAGCTGGTATTTTACCCACAAAAAAAGGAGGTGCCGCACTTTGATCCATATATATCCATATAATGGTTAATGGTTGCCAAGTTCTTAGTGACATTGGTGCGCGAGTGCCGACTTCACCCCAGCAACCCAATCCCTGCGTTTTGCTAAGGGACTGCTTGAGTGGTCATTGTTGCAGTGAAACTCACCTTGGAATGGAGATGAATGGAGTATGGATGCATTGCGATTCAGCACATGCGTAGCATATGGCCCATATGGCATAGAACGTCATAGAACGATATCGGAAAGGCTGGATATGGCTGGATCATGATTCTGGATGTATCATACTGGGTGGGAAGGAATGACGATACATGACGATACGTAAACGCGACATGCCAGCAGCTCTCACAGATCCAAAAAGAGGCATTCCAGCATCTCCCTATATATATTATCCTATATCCCATCATGGCATTCTTTGGATCCAGCTAAAAAATGCTAAAAGGATATACGATCCCTCCAACATAGGGGGCTGGAAGATGACTTTTTTGTTGGGATGAAAGGTTTTCAGGGTCTATGTAGTCTACGCATTATGCTATATCAGGAGATGGTAAAATCCCAAAGGAACTCTCAAAGGATGCTAAGGATTTTCCCAACGACTAACCATAAACCTGTAACTTATTTGGGGGAGTCTTTGACACCTATGAAATTTGGGATTGACTTAACTTTACAAACCATTTCTGGTAAATTCATTGGGTCTAAAAGCAATTGGATTTATAGCATATCATAGCATATCATAGCATATCATATATTATCATATTGGATTCAATGGATTATTTCAATTATCATACAATATTTTCATGAATCAATATTAGATAATTATGATCATCCGTTTACCATATGAATCCAATAAATATGAGACCCAAACAATATGATAATTATGATAAATATGATAAAATTGGGTCTCATATTTATTGTACAATGACGCACCCTAAAAACATCGACGCCCAGTGGATCCAGTGGCTATGGTGGGCTCCACGCCACGCTGCCGCATGACCTGCGCCAAGCCAACGGCGCCAGATACGCAAGTCCCGGTTGGGGGGGTTGAACCACACAGGAAAGAAACGTGTTGCATACTACTAACTACTGCAATATCTGTGTCCATATATGTATATATTTATCTATATTTGATTATTGATTTATATTATGCTATTATATATATAGATATAGGATTATGCAGGAACCATAGCAAAAATGATCATGTGTCATTATTGTGTATTATTGTTTGGGCGGCTCAAACAAGTGTTGCCATTGAAGATATAATTTGTAGTCGTTTCATTGTTGCCCGAAGAAAAAAACATTCTGGAAAATATGGAAAAGTGAAAAATAACATCAACACCAGCCAACGCCTTCCATATCAAAAATGTGGGATCAAAATGGATATTAGGCATGGTTTCGGCTACGACACCGACCATATCCGACCATACTTCCTGAATCGTTAGATCTTCCAAACTTCGACACAAACCATCAGGCCGAAATGCTAGGCGGATGCGCGCGTGTCCCAACACTTTGGAGGACTTGCAAAACTCTCTAACTCAGGTTGAAAGCACTGTTGCACAGATCCAGTGGTTTATCATCATTTGTCCCATTGAAACATGAAAATCATCCAGAAATACCGCATTTCTGGCCAAACCCAGTTCCGTAGGTTTCCATACATGGGGGGTACCCAAAAATTGATATAATTTATAATGGAAAATCCATGAAAATCCCATTAGAATGGATGATTTGGGGGTACCCCCATGACTTAGGAAACCTCCATATTTCCGCATATGGAACGCCACTGCAAAACACATGGCAACCTGCTCGCTCCACACCTCCACCATCTCAGAGCTTTGTTGCCAAATGGATGACGAAGTGCTGGCAGATGTTACTGCATTGTAGGCCTGGCTCCAACAAAACAATACTGGTTGGTGGTTTCAACATGTTTCAACCCCTCTGAAAAATATGAGTCATTTGGGGTTACTAACGGTTACTATTCCCAATATATGGAAAAATAAAAAATGTTCCAAACCACCAACCAGAATAGCTCTTGATGTGGATATCGGTCAAAAATTGTCAAAACATGGTCAAAAACTGATTGACAAAAATGGATGGGTTTGACAACAAAAAAAGACCCAAGTTTGTGGCTCCATGACCCATCTCCTGTAGGCCTGCGCTCATTGGGTTTAGAAAGAAATTGGCAGGAAAGCACCATGTTTAGTAACCATGAAAAGGTTTGAGATTCATACAGGGGTGTCCTGCAGTATTTCCATTCGTCCAAGTCTGGGATACACCACCTACACCAATGTCCCACTGGAAGATCATCCCTGCCGGGTTCATCGTGCATTAAAAAAAAAAGCACAGACGTTTCGCGTTTCCAGGACATGCTCCGAAACCGGACGGGAAACATCAGGAAACATCGGGAAACACATTCTCCTACAAAATGAGTTGGCCCTCCAAATTTGCTGTCCATCTACATTGTCCTCAGAAACAGGTGCTGCCCCAAACAATTTGACCTGGCAACAAAAGGTCGATGAAAATCATAATCTCCTTCGCCACTTAGCAGCAGCAGCAGCAGCTCATGGATTTTCCATTGTCATCCTTTACCAAAGGCTATCATAGGCTATGGCTATTCAATCATATTAAATCTGTATATTATGGTACATGATTCCCCCTAATTTATTAATCCTATTAGATTATTGCTCCCTATGGGAATATACCTGTGCTTCCCCTTCTCTGGCTCCAATCGTGCCGCGACCGGCAAGGCACCAGGACTTCGACCCTCGGAGGCTCAGCCCAGGTCTGAAGTGCGGATCTCCAAGCGTTGCCTTTCTCATACGCACTGCACGCCTTGCCCATGTCGGGTGATAACGGATGTAGGAATCAACTATATGATTGAATCGACCATGGATCATGGATGAAACTATGTGAAACTGAAAAAAAACGATTAAAAAAAACGGTGTTTAGCCATGTGTACCGGTGTAACGCTTTAACTCTTGAACCCAGAATCATTCTTGCCTAAAAGAAAATCTACCTGCGTGATTCTGTCCATAAATAAAGAATATTGTCCGGCCAAGTTCCCTCCGCAGGGCCCTGAAAACCAAAATACCAATCCAAACCTCGAGATGGTGGTTGGTGATTGGCAAATGTGGTGCCCAAAAAAACTTTACGATTGCTCTGAAAATCTGGCCATACCTGTAACATCCTGTAACATCCTGTAACTGAAAAACAACCCTGATAGTCTGCCTTAGTCATGGACATGCAAACCGCTGAGCTGACCCGGTGGAGCTCATTTTATCTTCTCGCTATTCGGCATTCGGCATTGGGCTGCTACTGGATGGCCGCACTAATATGACTTCTTTGGTAGCAGTTCTTCAAACCTTCGTGCTGGAGGCCAAGGGAAAGGTCTAAACTCCGAACTCCTTCGATGCATTTGGTGAAACATCCACGACCTCAAATCGGATTCTAGTGATTCTAGTGGCCGTTTGCCAGATCAGTACCGTGATCAGCACCCTATGGCAATGTGGCAACCTGAGGGCCGACTCATTCGTCGAGTTTCTGAATCTCACAGACCAATCTGCTCGAGAATCGCCCAGATAAGCGATGCACCAGCGCTGCTGTACATGGCACGCCCGCAAGCACCAAGAAACTCGTCACAGTTCGGCCCATGTCAGTCTTTGGGCTCATGTCACCATAACCAACCGTTGTAAGAACCACCGTTGTGAAATACATACTGTCCATTAGGCTCCAGGATTCTGTGGACATCAGCACAACAGCGGAGAGCACGTGCAAGCCGATGAGCAATGCCGCTGGACGAACCCTGCGGCTCCGCGATGCACCAAGTCTCGGAGTGGCCTCGTCGCCCAGAAGTTCGGATTCGGCCTCGGCACTGATGAAGCCAAAGAGCACCGCCAGGAGGATAATGGAGAGCCAAATGAAGAGAATGGCAGACAGCTTTTGCCAAGCGGTTGTCACAGGAGCATAGTCACCCAAACCAACCTGGTGGCTGTGCTTCAACCATGTTCAACTCATCACAAAAATATTGGTCAAATGGAACGAATCATCCCAGGGGAACCTCAGGGGAATGAGAAACATGTCTGTGCCTCTATGCATGATGCCACATGGGAAACTACATGGGAAACTACATGGGAAAAAATGTCTTGAACATCTTGAACTACAAGCGAGCAACTGTCGCCATGGTGACAATGGCAAAGTATATGGCCTCATTGGTGCTCCAGTTCTCCTGCCCCACATATTTCAATATCAAACCGCCCAGTGTAGCAAAAACGAAGAGCACAAAAACGCTCATGGCCGCGCGGCTGGCTTTGCTGTATTGTTTCAACTTCCGTTTCAATCGCTTCTCAGTCTGCTGAGCCAGGTAGCCCGCGATGCTACCCACAGAGACTACGCTGACAAAGAGCATTGGGCACATGGGCAGCCTGGCACTTTGACTTGGGGCCAGCGCACCATAGCCCACTGTACTCAGCGTCACGGTGGAGAAGTAGAAACCATCCAACAACGACTTGGACTCCTGTTGGCTGAAACCAAGCGCCAACACCAAGACGAAACATACCAGGGCAGCAAAGTGCACCGTCAACTGCGATCTTCCAAAAATCCTGCCAATGCGAACCACCTCTCGCTCCACGCGCACACCAATGACACCCAGCACAGCACTGACTACTAAAACATTGGTCCATATAAAGATCATGGCCAAGGCGCGGCAAATTCGGGATGTGCACACACACATGTCTCCATACCCTACAGTCGTCAGGGTTACCATACAAAAATAAAATCCATCAAGGAGTGACCAATCATCTGACAAAAAGGAGAAAACACCAGCCCAGACTGTCAAGTAGAATGCGATAAAGACTATCACGGCCATCTCTGCTTCGAAAGGCACGTGCCTATGTGAGCTCTGGCGGTTGGAAATGATGGAGGCTGGCAGTGTCTGGGGAAGTGCCACACGCTCCATGGCAATCGGATCCCAAAAGTTTCAGCTTGGTTTTGGCCTTGAGTATTTGACACCTTCAAAAGCCAGTGTCCAAAAAAATGTGGAAAAATGGAGAAGGGCAGACAAGCACACGATGTCAACTTGCCTGAAACTGGAAGTGCGAATTACTTGGTACTTGGTCCATATGATGTTCTGTTGCAATGTTCCTGCGTTTCAGAATTGGTGCATCGCAATCTTCGACTGCCTAGGTGGGCTCTACCAGGCATTGAAAATCAAAGTTGCGTGTCTACAACCAGAACTAAGACGCTAAATTCCGATTTTTCCGTGCTAAAACTCTATCTTTCCCCGGTTTTCATGTTTTTATTCCCAAGTTTTCATAAACATTTTCCCCATGTTGATCCCTATGGTGTGCCCATCCCCTGTCGCTGAGGCGCCAGGTTTACCGAGGAGATGTCCAGCTTCAGCCCGCCGTCGCGCAGTAGCTGCAGCGCCGATGGCCAGGAAGCGGCGCGGCTGCAGGCGCCCGCGCAGGCGTTGAGGCAGAAGATGTCAGGACGAAGGGCACCTGACGAAAAGATGGGGAGAAAAGATGGAGAGATCTGATGATCTGCATCTATCTGGTGCATTGGTATCTATCTATCTATCTATCTATCTATCTATCTGTCTATCTATCTATCTATCTATCTATCGATCTATCTATCTATCTATCTTACCTTATCTTATCTTATCTATCTATCTATCTCTCTCTATATCTATATCTATATCTATATCTGTATCTATATCTATACCTATATCTGTATCTATATCTAGATCTATATCTATATCTATATCTAATCTATCTGTCTGTCTGACTGTCTGTCTGTCTGTCTGTGTATATATATATAATGTGCATTTGACAACTATTTTTCTATTATTACGTTGTAACTATATAATTATGTGCGTGTAAGAAATGATATGTATGCATATATATATATGTGTGTATGTATGTATGCATATATATATATGCATGTGTGTGTGATATGTACATATACGTATAGGCATGTATATTCTTTCTCTGGTTTTGTGGTTAACATCATATTCATATACATAGGACCTGTTGCTGCTGGCGTTTCGCATCTTATTCAGCCGCAATGATCGAAAAACACTTAAGTAGAAAGTAAAAGTAATTAGTCTATCACAATTAATTTTGCGCTAGGATTATGTGATCAAACACACCTCTTTGTCTGTTCTTTTGGGCAGTACGAAAGTCAATTGGGTGGCTTTGCGACCACTAACGGTGTTGCCGCCCCAATTGGATGGGGCAAGATCTATTCCAAACAGTGGAAACCCTAGGTGCGGACTTCATGTTTTATTTCTTAGATCTCTATGGATCTCTCCTGGTTTCTGCACTTTGGCGTGCCATTCGAGTTCCCAAGTCCACCCAGGCCTGCCTGACCCCCAGAAGGATCGCAGCAGTGCGATAGCTTCCAGCCACAGCTGGTGATGCCCCAGGACACCCAATGCCACCACTAAGTCCTTGAGCGACGCAGCACACCCCGTGATGGTTTAAGTATTTCATTAGTTCCTTTGGGCCATTTGGGCCCACGTCGTTGTCCCAAACTTTGAAGGGTTGGCAGGCTTGACATATCATAATGCACAGTAGAAAACAGCGTGCGTCCTTCATTCAATTTTCTGTGCATGATTGTTCTTTGTTTTGCTCTTCATATTATCTGTCATTGTCATTCTATCTGCACTTGTTCAAGCCCGGATTTTCATGGCGCTAAATGGGCATGGCCCAAAATTAGGCAACGTGTTGATTTGGCTGCTATTCATGTTGTTTCCTTTCCAGAAATCCAAAGTCAGGGGCAAACATCTTATGTATATAATTTTCCATATTTTCCCTATGATATGACAGTAAGCCTTGGATAACACATCACTTGCGAGCCACATTCCATTCTCAAATCATGCTTCAAGGCATTTCAAGGTTTAGCATCATTTAGGCCCCAAAACTAAGGAAATCAAACATGGCTGGCTTGAGAATCCCTCATTTAGATTGTCCCAGCCATAAACCCTTCATTTCTAGTTGATTTCCCCATATCTTCCTGAGGTTTTCCTATGTTGTTTCCATGAAATTGTCCATTAAAGCATCCATTTGGTTCCGGGATTCCCCGGGCTCGCCTTGTTCGGTGCCAGTGGCAGCTGGAGAAGTTTCTGGGCAGTTTCCAGAACCCGGCGTCCGAGGCGTAAATCTTGGAGTAGCTCCTAGGCATGGTGGGATTTTCAGGGGAAGTTCATGATACTTAATGGTGATTTTATGGGAATAATATGATCTAATGGCGATTTAATGGTATTGAACCAACCCGCCAAGGGGATATTCGTGGGGATGCTAATGGGATATTAATGGCATATTCATGTGGCTATGGGAGGATTAATGACTTTAATATGGCACTGACAAGCCCCATTTTGGGTGGACAAATATCTACGAGTACGTATACTATATAGATTCAGTGATGTTGCGTGAGGTTGGTAGCATTGTCAGGTTGGATTACCAGAGAGTAGTTTGCGCCATCATCCCAAGAATATGAAAGTAATACGTCTCATCATCATTTTAAGGACGTAAAATATTTGTTTGGATCAACACCAACCAGCATGGATCAAGACACCCCCCTGAAATCTTCGTCTGGACGGTGGATGGGATAGGATTCACAGTCCCATACGACATGGACGGTGCCAAATTTGGAGAATGTAGCTATGGCAAGGCGAAGTAGTGCCTTCAAAACGTGAGAGGTCTGCCCAGCTATGGCTCAAGAATATTCGGCCAAAAGATGAGTCTTTGAGCAAGCCTCCTCTCCGTATGGTTTGGAAAATTACACTGATGTACCAAGTACCAAGCCCCATAATATCTTTGAAACCCACTCTTGCAATGATCATTGTCTATTGTTGCTACTCTGGCAAACACAGTATACAACAAGTCCTTTTCTCTCTCTCTGTCTCACCATTCAATTAGGATTTAGTGAGCCTTTTGCGCAGGATGCTGTAAGCTCATTGTTTGGTGTCTGAAGTCCCCAAAGTTTGCTCAATGGTTTCCGGGGCCCTCAAACCCCAAAATGAACAAATCAACCGGGGCTTCGTTTTTGGAAGGTTTTAATATTCGGGGCAAAGGACCCAGGGTTATATATTATATATACCCTCTGGTTATTTAACATAGCCATGGAAAATGACCCATTTATAGATGGTTTACCTGGGTTTACCTATTCAAGATGGTGATTTTCCATGGCTACGTTAAATAACCAGAGGGTATATATATACATATACATGATATGATCGATCACTACTCTGAGTTGTTAAAGTTGAACGATTTCAATGAAATGAGCGTCCCAGCTGCGCGCACGTAACTTCTAAAGTTGACCAATGTTGCGTCTAGCTTGTGTCTAGCAAGTTATTTTTTTTCAGTTTTTGACTTTTTCGTGGGTTTTGCATTGCCAGCGACTTTGTGTGACTTCGTATTTAGGTTGTGTCTATACCATGTTTTCGTTCGATACGTCGTTCGGACGTCGTTCGGACGTCGTTCGAAACAGCTAAACTCTGGTAAACTAACATAGCTATTGAAAATGGCCATTTATAGTGGATTTACCCATTAAAAATGGTGATTTTCCATAGTTACGTTAGTTTACCAGAGGGTAACCGTGTCCCTACAGATGTTTTGGGAGTTGCGTCCACAAGGTGTTTCCTCATCTTTCACACAGCAAAACTTGCCAAAACAGAGTTTGTCGTACATCGGCGTCCCATTGGGGTTGACCTTGCTTTTGGTCAACTTATTTGACTTCCTGATCCAACGGCGTCCCAATGAGATTTGACACAATTCTGTTAAATTGGTCGACTTTAACGGTTTGATTAATACGTCATCAAGATCATTATCGGTATTACCATCATCAGCATCATCAGCAGCATCATCATCATCATCATCACCATCACTATCATTATTCATGTTTCATTAGTCATTAGTCATTCGTCATTATTAATGGTTAATTATTCATTATAATTTATAATTATGTTCTGTTCTCATCTGTTCTCTTCTGTTCGGTTCTGTTCTGTGCAACGAAACATCATTAACGAATATTACACATGATATATGCGAAAACCATAGAAAACATATGAAAACATGTATGTATATATATATAACACGTGAGTTTAGACTATTATTATAGATATTTCATGATATGTCCATTAACATATATAATATATATATATATATATCCATTAACGAATATTACATGATAATATATAGATCCACAATTCCATAATATAGATCCCGCTTTCAGGGCTTTCCTGTTGCACCCTCTCCAGCGGCACCTTGCGACTTCCATGGGAAGCACGCTGCTGCATACCGCCATTGCGCTGAACATCTGGAACTATGGTTTTGCCATGACCAAATATGAGGCTGTCCATGGCTGTCCTGTGGAAAAAACTCTTCATACACTTTCACCAATCCAATGAACCAAAGTATATCAAAGTTGACATCAAGACTCACGAACTGCTTCCAATTAAAACTGAAGGACTGAGACTTAGCCGACAAAAAACTAAAACATCTGCTCAGCTGTAGGTTTCAAGGCTTGCAATGGTTAGCACTCTTCGCCATTGAACTCGAAGTTGTCACTGTCTGCGGACCCGCATCAAATCGCAAAGGTATCTGATACAGCCGTAGATCCTCTCGCTTCATTTGCCAACAGAAAATTTGGCTCTGAAATTGAACAAGTTCATGATAGTTTCCCAACCAGCTACCGGTAATTTAACATAGCTATTGAAAATGACCCAGTCGAAATAGTGGATTTTCCCATTGAAAATGGTGGATCTTTCCATAGCTATGATAGTTTCCCAACCAGCTAGTCCAGTCGACTGGAACTTTTTGTTCCCAACCACCGGTTGATCCTCTGCCCTCTCCAAGTCCCGGGAGGCCGCGCCAACGTGAACTCTCCCATATCCCTGTGACACGGAAGCTCCAACGAACAGAACACCACCAGGGGACCAGGGGCTGCAGTTTGGTGTCATTCCTACCAGGTTTAACAGGACAATGGATGACAATGGCCCATATCATCCCATATCCACAGCCAGCCTGTCTTCTTCTCCTTGAGCCAAGATGGAAACTGGTCCCTTCTCCAAGCTGGTTGCGCTTCATGGAAGACTCTGTTAAGATCAAAGAACTCACAGGAACTGAGAAACCCCAGCGGCCAGCGCGGAGTCCTTTCGTCGCCAAGCTTCAGTCCATGGATAGCTCTGCGCGTCAGCGCAACTGTACGTGGGGCCCCTTAAGATTCGGACCCATATGCCAAGGGTTCATGACGATTGACCTGTGCATGATTTGGAGTCAAGCATGGTGAATCATTCATGTCAATTTCACAGCTCCCCAAACTTTTGTTGACTCCAAATCTTCGGATGTCCATATTGGACTGTCCGTTCTCCTTGGCATTGGTTCTCGCTTGCATGTGCTCAAACTCTGCAACCAGCTGAAACATGCCAGAGGACAACATGAGATAGAGAGGTTCGCAAGATCCTTTGATCTTGGTCAGCGGGTCCGCTAACATCGCAGGGTGGTCTATCCACCGGATTTTCCCGGATAGGCTGTTCAGGTCCTCTCTTATGATCTGTATCTCAATTGCTGTACGCTTGTCCTGGCCACCTATCGTTTCTTTACACAGCTGGTCATAAAGGCTCTTGGCATCTACAACTGCTAAGCTACCCTTCAGGCTCTCAGTTGACGAAGTCGACGCCATAGCCATGACTTCGCTTCCACTCAGTCTTTGAGGCCATTCCCTGATAGAGAATTTCTCGTCCTTCAGCTCCTCAAACAGAACCATGATCCACAGCATGTCTCCCAGCCCTCGTGATAGGCTCTGAGTCTCGGCTGCCAAGGTGCTGTTGACAACGCGTTGGAGTCTGGCACTCCTCCACCAAAGAAGATTGGTTTTAACACGTTGGTTTTCTTGGAGCCCTGCCTCATGACATAGAATCATCTGACCTCCTTGTGAGTGAAGGTTGTCGTTGCCAAAAGACGCGTCGCTCACCACAGCAAACTTCATATTCTGCAAAGGCTGAACACGTAGAGATAGATCAGGCTTCTTCTTCAGGTTTCGAATCACCTCATTGATGGTGCACAGGTCCTCAACCGTAAGCCTGGTGAGTCGCGATGACAAAAGGCTTGATGGGCCTGCTGCATCCGGTCGGCCTTCTTTGGCCAACCAGTTGAGAGCTCCGCAAGCCGCTCTCGCCAAGGCCACTTCTTTCTCCGTTGCAAGCTCCTTCTTTTGAGAGGCTCTCCCCTTCTCCAGGGCAATCTCCTGGAGGCGTTCTTCCACGAACTTCTGCATGTCGATGCGGATTTCCCCATCGGGCATTTGCTGCACTCGCCTCCCATTGAAGGCTGCGCCCTGTGGCGTCTCCTTGAGAGTAACAAACTTCCCAAAGACAAAACGTTGTTGAAGTTGTTGAATCTTTTCCAGATGCATCTGATGTCCCACCATGAAGAGATCGTCTATCTCTATTGCCACCATGCCCTGCAAACGCCCATCACCATAGAGCTTATAGATGCAAGGATCCAGTGTGCTCTGGACATAGCCCAACGCCTTCAGGAACTCCGTCAAGGATTTGCGCCAATGGGCTGGCGCGTCAGCTAACCCATAGCAGCCAGCCACAATCTCGACCAACTGCTCATCATCAACGCCTTCCACCCCCTCGGATGGAAGCCTAAAATAAAGCTTGCCCCCCTTGCGCTCGAGCTTGGTAGATTGGCAAAAGGCATTCTTCAGGTCACCAATCTGTGCCATCATGTTTTCATTGGCGGCAATCTGAAACATGACTGCCAAATTCATGGTGTTGACTGTTGGGGCAAAACGCTCCAACGACAGGAGATCTGGGTCAAGGTCTCCCCGAATGCAGAGGCGACTTTTCTTAGTCGCTGGTTCACCTGGCTGTTCGGCAGGTTTGTACCTGCGGGCTATTTTCGTTGGCAAAATCCTGTCTGTTTTGCCTTCCTTCTTCAACTGCGCTCTCACTCGCCGGGATTCTTCCAGGCTCAAAACTCTCACTGCATCGGTCGAGGTGACCTTCTTCCATTCCTCCAGATCTGCTACTTTCCATTCTTCAAGGTCTTTGGCGCTCTCTTTCCTCATATCCACTTCATCTGTTCTCTTCTTTTCAACCGCTAACACCTCAAGTGCCTCCTTCTGCTCACTGCTCAACGCTGCTATGAAGGCGAAGGTGGAGGTACCGGTCCACCAGGCCTTCTCAGCGGAGGAAGGACTTGTCTCAGTCCATTTGTGAGTCTTCTGGCACGGAGGTCTGTTCGACAAAAAGTGCATCTGCGTGGTTTGCTCTTGACTGAGCGAAGAGAGAGGAACAGGAAGGCTGTGGTCATGAAGGGGACTGTAGAGAGATTTTCTTTTGCGCACATGATGCTTTGTGATCGTGTTCCTGGCTCTGTCTACTGTCCAAAAATCTCCTCGCTTTTTCCTTTCTGCAGCCTGCAACAACATGTTAACCTTTTCACGACCTTCATCAACCTCAAGCTCCTCAACCTCATCTTCGCCTGCCCAAAACATCTCCATCATGTAAGGCTCTGACCTGTTTTCTGATCGGACTCTCCAGCCTGACCGGCTGCTGCTGGGAATTCCATCTAGTCGGTTGGCGGCTGCCTCCGACTGCTGTATGATGGCTGGCATGTCTGGTCGCTGCATGATCTCTGGTGGTGGCTGAAGGGATGGCGTCACCGTGGCGTGAGGGCTGCCTGAGCTCACGCTTTCATCCTCCGTAATTGTAGCCTCAGCTGAAGGCTCTCCAAGGCCTTCTGTCTCTGGCTCCTCAATGGTTTGCCTGGAGGTCTGTGACTGACCACCTGAAACGTTGGCTTGAGATGGCCCCTCATCATCGAGAGGTTCTGGTGCCAGGCTTGGTGAATACGGTATCTCCTCAACCTGATCGCGGAACTCAACTTGCCTTTTCAAGCCCCTTCGAGGAGAGGCCTCTATCTCTTCTTCATCCTCAGGGAATGGCTCATCAGTCAAGTCTTTGTATCCCGCTTTCTTTGAGGTGCGCTTGTACTCCTCCACCAGGTCTTTGCATTCTTTCATGACCAGTTCCACGCCGTGCTTTTCCATGTTGGTCGCCAGTCTGCATTGCTCTCGAGCGACCTTCCACAGCTCGCCCCAGACTGTGATCCAGAGATTGGCGCCGTCCAGACTGACGACAGTGCCTGGGCCCACCCACGTGGGCTTGTTCTTGGCATAGTCAATGTCCGCCAAGGCTCCATGCTTTCGCTTTCTCTCCTTGTAGACCCTGTACACATAGACAAAGTCACCTGGTTGAAACTCCACTGAACTCCTGGTTCGGCTCTTGAGTGCCTTGCTGACAGCACTGCGAGCGTTGTGCTCGACAAACGCCTTTTGTGCCACACGTCGCATCTCCCACTGCCTTTCCAGGTCATCCACCAAGGCCCCTGCAACCAACGTAGGGTCTATGATCTCATCTGATGCCAGGTCGGCTGGCACCCTAGGCCATTGACCTATCTGACGTTGCACTGGGGAGAAGCCCGACCGATTGGAGTATCTATTCTTGATACTCTCCACCTCCTGCACCAGCCTGTGGAGATCCTCCTCACTTGTGATCACCATCTCGGCTCGCGCCTTTTCCAACAGCTCCTTGAAGTGCTGTCCGTGTCGCTCCGTCTTCCCATTCTGCCAGGGTGCTCGAGCGCCAACTTGGTATACTATGATCCCATTGGCTGTGGCGGTCTTGTTGAAGTCCGCTGCAAATTCCTTTCCGGCGTCGCACACCACAACTTCAGGCAGACCAAAAACGCGAGCCCAGCAGCTCCACAAGGTGTTCCAGATAGTCGTGGGCTCCTTGTTTGCCACGATCTCCACCATCTGGTAGTTTGAACCCCAATCCAAAATGGACAGGGCAGGTACCTGATGTCGGCCCCCAACTCCAGGAAGGTAAATCAGGTCTATGCCAATCACTTTGTTCGGCTGGTAGGTCTTGGGTATGGTGGCCGGCCGAACTGCCTTAGCCCTTGGCTTAGCCTCGCAAGACTCGCATTTGAAGTTCTTGGAGGTCCATCTCACCACTTCTCCTCTAACCCGTGCGGCCTTCAGGAAGCGCACGAAATCTGGCAAGGCTGGGTGCCCAACCCCTTTGTGCAACTTCAAAATTGCGGCCTTGTCCTGAGGGCTGATATCGTCAGCTCCTCCGCTTTCTCCTACAGCTTCTTCCAAGCCCTGGTCAGCGGGCACCAAGTCCTCCTCAGCTTCATCTTCCTCTTCCAGGCTCATGCCTTCTTGGGCGTAGATCTCTTCCGCCTCAGCGCTGGAGATGTAGCGCTCTGCTGTGCTCCATCCGCCATCTTCTCGTATCTGGTCTTTGATGCCCCTGATGATCTCCTCACAGAAAGCTTTGGGGTACACCTGAGCCTTGATGGCTCGGCCGCCCAAAAGTGGGGCATGGACGTGGTCTTGCGGACATCGCCGCTGCAGCCTCTTGGAAATGCACTTGGAGTTGGTGAGAATTCCCGTGGGCTTCAAATTGAAGCCACTCTCGTCCACTGCCATCCCATAGGCGCACATGTCGCACCTTGTTTTCCTCACTCCTGGGAGCTTAGCCAGCCTTTGCATGCATTCCTCATCCCAAGATCGCGCTCCATCTGGATGCTCGAACACGAAATACTTGCCGCGCTTGTACTGCCATGTCGCGACCAGCGCCGCGAGTTCCAAGTCATCCAAGCCGATCTGAATGAGATGTACAGCCTGATCCCATGGCATCTTGGAGAAGTTGAGCTCCTGTAGGAGGGAAAACATCTTGCATGGTGGACATGCGATGACGAGCTCAGGCTTTTCATGGCGCAATGTGCTCCACATCTTGCGCCGGTTCTCAGCAGTTGATAAGTCCCAGCCTGTGACCAGGTCATAGCTGGTTCCCTGCTTCATCCCCCTTTTGGCAGCCAACTCGGCTACCCTTGGTGGAGAGAAAACTTCTGAAACGACCTTACTCTCAAAGCCGTTGAGGACATTTTGAAAACCCTGGTTGACCATCTTGCGCTCCTTGTTGGTGAAGTGCTTCTCTTTGTCATCCTCTAAATAGTTCTCCATCACACTCTTGTTGGAGAGCGTGACCCACACGCGGACCGGTCTGGTCTCGCGGAGGGGAACCAGGCCCTCTCGCCTGATCCATTCATCATCTTCCATGGTCTCGTAGAACCACGACCCGCACATCACCTTGCTTTCTCCCTGTCTTGTCAAGCCCTGCAATCTCCTCATGGACCTTCTTGCTGCCGTCGATTCTGCCTCGCACCACGATCCTTCTGACTGTTGGCTCAAAGGCCGGAGTCCTCCTCCTCCAGCAAATCCACCACTTCCACATCGCCCTCCTGGTTCTGTGTATGCAGCTCGACGATCTCCGCCGGCTCCACCTCTGGCCACAAGTCTTGGTTGTCCAGCAGCGCATCCGCCACTTGGTCCACGACGGTCATAGGCCTGGCGCGGCTCTTCGCCTGCCGCTGCATCACTGGTGGAACATAGCCTTGGGTTCCTTCCCTGGGCGCTCTCATCATCTGGTCTTGGATCTGCTGTTGCATGTTTCTCTCCAGTTCTCTGGATCGCATCTGTTCGTAGTGCAATGCCTGCTGCATCTCTTGCAGCCTTCTCTGGTTGTCCTCCTGCTCGATTTGAATTGCTCTGGCTAATCTGGGCGGTGTCATTGGGCCCGTCTCCATCCATTCTGCCGCAGCCATCTCGGTTTGACTTTGACTCAAGAGGCCCCCCTGAGTCGCAGCACTTTTCTGCTCTTTCATGTACTTCTTGATCTCTGCTGTCGTGAGGCTGTTCTCCCACCGGGCATGGCAGTCCTTGCACACTATGTAGGACTGAGAGGAGTTGCCTCCCCCTCGGAGCTTCCCCTTGGGATGCACGCAGTTGCTGATAGGCACTTGTGGTTTCTCCTTGCCCTTCAGCGGGTTCAACATCTTGGCACCGGCAATCATGGCGGCATAGACGTCCGCCAATGTCTCCTCCTTGGGTTCCGAGGGTGAGCCATGCAAGTGCGGCAACTGTGGAAACCACTCTTCCACGAGCCGCTGGTGCTCGGTATACACGAGCAGGGTCACGAGCTTGTCCATGATGACCCTCCAGCCTCGTAAAGCCCTCTTGGCATGATGCGGAGGCGGCTGCACATCCATTGATTCGTCCGCCATCTGGGACGTCAGGCTTCTTGATGTCCCGAGCCTCTTGACGCGCTCCAGCAAGGACGACGCCATGAGCGTCGAAGGCCGAGTGGACGGCCGTGGGACTCGAATTGGAAAACGTTGCGCTCGTCTGAGCCATTGCTGCCGTGGACATCAAGCTGGTGCCGGACAACAACCTGGAACCTCCATGGGCATGGTGAAAACGCCGTTCTGAAAATTCATGACATCCACTGTGACATGACCACTCGGCAGTTCATGCATCTCCACTTCAACTCCATACTCATTCAAGTGCAATTTCATGGTCTCAAGGTTGACAACTGCCTTCAACCCCGTCAGCATGCGAATGGGCAACAAGAGTGGTACATCTCCATCTGCAACTGTTGCTTCCAAAACCCCGTTGACACCGGCTATGCCAATAGGTAAAAGCACCACTCCCAAACATGTCGCATTGCCCCCAACTCCTTTGGCTGTTGAAGTCTTGGGGATCCACTTAGTTCTCAAACCGCAACCATGCAACTTCTTCTGCAAACGTTCTAAAGCTGGCTTTCCTATCAATCCCCCTTCAGCTGCCGTGTCTACAACTCCATGCTCTGGAAAGGTTGTGATTCCTGAAAAACCTGAATCGCTCTTGTATGCACCTCTGGATTGCTGCTCTTTGGTCTTTGCCCTCTGTTGGAGAAACTCTCTGAGCCAAAAACTGGACGGTTCCTGGTGACCGTCAGCATGCCCAGAGACTACAAGGAAGCCAGACTTTGCTGTAGACACTGAAGACGAAACGCTGCCGCCCGCTGCTGAGCTGGCTCCATGCCGTGACTTCCCATCAGCATTGCACTCTCGGCTCCAATGCCCAACCTGGTTGCACTTCCAACAACGGCTCCTCATCTTGAGTTGCTCGGTGTGAACTTTCTGCCAGCGGCCACTGCCTTTGGCCTTGCCCTTGCCGTTGCCTCCTTTGCCGTAGAAGCCTCTGCCTTTCTTCTGGTCTTTCATCGCCTGGCGGATCTCTCGATAGCTTGCCAAGGCGCTCATCACGTCCTCTTCATCCATGACTTCCGCCAGGTCGCCTTCCTGGATGTAGATGTAGTTCTCATCGTCATCCCAGCTGTCATCCCAAGTGCCATCGACCTCGGCCGGAAAGACGCCGCTCTCATATTCAGGGGCGTCCATCAAGTAGCTGGATTTGCCACGGTCTTTGACGACCTTGTCCAACTTCCGCATGGCCTTGACAACGGAAGCCCTGTCGTACTTCCCATCAGCCCAAACCAAGAAACGCTGCTCCTGAGCTTCACTCAAAGCTGCCTGCCGGTACACTATGTACCCCTGTGCCGCATCGGGCATGGTGATGCCCTCCTTTTTCAACTTGCTAAAACCCCTATCCATCCTCGCTATGTATTCCCCAAAGCCCTCTTTGCTGGACCTTTGTTGGCCATAGACAGCACTCTCGAAGGCCCGTGGCAAGGAAACTTCTAGGTGAGGTTGGAAGAAGTCGCGAAGGCGGCTCATCACATTCTTCAAGCCATCCTCGCAAGCGATTTCCTCAAAGGGCATCTCTTCCACAGCGATCCTAGCGGATCCGGTCAGGGATCGCAGGAGCTTCACCCCTCTCTTATTTTTGGGGACATCAGTCTCATATTCCCAAAGTCTCACATTGCGCTCCCATAGTGTGAATGTGGCCTCAGGCTCTTCCCCATCATAAGGTGGAGGTGGCTCCCGGTCTCTAAAACCCCCTCTAGGCGCTTCTGCAGCACTAGAAACAGCAGCACCCTGACTTGAGGTTGCCATAGCACTCGGGGACGTCGTTGTTCCCACTGGTTCATCTGGCGTCGGCATCGCTTCCACTTCCAAAGGCTCGGTTCACCTTGCTTGGCACCCCCTGGAGCTAACCAGGAGCTGCCGCTACCACTGAGAAACCCCAGCAGCCAGCGCGGAGTCCTTTCGTCGCCAAGCTTCAGTCCATGGATAGCTCTGCGCGTCAGCGCAACTGTACGTGGGGCCCCTTAAGATTCGGACCCATATGCCAAGGGTTCATGACGATTGATCTGTGCATGATTTGGAGTCAAGCATGGTGAATCATTCATGTCAATTTCACAGGAACATACATCTTCAGCGCACCAAGTCTTTATTATCTTTATTGGGAGTTACGACTCAACTAAAGTTTGGAGGCCGGAACTCAGAAACAAATCTAACTCATCCTAATACTTGTCCTTACACATGTCCTTATCTAACAATATCTGACAGTAATGGCACCTAAAAGACTTGCGGAGTTCACCCTTGACCCCAGGAGGGATCTCCTCTGGACACGTTCCTCCGCAAGAGGCGAAGATATTCCTCCTGGCCGGGCTGCCACAAATTTTACCTCTGAAAAGGCAGTTTCTGACAAACTGTCAGTTTGGTTTCCAGCCCATGTTTGGTCTTGTGTATATATACTGTATATATATATATGTGTGTGTATATATACATATATATATATGTGTATATATATATTTATATATACATATATATATACACATATATATATATATACATATATATATGTATATATATATATGTATGTATTGTACAGTATCCATATGTCATATGTGTATTTATTAAGTGTTTTTTTGATTCATTCATTACTTTACTTATATCTTTATACACACACCCTTATATGGGGAAAAAAAACATGGAACAACATCGAACTGAATGTGGGATTTTGAATTGTCATGTTTCATCATGTTTCTTTGCCAGAGGGTATACACAGTCCTGGTTGCAAAGCCCGCTGCTGTACAGCACCTCAATCTGATGGCAGTTGTGGCAGGAACCTCCAATGGATGGGATCTTTCAGAAACTGTGAGCATCGGGGTGTCCCTCCCCAGTCTTGCCAACTTCAAGGAGGGCCAAGAAGTGCTTGAAATAGATATATGATAATATATGATAATATATGATATGGATCAAACATGGGACAGCAATGGCCTCAGAAATTTGGCAGCAATTTATTCTTAAACCATCCATTTTGGAGAAAAAATGGCTGACCTTCTCGCATCCTCAGCAGTGTGGTCAATGCCAAGCGACCCGCAGAGCCGGGGGCGGCCGCAACTGCCACTGCACCTGCTCAGGTTAAGGCCAGCTCTGCACCCAAACATTGCAGTTGTTCATTGTAAACGACCACCAACCATTGATGATGATTTGTTTTACAGGCAACCTGGATGGTCAGAAATCCCCTGTCCATTTGGGTATCTCTGGACTTTCCGCTCCAAAACCCATGCCATATCTTGACCAGCAGGGCCTTGTCAGCCTGCGTGGCCACCAAGTGCCCTGCATCCAGGATGGCCATGTCCCAGTCTTTGGCTTCCGCCTTCGAAAGCTCATGGGCCATGCCATCCCGCAGGCCTCCGAATGCTGCTGAAACAAGGAAACCCCAAAACTGCCAGGAAAAATCCATGAAAACCTGTGATGATGTTGACATGTTCCATCTGATCATCAGCTGTTCTTCCTTCACATTCTGGGTTGCTGCCAAGAAGCGAACACGCTTAAATTGGATGCGAAACTCCTCCGACCAACCTCGGTAAAAGAGCAGGATTGGAAACGTAAAAGTTGGCACATCTTCTTCATCTGGGTGTCAGGCTGTCCTGGTAGTCTTGCCAACTGGGAAGCTGGCTGAGGTGCCTCTCAAAAATCATGGGGAAAATGATGGGAAATGATGGTGAAAACCAATGGAATAGCTGACCTGCAACCATGGCATGTGGTTGGTATCTTATTTCAAGCCTCAACGGATCATAACGAGGTTGTCGCTTCTGCACACTCGTTGCTTCAAGGCTAGCTGCATTTCTATGTGTACCGAGGTCTCTGTCTCTCTCTCTCTCTCTCAATTTTCGTTGCTTATATGCTTATACTGAGGCTCCTCTGGCAAAATTTGCTGGTTCATGTCCTAATCTTTGCACGAGCTTTCACATGCCAGCGTGACTCATTCTGCTGGTGAACTTGCTTTTCTTGGCTCACCCTCCACTAGACCGACATCAAAAAATGCAGTCGTTACATTTCTCAGGAAGGCAATCTAGAAATGGTTGGTTTCAACTTCCAAGTTGGTCCCTCAGGTGGGTTTACCGTAGATTTCATGCGTGGGTCTGGGCCCTAGAAAAATTGAGATGCTTCCTATGGCCCTATCAGCTATTGACCCCTGCCCATTTGGGTATCTCAGCTGCCAGGTAGCCTTGAGGGAAGATAATGGAAAATGATGATTACAGGATTGGGGGTACAGTTGGTACGGTCCGCTAAACTTTATTCAGATGGGTTTGTTTGAAAAATATAGTGCCAGAATCACATTATATCATGATTACCCCTAAATGGACATTTGGGAGGGTATATGGTACAAGACCCAGTACTGTATACAGTATACCCATGTATACCCTATTTTCAGACGCATTCAGATATCACAGCGCTGGTGATCTATCATATATCCTCGTAATATATATATATATATATATCCTGTTAATATATGCAATTTTTCAATATCCCATCAAACCTAATGTTTTAATATGATCAACTAATTCCATACTTGGTTCCCCACGCACCCAGATCAGCACGGAGAACATATTGTTAGCTATATATATATATATATGTATATCATTGTATATCCCGTGATATCCCTAGTTTTGATTGGTTAAACCCGATTTAATCCCATGAAACCAGATTTGAGTGGTTTTGATTGGTTCAACCGGTACACCTTCTACCCTCCGATAATCAAACGTGGCTGGCTGGCAAATCCCCGAAGAAAATGGAGGTTTATAGCTGGGAAAATCTATATGATGGATTTTCTAGCAAGCCATGTTCGATTACCGGAGGGCATTCCATTTGTCAGATGAATATATGCCATTTTATGCCGTCAAATCAACAAAAACCCATCAAATCCATCAGGTGCCAGTGTTGTTTTGTTTTTACCCCATGTTTAAAATATATATATATATTACATTTATGACATTATATAATCAATACCCCATCAAATCAGCAAAACCCCATCATCAAACCATTAACCAATTAATATTGGGATCAATAATAAACCAGGGGTTGATATTCATCATCTAATGAAAACCATGCGTTCTTGTCATTCAATGAATATTCCATAAGTATTCCATCATTAATATAGATGATATCCAAAAAATGGTTGGTAGATGACATCAAAATCCACCATCATCAGGATGGTGCCCCCCAGTTATAAGTTGGCTTATAAACTCCATGAACAATCCATTGGCAGTTATATCTACCATAAACCATAGAATTCAACCACTTATAAGGCAACTGAGCGCTATCGACTGGGGGCCCCATCATCTACCAGATGGTTAAAGATATCATCTATCAAATATCAGATCTATTGAGTATAATCTATATCATTAACTGTAGTTATACCTACCGTATTTCAGTTGATGTAACTATATATATATATACATATATCATTAAGATATCTACCATTAAGAAAGATATATATATATTATATATATAATCTATATCTATACCATCAAGAACCATAAACCATCTATCTGGGTAAATTATAAATTTTCACTAACCTGAATGAAGGCCATTTGGGGGATGATTTCCCTTATTAACATTTATTAACCATGATTCCAGGCTTCGGTCGCAGTGAGGTCGTTATAAATTACCCAGATCTATCTACATATATATATATAATATGTACCCATAGGATCCATGTATGCTATATATGGTAACATTTACCATCAATATACCCCCAATGTTAGCATATATACCATACATGGATCCTATGGGGTATAATATCATATAACTTTATCTACCAAAAAACCATTCGTTGTTTCAGAGCCTCCACCGCGCCTGCGCGTCGCACGCATCGCCGGCGTCGCAGGTCGACCGAGGTGAGCGGCTCGCTGTAGATCGCGCAGGCCCAGTGGAGAAGCTGCAGAGGCAAAAGGGCCACGGAAACAAGACACCTTTCAATTATAATATAGGATAATATAGTATATGTATAATATGAGATATGTATGATGTATAATGGAATTCTATGGGATTATTGGAATTTATGATGTTTTATGGAATTCTGTAGCGTTTTTATGGGATGTTATGGGATTTGCATCTAGTTATTGTCTATTGTTCAGCAGTGTTAGTTATTTGATTCAAAAAGTAACCCCGAAAAGTCAAACGACCACTTTTACCTACCACCGAATTGTGATAATCCACAATTCCCACAGGGGCAAAATGAGCCATGGGGATTTTCTGGGTAAGATGGAACCTAAAGATTGCGTAAAGACTGGAACTCAGATTGTAAATTCTTTTTCGAACATGCTGGAACTAAGGCAAATACCCTTCCGATATGTTTATAATTGTTTATATATATATACATATACTATAATATATATATATAAGTTAAAGTAAAGCCAAAAACTGCCATTTCCAGGTCCAGGAATTCGTCTTTCAAAGTCGAAAGCGTCCAAACCCCTTTGTCCAGGTTTGAATAGGTACAGTAGCAAACAAATGGCCAGCACATTGCAAGTGCATAGATATCCCAAAATCAGACATAAATCACCAACTAGTGAGGGTCTGCGTACATGGAAGCTGGGTCCGGCCTGACAAGAAGCCCATGGCAGGCCACAAGGCAAATCTCATGGCCACCATGAGCTATGCTCATGCTAGTGGGATTATCATGGATTATCCCTCAACTGCCATGCAAATGGAGGTTTCCTGAAATGCTGGTAGCCCATAAAATGGATGGTTTGATAAAATGCCTTTGTTTATGCCTTTGTTTATCATGGAAAATCATATTGAAATGAATGATTTGGGGGGGTTCCCCATTTTAGGCAACCTCCAAATAGGGATGTTCACTGGGCTGAGGCGACCTCTGCGCGGAAAGTCTGCGCAGGAACCTGTGTGCAAACAAACAGTGCAGAACTGTTACGTCTCGAGACGTGATCCGGAAAGAGGTCTGCAGAGTTGGTTTCGACCAGCGAAACCCGAAACCCGAAACCCGAAACCGACTCTGAAGACTTACCTTCCCCAGGGCCGATCGAAACCCTATATAATGTATCATATTGTGTAATGACTGTATGTCTACGTAATATATATATATATATGTACATATATTTGTATAATATATATATATATGATTATATATGTACACAGTACACATACTTAATTTCTGTGTGTGCGTGTGCAGATATAAAAAGACGGCACGTTTTGATGTATATGATCTTCTACACGCTCCATCACGCTCCCACAAACATGGCCAGTTTCGTGCAAAATTATGACATACGGTCCAGCATTTCATTGGACCAGGAGCTCCTGTCCCATCCGTTGAAGACATGAGCCCTTTACTCAACAAGTCTCAACAGCTCCAAACCCGTCCTGTTTATCATTGCAACACAGCAAGTTCTGGATTTGTTTTTTCATCCGGAAAATCAATAAAAATCATCTACACCTGGTGGATTCTGATTTTTGGATATTTTTGGTGGAGTTTCCGCTCAGCCATATGACCCTTCATGGCCCCCCGCGGCTCCGGCGTTTCGATGCGTTTCGTGAACTTTTCCGTCGAAGAGTCCGTCTGATCGCTGTGGATCAGGTGGATCAGAGCTGCCCGGCACCCCGCTTTCAGCGGCGCGGTGGGACCGCATCTTAGGCATGGTTAGCCATGGTTAGCCATGTGCATCCGGAGCTTCAGTCACTGATCTCTTCGCACCCCACACCAGCGCAGTGAGCTGAACATCTAGCGGATTCTAGCGGTTTCTTGGGTAAAGGTGTTGTATCTCAGTGGGGCAGCTCCTGCACAATCTGCCGTTCCTCAACCCTGCGGTTCACTGAAAACAATGCCTGCACGACGCGCGGTGGCACTCATTGGAAGGGCAGCTCTAGGGGAAATCAGGTGATGATAATTATGTAATATAATTATATATCAAACCTTATCAGCATAGGCGGGAGGGTTTGGCATATTTGTGGAGGGGGCTTTGCAGTTTCCGGCACAAACCAACTGTTTGGGAATGTTTTGGATATGTTTTTGACTACGAATCCTTTATACATGGACCCGTCTGTTTCTTCCTCATATCCTGCCGTGAAAGCTTCGGCATTTTTGGGCATGAGATCATGAGATCATTAGTGCTTCATTTCCAAGTGGCCAGGCATGGTTCTTCCAACACCCCTTAGAGAAAAAAAACACGGCCACGGCCCTTTTCCATCCTTTTGCAAATCGCTTCTTCGGTTTTTGGCACCCGGCCGCTAGATGCCACACCTTGTGGTTGGGCATGTTGTTTCATGATGTTCATGTTTCAACTCGTCATGGCCAGACACACCGGAAGATGGCGTAGTCTCCATCTGCGTCCAGGATGTCCATCAGGGCACCGGGGCCCGGGAGCTGGGATCGGCTGTGCGGATCATCGGTCACCGAGACGCTGCAGCAGTTGCTGAAGTCGCACCTCTGACCGAGACATGGACGTGACAGGAGTGTCGGGGATTTGGGGTGCCAGAAATCTGATGCAAGTCAAAAATAAGATAAAAATCAGTCAGTCATCAGTGACATCAGATTTTTCGGTGATTCTTCTGACACTTTTCTCGGAACTCCTTTGTAAATCCATGTGAATCCCCAATGTTTCCGGATGTTCCAGGCCTCATCCGGGCTCAAGCGCGTAGCCATCACAGCCTCGTGGCGCCAGAACATGCTGGGTCTCTCGAGGCATCCAGTCTAACTCCCCAAGTTTTTCCATGAAATATATATATATATATATAAAAAAAAGCATGAAAAATCATTGAAATATATGAAAATTCAATTAAAATGAAACCTTGCAAATGGATTTTGACACAACTTATCAACTGAGGTATGTCGTGTGTGGTCCTAAGGAGATGTTTCCCCAACCGCTTCGAGGTTCTCATGTCCACGGTGCTACCCCCAAGGGCCTCAGGGGCATTGAGAGTTGGCCTCATCCGGCGCGGCTGTTGGTTGCTTGCAACACACTGGTGGGTACCCTAAACATCCCGAAACTATCGAAACAAGTAAACTCTTAGCTTTCCAAATAAATCGATAGAACATACCTTTGAGATTACTGGCAAGTGCCTTCTGGGTGATAGGACTGCACCCCCTTACCACAAAGAACACCAGCGCAAGCGAGGTGCTCATGAGCTGCCACCCTCAAGGCATCAGCCCACGGAGAGCTCTTCACCCTAAGTTTGCACAGGGAATCAGGAGTCAATAGGATTATTAGTGATTAAAAATGAGATGCCAATCTGTGATCAGTGATCGCTAATGATTAACAGTGATTAATTGGATATCAAAATGTATCAAGTGTTTCTCAATACCCTGACCTTCCTCCACAACGTTTAACTGTGGGGTTACTAACCACAACGTTAAACTTTGTCTTTAGATGACTGCAGAAAATCAGTTCTATCTAGCCACAAATTGTTTCACATCCAGAGAGTGGACTAACATGGACTAACCGTGTTGGCTCAGTCCCAAAGCAGTTTGGGCAGAAGTATTGCTATGAAGAGTGGATGGAAAGGCGATATAAGAGGAAAAACGCGAATCTGCCCAGAGGTCAGATCCATTTGCAAATGGCAAAATCTGAAGCATTCTTTTTCTAAACGATTTGTTTGGTCCATTTTGAAGTGTGAAAAGTGCGTGAAAATAACGTGAAAAGTGCGTGAAACGACCGTGAAAAACCTGTGAACACCATCAAAAAACTGGGGGGCAAGACTCAAATAATGGTTTGACTAAAGTTTTTGCAAAATCGAAGATCTGGTGTGACACTTTGCGCCCTGCCTTTTTTGTGGAGCATGTGCTTCATGGATACTATCTTTAGGATTCAGTAATGGCAAGCTGATGGGAAGGGAACTTTTTGGAATTCCTTAAAGGCCGGTATTGTTTATTCTGCATTCTTAGATTCTGCCTCTGCTCTTTGGAAGGCAGTAGTGATAGGCAGTGAAATGATGGGGTTAAGTAAAAACATGGGGTTAGACTAACCACAACGTTAAACCTTGTGGTTGGAAGGTCAGGGATACCTGTGCCCCACGAATCACCCGAATTGGACTATCTTCTGCAGGACCCAAGGCGATGGACAGCCAAGCTTCACCGCGAATGCTTTGCTCAACCAGGCCTTTGCAGAGTCCACTTTGTCTGCAACAAGGAACGCCTCACTCCAGATGCAGCATCACATGAAAACATGCAGCTCATCTTTCGAAATGAGGGCCTGATCTAATTTTGCAGCACAAACAGAAGTCAACCAATTCCGGCTTGATGGTGTGGGCTTCAGGTTCTATCTATCATTCCTTGTCAACTCGAAACCTGCCGTGCATCACAGCTCGCCTACACTGCCTACACCTGTCAAACACTTGGGCAATATACATATGGCAATAATACCAGATTTGTAGCAACACCTTGAACTTTTTGGGGGCCAGGGTGGGATTCCTGAGTCTATTCATCTACCATTGTCCATCACACTCCACCACCACCATTCAAAATACTTCAAAATGACAAGAAATATATCAAGAAAAAACACACATCGTGAGCATCAATAAGACAACGAAACATCGGAAAAAACAAAGGAGAAAAACAAAACATCCATATCCATTGCATATCCATTGCATATCCATTGCATATCCATTGCATATCCATCCATATATTTCCAACTTGACAACACCTCCCAGATCTCCCAGTGCCTTTGGTTTACTTCGACATCTTTGACGCTTCCTCCGTCCCGCCTCGGTCACCGCTGCATAGCTCCGAATCCCCAGCTCCACACGCGTCTGGCTAGCACGCTGCAGCGTCGCCTCTGCGGCCTTGAGTTAAAATGAGGATTTGGGCGGAGGTTTAAACAACCTCCGCAGTCAGTAAAGCACGAAGATACAAACCTAAATACTGTTTTATAATGTTTTATGTGATTTTATATGTATTGTTTTAGCGTGTCAAATTGTGGCGCACTGACACTGTGTGATTTGGATTCTTTATTGATGTACACCAGCTCGGAAGGCCAAGCAATTTCCTGGTCCAATAACCCACAACCAGGTCAGTGTCAGGGGAGCAAAACCCTACAAACCAACAAGTACTGTAAATATACACATGCCCTCCATGGCAGTAATCAAACATGGCAACAGATATCCTCCATTTATAGAGGATTTTCCAACTAAAACCATCTAAAACCTCTATTTCAAGCGGATTTCCCAATGCCAGGTAGGCTATGTTTGATTACCAGATGGTAAACACACCATGTTTGATGCTCTGCAGGTGCGAAGAGCCCCAGGGGCCCCAGGGCCCCAGGCCGAGCCACAAATGGGCGGAGTGACTTCGCATAGCTATTGACTACTTCAACAACCTCAGCTGAAAACGGAGCTGCGACGAATCAGAACAGTGGTGAGAATTCAGAATCGGAATGGGGATTGGATTCTGATGGATTCTGATGGATTCTGATGGATTCTGATGGATTCTGGGTTCGGATTTCTAGAATCGGTCTACGTCTATGCTAAATGTGAGCGCAATGTGGAAGCACAAGAGTCTCAAGAGCCTAGTGCTTGGCTGAGCCGCAGTGTTCTCTTCTGGCGCCAGGCGTGAAAGATACATCCTGATCAGCAATTCGAGTTCCGAGTGATCCAACCAGACTCCTGGTATACTCCGGTGCAATGTTTGAACATGGAAGATATGAAAGGGCATGTTACGCTGCGAATATTTATTATATTTCCACCATGTTCCAATGTGGACTCAGACTGGTGTGGTGTCAGGCTCGGCACACCATATGGCCAAGCATCCTGGAAAGCCATCCCTCTGCTTCGGAGGGGCATTGCAGGCGTGCGAAAGCTTCTGCCAGCAGGTGATGTTCGGAAGGCCTCCGTAAAATCAATGGGAATTTCAGGATCCTAAAATGGAGGTACGTTAGTACCATATGTTTGGCCATATTTTGATATATTTTGGGGGAATATTCTCTTAGGCCTTACATAGGCCTTATGGATATATATGGTAGGTACCTCCAATTTCGGTTCCTGTTGCATGGCCTCCGTATAAAAGCGTGGGGAAGCTGGGTCCTGGATTGGAAGGCTGTTGGAACTGGGGATCCAAGGTGATCCAAGGGATCCAAGGGATCCAAAAAAAAATCGGATGAAATACCCGGCCTGGTAAACATACAAAAAGCTATTGAAAATGACCATAGAAATAGTGGATTTTCCCATTAAAAATGGTGGATCTTTCAATAGCTATGTAACAAATTACCAGAGGGTATGTTTCGTCCAGTGATAGCTGCTATGTGCAAACCGCAAACTCACCCATCCGGGGCATTTTCCAATGGAATGAGGAAATGTGAAACTAGACGACGGATGGCCCCTTTAGCGTAGAGGAGCATAGTGAGAGGATGTGAAGAGGTATAAGCATGAAGATCTAATACAGTAACATGAAACATAAATATAGAAATATACGATGATGCGTTAAATGAGGAGACATGGTGCAGACATGTTGTGAAAAGTAGGTATATAATATTATATACGTATGAAGAAATTGAAGGAGAAAGAAAAGAATGATGAAACGAAGGAAACACAGGAAGAGGAATTGAGACACACATTTTTACATACAAGCATGCTCATACATACAAACAAACATGCCTCACACACAACTGTGATTTTACACACAAATTCTTTAGCGCACCAACACTTTTACACACAATCGTTTTTACGCACAAAAACTGTTACACACAAACATCTTTACTCACAATCGCTTTGACACAAACGTTTTTACACAGAGACTTTTTTACACACAAACACTTTTATACACAAACACGTTTACACGCAAACCCTTTTACACACAAACTCTTTCACACACAAACACCTTTACACACAGACCCTTTCGCACACAAACACTTTTACACACAAACACTTTTACACACAGACGCTTTTACACAGAAACACTTTTACACACAGACGCTTTTACACACAGACCCTTTCGCACACAAACACTTTTACACACAAACACTTTTACACACAGACGCTTTTACACAGAGACGCTTTGACAAACAGGCCCATTGCAAAAAAAACGGATTACAGATGTATTGCATGCTAAAGGAAAGAAAATGCTGCAGATGATCAGCAGAAAGAAGATAGAGATGATATGTGAAGATTCTAAGCTGAAACCTGACGAGGTGCATAGGAAGAGTTTTACATGCAGACATTTTTACACGCGCACACTTTTCCTCTACGCACGCACGTTTTTATACACAAATGCTTTCACAGACCGACACACACAAACACACAGACGCAAACCACTACGACAGACACACACACACATGGTGAGACGAATACACACACACAGACGCATACAAACACATGCGCACACACACGCACACACACTTTTATACACAAAGATGCGTTTACACATAGGACGCTTTTAAACACGCATACTTTTATGCCCAAAGACGCTTTTAAACATAGACGCTGTTAGACACAAACAATTATACACACAGATGCTTTTACATCCAAACGTTTTAAACACAAACAAGGACCCTTTTACATCACCATCATCATCACCATCACCATCATCATCATCTTCTTCTGCTTCCTCATCCTCATCATCCCCATCCTCATCCTCATCCTCATCATCGTCATCATCGTCATCATCATTCTCATCCTCATCATCGTCGTCGTCGTCGTCGACGTCGTCCTCCTCCTCCTCATCATCATCATCATCATCATCACCATCATCATCACCATCATCACCATACTCCTCCACATCCTCTTCCTCATCCTCATCCACATCATCCTCATCCTCATCATCGTCACCATCCTCATCCTCATCACCACCACCACCACCACCATCATCATCATCATCATCAGCATCATCATCCTCATCCTCACCATCATCATCATCATCATCACCATCATCATCATCATCATCATCACCATCATCATCACCATCATCACCATACTCCTCCACATCCTCTTCCTCATCCTCATCCACATCATCCTCATCCTCATCATCGTCACCATCCTCATCCTCATCACCACCACCACCACCACCATCATCATCATCAGCATCATCATCCTCATCCTCACCATCATCATCATCATCATCACCATCAACATCATCATCATCATCATCATCATCATCATGTTCATGTTCACCATCTTTGTCATCATGACCATGTTTGTCATGTTCCTCACCTGCCAAACATGCCACATACGCCACATTCATCGCATGTTGCACACAGAAGCTTTTACACACAGCCCCTTTCACACACAAACTCTTTTACACACAATCACTTTTACACACAAGAATGTTTACACACACACACTTGTACACAGAAACACTTCTACGCACAAACGCTTTTACACACCAACGCTTCTACAAAGACGTTTGCACTTACACGCTTTTACACACAAACTCTTTTACACACAAACACTTTTACACACAATTATTTTACACACAAACACTTTTACACACAAACCCTTTCACACACAACGACTTCTACACTCGAACCTCATTTCGTGCGAAAGGGTTGCCGCCGGACCATCCAAACTCGCAAAAAAGAAACTCAGTTTTTGACACTCGAACCTCATTTCGTGTGAAAAGGTGGCCATGTTGTGGCGCCTCGTCGACACTGCCTGCGGCCTTAAGAGAGGAAAGAAAAAGAAGGAGAGAGACCATGACAAAGGGCGAGAGTCAGAGAGAGGGAGCGAGAGAGAGAGAGAGCAAAAAAAAGAAAGAGAGAAGATGTGAAGATGTGAAGATGAGAAGATGAGAAGAAGATATCAACATGCGAAGATGTATAGCAGACCTCCACTTTTAGAAGAACCCTTTGCTCAGACGCTCTCGGGAAAAAGATATGAACACAAAAAATCAAATTCCGCCTTGCTTCCGACATTTGCACTGCCCAAATCTCAGCAGAACTCAAGCGTCCCCGCGATGCCTCAGCGTGTCTCTCTTCTGTTCAAGTGGCAAGAAAGGGGCCAGCCGAACTGGAGGCATGCACTGAGTCACTATGAGTCACTGGATGTCACTGGTACCCAGTAAGGTGCCACATGACGTGCTCCAAATCCGGCCCCCAACGAGATCCAACGAGTCACATGAGCGGAGATGAGCGAAAGGAATGCCATCCGCGGCGGCCTGAAGAGGTTTCCACATCAAACCAACATCAAAGCCAACATCCAGCATCATCTCATCATCTACTGCCATATCACTCGTCCCATGTTTGTAAATTTCTGTGTGTCTCTCCTTTTTACTGGCTGCATGATCTTCATGTTTATTTAATCTATTCATCTATGATCATCTATCTCTCTCTAGGCTTCAAACAGGTTTTATTCAAACACATTCAAACTTTCAAACCATGCAAATTTCCCATACTTCCCATACACTTCCCTCTATTTGTCCACTGTGCCATGCACCTGAGTCTGGCAGCCATCATGGCCCACATCATCCCTTCAGCCTCATCCACCTGGCTCACCTGTGTCACTGCAGCGGCTGGGGGCTGGGGATGGCTGGGGGATCTGGGGGCAGGCTGATACATATGGTTGAAATGTGGCCATGGATGGTCTTGAAGTGTCTTGAATGGCCCAGATTTATCTGCAATTTCAACAAGTTCATGACTTTGGAGCAGGTTCCCTGATGTTTTTAGCCTATGACGCCAGCCTCAGAGAGGAATTGCTCCAGCTGGGAGACGCTCTTCATGTCAAAGTGAGACTCCGACCTGGGGGATGAGCCCAAAAATTGGGACCTGCAAAAAAGATCAAAAAAGAGTGGTCTCAACTCACCATTGAATATCTGATATATCTGATGGAAATGGGTGCAGACATGGGGGATACCCAGAATGTTCTGCCCGTGAGGAAATTGACCGATCGAGATGTTGAGATCGTAACTAACCTTGTTTCCTTGGCTCTCCCAATATCTGAGAATTACTTTTGGCTCCCCTAAGGAATAAGACGTGGGGGAGTACATCAAAATTTGTTCCGAGCCCTAGCACTTTATCCCTGGGTTCTTGATCAAGAGGCAGCTTCCGGGACGCATTCAGCCACTTGAGTGCCTCATCCCAAGCTCTTGTGCAGCATCTGAGAAGAATGTCACGAAGAAAATCTGATGGTCTTCCAACCCGAAACCAGGATTGTTTTAGAACAGAGAGGTCACCCCAATTTGAATCTGGCCCTCACGAATGGGGCGGAAGGACCGCCATGCTGTGTGGAAAACAATCGCACTCCCATAAAATCAGCCTCAAATCAGCATCTGAAAACCAGATATTAACCAGATGCTTTAACAGACCTGTTATCAAAGGTCGTGTGGTCCCCATGGTCCCCATGGTCCCCATGGTCCCCATGGTCCCCATCCTGGAATCCTGTCACCAAGTGGCCCGTTTGGACGTCCTGGCTTGTTGGATGAGGTGCTCCAGCGCTGGCTGGTGGCCAGCCCGCTCCAGCCACGTTTCTGCCTTAGGTGAGGCCATCTTGACATGTCTGATCAACATGATCAACTACCCTCTGGTAATTTAACATAGCTATTGAAAATGTTAAAGTTGATTTACCTATTAAACATGGTGATTTTCCATAGCTATGTTAGTTTACCAGAGGGTAATATCAAATGTGGTCTGGAAGAGGTTCCTCAGGGCGGGGATGAGTCCTCTTCAACCCGTTGACTGTTTTTTCCTGCAAGGATTCTGCAAGGATCTGCGCCTTCCGCAAGTTCTTCTCGGAAAGGTCGCTTCGCATCCAGGCCTTTGCAAGAAGCACGGCAGTCTTCACCCAGAAGGGGCTGCTGTCGCGACTGCCTTCTGCTGTTTTGGACCTTGGTCTTGGTGGGGTAAGCAATACCTCACGAAGTGACCACTAAATTTCAAGGTTGAATAATTGGTTTCCTACCCTGGAACATTGAGATCAAGCTAAACCTGCATGCTGTTTCACTTCCTTCACCTGGGGTTTGGCACGCATGGAAGGTGGCTTGGTTCAAGAGTTTAGGAGAAGGATTTTCTTAGAAGGTTTCCTTGGATAGGACCAAGTGAAAATTGGAAACACGCAAAACGGCGTTTTCTTACTCAACAACATACTGTGGCAAACCCAAGAATAAATCTACCTTTGGGGGGTGATTTTTGCGAGCCATGTATGGCAATATGTTCATTATTGGATTTACCGCATTACGAGACTTGGTGGTCGCCCAACTAAGATCACAGCTAGAATTTTGCAAGTACTCATAATCACACAACCCATCCCCGAGGACACCAAAAGAGAGGACAAAAACAAATAGCATTTGCATGTGAAGGGTGAATGGTAATTAATACCGATGTGCCCAATATGTGGTATCAACACACACCTACACACACACACATATATAATTATATATATACACATATATACATATATATATATATTATATACTAGTAATTGTTATAAAAAAAGAAACACCATCTGATCGCTCTAAGTATCTCTAAGTGGCATCCATTCTTGGCCCAAAGCATCTGCCCATTCCAGCTCACCGGCGCGAGCATAGTCCTCGCAGTGCCAAGGGATCATCCCAGAGCCGGTTGCATCACCCTCCACTCTTGATGTTCCACAAGGTATCGAATGAATGGGATGGGAATATAATAATAGGTACATTATACAAAAATATTGTATATAATATATATTATATATATATACATATATTATATCTGTGTGTGATATGTACTTTATAAGTTATCGCCCAAATCGCTGGTTTTTCACGTGTGTTCCATTTTGTGATTGATGAAAACACACGGCCCATCTCCGAATCATCCTGGCCTTGATAATTCGAGCCATGAGCCAATCGTCCCCCAATTTCTGCACCACTGAAACCGCCTGGCGCGACGCGATGCTGGTGGCACATGTCTCGGCCGCTGACTCCTGGCAGATGATGCTTTCGGAATCAGAAGATTTGGGGAAAAAATGGGTTGAACATGTCATGATACCTTTTGATACACTCCCGGGAACAAACGTGTCTCAGGCTACCGTTTCAGGTATCAACTAACATGTCCACTCTATACCGGCGTTTTCCTGGGGAATGCATTGCAACTTTCTTTTTACACATTGACCAAAAAACAGCTAACATGTCTCAGTTCCTGCAATTGGGGCCCTTGGATTTCGAGCATCATCTATGATGCGCTCTTCCGGAAGGAGTTGGGACCCCTTTTTTCTCCACCGTTTTGTTATCAATGCGGTCTTTGATTTGAGCCCTATTGGGGTCTGGAAATAAAGATGCTGGGGCGTCCGGGGCGGTAGTCTTCTGGCAGTTTCCCGGGAACCCCCAGAGGGGGGGACAACTTTTCCACTAACATGTCCATTCTGGATTTTCAACTAACATGTCTCAAGTATAGGGCATTTATCATAGCCTATGTTCACAGCAGCTAACGTATCCAAAAAAATATATTTTCCACAAAAAAAGTGGATACGTTTGTTCCCTAGAGAGTAATATAAAACCAGTAAGAATCGATAGTTTCATGTGTGATTTATATGTAATTCGTAAGTAAAATGCATGTAATTCAAAGCATGGAAAGCTAATAGCTACACACACCTCTATTTACCCATTTGTGTACATATTCAGATATCATGCAAACAGGCTGAACAAAGTATCCAAAAATATCCATTTAAAACTGTCAAACCAACGGCCAGGTGTTAAATAAAGTTGAAAAGATCCAATTTCCAGCATTGCCATTTCAATGTATATAGCTATCTTCTTATCATATCTTACTGCACGGCGCACACGTTTCGGCGTTTCATCATGTTACGTCTGTCCTGTTGATTCGCATGGCCGCGCAAACGCGAGCGTTTTTTCAGCTGACGTCCCAGCACCACCATGGCCAGTCTGGGACGTCCGATCCAGCGAGTGGCGGCAGCACCAGCCACACGCAATGTCGGATGTGCTGCGGGCTGGGAGGACCTCAGGGGGTTCATAGCGGTTGCTGCTTTCAGCCCAGTCATTGCGGCCAACTGTGGATCCAACTGGGTCCAACCATGGGTCCAACTGGGGCCAACTGGGGCCATGAATTGCAGACTAAGTAGAGATTTCAAGTCAATGATTGTATATGAAATGTCATGATGATGGACTAAACTTACTAAACGTAGAAAATAACGGCAGTTGCCGTCCCCTTCCCTCCCGGCACCTCCCAGAGGGCGTGAATCGGTAGCGAACATGGCGGTGAATCACCATGGCTCCGGGAAACATGGGTGATTTTTGCGCATGATGATGTCAACCATAGTGATGTACCAGGGTACCAGGATTTGAAATGCGAATAGAATGGGACAATGTGGATATTTCATGATATTTCATTGGATTGTTATTGTAAAACTATCATTCTGAAATGGCTGGATGCCCCTGGAAAAAACCGACATACTATCTTCTTTTGTGGTAAATTACGAGATTCATGGTCCCATTTGTTTCAGCTCACCATGATCATTTACCCATTAGCTCTTCCAGTGGGAAAAGGATGGAAAAGGATCAAACAACTCAATCTCCAATGGCTAGTGACTGGGTGATAAACCCGAATTCACGATGGATTGGGATATTCAGGATATTATGACATACGCGCTTTATATATATAATCAGTATATAATTCATAGTATTTCTATGTATTTCTAGCGCCATTCGGAACGATTTACGAATATTCAGGGATCCCACAAGCTTTAATTGACCAGGGAGGTCACAATGGCAGGATGTCTGAGAAAGCTTCCTGGGTGGGTGGAAAAAGGTGCCAAAATGTACCACCAAATAGGGTTCAACCATGGTGTTCCAATCTCATCTGAGAAAGATCCGTACAGAACTGATCGAATCTCATGACATCTCATGACCAAGAAGAAGTGCTATTCCTCCATCGGCTCTGGTGCCACAAATCTGCTGCTGGTTGAGATGCGGTGCCTATAGCTCATCCAGCAACTACGGTAACAAGCATCAACTGCCGATGAATTTCAAGGAGAAAAAACATCTAAAAACATGCTTCACACTATTTGATTCCTCAGAATTGTGAATCATAAGTCGGATTCCCTCTGGCAATCAAACATGGCTTGCTAGATGATTTCCCCCAAAACAAACCACCACACCTTCCATATTACATAGAAGTTTCCCATTAAAACTCCCATTTTGTTTGTGAATGTTCTCTGATGTTCTCGGATTTTCCCAGCTAAAAAACCTCCATTTACGGCTGATCTTCCCATCTGCTGCAGCCCGCCTTCACGTCGTAAGGCCTCCACCACGGCTTTGGGAAATTGCTCGGGCTTCAGCTCGTTTTTGGGCACCAACCTGCGCGCTGAGGAAAACTTGGGACAACTTAAGCACAAACGGGCTTTACACTATATTGTATTATCTTATATGTTATTAGTTATTTTATCTTATTTTGGTATTTGTATGCTATTTGTTTTTTTGTATGCATGTGTATACACGTAAAAATGTGAGTGTATATGTATGTATGTGTATATATAATATTATCTAATTATATATAATATTGTGGGTGTGTGTGTGTATCTATAAGGATTGGTGCCACTTCAAACAAATGGGATTTATCCATGTCTAGTCATTCCAAAACCACGCCAGCCCCTTGTGCCAGGTCATCCCAACATCAGCTCCAGAGTTGTGGGGTCTCTTCCAATATGGCGGTGTCCTAAAATGGTTGTACCCCCAAATCATCCAAGTCATGAGTGCCAATTAGACCATTTTAGTGTTGAAACCCACGGTTTTGGGTACACCCCATTTATCTTCCAATGTAGCGGGGAACCATGAAGGGGGATTGATTTTCTGTTTGGAGATTCAAATTTGCAGATTTTTGCTATTGAAAGGTGTTGAAAACAGCGGAGAGAAATACCTTCCTGGGTCCATTGTGAAATTTTGGCTTTGCGCATCACCTCGCATCCAAGTCAATCCAAAAGGATCCAAAAGGATCCGAAACAGGTAGTTCTAACATTTGGGTCCCCCCTATGTACCCCCCCAAAAAAAGTTAATCCCCCTTCCCCCCCTTAAAAAATGGTAATCTCTCCCCCCCCAAAAAAAAAGGTGATTCTAGCCCTGCTGAGGCCGGGAATGTTTTACGGGCGCTTTGGTGATCCACGTCTCTGAGGTCAGCACTTGAAGCTCTTGTTGTCGGGCGTCTGGATCTGAATAAGCTCGGTAACCATGTGGTGACGCTGCTTAAGCTCAACAATTAATATCTATTTGGGATTGATTCAAACCCATTTATGGTGATATTCGGAATGGTTTATGTGTGGCTTTACCACATGAATTTGTTTTAAAGAAAACTTCATTGAGAAAAAAACCGTTCTGCCAAATAGGCGATTGGAAGAATGCTGCCTTTCTCAAAACTGGCAATTCTCAGGGCCTTGGTGGTTTCAACACATCCAAAACCATCCACCCAGGCAAAAACCAACTAATCCCACGATAGGGGGTGATTTTTGGTTGGAAACCACGAGCAAACCAAAAGCGCTCGTAGGTTCTGACAAACCACAGTTAAATCACTTAGGCAAATCATCTTTGTTCTACCAATTGATATGACACTATTTGATGCAATCTTATATCATATGAGTACGTAAGACATGGATGTCAATGGATGTCATGGATTCAGGATTCATCGAATGCACCCAATATATCCCAACATGGCGTCTCTAAGTAGAGCGCAGGGATGTAGCAACCATCCTCTTCATCGATGACCATTTTCCTCAGCCGAGATTCTGTCCTGAAAAATCCGACCACCTAATTTGTTCCAAACAGTTGTGAAATCTCAACCGGAAACAGTTGTGATTAGCAATGTTAGCTTGCTTTGAGTGTTTCAACTACTAAATGTTACTAAATTAATATCATGATATATCATGATATATCATGCATGTATCTATCTGATCTCTATGACTGGAAAGATATATCTGACTGGAATATCAGTGGAATCTCCTGGAATCAGATTCCAATCCGGCCCGGCTCCAGATTTCTCGGCCTCATTTGGAGCGCAGATTTCTCGGCCCTTTCAGCCTGGCTCCAACGCTGGGTGTGGTGTACTTTCCCCCAAAAAGATATGGTGTAAAAATTGTAACTGGTAACATGTGTAGATATATGATGATATGATTCAGATATATGGTATCATCGATTTTGATGTATCTCCATATTGTTGATCCGGAGATGTGGTTCAAACTGGTTGAAACAAGGACGGAACTCGTGTCAATGTAGCCAAAAGATGCCAAAAGTTCTTCCGGGGGAAAGTGTAAATTCCATGCTGCAACGAGCGGCAAGATGGTTTGGTAGGGATTGACCCTGGATGGAAATGAACCGTGTCATGGTGGGGAGATGTGGGGAGTCTGGTCATGTCATTGTTCCAGATGCTTGGTACCCTCTGGTAATTTAACATAGCTATTGAAAATGCCCATTTATAGTGGATTTTCCCATGGAAAAATGGTGATTTTCAATAGCTATGTTAAATTACCAGAGGGTAGTGAATATGCCGCAAGACTAGCATGATCTTATGGTGGCTCCTTATGCTCGCTGGTCCCGTTGCCTTCCACTGGTCCCACGAATCGCCTCCTTGTGCCATGGATTGGGCAACATCCGTGTCATCGCTCCGGTGGCGCCCCGGCGGGGAGAGCTGGCAGCGGTCTGGTTTTTAAGGCCCAAAATTGGACATTGCGGCAGAGTTCGTTTGGGAACAGAAAAACTCTACACCCATATGTGTATAGTAATATCTTGGCCAAGATAATGGGATATAGGATGATATAGGTGTATAGTTTTTCCATGTTTTTCCCATAAGAAACTAATTGGTGGAAACATATCTGCCACCAATGATAATATGGAAACCTGAGCGACATCTCCCCCGAGCTGAGAAGTTTCGAAACGGGAGTGTCACGTCCGGGGCGACACCCAACCCTCTTCCTGTCTGCTAAATAACAGATGCCTCTAACACTCAACATCCGACTTGATCATGTTTAGTACTTACGTACGTATATATGATATATGCTCCATGCATGGAATATTTACCAACATTTACCCCATAAATGACCCAAATGTAGGTAAATATACCATACATGGAGCATATGGGTATGATATATGTATACAGGATCAACGAAAACATACGAAAACGATGCTCAAACTGCAATCTCTCCACATTTTCAGCTCGAATCTTGCCGGACTCTCGCGCACTCATGGCTCATTGCCTTGGACGTTTCGAGCCTAAAAGTGGAAGGACCCCAGCTGTAGGAATTATAATTAGGTTCGATGATGTTTTTTTTAAGAATAAATAAGTGTTATGTTGGGTTTTCGGGTTCAGTTTTTTTACAACAATTCCCAGTGATATCAATGGATATCAATGGATATCAATGGATATCAATGGATATCAATGGATATCAGGGATATCCTTAAAAGAGAAAACATGATCTTTGTGAAGATTCTCAAAGTTTCTCTGGAGTTGGTCCAAGAATTGTGGCATTACCATTGTTCACATTGTTCATCCCTTATGCACCGAAGAATTCCCACCAAGGCATGCGCTGTGGTGCCAGCCTCTCATCCTTCACAAAGTCGCGCCCTAGGCCTTGGTTTCACTGACATTTCGACCAGAGATCCATGGATCTCCATGAATTTGGCAGCTTGGCACCAACCACCCTGAAACATTTAGACACTTGCGGATACAATCATCATCCCAGGTAGGTGGTGGAATAGTGGTTATCTGAAAGTGACTCAGATCTTGGCGGGGGGCAAGGCGTTCAAGAATCTCTCGGCATCGGTCACACCTTTTTTTTTTAGTGAGCTGACTCATGGATGATCCTCAGTTATTATCAGCCATTGATATTCAAATATATTCAAATCTCCAAATCTGTGAGTGATTCAGACCCGCTATGACCTGCTCGAAGAGATAGAGTTCTAACCTGCTGCATAGCGGCGGGCGCCAGATGCCTGCAGCTTTTCCGTGGCAACCTGAGCGACCCCAACCTCCAAGACTCTGGGGATTGCCAGACCCCAAGGGGAAATGGCGGGAAATGGTGAAGCAAACAAAATCACCAAGAAAAAATAATCGAACCAACAATAGACCAACGTCTTTGCATGTCTTTGCCCTGTGACCTCGTCGTATAACATCTGGGGACATGTTAAACATATTAAACACCACTGTGGGAGCTCTTGTACTTTGCATTGACTCCAAGCCCCAGGCATACGCACCGTTTGCCATCGCAAAGGCTAATGGCTTTCCATTCAGAAGTGAATCTAGAAAGCCTTCAGGGAGCAGAGCTTAGAATCACCAGGGACCTTGATGGAACATGATGAAACGTGATGCAACAGAATCTAACAGAATATAACACCAACCTGTAAAGCTTCTGGATACTGTTGTGTCGGATCTGACTATGGGATCAAGGAGCAAGAAAAGCAGCAGCTTGACGAGCTTGAGCACGCCCCAGGCCCTCACTTTTTCCCGGCCAAATCGCACCGGTGCCACCGTTCCATGCACTAGACGCAAGTCCTACAATGCAGCACTGCGTGCAGAAGCAGCGTGTGGTTTATTTTGTCATTTCTGCAATATGGCTATTAGATGCTAGTAGCTATGAGGCCCGGAGAATTCCATAGGCATCCGAACACAATCGTCCTACCTGTCAATGTATTGGAGGCGGTGATGTGCCCCTCAATTTCCTTGTTTGGGCTGCTTCCACTTGATAAGTCACCAATGTCACCAGCGAGTTTAGACCCCTTTTTTGGTACGGAATCTTGAAAATGTAAAAAGTGAAATCCTTTTTGAGCCGAGTTTTGGCGTTCCATTGGTTCCATGCCAAACTGTGGGGTTTAGAAGTAACCATCGTTTTTCGGGCCAACTGACTTTGCAGTGTCGCGGCGCCCCCACTTCGGACGCAACAAAACCTTGTGCTTTCCCTACTTGCCTCAGTGGCTGGGAACAATTGAGCAGGCTTTCAACATGATCTGCTTTTACATCAACAGTCCATCTCTAGCCCTAAGCATCCCTAAGCCAATCCAATCTTCATCTTTTCTAGCTGTCCAGTTTTCATTTCGCCCAAGGGAGCCCAACGACATCTTTCGGCGTGCTTTGTGGCAGGCGTGCGGTGGTGGTCAGTCACCAGGCGCAAACATTTCCTTGGCCAATTTGCTCGACAGCCGCAACCATGGACTCTCAAGGCTCCTGTCCATCTGGTTCACCAACCGCATCAAACGATCTCAAAATGTCTTACAAGTTAATGCGAAGCTTTTTCTGACAACCCAGGAGCGAAGAATCCTAAGACCATCCAAGACCAACGGGTTCCATGGGTTCCATCCAAGCCATTGTTTTGTTTTGGTGGCTTTTTGGATGGTGGCCGGCTGCGTGTCTCCTGAAGTCTGCCATCTCTCCAGCATTATCGAAATCCCGAAAGCGATGCGCCAAAGAACGCGAGGATCGCAGTATGGCGCGGATTTTGGGGGGGTGCTGCGAAGCATAAGGGGCAGGTAGGCCTGGCACAAGTTCCAGGGGTTCTGAAGATCCGTAGTGAGTGGATCATATCTTCCATTGGATATTTTGGATCAGACCATTCTGAAGCCTGAATGTCTGAATGTTCATGAATTTTCCACTATATCATATCCAATATGATAATAATATGATAATAATGATCATATGGTTAAGCATCATGGCCACCCGCCCAGCATGCAATTTTCGTGCGCCCTCTTGGCTGCAGAATCGCAGCGGAGCCGCAGCTGTCATGTGAGCTACTGCCAGGGCTGAATTGGAAGTGCAGGTCCGCAGGGCTGCAAGGGAGTAGGGAAGCTGTGACATTCCAATCATTCGAATTCTAGGGATACAGCTGTGTATGACCCACATATAACTCGGCTTTATCCCATTGTAGCTAAGCTATGACTCGTGACATTCTGACATGTTAGAAGGTGTTATAACATGTTAATTATATAAGCATATATAATAAGTTATAACATGTTATAACCATGGTTCTCAACCAGCTATTAAGTGGGATGCACATCCTAATTAGGTTTTCTGCAGGCCTGGAGTAGCTTGGTGAAGTGAGATGGCGCAAGATTAATCCCACCCCTGATATATCCTGATATTGAACACCCCAATATGGGCCCCCGAAATAAGTAGATCCAATAATTACTGTTGGTTTCGTGGTATTTCATACTGTGGGGATTTGACTGTTTATTTGCCAATACCAAAGGTGTGAACATGTTTTGTGGGCCCATTGGCACCTCGTTCATGCCAAGTTGGATCCTTGAATAGCGAGATGCTGGAATCGGAGTTGCTCACTGAGACCATTGAAAAGCTCCAAAACCGTACCGAGAAAAGGTCTGCTTGCACCGTCTGAGATATCTAAGTATTTACCCCACGATCAAAAGCTCGTTGCCAAAGTAACTTCCTGGAAGGGACAGGCAGCTGCAACCAACTCCCCTGCTGTCCCAGAACGGGAAGCCAGATACGTTTGGGGCATCCTGGGTCAAAGGGCCTCAGAAATGCTGCATTTAACCTGTACAATGCAGACGGGAACTGTTGAGACATCCTCAGGAACTTCCTGTCCGTTCATGAGTTGAGTGAAGTTGAGTGGCCCTCACAGGCCGATACATCAAATGATCCGCCGAAGTTCTACACAGCACTGTGCTCTTGGTTCATCTATAGAAACTATTGATAAAATTTGATAAACCCAACGAATCGATCTCCAATATGTTCAGCCCTCTTGGCCTTTTCCTGAGGTGGTCCGACTGATACTGCATATAAAAAGTAGACACATCGAAACGTCCGCTGGCTGTTGTATGTCCGATTCGTGCCCTGGATCTCAAGTTTGTACGTTTGCTCCCTTTACCCCCGACCATGTGAAAACAGGCGGGAAACCCTCAGCGGTAAATCTCTGACATGTTCATCTTGCCATTTCTCATTCCAAAGCGATTAATTACTCCACGACTTGGAGCCATATCATATACTCTCACCTCAGAGCATATAGGTGGCCAGATCACGCACATTTAATCTGTCTTTGTGGAGGGATTAAAACTTGAAGAAACCTCAAAGATCTTCTTGTCACTTCAGGGGTTCAAGGGAAGCACACGGCCTTTCTGACAGCGTCTACGGGCACTATTCAAATCGCTCCACGCACTGCTTCAGCCAACGTCTCTCTGTGCGATGATGATTGCCTGGCCGAAATGGTGTCAAGGCACTTTGGTGGGCCACCCATAAGCTCAATCAGCTCACACTTATGCACAAAAAGATACTAAAGGGGATTCAATCTAGCGAAATAAGGTTGAATCCAGCAAATGGAATCAATATATATCCAAATGGACCCAGATGGCAACTCAGGGCCCCATGGGCAGTTATAATTTTCGGCGCATTCGTGTAGTGCCTGAAGTTGTGCTGCCGGGGTGGTGTGCAAAGTTGCATAAAGTTGCTTTATGGCTGGCTTACTAAAAACCATCATTTACCATCATTTCAGCATCATTAACCATAATTTAACCATCATTTAACCATCATTTAACCCCAACAGCAAATACCCCATCTTGTTTCAGAGCCAGCTCTGACCCAAATTCATCAGATATAGTTATATTCTCCCATTAAATAGATGATTATCCCACTAAGCTGCTTCGATGGAAAGTTCATGGCTTGGCCCCGCTCCTGTGGTCAGCCTGTCACACCTCGGTCGCTCCAAGGCTGGTTGAAGCTGACTCGGCATGGTGTCGTTGAACCACCGTCCCAAAAGAAGGACATGAGAAAAAGCTATGATGCATGTTTTAAGGTGGGATGATGTGGGATGTAGGGATCTGAAGAACTATCCAGACTATCCATATCTATCCATATCTATCCATATCTATCCATATCTATCCATATGTTTATTCTTTTTGCTTTGGGTGCTCGCCCACGGCCACGACTGCCAGTTTTTGGATTTAGTGTGACAGTCATCCAGCCGCTGCGTCAACCACTAGCCAAGCCCTCAGACTTTCCAACAGAAATTGATGGATCTCAATGGATCTCGATGGTCGGTGTGATCCACTCTTGGGGCCCACTCTTGGAGCCCAGTATCAACTGAGGCCTTGGCTGCGTTGTATTGACGGATCGATTTTCCTGTTTCCGACTTTGCCATCTCCGGCCCCATGGTGTCCTGCCCGGCGCGCCCCTTGTTTTTGGGGACCTGAGATTTGGATCCAGATATCCCTGGACAGATTCACACCCCCTCTTGGAATTTCCAATCATAAAGTAGGTGTTCAATTCGTGGGATCTGATCATGTATATAATTTTAATATGTGTGTGTGTCTATCTATAGATGTGTACAAATACGTAAGTATTTATATACATATATATATAATAATAATAATAATTCTATATATATATCTATCTATCAGTATATCATGATGTTACAGATTCCTCCCTGCTGAAACCCAATCATTCACCGAGCTGTAGCCGTGGCGAGCTGACCACCGAGCTCAACGCTCCTCAGTGCTGTCCGCCGTCTCCACCGCAGCTGATGTGGTGCTTGTTACATCATCAACGCCAGAGCCTTGGTTGCGATGGGGCGCCATGAGCCGCGTGCTCCGAATGGTCCAAGAGAAACAAAGGGGGAAACCGAAACCGAATTTTGGATGATAAATCTGATAAGTCATGGAAAAGCCCGAATTTTAGATGATAAATCTGATGAATTTGTTGGAAAAGCCCGAATTTTGGATGATAAATCTGATGAATTTGTTGGAAAAGCACGTTCAGAAAATCCACTTGGGAAGACTTGATGGCAAACTCATTTTTAGATGTCCTCCATTGAAGTGATAATTGTGATTATCCCATGCGATCCCCAACTTTAAATAACTTTGACAGGCCCAAATGCAGCGGATGATGTGATCAGTGAGGATGAGATCACCATAAGTTTTACCATGTCCTGCCACCAATGTTGATATGTCCAGAGGCTAAAAATGATGATTTCGCAGTGGGCAAAATGTTGCTGGTCCATTGAGTCCATTTTGATACTTTTCAGCGCTGGACTGCCCCATCTTAGTAGGACAATCGCAGTCGCGAATGGTTCATTTCCATATCTCCCTACAAGGGCACCAAGAATTTCAGGATCGGGAATGCATGGGAATGCTATGTCTTAGCGCCTAGTCAGTTAAAGTTCAATGAACCGGAGGCAATGTTTTCCATTTCAGCCCGAGATGTCCTGTCTTTTTGGATGGAATCCCTTAGAAATCGTCATCGTTTTGCGCCATGGATGCCACCAACACACAGCATGACACAGCATGACACAGAGGCTCAGAACTGACAGAACTGAGCGCTGCCAAGAGACTTGCATCTTGCGTTTCATCATCCTGGGAAGAAATTCTATAGCTCCCCTCTGGATTCCATTTATGCGATGAGATTGGACCATTGGATCCATCGAAAATAGATGAAAATAGAATGGTTCAATAAAAAATCAGGGAATGGCACCTACCTGAACCATCCTTTACCACTACAGTACACTGACGGGGCTACTGGTTTTACACATCACAGCCCCCGCGCCTCTTTGATTGAGCTGTCCTTGCGCACGCTCCATGCCTCAGCCAACGCTGTCCCGGTGCCGAAAAATATGTGAAAATCTGTGGAAATGAATTTGACACTTCAAAGTCTGCAGCCACGCCGTAGCAACTTCACATACAAAAGGATAGAAGATGATAGAAGAGTGACTCACCAATACTTTAGTAGGATGTAGGATTTCACTTTCCTATATTTTTGGGGGTTGCTGTTTAAACGGTTTATGTTTCAGCCTCTTCCACAACCTCCTGGTCTGCAACAGCCAAGGGTGAAGCCGCGGCATTGCTTTCAACGCCGGTGCTTTCAGCGCATTCGTTGAGAGAATCCTTCCCGAACCTCGTCAGCGCGACCCAGAAATGCCAAGAACCGATCAGCTGGCGAACATTCGCATTTTGCAACTTGGGGGATTGGGAACCAGGTTCTCTTGAGATGTGGGTTTCTCCAGAAATTCATTCATACCCCAATATATGGCCATTGAATCATTAATAGGTTACTTTTTCCCTGCGAAATGTCGCTCAAGGACTTGGGGTGCCCTATTTTTTTGGGTCACAGCTATCTGCCAATTCCGGTAAAGTTGTAATCCCATCCCCTTGATACTAGATACCCAAACCCTGGTTTCAAGTTCCGTCTATTCATTGAAATGGGGCGCATATGGGGGAATTCAATATTTGGGGGATGTGGTTATATGGATTATATCCAGTATATATACGTATAATTACGTGTATATATATATATACATTGTGTGTGTGTCAATGTGTACTGCAGGTTGCAAACCAGTACTGCTTAAACCCGAATAGAAATAACTACTGAATACCTTCCAGTAAACTAGCAAAGCTATGGACAATGGCCCATTTACTTCAATGAGTTCCCATGATTTTTAGAAACGGTGATGTTCCACAGCTAATGTAAAGGTTTACCCTCTGGTAAACTAACATAACTATGGAAAATCAGCATTTTTATGGGTAAATCCACTGTTTCTATGGCCATTTTCAATAGCAAACGGTAACAAATTACCAGAAGGTACCAGAGGGTACCAGAGGGTACCAGAGGGTACCAGAGGGCAACCAATGGCAACCATACTTTTCCGGATGAGTTTTGGTCTGGATGACCATGGATGACCATGGATGACCATGGATGACCATGGATGACCATGGATGACCTCAGCCCCGGGGGCCCCAGACTGCATTTCCGCAGGCAGAGCCACCTTGCTGGTGAAACGGCATAAGAACTGCCTGCCTCATCCTTTCCGATAGTCTGTTTCCATTGGGTTTTTTGAATGTTTTTGCTGGTCAATTCTTCGAAGACCACCCAAGACCATCCAAATTTGTTTCATCAAATGAATGAATTCCGATTCTTCACAGCCAAATTTGATCGGCACAGCGCACAGTTGCACAGAAAAAAGACGGACACTGCTCCAATGTTGGGTATGTTGGCACTTTGCCAACGAAAACCTGAAGTGGATGACTCCTACATGCTGCAAACCGCCGCTATGTCTACAAGTTGTGAAGCTTGGGATGTAGGTCATCCCAAAACAGTTGAAAATAAAGTATAGACTTGAAACCACCAGTTAAATCACCGAATCATTGCCTAGAATACTGAGATATACGCCGTTCTGGTTTTCAATCTGTTTTCATCTAAAATGTTTGATGGTCAAGTAGATTTCCCATAGATTTCCCATATATGTCCAATAGATTATATATACTGTATATATTATAATATTATACTGTGTACATCAGATTATGGTCAAGTCCTATATTGGCAGTTTAAGCGCTGATCCCCATGGCCACCCTCCGTCATCCATGGCCACCTTGAGCGGTTCCGGGTCGCGAAGACCCGCAGAGAGAAAGCGCGTGGCGCTCAGGTCCAACGCATCCTGGAGGAGCCAGGATTTTTGGATATTATAACCATTACCCTCTGGTAATTTAACATAGCTATAGAAAATCACCATTTTTAATGGGAAAATCCACTATAAATGACCATTTTCAATAGCTATGTTAGTTTACCAGAGGGTACAGAATAATAACCAGTTATAATATAACCAGTAACCAGTTTTTATATGACCAGTTAGAATTATATAGCCAGTTATGTTTATATAGCCAGTTATGTTTATATAACCAGTTATGTTTATATAACCATAACTATATTTTTCATTACCAGTTATATTACCGATTATTAATAATAACAATTTATTAGCCATTTGTATCACCATGTTAAATTGACTCACGCACTGAATCCTGTTTTGGCTGGTGCTGCAACTGTTCAGTGATGGGGCCGCGCTTTGCGCGGAAGGCTGGCCAGCCCATGAACGCCTTTTTCGAAAGGCTTCGCCACAGTAAAAAGAGCAGCATGAGTTGCTGCTCCAAGGGAGGGTGGCCTGTGGGGCCGTGAACTTCGACCGTTCACCACTTGAACATGCCGGGTCATGTTAAATTGACTCACGCACTGAATCCTGTTTTGGTTGGTGCTGCAACTGTTCAGTGATGGGGCCGCGCTTTGCGCGGAAGGCTGGCCAGCCCATGAACGCCTTTTTCGAAAGGCTTCGCCACAGTAAAAAGAGCAGCATGAGCTGCTGCTCCACCTATGGCCGTGGCCTACAACTAGTCAGGGAAAATGAATTTCTCCATGGCACGTTGTGCGCTGCGGGCCTTGATCTCATTGCAAATGAAGATTGGCAATGCGCCCTGTAGCACAGCTATCTTCGTCCTAGTCCGCTCTGGCAGAGCAGGCAAAACTGAAACTGCTGTCATTTCTTGGAGGTAGTATGAAAGAGTCTTCAAATGTTGCAACCGCATTTTCCACAGCAAATCTTGAATAGAAGTACCTTTTCGATGCGCTCTGACTGCTCCACCCGGTCTCAAGGAACCGGGGGTCAATTTGAACTCTTTTCGCACGCCAAGCTGCGCCAAACCTTTATCCCACCTAGTTCTGAAGGCAGAAGGGGACCCAGGATAAAGAAAATCTTTTGCAGAAAGAGGATCCCAAACCGCCTCCAAAAAGGAAACGACAGGACCAAAATCAATTGTGATATACTGAATCGTAGGACCCCTGCGACGCGACTTTGGCAGAGCAATCTTCACGTAAATCACCGCATCTTCAGTCAGCAGATCTTTTGGCGTCAGCACGTCTTTTCGTCGTGCTTTCAAAAGCTCACCTACTCGGGAAATTCCGTAGAAAGCAGCTAAAAGAACCGCTGTCCAACGAGGCCAGCCCCAAGCAATTCCTAGAGAGGCTAAAGCTTCCAGGATAGGCTCAGGTAGAGGCGGCCTGTGTCGAGTGGGCTCAGCAATTTCCCATCTCGAAACAACTTCCCAGGCAGAGTGAAGCCGGCCCCTGAGAGCCGGAAATTCTTTTTGGCAATGCGCCACCAGTTGTCGATACCCATACAGCGGTTTTCCTGATGCAAAGGAGTCATGACCAAACCCAACCAGCACAGAGATAAAAAGCTCGAGCGAGCTGCTCATCCATTCCAGCAAATCATGTCCGGGAAAATGCTCTTCGAACCAGGTTAGGAAAGCGGTCCACAGTCTGCCTCGCAGCAGAATTGTAGCAGGTTCCAGTGTTTCGATATCTCCTAAACGACCTTCTCGAGCGAAAATTTGTCTTCCTCTGGGCCCAGGATTTTGAGCTTCCCCGATTCGCAAGCTCTGCGCTTTGCAGCACTGAGCAATGTTGAGCTTTCGTCTCCCAGCTAGTAGGCCCGAGTCGGCCAGCATCGCTGCAGCAAGCATCCAATTCAGTTTGCGAGGATAAGCCTCAGCAATCTTAGTATAGTTCAGCCCCGCAGCTTTTGATCGACCCCTCAGGACCACATGCGGGGTCTTGCACTGGCACATAAGCCTCTGCCCTTGAAGCTGTCCATTTGTCCTAAATCTCGTTCTCTTCCGCCAGGGCGTTGAAAAACGACAATAGTCCACTACCAGGTCCCCTATACCAAAACGTCTCAGCAAAGGCTCCCAGGACAGCTCCCCTACTTGGCGCCACAACCAGGAAGGGTGCGGGTTCTCCACCCAAAAAATAATTTCAGATTTGCAACACGCTTCCACTGCCTGCAGCACAAACTTCAGCAGTAGATTTCCAACGCGGTTCTTTTCTTGTTGAAGCTCGCTAGCCCAAGGCACCCCTTCAGGATACTCACGATTCCTGCAAGGTGGAGTTACTGCAGTGCTGAAAGAGGCGCAAACAGGTCCAGCTCCCATGGCTCTAAAGGCGCCGCAACCTATTAACCTTAGTATTTGACCTTGCAAGGGAGGAGAGAGAAGATTTTCGGAAGGAGAGTGAGAGAGATCGAAAGTAAGAACCCACGTCTGAGCTTGCTTGACCAACTCCTTCGCCACTCCTCTGCTTCCAGAAAACAGGTCTAAATACCCTGGACCAGACGCTAGTGCTTCTTCCAAACTTCCAAAGCAGCTCGAAAACTCAAATTGGCTAGAACCAAACATCCGCAGCAGTTTCGTCACCTCAGCCGACAACCCAGCTGGCTCTGCTCTCTGCTCCAAGCTAGAAGAAGGAGTTTCGGATGTCGCACAGGCCACTTTTTCAAGCTTCTCAAACTTGGGGGACTTCACATCCCCGGTGACAGCAACCTTCTTTTGCTCTCTGGTCTTTCTTTTCTCTTCAATTTTGCTCCTACCATTGTAGTCCCATTGCCGTGCAAGCTCAGCTTCCTCAGGCAGGCCCGCCACAGCAGTGCAATCCAAACCAAGCTCTTCCAAAAAAGCATCATAGGCGGTGAACTCGCCTACTTTCAGATCTCTCAACCAGGAAGATTCCTCCTCTGACGGCCCACGCACCTCTGCCTCTCGCGTAGGATCATCAGCTGGGTTTAGTTTTGATCTGACGAAGCCATAGAAGGGCCGCACATTGGCTGCTAAGTGTTCGGGAATGGACCGACGCAATTCTCTGTTCAAACTCCGTGAAGATGAGCGGCCTTTCATCAAGCAGGCCAGCGAAACTTGACTGTCCTGCAAATGAATGTAAAAAGAATCCTCTGCTTCAGCCCCTACTGACCGCTCAGCCTCCAAAGCAGCTCTAACTTCACCTATATTGATATGCCTCCGTCTCCTCACCTTTCTGATCTTTCCCAACTTGACAAATCGCTGGCTAGTGACCAGCTCACGCCAAACAGGGTTCATGTCATAGCTAGAGTCAGGAAGCTCGCTCTCTTCCTCAGGCCAACCTTTTTCCCGCCAGTAAGCTTTGACTGGAGAAAGCAGTTTACTCCAAGCTCCTTTTTGCAAAGCCAGTTTGTGAAGCTCAGCTGTAGCCGAGCTTCCAATCTCCGCACTGACAGCAGCCTCGGCGTGTGTCGAGGCATCAGAGCAAACCACTCTTGAAAAAGGTTTCAAACGAAAATCGATCTCAGCAAATGGTAGAAGGGCCAGAGCGCACAAAATTTCATCTTTGAGTTCTCGGGAGAGCTGCACCACCTCGTGCCTCTCTCGCCCTCTCTGAGCTCCGTACACCTCTTCCAAAACAGCCATCAATCGTCTATGCACCTGAAAAATAGAAACCAGTGACCCTGCCACGATCTCAAGGAGAGCAACAGAAGCTTGACCCAATTGGAGAATGTTGAGGAGGATGAAAGCCAAAGGAATGCTACGATTCAAACTCGGTCTCGCAACAGCCCATCCAGTTCTAGGCCCCAAAATTCACCTCGTAGAGAATTGAAAACGGCCTTGCCTTCATGCCGTGGCAGGCCCACATTTTCGTAGACTTTGCGCACTGCGCGAATGATCTCAGCGCACTCGCTCGTCTCCTTCTCAGCCTCGCTCACACCTCGGGGAACAGCTTGAAGCAGAACAAGGTCATCAATCATCAAGCCGGCCAGCCACCTCTTCCGACTGGGACGCCCTTGTAGCGTCACAAAGTCGCTCAAAGAGAAAAGGCCGCTCTGCAGTAAGCATCCCAAGTGCGAGGTCTGGCCATAGCTGACTGCATTCAGGTCCCCCATAGCCATCGTTCCTAAAGCCGGGACCAGGGTTCCTGCTTTCCAGAGTTTTTTATCAAAACACCTAAGATGAGCAACTTCATGGGGCCTAACAACAAACTTGAGAACATTCCTAAGGGTCCTTTGAGGGGAAATTAAAAAGGCATGATAAAATTCCCTTAGATCTTCGGCAAACGTCCTGATCTCCTCGTAGGGCTCGACAAAGAAATGGAGAAGCTGAGACACAGAAGCGAGGCTCCTAATCCAGCGCTTCTCGGGATCTTCTAGGCAATTGGCAGGGCGAGCGTCCAGCACCATGCGGTCTCGGGCCTCGTCCTTCGGCACCACAAAGAGCCCATTCTCAAAGCCTTGTCGCGCAAATTTGCTAGGGAGCAAAGCAAGGCGACCACAGCTATCCAGCAGTTCCAAAAATTTGACCCTGTCCTTCTGAGCCATCCTAACCCTGACTCGAGGTGGCCCCACGTCCTCCAAAACGGGAGGCCTAGCAAAGTCCAGAGGCCGCGAAAAAGTAGCCCCATTGTCATCATCCAAAAAAGGTAAAGGATCAAATGAAGGAGTCTGCCAAAATTTCAGCCGCTCAGGTTTGACTGCTCTAGCCAAGCAAGCAGGGTCTTTGCTCAAAACGCCAACCACGTCGCCGGGAGAACCTTGATTTCCCCAGCTACTCTGCATCCCCAGTTTTCCACCGTTCCCATATTTGTTGCCCTCATGAAAGTTTGAAAAAGCAGCTGCAGCCAAATCGACCAAAACCTCTTCCACATTCTCGACCTTAGCAGCCGCTCGACCCATCAAAGCTGGTGTGACTGCGTCTTGGTCGTTCCATGTCTCAATCGCCGCGGAAATCCTTCCCACGATTTCCCATTGGCGCTTGTTCAGAGCCGTTCCTAAGGGAGGCGTGACCGTACGCCAATGCCGCTCTGGAAACTTGAGAAAGTTCAAAACAAGCACAACAAAGTTGCAGCCTAGCTTTCTAGCGCTCTCTTGTCTTCCCCGTCGGCCACCTCGACGATGAAGTTCAGGATAGGGCAGGGGCAAAGGCCACACCCGCCCAGTAGATGCCTTCTTCAAGGCATGTCCAGCACGCACCGCAAGCCATGTGAGGGAGAGTCTGCTTCGTCCTCGCCCAAGAAAATCAAAAAGTGAATTCCACAAACTGTACCCGTGCACCGTGGTGGCGCGAGAACCCGGCAGTGCATCTTCGTGCCCTGCCTCATACTCGTTCGCGCCACCCTCATAGCTCTTGCCTAGTTCTGCTGCCCCGAGGGCTCCTCCTCCGCCCCCTTCCTTTTGCTCTCTGACTTCGTCTGGCCTTTTCTCCCTTTTGCTCCTTTCTTTGGCTGCGGACGATCTACTTCGTCTCGCTTCGGGTGATCTCCTTTGCCGCCTTTGCCCTGGCTGAGCCTCTTCCTGGACTCGAGGTAGGAATCTTTGCTGCGGACTTTCCACATGAGGACGTCCTGCCACCTCTCGTCCAGCAGCTTCGAAGCAGCTTGATCCCAGGTCTCGGGCAGCTTCTTGCCTTGGAAAGACGCAAAAGGAGGCGGCTCCTCCAGAAGGATCTCTTGGCTCAACAGCCAGTTGCCGCCGTCCAGCGACGTCTGATCTGCCGCTGCCATCATCAGAGCACAACGGGCTCGGGCTTCGTCGCTCCTCCCCTGCCTCAGGCAATCGTGGATTCCCGCTATAGCCCACACATACCTCAGTGTGGTTGGGTAGTGCAGGAGGCGGGAACGGTACTCCATCCATGCTCTCGTTGAAATCAAACTCAGAGCAGGCACTCCCGGCGCCATGCGAAGAAGTTGGAAATCCTCGTCCATCAGGTTCTCGATGGTCTGGAAAACATACTTTGGATCCTCCAGAAGGCTGCGACGAAGCTTCTTGTACAGGGCTGCTTTTGACTTCCCAGAAGAGCTGCTGCTCGGATCTTGAGCTTCGGCGTCTGCTCCATCCAACAAAGCGTCTAGGCCTCTGGGCTTTTTCTGCGCCGCCAAGCTGTCCACAATCTTGGTCAGCTTCATCACGGCTTTCTGCATGGAGAGATCTCCCATGGAATTTTGTCGATCTTCCACCAGCTCTTCCTCCTCCTCGGGAGCCTCTTCCGACTCCACTTCTTCTTCCTCCTCCGAATCCACTGCCACGATGGGTTTTCTGGAAGTGCCCGGAGCGTCTCCGAGCTTGTGGCTTTTGGACACCATGGAGCCCAATCTCTGCAACTCGGCTTCGCCCACTCCGGCTTTTCTCGCCGCTGCTACAACTGAAGGATCCAGACCGGCTATCTGGACCGGACCAACTCGGCTCGACCTCTCGTCGGCCTCCTGGGTTCCAACTGCCTTCCGCTGAGACTTGCTTTTTGCGGACAAACTTTGAGGATCGCCCTTTCGCAGAGCAAGAAAGTTTTCCATGTTCTTTTGCAATGTTGCAAACCAAAAACCATCCTCTCCATGCGTTCCATGCGCGCTTCCACAGCGCTGCTGCCGCCAACAGGCGGAGGCTCTTCCTCTCCAGGAGAGCCGCTCATGGCCGAGACAAAGGCGAACTGTTCGTCCGCGGCTTCCACCAGACTCTGAGCATAGGGGAGCAGCAAAACATCTGATTCTCCTTGCAGCCGGTACACATCGGCAATCGGCTCTTGAATTCTTGCAATTTTCAGCTGGGACACAAAGTTTTTGTCCAAAAATCCCAGCCATAACTGAGAGTCCTCTTCTGCCAAGGGGATCTCCCGGTCTGTAACAGCCGAGCAAACCACAGAAACTTTGATGGCTTTGCCCAGAGTAGTCCGAGGAACCAGGCGACGTGCCACGGTTCTGTCCCAGGCTTCCGCAGGCAAAGCAACAAGCAACTTGCCGTCTAGCTCGACAATGGGGATAATATAGAGCGACTTTTCAACGCCGCCCTCGACAAAAGAAAAACTTGCTGGCTCGTAGTGATAGTTCACTTCGCCAAGGCCCTGAACCACAAGAGCCTGAGCGACCTCCTCTGGTAAATCAGACATTTCTCAGGGATTCCGGCAAAGCAACGCCGGCTTCCAAGCAGGCTACCTTCGCTTCCCACTTGGTCGCAAATCCACAAAAAATGCTGTCTCCCACGTCTGCGCCAATCTTGCAAAGGTTCCGGACGTCCTGAAAGGAGTCGGAGCAAATGGGTTTTGGGAGGCGTCTGCCCCTGAAATCAGCCAGAATCAAATAGCAACGGTTGGCTAGCTTCAGCCTGTCTCTGCCAGATGAACCTCTGTGCTCGCCGTTGAGGGCACGGCGCAAAAACTGGCCAATCTCGGCGGCCAGCTGGCGCCGACCTGACTGATCCTCTTTGTCCACCTCCAAGGAAGAGCCCCTGGCTGAATCAGCTGACCCCGCAGAACTGACGCGGGTCCAGCTCTTGGTCTCTTCTCTTTCCGCCTCCAGTCGCTGCACCCTCTCTTCCAACTCAGTCACTCTAGTCAAGGCGCTTTCACAAAGAGAGCGCAGCACTAGCACTTCGCTTTTCAGCGAACTCACTTCTGAGCTCATGCAAGGACTCGGTACAAAGGCCTAGTAGCAGCTCCTTCGGCTGCTAGCCTCACTTGCAGAAATCGAGTCCACTGGATCCGCAAAACGATCAGCAGGTCCACAAAAACGTTCAAGCTGAGCCCCACAAAGATGCCCACCAAAACTGAGTAAAAGTCCAGGTGCCAATCAGGTTGAGGCCGTATGAATGTGCAAAGCTCAGACGTGAGAGGAGGAAATGAAGGAGAAGGAGAAATGGAGAGTTCCAGGGGTCCCCTTAAAATATCCCTTGCAAGGCTAAACGCTAAGGAGGTCAGACTTCCCGAAGCCACTGCTGTAGCTACTGGGCGCATCTGAGCCGTGAACTTCGACCGTTCACCACTTGAACATGCCGGGTCATAACAAAATATGCTAACTGGGATCTTGACCATTTTTATAATATAACCAGTAAAAATTGGTACCTGTTCGTAAGGGGATGACACCCAGTTGTAAGGAAATAATATAATATAACTTACATATTATATATATATATACATAACCCAGCTATCATGGGGTCTTAACCATTTTAACCCAGCTATAAATGGGATATGTAAGCGATATTATACAATTCTGACTACAACTTACAGCTTGCCCACTTACTACCTGGGATGCATATCCACTCAGCTTTGATGGCTTTGTGACTACACTGCCTCTGGCCCAAGAAAACATATGTGAACGTATCTGGATCTGTACTCCGGTTCTTGTTGGTTACCTCCAGCCGTGCATGACTACCGATAGTCTGCCGACAAATCGCGCACTAACCTTCACACAGCCAAATGTTGAACATGGATTTTCGAAAGTGGGGCAACCAAAAAGGTGTTTTGATTGAAAATCACAATCCTGGGGGTTCTGTATGTCTGCTTTCACTTTGGAATTCCTGGGGTGCACGCACCCAGCCAGCTTGTGCCTCTGCCGAAGTCGCGGATGATGTAGCAAGCCTCAGTGCCACTGATGTTGGCACCAAATTTCAAAAACGAAGGTCGTGGACTGGCTGAAGCCCTGGTTTCTGCTTTTATATCATGTGTGCTGCCCCAAAAAGTTTACAGTACATTGTTCCTTCAACGGGAGAAGGGAAACTAATCAGAAAATCAAAGGACAAGATGTCCAAACCGGCCTCCACCGGAAATGGATTGAAATGGCTACCCTCAACCCCCTCAAAGTGCAGGGGGCATCAACCTGTGGGAAGGAGCAGGTTAAGCAGCCTACAACCCCACTTGCTTCGAGCAACGAGGGGTACACGTTACCTGGGGAGTGCTCCATCCTGAATGGGGTTTCAACATGATTGGCATGAACATTTCCTTCGCGCGCAGGATGATTGTCACCATCCTCTTACATCACTCAAAATCTCCCTTTCTATGGGTTCCATGCCATCCTATTTCGGGGGTTAATGCTATCCAATGTTGAATAACTCTCTCTCCATTGCTCATCGCCTATTTAACGTAGACTAGCATATATACTTGGGTTGCCTATGGGATGTAATATTTGTATATTGATGTATATTGTATATCTATACAGAGTAACAAACAGATGTTGCCGAACCATCCACTGCCCTGCATTTCTTTCACCATCTTTCACCGCCAAGAAGCGGATAGCGGTTCCAGGTCTCCCTTGCGGCACGTGCCCTGCCGTCTTTGGCCTTCCACAGGAATGGTCTACAGAGTCTATGCTTGATGATGTGTGATGCTTGGTTTTTGGCTGTGATGCCTTGGTTCACAATCAATGGTCCTCTCTAACGCTCTTAAATCGTCTTAAATCATCTCGAATCATCTTAAATCATCTTAAATGCAATTCAAATGCCTCAGTTGATGGCCTGTATAGTCGAAATTTTGATCTATTTTGGCAATGGACCAAATTGCCAAAGATCACCACATGTTGAGCCATTTAAGGCCTTGACCCAGCGCACCTTCGCCTGTCCCTTGGCTGGGCGGATGGCCTTCGGGGTGGGTCGGAACTCCGGTGCCTCGACGCTTGGCTCATGATCCCAGTGGTGACTTTGGAGGTGACTTTGTAAACGGGGAAAGTATGAAAATAACAACATGTTTATATATATGTGTGTGTGTGTTATTCATGCATTCATTTGTTTAGTTTATTTATTTGTTGTTTTCGTTTTATACATTACATCTAATATATATATATATGCAAAAACCAAGGTTTCCGTTGGATATTCACTGAAAAAATCATGAAGTGCACAACAAAGGACTTTTGCCCAGGAAGAAAGGCTGTGCATTTCTGTGGAACGATGCAAGCCCTCAGCAGCTTGTGGAAGGGCTGGACCCCGAGAATGACGTCGTAATAAGCAGAATTAAAACAAAGGACATCTACAGAAAGAAACCATTTGGATGCTTCTCAAAATTCAGAGCCCCAGCAATGGAATTTGTGAGGATGTTTGAAACCTAGGAGCCTGCAGGAGTTATTGATATTTTATATCTCTTTATGTGTATATATATATATATAACATACATACCTCAGCTCGTCCCAAACATATTCGTCCTTTAACATCATCATCATCATCATCATCATCATCATCATCATCATCGCCATCATCATCATCGTCGTCATCATGATCATGATCATGAGCCCAAATATGGTTGAATATGAAGCATGCTTGAGAACGCCAACCAAATCATTGGTTGATATGTGATATGATATATGATATACGATATACATATATATATACTGACTAATAAACCACAATAGCCACCTTACCCCATTTTATTGATGGTTAAATCCAACATGAACCATCCAGCCGCACTTTTGCAAACCTCTGGCAGCGGCGCCTGCGGGTTCAATCCCGGGGCCGCGGCTTCTCCGATTCGGAAGCCTGATGGATGAGCAGCCACGATGTGAATGGGAAAATATGGGAACATCATGGAACATCATCTATTGAATGATACTACCCTCTGGTTATTTAACATAGCCATGGAAAATCACCATTTTTAATAGGTAAACCATCTATAAATGGGCCATCGAAATCCCATGGCTATGTTAGTCATAACCAGAGGCTATTGATGGCTGGATTTCTAGAAGGTGGATTTTCCAGCCATCTAGCATTGAATTCTCAGTTGATGCGATTTTTTGGGATCAATTTGATCATATCCCCAGCACATCCAGCACAACACTGAATTCGGCAATCTAATGGTTTGTTGATGTTTGTTGGGGAATCCTCAGCAGTGTTTCAATTTTATCAAATAACCCAGCGCCCCATCTGTGATTTTTGTCCAAAAATGATCAACAATGAGGATTGATACACTCCTAAACGGCTGTTTCCATGAGAAATTGAGGAAGGACATGATCTACATGGTTTATAATGGAAGGACCTGGGAAAACATTGTGAAAGATTGATGAACATTGATGAACATTGACAGAAATCAACAAATTCCAGGATTTAAGGGTACCCATGGGTACCCTGTATTGAAACAAAGCCACGACGCTGGCCCCTTTTCTCCTAGTGCCACCTTCTTCTCGCAGCAGTCGCATCAAATTCGGTGCCTGTTGAGCCTGTCGGCGAAGCTGGGTACATCCCAAAGGAGCCACACAACGCAGGTCATGGTTGGGGTGATTATTTCCAATATATGGAGGAAAAAAAATGTTCCAAACCACCAACCAGCTTTTCTGTGGGTATAACCAGGGTGTTATTTGCCCCACAGTTGCGAGATTTTTTGGCCTCTATCATGGTTATATACTCAAGTATGCCAAGTTTGGCCATCTTTGAAAGCCATTGGCCCATCATTACACTATGGGCCGGTAGATGTTTGGAGCCATGGTAATCGTCATCCAAGGTTTGCAGTTGCGTCCAAGTCTGACCCATTTATCGATGACGGCGATAGTGTAAAGATGTGCAAAGATACTACGATATACAGAACCAAAGTATTGTGATTCATGCAAATATCATATCTCTCTAAATCGCCATCTTTGTATCTTGTAAATGATGGAACTCGGATGTTGGACCCGCCTGCCGCGCATTTGCAACTGAAGGCTGGGAAGCCCGTCGGCTTTTCGAACCTGGCGCTGTGGCAACAAACAAATAAAACATACCCCATTTACTAAATTCAACCATGTGGGGGAGTATGAAAACAAAGGTTCTTACTATTGTTGTTCTGTTATTGGCTTTACCACCATAATAGATGTGTTGCGATTATGCTGAGATCTTCGTCTTGGATCCATAAAACCGCTTGGTCAAAAACGGTCCAATTTTTTCCAGACACAGCGTCTTCCAAGGTTTGAAAACGCACCATTCCCCTGAGAAATGTTCAGCACCATTGAAACATCCGGGAATGGCAACATGCCGCAACACATGGCACCCTTGTAGCACCCACTGATCATCTGCTCCAGAGGATTCGTGGTGGAAATTCCAAGGAGCAAGGACCAGATCCACAGATCTCAGGCACCTTGTTTTGATGATACGGCTGGGGTGACCTCAGGCCGCAGGATCCGCAGGTATCCGCAGGTGTCACATGTCATGGTGGGAGGTCCACTTCTTGGGCAAATGGAAGCACCAAAATGTGAAGCTTCTGTGAAGCTCATAGCATGTCTATACCATGTTCATGCCAAATCTATACCATTATGTTCGTGCCATGTAAAAATATCATATCTATGCCATGTTTATGCCATGTCAATGCCATCTAACCATATCTAACCGCACCCGGATATCCAACCCACTCGAAGGCCCAGCTGAGCCCCGGGGCGCCCTCGAGCCCATTCAGCATCTCCATGTCTCCGTCAGAGCGCTGGCCGATTCCGATCAGCGCCTCGCAACAAATCGTTGGATTTTGGCTATGGCGCTGGCCTAAAATTTTACAAATGTGGAAATTCCACATGTGGATATGCATATGTATATAATGGCTATGCTATTTGTGTATATATATATATGTGTGTGTGTGAAAATAATATGTATGTGTATATGTTTATGTCTATGTTTATGTCTATGTTTATGTATATCGTTATGTATATGTTTATGTATATGTTTATGTATATGTTTATGTGCATGATTATATATATATATGTTTATGTATCGCATATGTGTATGCAATATATATATATATATGTGTGTGTGTACAGTATGTGCATATGGGAGATTTTGGCGTGTCGATTTCAAATTGGAGCTTTGAGGGGCCACACTATTGGTCATCTTTGGGACCTTCTGGACCGACTCCAACCCACCATGAGGCAGCTCGCTACCTTTACGTATACCTTTGCAATGGGATATGCACTGATATGCACACGTCTGCAATCAAAAACATAGGAATGCAGGGTACATTCTCCAGTCCGAAACTCCACAAACGAACATTCTTGTCTGGGCCGGCTTCAATTAGCTCATCCGCAGTTAGCTGCCCTTACGGACAATTGCAACCCCCATCTATCTCGTCCATCTAGGTCTAGGAGTCTAGGTCTGCTCAGAAATTTGGAAACCCAAAGTCACAAAATCCATTTTAAAAAACCATGGTTTATCCCAGGTTCATCCTGATATTCCATAATTCTCTCATGTTTTCAGAAAAATTGCTATGGGATCACTGCCGCCGCCTTGAGTCCCATGGTGAGCTTCTCTTGTTGCGCCTTTGGCAAAGAACTCCTGCCAACTGCAACAGTGAACCATGGAAATAGATGGGAAATGATGGGAAATGATGGGAAATGATGGGAATATGGTGAATATGGGAAGATCACCCATTGGATCAAAACATGGAAAGACCTGAAAATAAAATGGAAAAGAACCTCAAGTGACGACACATGGATAAGGTCTTCCTCTATCTGTCTGCTTGGAGATGCGGAGATGCAGAGCCAGGGTTATCCATGGTGATCCCTAAAGCACTAGCAGTCAGCACCAGAATCATCACATGTTGGAGGCCACCGCCACCGAAAAAAACCTTCACTGTCCACTGTGAAAATATGTGGGAGGAGCTATTTCAATATATTTCACGGTATCAACCCGGTATCATCCTACAAAATTAACTGACATTCATCTGCGAATTGCTGCGATTTTTGTTGCGGATCTGATGAGGATCTGTCCCCCTAATGCCGAAAATCTGTTCAGTCCTGGGCTCGACTGCTGGTGGGATGTCGATCACACTGCGCAGCCACCTGCACAAAGAACTCCAGAAATTGCGGAACCGCAATTTGATGTCTAGAATGGACAGTTCCAATGATGTCCCCACGTATCCGACAGATTCATACAGATTCGAGTTTTTGGTACAGTAACGAAAAAAGTGGAAGCAAGTCCCTCTTCCCATTGCCTGCCCACGTCTGGGTCCTTGGTGGGTGATGAATTGCATTGCTGGCAGAGTTGTAGGCGAGCTGGGGTCGGATGAAACATGGTGAAGATTCAGATGTTGGAACTGTTCAGTTTGATCATGAACATCATGCTAAAAGGATACAGTAGGTGTTTTTTTTATGGGTGGTATTTTTTGACGAACGGAAACTATATACATCCTTATGATATCATATCATGTGGGAATAAACAATAGTAAACCACCCATTTGGGAATGATTGGGAATGGTTTATAACCACCTATAAACATGGTGATTTGGGGGATGGTTTATGGCATTGTTTTACCCACTGTAATCCATACAGACCCCCAACCGAGGTCACGTGCCCAACGTTCGATCTCTGCACGCTCCCATCCTGAGATACTTGTGATGTCAGCAATCAATGGATTGAATTAAAGGACATGTTCCCCGGAAACCATGTTTTTTGTTCCAAAATGTCAACACATGATGTTGACCCTTGGCATTTCATGAATGATACATCACCGTTTTGATGGTCTGTGCAGGAAAAATTGCGCATCAAGGAAGAATACAAACTGAATCTCCACCTAGGGTTCCAGTCCTTCTGGAAGTGCTGAGTCGCTGCCTGCGGGCATTGTACAGCGTAGTTCTTGACATGGTCGGTTTACTGGCTATAAGGGAAAGTCGCATCGCAAAAGCCACATCATCCTAAAAAATAAATTGGCCTAACAAACACGTTTACTATCAATATTAGCTGAGAAGTGGATAAAACAGAAGAAATTGAATCAAATTCGCTGGTTAAAATCAAAATTCCCACCAACATGCCTCCTATGGTAGGAGATGATTCTTGCACCAAAAAATCTCAAAATGTATCCCTGCAGTGTCACTCTGACCCATTGCATGTTGGTCAATTTCGCATTTTTCTCCATGTCTGCTTGGGTGTTTCTAGTCCCTTGTGCCAAGTTTTGCAACTTTTCAATGTGATACCCTGATACCTATCCGAACTACTTGATGATGGGTGGTTGGCATGATGATGTGGTTGACATGATGGTGTGAATGCTAACCATGATCACCGTCCGTAACTCGGAAGTTTTTTTTTGAACTAAGCTTCCTTTGAAAACAAACTATCGGGCTGCGGAGCTCTATTTTAATTGAGCCAGAAGTAACATCGGGCTCATGGTATGTACATGTCTTCACTCCTCCTCTCATGAAGAGTGATTTAGGTACACTCGCAAAGAGCTAGCCTCCGGCTCTCAGTTCTTCTTCGGCTGGAGGTAGCGGAGTCTGGCCAGGGACTTCACTTGAGTAGATTCAGCTGGCCCTTGCTCCGATCTGTCAGATACACATACCCTGACTTTGTCATAGTCTGGTGCACCTGCGTGCCAGGCACAGGTTTCGTCAGAACATCTGATCGATTCTGTTTACCTAGAACATGCAAGACTTTAAGGTGATTTTCAGCTACTCTTTCCTGCAGCCACAAGTATCGGGTTTGGATATGGCGTGCTTTGCCAAGTCCAACACGGTTGACTGCACCTTTTGCAGCATTCGAGTCTGACTCGATGGTGACAGCTGCATTGATACCATAGTCAGCCAATAGGGACTGAATTCCTAGCCCGGTACTTCCACCTTTAACCAGAGCATAGTACTCTGATTCATCTGTCGAAAGTGCAATGGTTGACTGCACATTCGAACTGTGTTTCAGGACATGCTGCCCATAGAAGGCAATCATGCCTGTGGTCGATTTTCTTGTCACTGTGTCTCCTGCATGATCGCTATCGACCTGGCCTGCGATCAGGTTCAATCCATGCTGCTGGCCTTCCTTCACTTACACCACACCGAATCAACCTGTTCAGGAAATGAATCCCTTTCTTGTCCTCAGGTTGGTCTCCGATGATTCCGAGACATTTCAGCTCATAGGACTTGCGCAGCAAGTCTTCCAGCTCACTGAGATGTTTCTGATCACCTAGTGCTAAGAAGTCATCTCCATGTACCATCACACGGACATCGTGCTGTGGGTGGCAAAATACCGAAGCGTTGGATTTTCCACGCTTGTACCCACCTTCTATCAAAATCCCTGAATAATGGGATTGCCATATGTTCGGTGCATCTTGTGTTCCATACATGGATTTCTGGAGAAGTCCACACATCTAGTTTCAGTCGTTCACCGTGGATCGACCTCTGTTTGGTCGCCCACAATGCGCACAGCAGCCTCATTGCTTCGAGACGCGGTGTGCTTGAAAACAAAAAATTTGCAGGTAGCTGGTCTTCAGGCCGTTTGGCGGCCTTTATATCTTTTACCAGCCTGCTTCTGAAATTCGGGTGACTTGGGTCACCTTTGTTTGTATCAAGCCATCTGGTCTTGATCGGGGGTTTCCCGGTTTCTTCAAAGCATTGTTCAATCGGCACTGGCAAGTATACTTCCTGTTTGTGAAGACGATCTGGCCTTTTCGACTTTCTCTTTTGGAAGTACTCCCCCATTAACATCATCCACATGCCGTTCCTCCCATTCTGGGTCTACGGTTGGTATTTCTGGAACTGGTCCTGCGCTGTACGCATCGACAGCGTTCAGTTCACCTCTCTCTTCCAGTTCTCTTTTCAAACATTTGAGCACAGCTCTTACAAGCTGCAGCGGATACTTTGCCGCTTGCTGGGCTATGCCACCAATCAAGTGGATGTGGCGGTGCCATGGTGCTCCACCTGTCTTATTGGTGCATTCTGTTTCCAACAGGTTTGCCAATCCTGGATGGTTTGTCATCCACCCGGTTTCTTTACGTACAAAGCCTGTACCCTGCAGGCCTCGACGGTCTGTAGCCGTCATGCCCCACTTGCACATAGGGCCTCGCACCACGTATACATCATCCCTTGAGGATATACGCTCAACCCTTTCATCTTTCCAGCTTGTTGCACCCCACGGCGCCTCATGAAGAAAATATCTCCCTTTCTGGATCTGCTTCTCATACACATCACGCGACGTGTGGAGGTGACGCACTGCTCCTTCCATTCTCTCTGATCTCTGGCGGAATCTTGTTCCAACTTATCGCTTGCAACTTCGAAAACAAATGGCATGGCGGACTGCCTCTGATCAACAGGGGCTCTTCACAGTCTATCAGCTTGTGAAGGAGTTCCACGTCCGCTGTCTTGCTGAGGTTCCAGTACTCACCATTTTCCTTTGTCTCACAAAGATCTACAGCGAACCCTGGCCTCTGCTTGTACTGCTGCGCCAGCGCTGTGAAGCGTTTCGGTGAGTAAACCTCTGCAATGTCTGTTGCTGCCATTTCACAACTCAAACTCGCAATGTCAGCGATTTCTTGAGATGAGATTTCAATCCCATTCTTCTTGTACGTCTCTTCCACCAAAGTCTTGATGTTGCCCATAGCAACCTCCTTCAACACAGCTAAAGCTGCACCTTTCAGGTCTTGTGCACTTGTGTCTGGTGCACTTTCCGCTGCTGGTGCTGCGGCTGGAACAGCCGCTTGATCAGCGGTGGTTCTGCTCTCCAAATCTCCCGTACCTTCTTCGGCGGTACGCTTCAAACCTTGTGTCGGCGATGGCTTCGCCTTAGTCAGTGGTGGTCCTGATGCAATGCTCAGACCCCCAGGTCGCTTCACTTCCTGTGGCGACACTTTCGGTTTTGCCTTTGCTTCTGAAGTTGGCATCGCTTGCCTTTTGAGCTTTGCTCTCTCATTTGGGTCTTCCGGTATCTCCTGCGGCGGATCGACGCCGCTCGGTTCAACCGATCTGCCCTCTGCATCTTCTACACTCATATCTCTCTCTTCGGCCGAAACGACCGCTGGTTTTGGTCTGTCTCTCTCTCTTGGTCTTCTCTGCGCTTCTTTGCATGCGCCTGGATTCTCTCTGCTCCAGTCTCATCTTTCTCCATTGCCTCACTGATTCTACAAGCTTCTGTATGAGGCACAGTTGTCCTTCGATTTTCAAGGGCACAAGTACAACCTGGGCAACCTTCAGTTGCTCCATGCTTGTGCACATCTTCTCTTCTGATGTACAGTTTCCTTCTTTGAGGTGGTGCCACTCGCGCTTCAGGCGGTGGCGGAGGTACGACTAACCGGTCTTCGCCGATCAGCCGCTCTCCTGCAACTGGCCTTGGGGCAGTCAGCTCCCAAGGTATTCCTCTCAGTTGATCCCATCCAGTAGGATCCCATCTGTCGGCATTTGGCATTCATCGGAATCCAGTGCCTCGCTTGACACCCTGTGATGTCATTAGCATCAAAGATCCTGTGCGTCCATGATGCCCCACGTATCGTCCCTCTTTCAGGACACGTGTTCCTTCTCCTACTTCTCTAAAGTAGAGTCCCTCTCCAAAAGCCATGGCGCCACTGCTTTCCACTGCGGCGGACTTCTGGCGTCCTCCCGTCTGTTCCTTTCTTGTACCTGTTCAACAAGTCCGCTGCCTGTCGCGGCAACCAAGCAAGCATCGGGTCTTCGTCAGGAAGTACCCTGCCTACTTATTCTCTTCCAAGGCTGACCTCAAAACTCGGATCTGCCTTTTCACTTCACGGATTGCATTTTCAACCAATCCATTCGCTCGGTGGCCTCCCGGCAGTGACTCTTCAGGCACTGACTCGATGGCGGCTTCTCGGGCCGCTGCTTCTTTCAATGCCATGATGGAGTGCTCTCCATCGGACTTAAGCACTACCTTGCGGTAGCCCAAGTTCTTCAAGAACGCTGCTGCAAACTTCACAGCATAAGGTGTAACCCCTTTTGAGTCCACAAAAGTTGCTGCAACCATCTGTGTCCTCTCATCCTTCACCACAAGGATGGGCCTCAGCCTCTCATCGTCCTCGTCACTGTGGGACATGAATGCATAGTCAAATGCAACAGTTGGTACCAGGTTTTGCTCTCTTTGCTCACTGGTTCTCGTCTGGTGTCTCTGCCCCAGATCGCGTCCCGTGCCCTGTGGATTCATGCTCATCCACTTCTGCCTGAGTCGGAGTATCTGGAGATTTCACCAGCTTTGTCCTCTCAGACTCCTCCACTTCTTCCATCACTTCCTCAATTGCATCCTCGGCCGGGTCGGCCCGTGCCTCTGGTACCTCCGAAGCTGCATTCAGCTCCTTTTCAACGGTTTCTGCGGCGTTCGCTGCAACCTGCCGCTTTCCACCTTTCGTTTTGAGATAGAAGTTGTACACACCTCTTTCCTGATACACTGGCAGCCAAGTCTTAGCCTCAGCTGCTGTCGATCGGTTGATGATTCCTTGGATGGCTCTACCAGCCTTCGAATTCACGGGGACCAATTGTCCACCATTCTCATCAAGCACAGCTATCCGGCCAAATCCCAAGCACTTGCGTGCTGACACCAAGGGCTTATGCACATCTGCAATGGCCCCTCGGACGCGGCATCTCATACCGCTTTCCCCGAACCCTTCAAAGGTTCCTGTGCCCTCACTAGGCACCAACTCGCCAGATGCTGTCTTGAAAATCACTTCACTCGAACCGGTGACAGTGACCTTGTCGTTCACCCAACCTTTTGGGACTGCCGTCTGCGCGGCTCCTGTATCCAAGTTGAATCTCACCCATTCCTCTACGGCTGAAGCAGCCACTGGTGTGCAAACCTTTCCATCTATTGCTCCTACATCATCAAACAGTCCTACATCAGCGTCCGGCGCGGGCTCAGCACCCGCTTCCGCTGACTCCCCATTTTCTAGCCCGATACATGTTTCTTGCCCTTTGATCTCTCTTTTTACTCCAGCAGTTTACTTGTCTATGACCCTTCTTGCAGCAATTATGGCAAACTATGTCCTTGTCTCGGTTTGGATTTGAGCCATTTGAGCTTTTACTACCGTCCCCTTGCCTTTACCTTTTCCTTTCTCTTTACCTTTGGACTTGCCCTTTCCTTTGCCTTTGGCCTGACCCTTTACTAAACTTGCTATCCATTGGGTTATGGAATCAACATCCATTGGTTGGGGTCCTGAACTGCCTGAAGCCTGTCCTGATCTAGTCACGGAACCCTTGAACCAACACTGGATTCGACCACCAATTCAATGTCTTGTCTCATCAATTCATAAGTGGTCAACCGATTCTTGTTAAGGATCAAATGCTTCTCAAGATCATTTGGAACCAAAAGTTCTAGAGATGCTGATTTGATATCATCACTCAACAACTCCCCGGTCCCTGAAGCTGACCTCCGAACTTCGTATCTCCTCACCAAGTCTTCCAGCTGTTCGATAGCTGGCCTCACAGCGGCCCACGTTTTGCACCGCTCTGGATTTAGGATGGCCCGTAGGAGGTTTCTTTTCCTCCCGCTCGTGGCGGGGTTCCATCTCCTACAAAGCTTCCTATAGGCTTCATAGCCATTACCGGCTCCAACAACAAGGTCTTCACTTTTCCCCAGCACATAGATGGCACAACACCCGATACAGTTGTTCTCCAACCTTTTCTATGCCATCCACATAGGGGTGTTGATTGTCGGCCAGATCTTGAAGGCCTATGGGGTCTTCTGAATCCAAACAAACAACTTTCCAAAACCTGGTCGCAGTCTGGGCCAAACACCCAACCAAATTGTTGATCGACCGAATCCACCTTCTGAAGCTTTCTTCTTTGTTGTCAAACACTTCAGGTCTACCCAAACCTTTGGTATCCATGAAGATTTTCCTATCCGTGGTATCCCTTTTCAAAGACTAATGCCTGAACACCTGCCTGACCCTCTCTCAACCGCTCATTCTTGGCGGGGCTTGCCTAAGTTGTTGGATGGTCTCTGCTAATTCTTGCATTTGTTGCTCCATGTTGCCCTTACCAATGGACAGCTGTTGCACTGCCTGGGTCAGCCTTGGCCTTTTTGGCCTCTGCTTTCGTTCTAAGATACTCTGCAACGCCCGGCTCTAACTTCCTCTTCCGGTCGTCGCACGACGAACAAGCTTCGTCTTGCGCCCACAAGCGTTGGACGATCGCTGCTGCCACAGTGCCCTTAGCTCGAGTGTCCTGTTGGAGCTGTCTTGCTGCTAAGTGTCTCACCTGAAACGGACTCTCAAGGAAGTAGGCTGAAAGTTGATGTGTCGCAGCCCACTTGCTGGCCAAGTTCCGGATCTTCTCACTCAGCTTTAGGGCGCGACCGTGCACCTTGAGTCCAATCTATGCTGGTCCTCGCACTCTGTTTTGGGTTTAAAGTCCTGGCTTTTGCTTTTGCCTTCGCTTTGGGTCTTGGCTTGGCTTTTGCACTTGACGATGGAGTTGCCTCCGCCTTTGCCACTGAGCGAAGTCGAATTGGATGTCGTGAAACCGACTTCAACCGAATTGGATTCCTCTTGAAGGTCTCTTGTCGCCCTTTTCCAAACCTGTCAATCTGATCTTTCAGTCCACGGTCCACCTTAACTCCTTGTTTCTTCGCAAGCCTCAACTGTCCTCGAAAGTTGCGATATTGGCGGGACTGAGCAGATATCAGTCTGAAGCCTTTGGAATGAGTCCTCTTCAACTCACTCGCACTCGGACGATTCCACGGCGCGTCCAGTGCTGGGCTCTCTCTCGGCGGTCTTGGGGCAAGTTCCAACCGCTCTGATGGATCTGGACCTGAACCTTGTCGAATTTCAGACTGGCTTCTCAAGCCTCGGACCTGGTATGTCTGTCGGTTCTTGATCTGCTGGATTTGCTAAACCAATCCAAGTTACGGCTAGCCTTCTTGTACCACCAGGAGAAGTTGCTGACCTTGCAGTTTCAACCTGAAGATGTCCACCTGGATAACTTGGCTGAAGTTTGTAGAATCCGATCTTGGGCTTTGCGCTGGGCTTAGGGCTTTCTCTGGTCTCTTTCTTTGTCTTTGGGGCTTCTCTTCTTTCTTCCTTTTCCTTCTTCCTCTTCTTCTGCTATCACTACTGGGGCGACTATATCAGCCGCTCCCAGCCCCGAGCTTGCGGCTGAACCAGCCGCCCGGCTCTTCTCCTCCTCCTCCTCGTCTGAGGAGTTATTCAAAGTCCGTCTCTCCTGGCTGTGCCTGTTGTCCCTTTGCCTCAACTCGTAATCGGCGTCGGACTCACCAGGCTCACGCGCTACCATGAAAACAGACTATCGAGCTGCGGAGCTCTATTTTACTTGAGCCAAAAGTAACATCGGGCTCATGCTAAACCCCTGGATCTTTACACTGCACATGAGGGTTATATATGGTATGTACATGTCTTCATCCTTTGATCTTATATATATATTAGTATATTATAGCATATTAAATTTTATGATGTGACATTATATTATATTAGATTTATTATATATAGATATATATCATATTCTATTATATTATATTAGATTATATTATATTATGTTATATTATTTTATGTTATATTATGTTATATTATATTATATTAATTATATTATGTTATATTATATTATATTATATTAATTATATTATATTATATTATATTATATTATATTGTATTATATTATATTATACTATATTATATTATATTATATTATATTATATATAGTATACATATTATAAATATATATATATATTATTATTATTATTTTATATATATATATACATTGGAAACGCATGCCTCAACAGGGGGAGATCCCCCGACCCCAGCGTTTTATTGTTCCACCAAAATGATCTTAACAAATCCTTCAACTGAGGGTACCCCCTGGAATAATTTCTTATGGTATGGGCTATTATATTGATATATATATATATAATATACGTGTGCGTGTAGTTCTCCAACATTTTTGGGTTGTGACACCGCCTGTGGCCACGTTGCTGGCAGTATCTGCCATCGTGCATTCCTGGCCCAGGTTTCAGCACAGGCAGATCCAGAGCTGATGCGCTGGTGTAGAGAACATCATTAGAAACATACAAGGTACTGCATTATGTCATTGAACTTGGCATATATTACAAGATATTGCAATATATTGCAAGATATTACCAAATATTACCAGATATTTCCAAATAGTACAAGATCATAAAACATAACAGGGCCAACAATGTGATGCAAATGCAGGATGACATAGTGTCTATCATACACATATGGGATACACATGACACAGGTAGGATTCCCGCAGCCTTGGTCTCTGTGTCCCCCGAAACAGGCTGGGCCTCGGAACGCTGGGAATGGGATTCCCAGCGCATGGATTATGATAATACCCCATGATTATTGGCTGGTAATAATATATAATATATGTTGGTAATAATAATACACACAGACCCCGAGGTTTGCCCAAGCCCAGAATAGCGTAAATTACAAGGTTTTTAAATCACTCTATATATATGAATTCTCCCACGCACGTTAAACTCTTACATTCATTGAAGATCTTCAATAAGGGTTTTATTGCCCCACCGCCGTTAAACTCTTACATTCATTGAAGATCTTCAATAAGGGTTTAATACATGTTGTTTATGTGGAGCATACTGGTGATCATCATCATCATCATCATCAACATCATCATCATGCCCAGACGCTCGTTGCAAGTCCGGGCAAACCTCAGGGCCTTGCCGTAATAATATAATCCCAATAGATTGTTAATAATATACCCAATATATTGGCAATAATTTTATCCCAATATATTGTTGATTGGCTAGTTGTATTGGCTAGTAATAATATAATACCCATTAATACCCCATATAATGGCTCTAATATAAAATCCCATCTAATCAACCAAGAATATCCCAGAATATTCAAGGCATACAAGCTGCCAAAGATTTCTCAACAGAGCGTGGGTTGCCGTGGGGTTGCCGTGGGGCTGAGAGCGCTGGCGGATTTTGCAAGCAACTTCAGGAAGAATTCACCAGATGCCGCTGAGTCATCCTGCATTGACAGTATCTTCAGCTCCATCTGCTGAATGTAAGGATAGTGTAATGGATAGTGTAATGGATGGTCATGGATGGTAATGGTGATGAATTCGTAAGGGGCTCCTTCTCATCTGTGTCTGAAGTTGTTGGATCCTCATCAGCTAGGATGTTTCTGGGATGTTTCCGAACTGCCCTTGGCACCATATGCACCATGGACTTTGATTATTTTGATTGGGCAACATCATTCAGAGGGCAAACGTGTAACATGGACATCGTGCATCGCGGATTCTCAACAGCTTCCTGCTCTGCGGTATCTGTCTGGCCTTGGGCATCGCGGCAGCGATGGCTCAAGACTGCACAGAAATTCTGTGAAATACTGACCATCTATATCCATCTATCCATCTCTACCCAAATGATATATCATGGTAGTGATTTTATATGATTTTATAGTGTTTTTGTTGCCGGGACTTCTTAGAGGCTTTGCCCCAATGGGCGGCCCAGCACCTCATGGCCCTGGGATCCGAAATCCCTTGGTGCCCCGACGTCGCTGGTTTCCCAGGTTCTTTGCGTGAACAGCGGGGGGCACTTTGGCAGCGCAGCCTTGGGACTGCAGATGTTCCTTCAACAAGTAGAAAGATATGGTTTTTTTTGTCCTAACAAAGATCACCAACATAATCTGAGGTGCTCCTATGATCTTGCATGCTACCCTCTGGTAATTTAACATGGCTATGGGAAATCACCATTTTTAATGGGAAAATCCATTATTTCTATGGCCATTTTCAATAGCTATGTTAAATTACCAGAGGGTAATAAAAATGTACTTCTGTGCTTGTGTAGTGTATATTATTGTATCATGCACGCATCTGGCGGATGTTTGGGGCCAGGGGTTTTCGGAATTTCTGGGAGATCTTCGAAAGTCAAAATTGCCTCGGAGTCAGCCAGTCGCTAAGGCCACGACAGTGCGGTGTGCACCTGAGAGCCAACCAACTGCCAGAAGTGACTTCACCATGTTTTTTTTAATGTTTTTTTATGATTTGATGAGCCTCAAAGACTCGTTGATGTTCAAGTCAGTGGCTATACAATCCAGTATAGCAAACCCTGGTTTTCACAAGTTTTACATCCTGATTTTGCTGCTAGTTCTGGGATCATCCCATGGTCATCCCATGTCATCCATATGAGGGCCCCATATGGTACCAAGGTTTTGGCCCACCCCGCAAAACTGCTGGTTAGAACGGCACCACTTGCTCCTCGCGCTGCAGAGTTGGTTGGTCCTTAGCCAGGCCAGGAATTGGCCGAGCACTGCTGGACTGGAGCAATCTGGGTTGCCAACATCGTCCCGTCCATGATTGCACTGAATTCACCGTCATCAATGTTGTTCCTGGGCGTTGCAGGGCTCGGAAAAAATCGCAGTACCCCATGTGAGAGCTTTAGATGTGTGCGGGTGATCAAGGGCTGCCCTGGTAACAAAAGCAGTTTCACAGTGACTACACTGTACTAGTGTTAGATATTGGCTGGGAGATGAATCGCAAGAACGATTCCAACCTCATTGGCTGGGAGACTTTAAAGTGTAACCTGATGACCTAGATCGACAAACCCATGGTGCACCAACACCATCTATTACCCGTCGCCATCGAATAGGTACAACTTAAAATGCACAGACTCATAGATCAGACTCCTTCCGGTACAGTATCACAGAAGGAAATGCAGCCCTTATTTCCAGAATGATGCCCCGAACGAATTCAGGAAAATATCATGTGACCGTTGGACAATGTCGGACAGCTTTAAAATGTAGGATCTGGCTGGAAGAATCTATTTTCCCAATGTCGTCAAATATCAGCGAAATCGTGGTTCAGTGTTGGATCCAATTTTGTATTCATTTTGGGGGTCTCATTTATTGGTGTTTCAATTGGTATTATGACCTGGGACACACAGGTACTTAATTCTGAGTTTATCCCTAGATATCACCCCAAAAATCACACATTTACTCCCAAAAAAAAGGATTTCCCATTTTTCCAACATCCCAAAGATTCGTGACAATATGGAATTATATATAATGTCAACCCCGAAAATTAGGGATAATTATTATCCTCCTGGCCTTTTTTATTGAGTACCCTCTGGTAAACTAACATAGCTATGGAAAATCACCATTTTTAATGGGAAAATCCACTATATATGGTCATTTTCAATAGCTATGTTAAATTACCAGAGGGTACCATTTTAGTAACCAATGATCACGTCATGTCGATCCATCATGGAGCCACCAATCTATCCGAGGAGCTTTTCCAAACGCAGCCACAATGGCACGGAGCCCCGGGCGCCTTTCCGTGTGTGGGGGCGAAATTTTTGATTCAGGCTTGGTTGGATATAGCCTCTGGTAAACATACAAAAAACTATGGAAAATCACCATTTATAGTGGATTTTTCCATTAAAAATGGTGATTTTCCATAGTTATGTTACTTTACCAGAGGATATATTTTTTTAGACACCAAACATGAGGTGCCAAACACGATTAAAAAGATGGAGAAGAAAAAAAGGTGTTTGACCCAAACAGCCCAAACAGCCCAAACATCTACTACCACTTCTGAAAGCCAAAATGTGGCTGGCATTTGGCCCCCATAAACAGCGCCCCCACGAATCTGGTGCCTGAGCGGCGTGGGTAACAAGGCCTCAGTGCCACCATCCCACGAGTGCTTTGAGTTGAACCTTCACGAGAGTCAACACCTAAAACTATGGAAAATAACCATTTTTAATGGGAAAATCCACTATAAATGGCCATTTTCAATAGCTATGTTAAATTACCAGAGGGTAATCCAGACTTGCTCTAAGAAATTCTAAGAATCTCAAGTTTTCAAAGCAGTAGTGCTAACCTCAATGGGCTGGGAGACAATGAGGCCCATCAAACTATACTCATCATGACACGTCGGTAGGCCCCCGGCATTCCATCCTCGCCTTTGGCCTAGCACTTCACAAGCTGAAAACGCAGTTGGCATAGGTTCAACCATTCAAGAGATCTGATGTGAAAACTGTGCAAAACCCATGATGAAACATACACACACAGAGATACATATGTACATATATGGTGCGTATGTACGTACATACATACATACACACGCAGACACACACACACATATATATATAAACAAATAAACATATAAATATGTATGTATATATATATATTACATACATTACATACGGATGTGAAAAGCATCTGACCATGAATGGAGTGGTCCGACCACACCATCGAAATCGATGAACTTTCGGCGATCTCTTCGATCCAAGTGGCAGAGGCTGCAGCAGCTACAATTACAGCAGATGCTTTGGCATCCAAGGAGTTGTGGGAAAGATGTAACCTGAGCAGCTTGAAGAGGCTGAAAATGGCTGAGAATGGAATCAAATGAAGTGTGCATGGCTTAACATGCTTAACATGACCATTTCACCAACACATAGCCCAGGATTGGACACTTTGCCTGCTAAGACCACTGTCGATCGCAGTCTGAAATCCGGCTGGGGCCCTCTCTCTTGCAGACATCCGTCGCAGGTCCTGTAGATCGCAGCGGTTGAGAGGCTGAGAGTGATGCAATCTGAAAATGAATCTATATGAATCTATGAATCAGTTGGAAAACATGGAAAAACTCATAGCTTACCCCTAGTACCAAACACCCTCGAAAACCCCTGATTAGTAAAGTAGGTGGATTTTGATTTGGGATTCCCATGGATTCCCTGTAATTACGTCCGTCTTTTTTCAGGGCTGTGATTACTATTGCTACGGGCGCTGAGACATGAATGGCAAGAAAGTCCAGTTACTGTAAGTCGGGCAACAAGAATATCAATTGGCATCCTACAAAGGTGTTCCTTGAAGATTTCTGGGCCATCATCTTTCAAAAACTATGCATGAATTTTCTAGGGCTGGCACCACTGCATTGCAAATCCTTGAATCACCCCGAACAAAGTGTTTCTTTGTTTATCTTGGGGCAAAACCTGTTCAATCCAAGGACCTTTAAAAAAAAATGGCCAGGCATTCTGTGGAAAAAACATCCGGCATCTTGTCGGACATGGTCTGCCCGCAGGAGATTGCCAAGCACGTCAATGCCCGAAAATTGCACTGGTATAGGTCACCCCCTGTGTTCACCCAAAACAGCCAGTGCCCCAAAGTCGGTCCCACAGCTAGCAGTCCTAAAATAGTCTGCGAAGCAGCCTGTGAAATGACAGGCACTGCAGGCACTGACACAACTGGGACTGCCCTACCAAATCATCCGCGGACAAGTGACTCTGTTTGGATCTGTTGGGTCGAGTTAAGTGAGATCGCAACGGGTCTCCTGCTTCCTTATTCTTCCAAATTCAGCTCTAGAGTATACAGTAAGATGTTTGAAGATGTGTGTCTTTTTTACATGAAGACTCAATCTTGAGCTTCTACAGCAAAATGTCTAAATTGGTGCATCCAAACCCCCTACCCAGACTGAGGGCTAAACCTGCTTCCTTTATGAGGTTATGGTGCAGCTTGAGAACCTCAGGAAAAACACGGCTACTGCAGCTACAAGGATCTCATGGCCGACGTCAACTTGCCCCAGAGTTCCGAGGTGGGCACATAGACCGAGATGCCACAAGTTGAAAAGGTCTTCAGCCTTGGTGACTTTGGTGATTGAATTTGGGTGCCAATTGCCGCAATGGCCAAGTACTGTAACCCTGGGGTAACCAAACCCCGAGTCTCTGGGGTTTAGAATGTCCCCCAAATGAAGCTAAGGGCCACAACTGAGAAATCAATCTGAAATGATTCAGATTTTGTTGATCAGGATCTATCAGGATCTGATTCTGAATCTGAAGAAAAACAGGGCATAGCCGCATAGCCCATGGCACGACTTCCAAGTGGCAAGGTCGCCGCTCCCGCAGAAGTCAGTTGATTCCTAGCAAGGCGATTTACACTCCCACAAGGGCACTCCAATGGCAACTTCTCCCCTTTAAACTCCTTTTAGCCCCCAGCGGGACAAAATACGATTTCATGCGATTTCAAAGTGCCATTCCTTACATGTTCTGTCATGGTTTGAGTCCTCTCTAAACTTTCACCCAAGTTGTGGCCATTAAGAATATGATGTTTTTTTTTACCATCGTAATGCCGAGGTGCTCCGCAAAGTCCACTAGGGTGGCACGCAGGGCAGTGTGGGCGTGACCTGACACCGAGAAACGGCCTAGCGGCCTAGCTGAGCCGGTAGAGCCATAGAACAAAGATTTGGGTATATGAAACCAACCATTTTCAGGATTTACTGTAAGCAACAATATAGATAGGATTATAATATGCAAATATATATATATATATATCCATGTGTGTGTGTGTCTATGTGTGTGTATATGTGTGTGTGTGTTTATGTATTTATTTATTTAAATATCTATTTATTTATTTGTGTGTTTATCTATTTATTTATTCATTTCTATATATATATAGTTATCGATATAGTTCTCTCTCCATCGCCTTCTCGAAGAGTTCAGCTGAGCTATATATTTATTTATTTAATTATTGTTTTTTAGTTTTTTATTTATTGTGTGTGTGTGTTTGTACATTTGCATGTGTCCAAAAAAATCTTCGCATGCCGCAATGTCGCGGGGCAATTTGAATTGGCCAAATGTCCAGCTGAATGTCGCCATATGTCGCCTACATCCTCACAACAACGCTGACCAGGCGCTAAGTCTCCAAGGCTCCAAGTCTCCGAGCCCAGAGTTGCAGAGTATTGCAGAAACCAGGTGCTCCATTCTTTGATGCCCTGGCCAGATGCCAAGGCTCGGTTTCAAAATGATACCCGGCCTGGTTATGACTAACAGTTCGCCATGGGATTTCGATGGCCCTAATCGAAATAGATGGTTTACCTGTTTACCTATTAAAAATGGTGGATCTTTCCATGGCTATCTTAAATAACCAGATAGTACAAAAAATCATGGCCAATCATTGCCGATCGTCTTAGCATGTCTTGAAATTTCTTGGGTGGAAATATCAACATGTCCAGGCGGCAAAAGATTGAGACAGTACCAAAAGTGACTTAAAATACCCATTCAAGGTTGATCCAACCATAGCCATACGCCTTGACCATTCAACCATGACGGAAGATCCCCATGTTCAAGACAAACATCTATCTTTAAAAACCAGGAAAATTCCAACATATTCCAGCCCATTGCCATCTTTGATTCTCAGAGGGTGTCAACCCCCCTCTACAGTTTAAGTTGAGGACAATTCTCCAATCCATGCCCTGGGCCTCGTCGGTCATGTTCAAGCCATTCATTGCCACTTTCAATTGTTTGTCCTTGTCGAAGCTCAATCGAGCGGCCCATGTCGCCTGGCCGTGCCAGGCGACATCAGTCAACGCAGTCGGATCAGAAAATTTTCGGACATCTTGGTGCCAAAATCCTCCCACAACAATATTGCCTGGTGCAACCCTCTTCCCAAAAGATACTGAAGCGTAATGAATTTCAATGAATTTCAAACAGATCGGTAGTCGAGATGTCCCACAATATCCCACAATCCTTTCATCACCGTTCGTGGAGCGAGATTCATCCCAAGCTGCGAGCGATTTGCAATTCCAAAACAATGAATTCGTGCGTTGAAAAAGTCCAAACATTCGATTTCGCATCCGTGACTCACCTTCTCGGCTCCGTGTCCCTCCGTTCAAAAAATTCAAATCTAGCGGAAGTGATGAAATTTGATGACTCAGCAGGTTGAAAAACACTCCGATACAATACCAGTTCTGGTTGTTCTCCAGTGTCCAGGTAGGCCTCTCGCCAGCCACGCTCTCCTACAGCGGGGTTCTCCACTGTTCTCCACCACTTTGGGGAGAATGATATATTGAAATGCAACATTCTCCATCTTGATGTTCGTTGACTGCTTCGTTTCTGAGCATGCCACCGTGTGCAATGTCAGCCTGCCCGGCGCTGAGCATTGGGAGGAATCGCAGCTAGACATCACTTTTTTGGGGGGAATCACTGCAAAATACTTGGAAACTCAGCTACCAATGGTTCTCATCCCACGCATTATGTGTGGCTTTTTTGAATGCAATCCCATGTGCTCCATGTATGGAATATTTACCAACATTTGCCCCATAAATGACCCAAATGTAGGTAAATACACCATACATGGAGCATATGGGAATTGATTCCCCCAAAAAAACAAGGGTGCAGCACCCCCAAAAAACCGGCCTCGCTCATGAGCTCGTCTCGCCAGGTCCCGGCCCAACGAGATGCCCGTCCTGAAATTTTCAAACCCCAAAAAAGGATGAAAAAAAGTGGGGAAGATAGGAAAAGATTGGTCATTTCTGGGCATTGACAATGTCATTTCCATTCATTTCCACTCTTGGAGTGAGATTTTACAATCATGTTGTGTTCGATCTTTTTTTGGGGGGATGGCTATGATCTAACACCAAACAAAGATGACCTATTAGGGAAACCATGGCAAATTTCCATCTGCGCGTTTTTTTAAAACCTATTTTTTCTACAGAAGCATTGTTCGATGAACAATAAATATGATATAAGGCACCAAAAAAGTATTGAAAAATACATGTCCACCATTTTCTAGTTGTAAATTGAACCTTTCTGAATCTTGGTGGGGGCTGCTATATTCACAATATAAGCCATGGATAGCCATGGTAGGTTAGTTGTCACCCATCGAATCGAGCGAAGCATTGACCAAGGCCTAGCTGTGCCATGATGCGTGGCGCTCTGACACGGGCCACGACCAGGCTCTCGGAGTTGCGTCGTATGTTGTATGTCGCACCATGTATGAAGGACTTGTCATGCACGCGCCAGTTCATGTTGGCACATATGGATACATAGTTACATAATGATACATATGGATACATCTTGTATCATCTTGTTCCATACCGATCTGATCATCCGATTTTGCGTAACTGTGGAGTTGTTCCAGAGAAGCCTGGCCGTTTCGCAAGCGGTTTCAGGGCGTTCTAAGCGGCAATGGTAATTTGGCTGGTTTTGTCAAGGATGATTGAAATCATGTATTTCTTTACGTTTGACATGATTGAATCCAAAAAACAAAACGCATGACGCATGTGGCAAATCGTTATCCATTGGCCGCGCCCTTTTTCGTGGGCCCTTTCAGCCCTGAAAACTGCACCCTCGCAGGGGTGTAGCAAAGCCTTGAGCCAAACAGCAAGGCCGCAAGGCTAAGAGTAATGTGCCAAACCCAATAGGAAGCCCCGTTTGGGCCGTTTGGGGTATGGATCTTAAATGATCTTAATTAGTACCTCCCAAACATTTACTTCGGTAATTGGGGATGTCTTTCTTTTGGTGCTCTACCACATTAAATGTCACGATATATCATGTCTGTCTAAAAAGTTGCCAACCCAAATCCACAAGAAAAACTACCAGAATCTTGTGGTCTGGTGGAGCCCAGCAGTTGGCTGGCAGGGGCAGACAACTTCCCACAGCAATGCCAAAATCGTAGCCATTCTCCAATGATTTTCAAGGTGGAAATGCTTCAATCCACCACCGGCTGGGACCTTTGTCCCATATATGAATTGCAAAGATTCGGCAAGCCCCCGAGAGGGGGCAGCATCCTAAAGAGTAACTAATTCAGGGCCTTTGGCCGGTTCTCTCCCAAGTGGGTGCGCATCAAAATGGCTACACATCTCCTACACAAATCAATTCATTGATTTTCAAACTTTGACCCTGGCATACCCTGGCCAGGTCAGCCAGGTCATCCAGGTCATCCAGGTCACACGAGCCACGCCTCCTTCGTTGACATCAGCGCCTGAATGGCCTCAACGTGCGCCGTGGCAGCAGGGGCCGTGTTGCAGTGGTTCAGCACTCCAAAGCTCTCGGTCTGCCCGGCGTGGCGGGAGGTCCCTCCTTCCTGCTCCCCAATCAAGGTCCAGTACATCCAATCAAGTCCTGCCCAAGGTCCCATGTCCCAAGCATGTGCCACTGGGTCATGGAAATCACCGATATAACACCAACCTCTTTACACTTCACAGTTGGTCACAAATGTCGGTTTTTACAGGGTGAACTCAAGCTGGCTCATTCCCAACATGTTTCCAACTTCACGCTAAAATGGAAGTAGCAAGTAGCAAGTCCCCCATTTCAACTTCACAGGAACCCATCTTCTTGCAAATGCTGCAGTTTCCATCAGTTTCCAACTTCCAGGTTGCCAGCTAAATGCGTTTTGTTGGCGACTTTGATTTGGAATCATAAACCCCGCGGATGCTCCTCCTTTCTTTGCGGATTTAATGTACTCCGAAATCTGAGAGAACCAGAGCGCGGCCGTTGCATCACCCTGCCAGTCCTCGACAAGACGAAGCCTTCAGAGCTAAATGTTTAAATGTCCGGGGCCCCTTGCATTTCCACTGGTAACATCACCCTTCAAAAGGATGAACTAGTATTTAAAAATCTCTAACCACCATAAAAATAATGTTCAACCTCTCAAACCAAGGACAGTGCATAGAGACCGACCCTAGATTCATCTAGCTTCTGGATGACAAAAAATGTTCGAACTAACCTACCATTTCGCAGACTTCATCGTATATAGGATAGAGGACGTATACTATAGCACTGCATGCATTTGCCAAAAGAACTGAGTACCGCAAATATCTGTAAAAAGAAACGTTCAAGTGGAACCTCTCGCACTTGAACGGCTTCAAGGAGGCTCCTGAGACATTCCAAACTCAGTCAGAATCACTGGCACGGCATTCTCCTTAACCAGAAATCCCCACCATGCATCAGTTTGCGCAGAAAAGTCGCTGCGATCAGTCCTGAGGCGCTTTGGGACAAGATTTGAAGAAAAATAAACGAAGTCATGTGCCATGCGCTCGGGCATTCCAAATCATTCCAAATCCTTAGAAAAGCCCTGCAGAACCTGGAAGAGCTTTGCAGACCTGTTCACTCCTTTTTCTGTTCACGTGGAAGCGATAAATATGATACATGAATTACATGATAAATGGCGATCAACATCTAACGTCTTCCAACCCAGTCCTGAAGCGATTGATTTTGCTAAAGTGCCCATGGGCTGGTTCCGCACCGCGCAGCGGCCCGTCCGGTGTCCCGCGTCGTGCGTAGCAATGGTCCGTGCCAGTGCAGGTGATGCCTGCACAGGCGTCGCCTAGGGTGGTGCAGGTCTGCCAAACATCATCCAGGGACCCAGGATGAGTTTTCCCAGATGCATTGCCCGGAATGGCGCCCGGCAGAGCCACATTCACCACCTTGGTGACTTTTTGCCAGGGATAGGAATGCGCCTCATAGACGATCCTCTCTTTGGGCAGGTTGGGAAGCTCTTTGAGTTCCCGTAGGTCTGAGGAGTAGTCCAAGCCACCAATGGAGATCAGCAAATTTGGGTTCTCCTGGTTCTGGAGATATGCTGCCCCAAAATCTCTGTTGGGTTTTGAAGATCATCATTTTTTTTCAAACACATTTTTCTGAAATTGTATATCCTAGAATTGATATAAATTGATTATCAAAAAATATCATTCGCCCATTTTGGGACCCTCCTCAAGAATGGCATACCCTGCCCGCTCTGCGGCAGCACGCCACTGCAGGGAGGAGGGACCGGAGGACCAGGTGGCAGCTGTGAAGTTGGTGATGTTTTCCACATGTCCTGGAATCTCTATTCAAGGCGGGTCTTAAGTTTTGTGAGATTGAGATTTGAGTTCAAAAAAACACAATGATACAAAATATGGACTCTTTTAATGTAAGAATTATTGGCTGATGAGAATCTGAAGCAGGCTGATGTGATCCCAATATGCTAACTATGTTTGACACCTGATAGGCCGTTTAATCTTAGACCAACTATATAAATAAACCATCGGCCAGTGGGCTTTGGTTACGGCTAAACTCACAACTTCACTTTGACCGGCTCCTACCCTTGCTTCCTGCCGCACCAAACAGCCACGATCCCCAAATATAGAAAATACAAACGTTGTGGAAGTATGTGGAGGTTATATTTATTAAAAAAAAAAACTCTGGAAAAACTGAGAGTCCTCGGTCGAAAAAACCGGCGCTGCAAAATGCCCCAGAGCCCCAACTCTTGCCAGAGATCATCGCGCGGATCTCGTTTTTGAGCCCAGCACCTAGCACCGCTTTGTATGGAAGGCTCATCTTGGCAACTTTCCGCCAAGCATCCACCCAATGCTCTTCAGGATGATGAGCATTGAACCAAAAACCGTTGCAGTCGTTATCACTGCAGCACCAATCCGTGTCCAACCTGAGAGCTTTCAGATCATGGCCATCAAGCCGGGGCATTCACTGGTTTATCAGCAGTTTACAATAATTTGGAAACTATCACCACTTGGCGGAAAATTGGTCAAATGAGCCAAATGTAGTTTATGGGAGTTCCGGTCATTCATTTCATGGTTGTCTCCATTCAAGGGATGAACAATGTTCTTGGTCTCTGCCCTGGTGCCCGAACGGTTGAACCCGACATCTGTCCGTAAGGTCCTAGAGGACGCGCAGGTCCAACTTCTCCCGGAAACTCTGCTGACATGTTCTCTGGTTGTGGACGTTCATCCATCTCCATCATCATCATCATCATCATCATCATAATCATAATCATAATCATCATCATTGTCATTATCATTATCATCATTATCATCAACAACAACATCATCAACAACATCAACAACAACATCAACAACAACATCAACATCATCATCATCATCATCAACAACAACAACAACAGCAGCAGCAGCAGCAACAACAACAAGAACCAAAATAAACGGCCAATCATCATCAATCCCCATCAATCCTCATCATCCCATCCCCCAAAAATCGCCAAAATTCGCCAACTGTGGCCATGGCACATGTGGTTGTCCAGCCAAACTGCCAGGCCAACGACTTCCAGTGCCTTGATCACTTCCTCCATGACCTCCAAAGCCCTGCGGCCCACCAGCTGAGGGTTGGCCGCCACCAAGCGAGTGGACACCTGGCTTGGCATTTTTAAAAAGGCCATGAGTTCTGTAGCTGCCCAGCTGAAAATGGATGAAAATGGATGAAAATGCTGGATTTTGCTGTGATCTCTTCGATGCTTTCAGGGCTTGGGCAGTTTGGGCGGCTTTGAAATCTTTGAAAGTTGACGGACACTGCAGATTGATTTCTATCTTCCAGTTTCTTCCCTAAAAATAATATATCACCTAAAATTTCAAGCAACCCTAAAAAGATAGAAAAGTAAGATACCTACAATTGATGTTCCCATCTCTTTTGCATATATATATATATATATGTATACAACATTTATATGTATATTTATTTATCTATTTGTTTACTTATTTATACTTTCTCAACCAAGCTGCCACTGGGTTGGATCGCACCGTGTTGGTATCCCATGTGAGTCGCACCACGTTGAAGCCCAAGGCTTTGATTCGCAGTGCCATGGACATCAAAGGTGTTCGATCCAAACCACTGGGGACGTGGGTGATGTGCAGCCCAGGCCAGTTGATGCCCTGAAGCCTCACCTCTTTGCCTGGGAAAAAAACGACAACAAAACGCCTGGTGAAAACTTCAAGTTATGGAGGTATATGGAGGTGATATTCCCATATATTCCCGACTTGTGGTTATAACAAACCTGGGCTACTGTATTGATATGGGGGTGGAGTTTAAACGGTTTAAACCGATGGTTGTTTTCATAAAATTGGGTGCATAAATATCCAGTTACCAGGGTTCACCGGGGTAGTTTGACCCGCATCACGGGATGGTGGATGGCTCACAAACCTGGAAAACCTGTCCAGAAGATGAAAGGACATGAAAGGACTGGAGATCAAAAACGCCTGATGCAAAAACCACTACACTCTCCATAGGAAACTAATATGGAAACCTAGTCTTTGATATCAACAAGGGCTGATCTGGTGGTTTGAGATCCCCTCAACCAGCCCCATCTAGCCCGGCGGCCGGTGGCATCCAGGAGCTGGCTGCCGCTGGCCCTCAAGGGCCCGAAGACCGCTTGGTTCCGGGCTCCACCGGAGGGCGCCGCGTCGGAGGCGCAGACCCATCGCACCAACAACTCGCTGCACTCGGAACAGAGGTGGCTGAAATCCGACCAATGCACCTCGCAGGTCCTGAGCACTTTTTGGAAATGTGGAAGGGGGCCGGTTGAAATCCCATATTTCCGAGAATTTTTAAAGGGCTGGCTGATGAATCTTGGTGAAAGATCGGGAAGGGATGTCAGTATCTTGACGTATTTGGACTTTGAAACCAGCAATTTTCCGGTAATTTTATGGCTAGATGGGCAAGAACAAAACATTGATATTACCAGATTACCACACCGAATAGGACTGAAACAAGAAAATCCAAAGCATTCAGCACCAGGATCTTTTTTTTCACACAATTGCTACTGAGATGATGCTGGATATGCACTCCACCAGGGGAGCCATCTCCAAGACTGCTGTTGGAGTAGCCTCTCGGTTGATCGGAGCCACAAATGCGTCGTTCAAAGGGAACAACCCCAAAATAGGCGAAGGGCACTTCCTTAATGAAGTCGTCCTGATATTGGTCGCAAGCAAGCACCACCGGTCGGTTCGTCGGTGCAAAGCAGCAGTGCAGGGGCGAGTTATCTCTGCTCCTTGTCTGGTGGATGAGGCTGACAAACAGGAAAATGGAGAGACGGAAGCCCATCATGGCCAACAATATCCGAACATGTTGCAGGTGATCTACATGTAATTTGAGCCAAGAGGAGGGTCCACACAAACGGCCATGGCTCACATGTGGGTAGGATACTTTGCAAATGAATTGCCAACACCAAGCAGGAAAGTGTTTCTGGTTGGTCGTTGTTCACAGTTCTTGCAGCGCTAAGGCTTTAAGCCTTCCGTCCTGCCTGCGATAAAAACATCACCGGCACCGGTGCTGTTGATGGTTCCCTGCACAGAAACACCCAGCCCATAATTCAGAGAGCAAGGCCAATGCAACTGTTGAAACTCCTGTTGGCATTTCAGATTGTGTAGTGCATACGGGCCCAACAATTTCACCTCAACCAGCTCTGTGCAAAATGACCATCTTGAACTGCGAATCACTTACCAAAATTGACCAATTTGATCCTATTTCCATACAGTCCACAGTTGAAGGTGAAGCCCAAACTCTGACGTTTAACCCGTTGGTGAAAACCCACGTGTTCCATCTGACAAAATGTCGTGCTGAACCGTTAAAAAAGCCACCCAGCTGGAGTTCTGAAGATCTTTGGGATAGCCAATTGGAATAGCCCGCCTGGAAGGAAGTGGGCACGGGCCAAGCATCACAGGCTAAGGTGTAGAAATCCTCGAAGGATCCAGCGCAACACACCTTGGTTTCAAGGATGGAAAAGGTAGTCGTGAGAACTCGTGGTATCACTGTGGATCTCTGTGGATCTCTTGGCTAAATGTTCAGGGGATCCTCAAAAAAACTACAATGGCTAGCTGGAAAGCCTGCTTAGTTGGTCTTCCTTACCCTCCTTTTTCATGTTAACCCCGGATGAACAAATCATCAGCCCGAGGCCAGGGCCACTGGAACACCCACAGCCGCGAGCTCCTGGAGTGGAGTGCTATCTGAATGTACCGAGATGCGCGATGTGTGCTGATTGTGCTGGCCCGGGCCGAGGTTCTGAACAGATAGGTAAGGCTTTAATATCTTAATATGCTTTAAGTCTTTTAAGTCAATCATCTTTAACCATCAAAATGGTGAAGTTGTCCTGATGATGGTTTCTCAAACTTGGGCACCCCAAGAGGAGCCGGGAACCGCACGCCGTGCCGTTTTGAAAGCTGAACAGGAACCCAGTCCTCTGTGCCCAGCTCACTGGGGTCCTTCACAAAGCTCTTCCTGCGCCGAAAAAGCTGGGCGTCCTTGAACAAACTTGATACTCTTCGCTTCAACATGCTTCAACCATCTTCAACCTATGAAATCTTCCTGAGATTGAGATGGCCATAAAATCATGAAAATGGTAGGACTGCTTCAAACTGCTGCCGTGGTGAGGTGCTGGAACTGCCTCACCAGCAGCAAGGATCCGCGCTCCCCCCGTGTAGCCACAACCATGGAAGCTTTGGTGGCGGTCTCAGTGCGCCAAGGAGCCAAGTCCACTCAAACTCTCACGCAAAATAACTGTACAAGAAACATAAACCGTATGAAACAACTACAAAAAGAACTGGTCTTGCAAAATTTTGCTGCAAAATAGTGTTTCTACATAATTGAGTGCTTGAGATCCCCACCAACTTCTGGAAGTGTTTGGGAAAACGTCCTCCCTACAAATAAAGAATTGTCATCTCCCAAGCGTCCTTTTGACAGCATCTCTGACACTGGCAGACTCCGCGGAGACCCGATGGTGGTTCTCCGCCGTTCTTTTCAATGGCCGTGGCGTCGGGTGGCCAATTTCTCAACTTTGGGCACCTAAAAAAGGAACGGAAAATCCACCAAGTTCCCCAAATGATCTTCCGATGCTCGAAACTTTGGGTGGAAAATGGTGGAAGTCACATGAAATATCATGAAATCATCACCGACTTTGGGAAACATTCTGGTGATCCCCAGGATCACAGCCCAGTGCCATGGAAAAGCCTTCCTCAGTGCGTCGCCATGCGTCGCCATGCGTCGCCATCTGCCACACCACCTATCGTAGATCAACTCATTTCAGCGGCCCAAACCCTTGTGGGATTCGTGCTTGTTGATTTCTTGAGCAAAGGGATTGGCACACAATTAATCCTAGTCACATCGGAAATCCTATATATATACAGTACATACATATTCAATCTATTTCATCTGATTCGCTCTTATTCCCATGCTCATCTATCTTCCACTAGCTGTTAGCCAAGCCAGTGGTGCATCCCATTAGGATCCCATGAAGGATCCCATCCCAAGCGGCCCATATGGATCCCCCAAGCGCCTCAGTGTCGTCTTCGGGACACGAGATCTTTGGGATCCACCAGAGCCCAGGGGTTGAAGAGCTGTGGGCCACGAGCCGCGCAGAGCGTTGGCTCCTCGTCGATGTTGGCGATGCCTGGGCACCGTTGGAGCCCCGTTGGAGCCCCGTTGGGCGATTCCACAGATCTCCACAGGGGGGCGCCTCGACGGAATTCTTTGGTGGTTTGCCTGGTCACCTTGGTGAAGCTGAGCATGGCATATCTGAGCAGATAAAGAAACGATGCTGATGTTTAAAGGTGAAACATGGTGAAACTCACACATTCTGAGCAAGCCGGCAATGAGAAACAAGTGGTACGCCCACAGTAGCAAAGAAAGAAAGGCTGCGAAAGCCACCAGGACCTAGGACAGCACCACACATCCACATTCACAACATCTCAGGATGTCTAGGGCATCATGTGTCAGTCCAACACATCCACATCCACGGTGATCGAGGCCCCGGCACCAACACCAATGAGCATGTAGAAAAAGAGGGACATGCGTTGATCAATCTTGGCTGCCTCGGGCTTTGAAGCACTGGAACCCCATGGCCTCATGGCTGAACACATCAAAAAGACTGGGAACCGGGTAAACTTGTGCCCTAAAGTCTGGGATGATTCTGGTGCAAAACCCACAAAACCCACAAAACCTGGGGTTAAATGGCACAAGTTGGCAACTTCCAAGTCTTCCAAAGGTTCTTTTTTCCCCACTCGACACATGGGCAGGTCCTGGATGGGTCTTCTGAACCACATCTTCTGAAACAGCAAGAATTTAAGCTTCGTTCTGCTTTGCATCATTTCAAGATTTCTCAAGATATATATGCATATACCTATGTATATATATATGTATATATATATTATTATTATTACTATTATCATTATTGTTATTATTATTATTAATTATTATTGTTATATCATGTAGATAGGTGTATGTATATTATACTATATATATATATATTATATACATATATTGGTTAAAACCGGTTAAAACCTGGGCCCAACACTTGGGCAATAGATCGGCTCAACACAACCCCTCTGGGTTGAAACCTGAGGGCATAAGAACTAGAGATAGTATGAGATATTCTGATGATCAAAACATATGAATACATGTTCTGGCTTTAAACCTGGCTGGAAGAAACTACTGGAAATTCTTCGACCCCAAGCTGCCAGGAGATGCAACCTGGGCTACTGGAAGGCACGTGGGGCTACAATAGTTTTTTTGTTGCTGCCAGCCTGTCCAACATGATGGCAAAGCCGCTTCAGCTTAAAAATAAGAACAAATGAAGATGGATCACCAGCACCAAAAATGGAAACAATGAAGGTAGGTGGGTCACCAGAAATTATCAAAAATAAATAAAGGCAAAAAAAAATGAGAATTTAAAAACCAATGAAGATCCAAATGAAAACATGAAGCCCAGAAAAACATGCAAATCCAAATAAGAAAAATGAAAACCCACAAAAGTCAGTTAAATCCAAATGAAAAAAGAACACAATTAAACTCATGAAACAAACGACGCAAAAATGAAGAACATGAAAAGCAACCGTTAAATCAAAAAAAGTGAAAAGGGTTCGAGCAAGAGCGGATTCCGGCGAATTCCAAAAACAATGCTCGAGCCAAAATGGAGGAAAAAGAAACAACAATTCAACAATAAAAAGAAACGACAAGGCTTCGAGCGAGAGCTCATGTTTACAATTGCCAAGTGCAAGTTTAAAGGCAAAGTACCTCACTTGATGGGAGAATGAAAAAAATGAAAATGAAAATGTCACATGATGGGAAAATAATGTGTGAAGGGAGGAAAAACACGAAGATGGAAAGGACAAAAATTACATTTCCCTGATCGGGACTCACTCTGGACAGGATGTTAGCCTTTTCAGACAGGAGCACCCAACAGGGATGAAGTTTCAGCAGACTTCTCAACCAAGGCGCATTCTTCATCGCGCGTTCTTTGCGTGGATTGAGCAAATGCAGTGCCAAAGCCTCAAAAACATCATGCCACGAGTTGGAAGAAAAAGCATTGGAAAATTCAGGTATGCCCATTCCTCTAGCAAGGCAGCGGGGTCTTTCTCAATCTTTCTCAATCTTTCTCACAATAATTCATGCATGTTGGCTTTAGGGCAAGCTATCTGGCCCAAGTTTCAGCCGTCAGACACAATAGGCATGGGCATTGCACGCATTGCACATCCGCCGCCGAGACACTGGAAGAACCATCAATGCGAGGACCAGCACACAGGAGATGAAGCCAAAGAAGAAGTGATAGTTTCGCTGCCCTACACCTCACCACTATTTAGTGAACGATTAAAAGTATCAGGCTCGCATTGGATCCTCCAAGATGTGGGTGTTTTGATGCCATCCAAAAAACGGATGGGCTCAACAATTCCGCATCACTTCAAATGTAACGTAGCTTTGTGTGCCCAATTGCAGGTGTCCTACATCAATGAAAACTATGCGCGGAGTCGCCGATTTGGAAACACGGTCCCTCCTGAATAACCACAGGAATCGCGACTGATTCGTAACCGTGCTTACTTGGCAAGTCAAAATTTCATAAAATTTCGCTCTGCAACCCTCTTCATTCTTGCTGTTACAAGTCATAACCATTGGTATTGACCAGTCACTAACTTGGATCATGAATCCTCCAGATCAAAGCTCCTGGACTGCGGCATTCTGCATGCAAGGCACAGTTGTTGACAAACGGACAATGATGATCGTAGCGCATCACGCAGTTGTCGCAATCTCCGCAATGTGACGAACGTGGAGGTCGAATAATGGCGCATGTATCTGAGCCGGCCAGCTGCAGGTTGATATAGATCTACGCGTGTGCCTAGCCTGTTTAGAAACGTACACTGCTATCTTGTCTGCATATGCATGTGTGATTGAGATCCGGGCAACTTTCATGTTTTCCTCTGCACGTTTATCCCCATCCATTTACTTGTTTGATTTGCATGTTGTCTCATCAGGATTGTCAAACGTTTGCGCCTAGCAGTTCAGCATTCCATCATAAATCAAAGAATCTCAGGAACACATGGACATTTCGCAGATCAGGGGGCTTCTATAATATTAACATCTGGAAACCAATGTTTTTTCATGTTTCCCCTATGGTCAACTCCGGGGTCCTTGCTGCTGCCAGGTTTCTACAAAGGCGGTAACCTTCTTTTCGTAGCTTTGCCGAAATACCAATACCGTCGCCTGGCGACAGCCGGGCATAGCCGGGCACCGCTTGGAGAAATCGGTGCGTGGTGCACTGGTGCAGGTTGATGTTAAGCACAAAAAACCGGTGGGGATTCAAACTCCCCACCAAGGTGACCACAACAATATCCAACAATCGGGGTTTCTTGTGGTTGATGAATTACCCTCTGGTAAACTAACATAGCTATTGAAAATCACCCTTTTTAATGGGTAAATCAACTATAAATGGCTATTTTCAATAGCTATGTTAAATTACCAGAGGGTATTTGGAGGGTTCAGTAAATCCATGTCAACCCCCAGGATTCCCAAGCACACTGCGCCTTCCAAGACGTCGTACCCCAAGGCTTCTCTGAGTTGTTCTGCAGTGCCTCGCACAGGTGGCATGAGCAGCACCGAATGTGGTTCAGCACTTGGCACAATCGGCTTGTTCACTTGCAAAGTGGAGTGACATCCATATCTCTATGCATTACATTATATGTATTACCTATTAGATTTGTGACATCCTTATAGGACCCTCACACACATATATATATATATATATATAGTAGTTAAATCTACAATCTACAATAATATCATGTGCTTTTCTATAAATATATATATGTGTGTGTGTGATACGTAAATTGCATGCGTATAGCCCACGAAAAATCCGCTGCCACGCCTGTGGCCAGCACCACTTCGCGGCGCGGGATAATTCCAGGCTAGGCGCGGAGGCGATTCCAAGGATCTTTTGGACATTTTTGGACCAAGAATGATCATGCTATATAATTCTAATGATAATCATAAATGATACTATTTGTTTGTTTATTATTAATATTATTCATATGAATGATTTCAAAGTTCAAATGATAGTTAAAAATGTCGTAGGCACAATGTAGACTCTGTAGACACATGTTACAGCTTGATATTTCATGTTATAATCACAGTTCTCTTCTTCCAATCTCTGAGTGCCTGACATCAGTGCAGCAAGTGGCACAGAGTAAGCCCGTGGTCGTACAAAAGACGGCCAACGTGGCACCTCAACAAAGGCTGAACCGAATCCAAGCATCATCACTCCCCAGGAAAAAAAGACATGGTAATATATATATATATATGGTAACAATATGGTAATGTTAACCGTTAGCATATATGATATTAATATCTCATTATTTATATGCATATATATATAATATATATATATATATTATACTAATAATTTATACCAATAAATTATATTAACATATGGTAAGCCAGATCCTTCAACAGTCAACTTCCCCACCTGGGAGCAAATAGATGCCATTGGCCACCAGAGACGGGGCCACGAAGGCAAAGTACAGCGCGGATGGAACCAGGATGAAACACCAAATGCAGAGATTGGGACAGCAGCATTCATCTGTCCCACCTGGGCCGGAAGGATCCGGAAGGCGGTGCCAAATCCGGTTGATCATGGTGTTCCCCAATGATCGGATCGTAAGAAGCTGTTGTATGTTGTATGCTCAAGTCTTGAACAAACCCAAATTGGAATACATATTTGAATAAATCGGATAGTTGGATAATTCATGTTGCTTAGTTGGATACATGCCATGAAAAATCGGGTGACGTTGCAACTCTTGAGCTCAGGACTTGAACATCCACTGCAGGCTCATCTCCATCTCTGTATACAGGTGCTGTTTATGATACCTCAAAAAAAACACTGACACTATTAAGAAACATTAAGAAACTATGCGATATTCAAAAGAATTGAGCACATCATCACATCATATCACATCTAAGATATCCTGAGATTTGAATATTACGTTGACTAACGACCAACCCCTGATGCCGAGCACCGAATCACACCCGACACAGGGCACCTGTCATAAGCAGCCCGCAGCAGCAGAATGAATTTTTTGATGGCCAACTTAGTACAGAAATTGTGAGAACTGGCTCGCCAAACAAACCATCAGCGTTCCATGCGTGCCTCTTCAGCGCTTGTTTTAGCATGTTTGATTAAACAATATTGTAGAACTGTGAGTGTAGTTTGGTTGGCTTGCTTACTTTCGATGTCTTACAGTCTTACTGTGTATCTTTGTGTTTTTCGATGTGGCTGAGTCTGAGTCATGATGGGTCCATGATTTTCCTGTACCCCATGCAACCCAGCCACTGCTCATAGAGTCGCGCCAACTTGCCTCCCACATGACTTGCTGGGCTCGAAGAATGTCATGGTGCAGCTACTTCTACAAGAACTGGGAGATGTGCTGGTCTCTTTATGTATCATTTATATTCATTTATAGTATCTAATAGTATCCACCATACATGAATGATGTGGGATGGGATGGTTTCAACCCTTCTGCCAGCAGTTCTGTCACAAAAGTTGATGATTTTGATCAGTTTGATCAATCCAACTGATTTCATCGGATATGTTGATCTATGTGTTGATCTACCCTCTGGTAAACATACAAAAAAACTATGGAAAATCTCCATTTTTGTATGGGAAAACTCAATATAAATGGACCATTTGATCTATTCATCCATCCCAATCCAAGGCCAACGCCTCGCTGCTGCCCTTCTTCCAGATCTGTTGGAGCACCGATGCACTCGGGGCTAGGTGCATCCAGCTTGCCGCGCCGTGAGGATGAAATCCTGGTCATCCCTCCGTCATGATGGGTTGACAATCCCCCTTTATTGGATATTCAAGCAAAAGAATCCATGTTTCGAGCACGGCACATATCAATCCCAAATCCTATAAAATTTATTTGGAGTACAGCACAGCTGATTGCAAGCGCTAAATGTCTGATTCAAAGCCTTCAACAATGCTGGTTTCGCCAATGTCTACCATCTAATCACATCTAATTACCAGTAGGGTGAGGCTGCTGGAGGTCCCCAACACTGAAATGGCGATCTCGCATGATCTCACAACAGCGTAAAACAACAGCTTCCAACCGCACGTTTTTGGAGATGTTCTCAGGTTCCATCTTCAACGTCCTACCTCGGGCCAACCTTCAACTTTTAAGCAAATAAATTGATTGGCTCAAAGGGAATTTATGAAAGTTTACAGGAAACCATGGTTTCCACAATCTACTATCTGGTTATTTAACATAGCCATGGAAAGATCCACCATTTTTAATAGGTAAACCATCTATTTCTATGGGTTATCTATACCATGGCTATGTTAGTCATAACCCGAGGGTCCATCCGGGTCCATCCATCCAGCCAAGGCTCAGAGTTGTCGTCTCTTCCTCGGCGCTTGCAGCTGCCGGCTGTCTTGCGGTGAGCTCGATGGCCGGCATGGCGGCAACGTGTTCCGCACTTTGGCAGAACAGGCCCGATACATGTCAGTCCCGCACGGGACTCTTTCACTGTCATATATCAGTGTAAATAGGATGTGTATATGTGTATATGTATATATATATATATATATATGCACACATAAAATCTATATCATATATATTATAATAATATAAATATATATATACATCTCAAAGTGTCATATGAAACAGATACTGTCTCGCGCTCCCGCAGCATTCTTTTTCCACAGCTATGCCTATGCTCAGTCAATTTCACCTGCAATCCTCAGGTTTGCTTTGGGTTGTCACGATGTGACACGTACATAGCCCCAGACCAGTTTCGCCACTGGTCAGCTGCCTGGCAACCCAGGCTGGAACCTGCTCTGCAGGAATCACCCATCCCTTAAACCTAAGGGAAGGAAAAACTCTATTGGTCGCCCCAAGAGAGTATCCCCGATAGAGGCTATGTACTCGCCTGCCATGCAGGCTCCCCTAACCTAGGCGGACATCTCCACGGGAGGTCGGCTCTTAGGGTTGGGAGGGTGGGGAAAGAAAACAGCAATGAATGCTATTTTGGCTCAAGTTTACTTGAGCCAAAATGGTAGCATTCATTGAAAAACTTAAAGATGATACATGCACACCCAAGCCTGCCAAACTCAATGCATGGGTACATCTCAAAGTGTCATATGAAACAGATACTGTCTCGCGCTCCCGCAGCATTCTTTTTCCACAGCTATGCCTATGCTCAGTCAATTTCACCTGCAATCCTCAGGTTTGCTTTGGGTTGTCACGATGTGACACGTACATAGCCCCAGACCAGTTTCGCCACTGGTCAGCTGCCTGGCAACCCAGGCTGGAACCTGCTCTGCAGGAATCACCCAATGCACTCAATTCCCAAAGCACTAAAGGTATTCGAAGGTGAGAATGACAGCTGCAAAGGGTAGCTGGAACAAGATTGTAGGGAGGTACGACGAATAAAATTCAAAACCATGGCATCGCCACCATGGATCATTGACGCCAAGTCGGCTGATATCGTCAGCCCAGTTGCTCTTGCTCTGGACGTACTCCCAATATCCTTGGGCTCGCAGTGCAAACAGAGCTAGATGGATCAAATGACCTAGCTTCGCTAAGTCGGCATTGCTAGAACGTCCTCTCACTAGCGTCATGACGGCTGCTACGTTGTCCAAAAACCATAGGCCGTGTCGGTTTCGAAACAGATCAGGCCTTTCGACAAGGGCGTAGAGCACCATAGATAGTTCCAATTGGGCGATATGCGTCTCTGCAGGTTGCCAAAGTGCTCGGAGCTCTGCACAGTTGGTCGCGACAAAACTGTGACGAATTTGTGATCCGTCAGGCTGGAAAAAGATCAGATGAAAACCTCCTGAACCAGGATTGTCTGCTTCGACAGCTGCGTCGGAGGCTGCCAAAAAGCGCAGATGATCCAGGTGCAGAACGGGAAATTCCCGCTTTGGCTGACAGCGCATAACCGCTTCGATCACCTCGAAGCATGCTTCAATCTCGGGAGTGATGGTCGAGGTTGTCTCGTCTTGCCTGGCTTTGATGGCCATAAGGCCGCCATATCCCACTCGACCGTAGATTCCCTGTTCCAGGAAATTGGCCAAGCCGTACAGCTTCGATGCTGCTCCTCGGCTAAAATGGCCAGTCACCCTGGCTGTTGCCAACATGTCACGTACTTTGTCATGGAGCCGTTCTCGAGCCCAAAACTGTACATGCCCTGTTTGGTTGATGGAGCTGAGATCATGAGTCAATCCCAAAAAGGTTCCGGTGCTCTGCATTGGTTGTTTCTTGTCCTCTGCGAAGGGGGAGCCGATAAGAGAACACAATTGATTCATGGCCCATTGGCCTGACCCTTTTGAGGATTGCAAGTCTGTAATGGTCGCATCATCAAAGTACAGGGAGGTCAAAACTCGGCAAAAACGCCTGGCTAGTGCCTCCAATAGTCTGGAAAAACGGTTGAATGATGTCACCGCCAGCGGCAGTCCGAAGAGTAGCCCAGCGTAGACCTGGTATGCAGGGGTTTGCCATTCGTGATGGTACCACACCACCACGCAGCCCAGACTTTCCTGCAATGCCATAGGGCAATACCTGTATGCTGAAGGCAGATCTTCTTGTCCTGTTTCCCAGGCATCGTTCGCGAAGAAATCGGCCATCTCATCCTCTGTCCAACGATGCATTGCAAGGCGAATGTGCTGGGCAGGACGCAATGGACTGCACAATGTGAGCTTGTTAGCATCAGACGACAAGGCTGATTGTCCTCCGGTGTCCCCATTGTCGATCACACGCTGCTTGCCTGAGCTCTGTGTGATCACGCAACGCGGGATCAATCGATGGGCCTTGTTGCCAATGGCCCGCAGGAAATCTGTCCGACGCAAGGGCTCTGTGCAGAAACCATTCGCTGCGTCCTCCAATGACTGCTGCAGGAGGAACTCATCATCCTTGCCTGCTCTCAGCTGGCCCAAGATGTGCTGATTGTGTTCCTGCCATCCCTCCAACACCTCGGCCATGCTGATCACCTCAGCTGGCTGTTGGGGGAAGATCCCATAAGGTGGTGCGTAGCCCACTGCAGGCAGCCCACGGATCAGACCATAGGGAAAGCTGGTGTCTGCCCATGATGTCAGCAGCATCAGCAATGCGATGAGCCCCACATCGCGGTGCCGCGTTACCTGCTGGATGGCCGGCTCTTGGAAGGATCGCAAGTGGAGGGTCACCCCCTCCCAACGTCTCTTCAGCTCTCGCATGGCCCCGACCGCCTGCTGTCGCCACGGGCGCAATTGCTGGCCATGTGCCACATAGGCATCTGCTACGAACTCCAGGTCTGAGTCGACGACTGGGAGGTCTTCGTAGGGCAACGGGTGCTGGGCTCGTTGGACTGCTTGGTTGAAGTGGTCCTCAGGATCCAAGTTGAACGGCAGCAGCGGGGGCAAGGCGGCACGGTGTGTCATCGCACCCACTTGGCACCCATCCCCAATCCGTGCGAGCTGCCTCACTGACCCGGCAGCCAGATGCGGGACTAGGGGCCCGTCCCAAGCTTCTCCTCGCTCTGCAAGCCAAGTGGCATATGAGCAGAAGGGCGGGCTGTTGATGAGGTCTTCAATCATTGCAAACTTGTAGTTCTTGAACCAGTGCTCGGGGAAAAGCTTTTGGAATGCCAATACCAGTGCTTCTTGGCTCATCATGGGTAGGGCTACCCCCCTGGGAATAGCCTGGATCCCTTGCAACAATGCCACAGTCCTACTCCATCGGCCATCGGTGCCCCGCTGCATTGGGTCACCCCCAGGGGCGGTGGCATCGAAGAAGAGGCCAATGAGCATGTCCGCTTCGCACAGGTGCTCCATGGGGCAGTCGCACGCCAGCTCCATATTGCTAAGCTCATGCAAGGCGTCCCACAAAGGTGATGTTCGAATATGGACAATGTACCTGGCCGGCCATTCACCGGCTTCGCAGTTGTGGCCCGGTGTCCATGGCGATTTCCACTTGGTCGTCGATAGGCGATGATGGAAGCTGCCTCGGCCGACGTAGATGGTCTTGCGTGGTAGCTTGTTGTTCTCGATCATCACCTCCTTGACGAGCCTTCGGACCGGTAACCCCGATCGTTCAGCCCTCAAGGATTCTGTGAGGCCCAGCGTCACCGCCAGTGGTGCCATTGCCCACTCCCGCATTGCGCGCGGGTCCATATCCAGCCAATGTTCACGACGTCCGACTGACATGAACGTGGGCATGCGTGGGACATGCAGGACGGCTAGGCCTGTGCGGACTGCCCACCAACTAGCCGACACTGCAATGGCGAAGGCAAGGACTGCTGTGTACTCTGCCTCTTCTTTGGATGGGTAGAACCGTTGGCCGTCGGAGGTGTAGGGGGTCCATTCCTGTGGGTCGTGCACATGGTGGCAATTGGCTGGGGGCCAGCGTTGGATCTCCTCCACATTGTGTCGTAGCACTTGATGCTTGCAACGCGCCCCACCCAAAGTACATGCCGCGTAGGCTGTGTCGAACCATTGTCCCGATTCCCACATAGTCACCTCTGTGGACGTCCACCAGTGCAAGGAGCGGGCAGGGTTTTCACGCACACTGCCTCCCCCCCTATCACGCAACTTCTGAATTTCTCCCAAGACATAGTTGCAGGCTTTGTTGTCAAGGTCGACTCTTTGGGCATCCCGGCTGTTGAGGTGAGGCAGGCCATCAGGGTAGACCTCGGATCGAAGAGGACCAGGGGCTGGCCGCCCGTCTTCAAACTTCCTGGGGATCTCCCTGGCCCTGCTCTTTGTCGAACAGTCGATAGCTGCCGCTATGAAGATCACCTCTTCAAGCTGTTTGCTCAGGGAGTGTTGCCGGCGCTCATCTGACAGGTCATGGCTGTCATCCAACAACCAATCCACTGTAATGCATTGCCACCCGCAACTGATGAATGCTTTGGTGAGGGGTGCGTTGGGACCTGCCATGAGATCTGCCATAAGAGGTCGCCCCTCTTGCGGCTCTAGCTCATCTGACCCAAAAGAGGCAGCCGCCTCCTCTTCTGGGGCGTGTCAACGCTTACCAGTGCAGTTGACTGCACCGTGGTTGAACGCTCCACATACCCGATCTTTCCCGACAACTGCTCCGCATCGATGGGCTCCCTGAGGACATGGTTTGGCCTTACAGCCGCCTCGTTGAAATTGCGGGCAAAGTTTGGTACCATCCTTCATTGCCGTCGCCACGGGTTTGCCATTGATCGGCTTGCCCAACTTCAAGGGTGATGTGCTTGGCGGCACCTTGGATGGACTTGCAGTAGACGCTGCTGTAGGGGCTGCACTCTTCCTGTCCGGGGTAGCGGGCCCTGGTGCAGACCAATGTGCGTCCCTGGACGTGTAGATCTCGCTGATCACCTGTCCCAAGCTCATCGTAGACTCACGAAATTTGGACACCCACTCACTGCGCTCCTCCACGTCTTTGGC